CGGAGAGCTCCCAACCGACGAAGCCTCTGCCAATGTTGAAGCTTGCGGAGAGCTCCGTACCGACGAAGCCTCTGCCAATGTTGATGAAGCACCACTGCGTAGAGATGACGCCCAGCTCTCTGTTGAAGCACCTGCAGGTCCCGTTGTCGATTCTCTCCAGCGCGAAAAGGAACCCCTCCAGGCAAACGATGCGCCAGTTTCAACTGAGAGACCTGCCTTCCCCGATCCCAACTCTCTTCCAGCCAATAATCCTGGCGCATGCCCAGAGGACATCGACGATGAATGCTTTGCTCCTGCAGGATGGCTCGCGGATGTCAATGCGGAGAATGTGGCAGTTGCCCAAGACACTGAGGTTCCTGTTCCTGACACCCACGGCGATATAGGAGCCGCGACAACATCAAATGAGCCACAGGAGGACCCCGCTGCACGTGCCCTACGTTTATATTACGAGGAGATCGCAGAAGATGACTCCACCGACTACGATGACTGGTTTGACGACTACGACGTCTCCTTCTCCACCGAAGAGTCTCCTGATTCTGATTCTGTGGAACAAACCTCGTCCGTGAACTCTGATGCCTCCGTGCCCAATGAGACTTCTGTCGATGCTCCTGGACCGGCTACTCTTTGGGGCATCTTGTCGTCTTCGAGCCCTGCGGATGTCAGCCATTCAGCGCCCGATGTCGAAGCACTTAAGAGTCCCATGCCCACTGACATCAACGCTGGTATTGGACAAGTCAGTCAATTGCAACATCCGGCCATCATCAACACCGAGACACCATGTGAGACTATTGACGACAACCTCAAGGAAGGCGGCTCGGAGCACCTCTCTCATCATGTCGCACCGCCAACTAAATTGATCTGTCAACTGCCCATCCGCTCCAAGAGAGCGCTAGAGACTGCATCGAACGCGTCGATGCCTGCGAACGAACTCAAGACCAACTGTGATCAGCCGAAAGTCTTGAGTGAGGAGACTCCCCTTGCTAGCGATGTCGAAGCGCCAATTGCCACGACTCCGGTGCTCCCTCCTCCTCACGATATTGTGGAAGCGACTGGAGATGGAGTCCCGGTGCAACCACAAGCTGCCGCTGGAGATACTGAGCAGCTTCAAGTTCAAGTTCAAGAAGATGTTCCCGGACCCGCCACTCTGTGGGGAATTCTAGCTTCCGAGCCTGCACCCGATTGCAAGCAACAAATTGAGGATCCTCCTCTATCAGTCAACCCTGCTTGCAGTTCTCTTACACCAATTTCCCCGGAGAGCCCTGAAGTTGACGTCGCAGTTGCAGTCAGCAGCCCGGCCGAGTCAAGCTTTTCTGAAGACGCTTCGACCGCCATTGATGAACCCTGCTCAGGATGTGGTAAAGAGGACTCGTCATCCAAGGGAGACGAAAGCTCTATTCTGCTTGGCTCCCCATCAGCTAAGACAACCAATGTTTCTGAATCAACTGCTCTAAGCGCCCCGGCGACACCGGTCAAGGTTGAAGAAAACGACCAGAACGAGTTGAACTGTGAGGAGCTTGTGGAGGACCACCTCGATTTCAGAAACATTGGAACTCATCTTGATACGGAGGCCATCGAATATGAAGCAACCATGCCGGCCACAATGCCGGATCTCGCTCTCCAGACCACTGAGCCTTTGGATGACGCAAAGGTGCCTGTAGTGGCTCTCTCTTCCATCAAAGAAGAGCTCACCATCCCTACTCCCACTGGTCCCAAGGCAGACGAAGTCCAGACATCTGCAGACGCGACCCAGGCAGCTACCGAGCCCTACGAGCCACCCAAGTGGTCCCTTACACATATCTTCGGCTGTGCAGTGGCCATTACCGTCCCTATGGTCATCATCTACCCGACCATTGGACTTCTTGGGGCTTATGGTCTCATTCGATACGCGCGAAGTCAGTGCAATTGAGGGATTGCAGGGAGTGCTATTTTGCGCAGGCTAAGGAGGTGAGGAATTGTGAAGGTCTAGAGCAGGTGTCGGAGTATGACTACCACTTGCTGGTCGTGCGGAATGGGATTGTGCTGGTTAGTCTAACTATTGTCAGAGGTGAAAGGTTTGCATCATTGCGGCATCGGGCGTTATGGTCTATTGGGTTCGCACACAATGATAACCATCGAGGGACTGGAGGAATGGTGGAGGGATGAGCTGAACAAGGAGACAACAGAGTCCTCAACCACACAAAAACGACACCATGAATCGATCTCCCGGTGAAGAAGCAACAATTGGTCGACCGACACAGAGCAGGATCAGAAATAGGAGAACTGCTACAGACCCACCCCAAAGAGGGTCTGAGCAAAGAGAGTGTCTCCGGTTGAAATGAAGCGGGGGAAAGATATGAAATGTTGTAGACTCACCTCAAAGAGGGTCTACACAAGGAGGGCGACCAATTTTGCAGCGGGGATCGATTCATTGAGCGAGGGTAGGGGGTCTTTATGATGGAATCAGACACTTGGGGCTTGTATTGTGAGTAAAGGGCATTGCACAGTCATGTTATCGAGTGCTCCAATGACATTCATGACTCGACTCATCATTATTTTCATGTAAGCTTCTTCTGAGACACATGTAGATTGTCTGCTGCAACTATCTAGTGATAGATGCCACGGAAACGACGGTACGAGTTCCTCATCGTCATTCAACCGCCATTGATCTAAGTTCGAAACCATCGTCGCAGTCTCCCCAGTTGTGATTCTTTTCTTCTCTTTTCCCTAAATTCTCTGGCCGCCCTCTCCATATTTTCAATTTCCGGCCCATCCTCCGATTCAGATACAGAACAACTGCAATCAGTGTCACAGTCGACTGCTCGTCTAGGCGGATGGGGTCTCCGTCTAGGAGGGCGCATCCACAGTGGTTCCATTGTCGATGGTGCTAACGGTGGATCGTAGTACAGTGGTGGTGTTTGAGCTGGCATGCGTGGGGGCAGGAAACCAAAACGTCGTGATGGAACAAATATAAAACGAGTCTCACCCCTCGCTGGGCCCATAAAGTCCTCGGGACCATATCCTCGAGGTTCGAATGGATGGGGGCCCATGAAGTGTTGCGAGTCCCATTCATTTCTCGGACCATCATAATACCCTTCAGATTCGAATCGATCTGGATCCCAGCGGAAGTCGTCATCCTGTGGGAGGGCATTTATTTCGTCCATACGATCATAGTCGCCGCTATAGGACTCATAGCTTCGACGTGGAGGATCCGCGACGTGGTTTCCGTATGATTGATTCAAGGGCCCATCTCTTCGACCACGGTCGGTTCTATGCTGTGGAAAGCCACTGTATCCATCGGTACTGTCCCGTGGCTCATGAGCGGCGGAACCTCTTCCTTGATGGGGCTTTTTTGGTCTGGGTAGTCGCCGCCCACCGCTGGCAAGCATCCATTTTTCGAACCATAAAGGCATGGTGCGGACCAGGAGGTGAGGTAGCGAATATTTGGAAATATAATAACTCAAGAGTACCCGTGATCTTCTTTTTGCTGCACTTCCTTGATAATCTTTCGAACAGCGCCCAATGAAGGATGTGAAAGGATTTTATAAGATGGAGTGGACTTGGTTTTCATTTTCAGCAATCGACCATTTCTCTCGACACTCCGTGGGTTCCGCGAGGTAGCGTGAACTCGCCATTGTCACGTCCAGCCTCGGATGGCTCAAAGGAGAGGGTGTCGTTTAGAAAGGATTTGTGGTGACTCGAGCAGAAAACATGCTGTCCTACTGTTAGCAGTCCGAGACTGTCTCCTAATCTAAGTCAGCTTGGTGACAAGGTCCTAGCATTCAAGTCCCGAGGTCAAACTGGGCAGGTTGTCCAAATGAAAGTCGTACACATGGGATAAGAGCATGGCAGTTTGTGGGGTCAAAATAGCAGATCAAAGCTCCTTGCTGGTGCGGAAAAGAGAGGAATAACGAGGGGACGTTTTGATATGGCAGGTATAGGTTGTGTTATCATTACAGACTTAACACTTAAATCGGAACTCCAGGATAAGTGGCAACGTTGATAAAATTTGAACCCTAAACCTTTGGCCCCTTATGGCTCTTTTTGTAAACCATCAACCACAACCCACTCGCTTTCCGAGTGGACAGGGGTCTTAGAGGTCTGTTGGGCCGACAATTCGAGTTTCTGAGAACCCTGTGATACTTTTGGCAATTGATCGAAGTCTTCCACGACCATGACCTCATTGTAATCAAGGTCTTCAGCACTTTTTTGCTCCGCTGCTCCAAGGCTGTTGGATTCGTTCTGGGTCTTCGGGATCAAGTCCAAGGTTGGGTTTGAGTGAGGTAGTTGTTGACAACTTGGGTGTTCGATCTTTGCTGAGACGATCGTCGAACATGGGCCACCAGATTCCGGATCGTTTCGTTGTTTCTGGCGACATTCTTCGCACAAGGTGCTGTGAGATTGTTGAAAGAAATCCGACAGGCTTGGCCATGCCCTGGGTCGAACATTACGATCCCAGACGATGCCCCATATTTTGTAGCAACGAGAAGTCGAGCAGTGAAAATAGGCGACACCCTGGTTCAAGTCGATACCGATGTGAGGCGGAGGCAGGTCCGCCTTGATCAAAGGTGGGATGATGGTGAAGAAAGACATGATGTCAGGTGGTACTTCTCTGCCAAACGGTATTCAATACATCTGGTTGATAGGAAAGAAACTGCACGATTGACATGATTTATATAGTGAATCAAGCCAGGCTCAAGCGTGAGGTCAAGGAGAATAGGGAACTGGAATTGTCGCTTCGTTTGCTGGAGAAAGAAACTTGGATTCGGTTTGGCTGCCTTGGCTTGTGTGAAACCAAGCTATACTCTGGGTCACCATCAAGTCAGTTGGACAGACGAAGCGTCACCTATTAGAGCCCTGTTTGGTGGCCATGAAGTCACTCAAACAGCATCTTCCATGGGATGTGGCCATAGACACCGCGTCACCTCTTTGAGGAAGTAGGAACCCAGGCCTCAGGTTTCCAGTTCTGACCAGGATTTGATCCTGTCTCGGGAGAAGGCTTCCCTGAGCTCTCCGAATCGGTAGTAGTCTGGGACTTCTTGTCTACGGGTGTGTGGGAGCTTGCGGCGTTTGGCCGAGGGCCATCACTCAGCTGCGGCGTTCTAGATGGCTTCGAGGGTTCGATATATTTTGCTTTTGCGGCCCATCTTTCGTCCGCGAGACGGGCGTTTGTCTTCATCTGAGCCAATCTTTCAAGGTCGGCAGTCTGTTCTTGCAATGAGGGAGGATCAGCGCGAGTAGCACGTAGCCATTGGTGCCACTGAGGAGAGATTTGGACATCAGAATAGTGAGTCTTGCGGCTCGTCTTGACTATTCGACGCCAACGATTGTGGTTGAGGGCATCTTTGAACTCCCAGAAGGTATTACCGGAGAGGTCTGTGCCTGTAATAGATGTGAGCAGCGGGTAAATATGGGGAGGTCGACTAGGAGTTTTACCAATTAAGAACCTCTTTCTCCAAGGGAGTCTGAGCATCTTCCATCGAATCCATAGACTCCGAAATGAAGACATCCTGCAGGATCAGGTGCAGGTTGGTTGAAGAGGTTGGATGTAGAGGAAAAGAAGAATATTGAAGTCGTTGATCGTCAATAATTAATATGGAAGGCGCCGCCGCCAACGACGTCAACTTGCAGGGAAGGCGCGAACCAATCATGCCTCCACTGACTTCACTTGCCGCATCTGCGCCTCTCCGCCTCTTCGCCCGGACTGCCGCCTGAGACGCAGACAGACAGATGACCAACTCAGTCATAATCTCAACGAGTACTCCGCGAGTGCTGACGCTCAGCACGGACTCCCACTCCTTACTTTGTTATTCCACTTCCTCTACATCCATTGTTACAGACATACGGTTACTCGATTGCGCCTTGGACGCGTTTCGCACTCTCTTTCTCCCCCCCCACCACCCACATCGACCGCAGCCATGGCTTCCGTCACCAGCTTGGATCACGACATGCGCAAGTTGCGCTTGGATCGATATACGCCCGCCGCTGCCAATCAAGTCCGATCATGGATTGAGGATGTATTAGGAGAACCTCTGGCTCCAGGCGACTTGATGGATGCGCTGAAGGATGGTGTCGCCCTATGCAAGTATGTCCATCCAACCCCTCCTCCCAGTTCCCGTCCTAACATCTCCCCAGACTCGTCATTCGCGCCGGAGCATCCAGTGTCAAGTATAAGCAGTCAAACATGCCATTTGTCCAGATGGAGAACATCTCTCACTTTTTGCGCGCATGCGAAATGCCGCCACTGAGTCTCCCCTCTCATGATCGCTTCCTCACAGTGGATCTTTATGATGGCAAAGACCCCGCCCAAGTTCTACAATGCCTTGCTGCATTCAGTCGGAAAGCAAACCAAATCAATCCTTCAGCATTCCCCAACACCCTCGGCGCAAAGAGCAAGTCCGCCATGAGCCCCCAGGGCACCGGCTCGAGCAGCACACCCAGATCTCCTGCTTACATGACAAACTCACCTGCCCTCCGGCCGCGTGGAACTAGCACCAACACCCCAGAGCCTCCATCTATTGCCTTCAACCCACTTAACAGAGCTGCATACTCGGGCCGTATCAGTCCCTCCAAACCCGTGCCCCCTGCAAGTTCACTTGCGAGGGGTGGCCTGGCTACCGGTGGCTCAGTCAGCTCATGGAGTAATAAGACAGACGAAGGCAAGACTGCTCCTGCCTGGAATATTCACCAGTATGGCTATATGGGCGGGGCAAGCCAAGGGAATCAAGGCATCGCGTTTGGTGCTCGCAGACAAATCACGTCTCCGGCTCCAAAAGTCCCGAGCGTCGCCGAGAAGGAGAAGCGCTTGCGTGAGGAGGAAGAGCAGAAACGACAAGCGGAAGAAGAGTACCAACGTGCTCAAGCCGCACAACGGGAGGCAGAGGAGGAACTGGCCAGATTGGAGGAAGAACAACGCTGGCTTGCCGAAACTCAACGACAGAAGGAGCGGGAGGCCGAAGAGCGGCGTGCGGCCGAACGAGCGCGAACACAAGAAGAGGAACGCGTGAGACTCGAGGAACAGCGCAGGCAACAGCGTGTCTATGACCGTGAACGTGAACGCGAAGCACAGGACCAAGCCGAACGAGAGGCTGCCAGCTCCCGCAATCGTTCTAGAGCGACAAGTGATGCCAGGCTGAATGGTCAATTCTTGAGCCAGTATCAATCGAGCCAGCTCGCTAGCCCACCACCCCCGAGCACAAGCCCTGGCCTCCCCCAAGAAACACCAGAGGCTAGGCGTATCGCCGAGTTGGAGCGCCAACTTGAGCAGATGCGCTCTCAATCTCGGCGAACTGGCGCATCCTCTATCCAAATTCCCGACCCAGAACCGATATCCTCCAATACACCATCGCGATCGCCTGGGCCAACGAGTCACGAGGATGACTGGGCAAGCTCTGAGCGAGACTACCTCAAGTCCGAGTGGCAAAAATCACAGGATCATTCAAGTATCTCCCCAGTCCCGGCGACCTCTCGACCTCTTCCAGACCCGTCGACATATAAGTCGTCCTCCGCCACCACCAATCGCACTGATCGCTATCTCAACTCCAACACGGCCCCGACTTCACCACCTCCAAGTCAGCACCGTTACCAAGACTACTCGACCACCCATGAAGTCGACCTTGAGAATCAACGACGGCTCCAATCTCAGCAAAAGACCAAGGCAGGCGCCTGGGCGAGCAAATCACTCCTGGAGCGGGAGATGGAGCGTGAACGTGAGCGGCAACGAGAATGGGAAGAAGGCCAGAAAGCCACGGCGGAAGCGGCGAGGGATCTCAAGCAAGGTTCAGGTCCGGGGCAGTCATGGGATGTCCATCAATATGGCTACATGGGTGGCGATAACCAGAACCGAGGAGGAACTGGACTAGGTGTTGGTGGGCCAAGAAGGCAGATTATTGGACCACGACCACCGCCATGATCAAGAGATCTAACCCATCATCAAATTCAAGCGTGATGCCGTTGACCAAGATGAAGTTATGAACGAGATATAGAGTATTCTGATTCGACATGGTTACAATTGCACAAGTGACAACATGGGCGGGACGAGTGAGATTGAACATTGGAGCCATACTTCTTTGTCTATAGATGATGATGATGATGATGATTTCTCCGCTGTCGTTGGTCGTGGCATAGTTAGCGTTGCATACATAACATTACAAATGTACACAACCACCGCAATGACCTCGGTCATAGCTGTGCGAAAAAACCAGAGAGCAAACTTCCAACGTTAGGAGTCTTGAATCCATGTTCTGTAGACACTTATCGAACCTCCTCACTCGGTCTTTCATCACGTACACAGGGGAATACCATCTGATCAAGTACTTGTGTACAAATCCCGCACCATCATCTTAAGTCTCATCCCACTTTCCGTCAACCAGGACCAAGCCTCATCCGCAGGACCTGGCTTTCCTCCTTTGGCATCCTTATCCTTCTCCTTATCCTTGCCAACCCTTGCAGCTCTCCTCTGCACACCCTCGTCAACCGCGACAGTCAATCCCCGAGGTACTGCACCGACATGGATGATTCCCATCTGCACCATCCGCCTGATCAACCCTTCCAACAAGATCGAAACTCGAGCATTGGCATCAACCGAGTTCTTGGCCGCCGCGAAGGGTAGATACTCGGTTTCGAGTTTTCGTGCGGATATGATGACATCGGAACGAATGCTCGGGGCGGATGGTTCGAGTGTATGTTGGAGTAAGGCTTCTAGTAAATTCAGGTGGACGATTGGTTCAAAGTGCGGTAAATTGTGAGGACTAGAGTCGTTGTGTGGTTGTGTGGTAGAAGGAGGAGGAGGAGGAATTGTCACAGTAGGTTGAGGGAGGACGAAAGAGGCGAATTCACTGAGGGGGAGTGGTTTGATGTATTCGACGAAGAATGTCAGGAGGTCTTCTAGGTCTGGGAATGTGGTGGGGCTTGTGGCTGTCAGGGTTGGATGTGTGGAGATGTAGGTCAGCATGGTTAGAAGTCGAATTCGAAGGGTGAGACAGAGGCTATCTCCGAGGGTGGCTTTATTTGTTGGTCCAGAAGTGATGGGGCCGTCTTCTCCATTTGCGTATTGCGACCGGAGGCTTCCAGAGCTGTTTCGGGGTGTGAGTCGGCGAGATGATGGAGTGCGTGTTCGCATTCGTTTGGATGGACGGTCATGTCCTCTCGAAGTTCTTTGGAAGTCTTTCCACTCATCGCCTTCATCAAGAGACAAGTCGGATTCGTCTTGCATGAGATAATCCCCGTACATTTCTTGGTCAATGTTCACGTCCCCTCTCCGCTTCTGGGATGCTAGGTCGCGACGTATAGGACCCTTGAGTTCATGGTCAAAGATGGGTCGAAACTCGTTGGTGGATTTCGACGTCCCATTGGCGAAAATGGCGCGGAGAATGCGTCTATGGTTGCCACCAGAGAGTTCGACGTACTGCCATAGTAAACTCTCTTCGGGTACTTGAGTTCGGTTGCGGAGATTCCAATCAATGTCCAAAACATCGAGCAGGAATGATAGAAACTGAGAATATACGGCCCATCTCTGGGCATAGATATCTTCTGGTAAACAGGCACAGTTGAATGCCCATCCAACCAAACTCCAAAAATCACCTGCTTCTGTCCATAGACTGTCTCTCTTTGCAAATGGCGTGTCTGGCTCAGGATCAAATGCCCGCTGCTTAGGCCGGCGTCCTTGGTCAGTCGAATTGAAAGGCGACCTCCTCTCTTCTGACGACCTTGGATCGTATCTTCGAAAGGTAAAGGCCTTGACCAAGTTGGCGTTGACGGGCCCGGCCGATTTCAGGATGATTTTCAGAAGTCGTAGAGCTGAATTAGATTGGTTCCATTTATCGCGAGAAGTGGTACGGGTCGTGAAGAGAGGGTGCACACTGATGGTCGCTGCCAGGGATAGATGGGGGGCTGAAGGAACCATCACCGGCAGATGTCTATCAAAGCAGGATAGGCTATTTGCAGTGATGGAGAGAAGGAAATTGTATGCCTGAGTGAAGAGACCTTCCTCGTAATATGTGTGTACATGGTGGGCTAATTCATATGGAAGTGGTTTGACTGGCCGATATTGAAGGGTGTCTGCCCGTGTCGTCTGGCCTGAGAAAGACTGGGTCGCAGGCGGAGAAGATAAGGGCGATGAAGCTCGCACTTGACTCATGTTGAGATAAAGGGCTTTCTGGGCATTTAGAAGCCTCGTATACTAGATCCTCAAGGGTAGACCACGTAAAGGTCTTTGGTTTGATGGTTTGACTTAACCCGTCATTGGATGAGGCGTCCCCTCGTACTGCCTTTGAGCCAGGGCGTCATCTATGTTCTCGGTGTCCTTGACATGTGGACCAGTTCTGGTCAGCCAAAAAGACACGACTTTGACACGTATGATTTAGCTGATGTAACTGATACAGGCGACGTCGATGGATAAACGCGACCAGTTGAACACGCGAGGCGGAGACATATCACGTGGTGACACAGCGCATGCGCCAAGACTTTGATTTGATTATGAGACGACGAGATCCAACATCCATTGTCAACATGACTACAGTTTACAATCAAATTGGTCTACCATAAAAGCAAGGATATCATGTATCTAGTCAATATCCGTCAAGTCCTTCACCCAAGCACTATTGCTTCTTTTCCTTTGTCTTGGCTTCATTGATTGCGTTCCCTATCTCCGGGATTGTATGGCATGAAGCGGCGTAAAGATGCGCCGTCTACCCGTCCTTGCTCCTACCAACACAGGCGGGCGATCAACTGATTAATAAGAATACTTCGACCTAGACGATCATTTCCGTTGAGGCGGAATAAAGACGCACCGTCAGGAGATAGTGGCTTCTACCATGACATATAGCTCTGGTCGACCTGAAGGTTGCATGGTAGGTTCGTTGAAGAGATTATCCAGGCCTAAATCTTGAATTCCTCGTGACAAAGCTATTCTGGCGTGATGGCCTCTCGCAAATCAGTCCTCATCACTGGGTGTAGTAAGGGAGGGATTGGTGATGTCCTGGCTCAACAATTACATCAGAAAGGCCTACTAGTATTCGCGACAGCTCGAAGTCTTGCAAAGATTGAACATTTGAAAGAGCAGGGTATCAAGGTCCTGCAACTAGACGTTGTTGACGATGCATCAATCCAGAAGGCGGTGGAACAAGTTGGAGCTGAGACAGGCGGCAAACTGGACTTCCTAATCAACAACTCTGGCGGAGGTGGGAACCCGCTCAGTCGGGTTTTTAATTTATGGCTACTAACATCTCATCCTAGGTTATAGCATGCCATTGTTGGACTCAGACCTAACCGCCGCAAAGCAACTATTCGACGTCAATGTCTTCGCTCTGGTTGGGGTCACCAAAGCCTTCTCGCGCCTACTGATCGCATCAAAAGGGACAGTCGTCAACGTTGGGTCAGGCATAGGATACGTCCCATATCCTTGGAGTGGTTGGTACAACACGAGCAAGGCGGCAGCCAATCTTCTGACGGATGTAATGCGTATCGAGCTGGGTCTTCTCGGAGTCAAAGTCGTTCTCGTGGTTTGTGGCGGCACCAAGACCAATTTCTTCAACAACTTGGTCAGTGCTCCCCAGTTGCCGGCCACTTCTCCATATATCGCGGCAAAGGAGGAAGTGCAAGAGTCAATGTCTGGTGAGAATTTCACAAAGATTGCTATGGACGCCCAGGTCGCAGTGAAGACAATTGTCGACAATATACTGAGCTCCAGCCCTACAAAACGCCATTGGGTCGCAAGCGGTTCGTTTATGGTCTGGTTCGTGTCAACGTTTGGCTGGGCGACCATTTGGGTAAGTCTCCACCCTTCATCTATCTACCCAGATAGTTGTTTGATAACGCGTTGTAGGATACGTTGATCAAAGGTCAGGCGAAGCTCGGGATTGTCCAGGAAAAAATCAATGCGGCAGCTAAATCGAAATGAGGGGGCATTTAACCGCCGAAAAGGGAGTTCAATTGGTGTCGTCGAGCGAGCTGCATGCCAGAGAGAATAGTAGGTGGCAATATCACTGTCAAATAGAACAGAAAAAGCCCAGAGCATAGCAAGCCTACAGTAAGTAGCGTTATTTAACTCGATGTCTATCCACCTCTGTCGCTGGTTTACCATCGCTGCGCTATCCATGAATAGTACGGCGAAGGTTTCGTTTAGGAAACCCTGGGCGGTGTTATCAACAGGTTAAACGTCTTGGATTTTACAAAATCAAACAACTGGGAGCCTGGCCCGCTCATGTCCGTGGCGTGTGCCTGCGACAAACCTTGCTGCATGACGATCTGTACACTGCAGGGGTTCAAGAATTCACAAAGCGCTCCAGGTTGTATCGTCCCCTTTCCAACACAACAGCGACTGGTTATACAACGCGGAAATTCCCCCTGGCAAGTCGGATTGCCAATAGACCTACGCCGCCCATCAGCGTGTCCTTGTGGAATCGAAGCCATCCCTCTTGATACATATGTCTTCGTTAGGGACATGGCCCTCAATCCACGGCCATGTTTGCTCACTCAGTTCAGTTCATCACGATCAGCCAGGGATGCCACCCAGATTGATGATCATTCCGCATTTCTCAAAATCGAATTGCAGCTGCGGAGGAGCGTACGCTTTCTTTTCACCCTGTCTCAAGTCTGCTAGGACTTCCACATTGATCAAGTTCTCTCCCGGGTAAAGGTTAATGTCGTATGCTCCTCGTTGTGAAGAGTTCGGCTCTCGATAAAGAGTACCATTGTGGGTGACAAAAACCTTGTGACGGCGACGCTGTGACAATTCTATGACATTGAGGTTGGGGATGACCCGAATCATGCTGTAACTTGATGGCAATGATATCAAGCCTGAAGTCTGGGTTTTGTCTGGTGAGGCATACCTCACAAGTTTCCATCTGGGGTCTGAGGCTTGATTTGGGTTGGTCTGAAAAATTACGGACCGAATGAGCGCGGTGAGAATATCTGGTAAGCGTGTGAGAATCTAGACTCGAACGTCGCTGTAGGAGATGATCAACATACCTTTTCCTGGATCCCGGTAACGTCGTTCGAGGGGATTCTCCGATTGCAGGGACTCTCTGCTTGTCAGCGACTTTGACTGGTCGTGGTGGACATTTCCATTAGTAAGGGGTGGGTTTCCGGGGTGTGCAGGGTCAGTCTCCACGACTGAGGTGGGCAGATGGACTGGTGCGGGAGTCTGAGACACCTTGACGGTTGCCTCAGATGACGCCGCCCCTGTGCCATTGGTGTCGGCTACTATGGTGTCTTGTTGGTCAGTAATCTCAGAGATGCTACGCCGGAAGCTAGCAGTTGCGCTTAATGGGCCTGGTGTTGAGCCATTGGCTTGGTGGGTTCTCGAGCTAGCTCGCTGAGCACGAGACAGTGCCTGTCCCATTTCTTCCTTTTGGCGCCGCAATGACTCGCTGTCGATAGTGCCGCCTGCAACGGTCGGCGTGGGAGTTTGCGAGCCCATGGTTAAGCGTAGAGCCTTCGGCCTCGATGGCTGGGACAGAGACAACTTCAAGTTAGTTCGAGGCACCGGTGCGACACCTCGCCTCTGCATCTCCTGCTCCGACCATTGCTGCAAAGGACGTCAGCCGCGACCAGGCGGTTTGCAGACAGCTTGACACTTACTTCGAGATCGTCAGCCATTCGGTAGATGTCGGATTCTTCCGTATTGTATTCCCTTGCGTTGGTCCATATCAGGCGGACTTTGGATGCCAATACATTCCAGTCGTTGATTGCACCGTTCTCGACTTGGTCACGAATGTCTTCGATGGCGATCGGCTCGGCAATGACCTTGTAGTAATCGCGATAGTCTCGTTTCGATGGCTTCTGCTCAAAGTTGCTGATGAATTGCCAATAAGCACATGTCGAGAGCTAATGGGGGTTTTCTTAGTGGTCACTTACATTGCATCCTCCTGGCTTGATAACAGGTCCAGAAACTCTAGCATCGCAGGCTTCAGGTCTTCGTCTGGAACATTGCCCAAGGTACTTGGCGTGGCCTCACTTCGTCGCCGTTTCAGATGAATCTTGATCTTTTCTGGCTGAACGAGTACAGCGTCTGAGTTGTCGGCTGAAGACTCTCTGAGTTGGTTGAGCAACTCCTGGGGTATAGGAGTAGGATATGCGCGATAATCTGGGCGGAGATATGCCGGATTGTGTTTGGGCATATAGTTTGACAACGCCTTTCGAATCCTCTCGGCGTCCTCGAAAATGGAAGACTTATTACTATTATAATCTTTTGCATTTTGGACCATTCTTTTGAGATCAGCCTCGAGCTCCTCCATATTCTGATATTGGAAGTCTTGAAGGCGTTGCTCGATCATATTCAGGGACAAGGGCATTGGGGTCTGCTGGTAATAATCTGGATAGTCGACCCTGCTGGGTAGGTCGATGAAGTGATGTGCCACATTTCGCCCATTCTTGTCTTGGGATCTCTTCAGCTGAGAGACTAGCTTGAGGCCGAGATCAGTGGTGGTTTGCGCCGATTCGACTTCGGGAAAGTGGGTGTCCTGGAAAGGTGTTGTTAGCAGGCTGGGTCAAGTAGGGTGAGCAAGGCTGGCGTTGAGTGTTGTGATGGATTGTGGTGCATGCTGGGCTAATGGCCATGATATGAATATATGATAGTGCCATGCCTGCAGGTGACTGGGTTGCAGACTGCAGACTGCAGACTGCGGACGCGGGTGTAATTGAGACTAAGGGCAGTGGGTGTTGTATGGGAGAATCTGTTTTGCACGCGTGGCGCAGGCAATGGGTGTGGTGTATTGAGGTTGATTTGATGCAAGGAAGAAACTGATGGTTGAAGGAGGGATCGAGAGACTTACGTCGTTCCGCTTGCGTCGCTTGGGATCTGGAGTGGCTGTAAAGTCCTCGGTCAAGCCTGCATGGCCGCTTCTGCGCTTCGAGCTCATGGTCGCGGGCAACTTTTGGCAAAGGGCCTTTGTCACAACAGGGAGGAATTGGGGTATCTGGCAACACGGCGGGTCTCCATGCAAAGATCGGATCGGAAAAAACCTTGGGGCAAAGAGATTCGACCAGAAATGACCATCAACAGCCTCGCCTGCAGAAGGGGGAACACCAATGTAGAAATCCACTGTCCAATTCTCCTTCGATCAATGCAGCCAGCAGCCAGAGAAACGCGTGATACGAATACCTCAATACCTCTGGAGCAGCGAGAACTCTTCGGAGCGGACTTACAATCCTCCTGGGGTTGACACGTGTGAAATTGTGTGAGCCACAATGTGGCGTAAGTTGGTCTTGAGTCTTGGCTACCTGCACCTCAAGTTTGCCGGTGCGCAGTAGTTGTCCTGTCCGTGCATCTTTTATTCGAAGCTAGAACTCCCACGCTCATTCACTACTGTTCAGAGAGTTGGAGACTTATTGGAGTTGTTTACTTTATTACAGGTCACTCAGGTGCATGTTTGTATGCCTAGGTCCCTAAGGTATCCCACGTACTACTTGTACCTAATTGATTCGTGGTTGCACCTGCACCTCGTTGGCGCGCCCGTGACTTGATCCAACCACAACCGATTACCAAGTCCGTACGTGTCTCTGCACTTCTTCCTCCACCCATCAACCCGTGGTTCCTCAACTCTGGTTTATTACTGTCTCTAACTACCTAGTACAGCAGCTTCTCACTCCTGCTTGCAGCGTCCGATCCTGGGAGACAGTACAGCTCAGTCTTCTGCAACATTCCTCCTGCCGCACGCAAAGGTGCTGCCCCTCCATTCAAGCGCGTGCCCCTGGTCGTGCATCACCCCTCACCGCAATCTGTTTATCCCACTCAAGACGCGACGAATCACTACAAGTTTCTTGGTGGCACAAGACCAGCCAACCGTTTCTCCTTGTACGCCTGAACGCTTCAAAACGCTCTTTTGCCAGCGTCGCCTGCCCCTCATATTACCCCTTCTGCGGTGTCTGTCCAGACTTGGGATTAAGTCAAGATGGGTGACATTGAGGCATCACGACGAAACAAGAAGCCTCGTCCATTGCATGATTCTGAGAGATCACGTCTCGACGAATTCATTGATTCCATCGGCTATTCGGCAAGGTCTGACCACCTGTTTTTATTTCCTGAGCTTCAACTAAGGTTGATTCCAGATACTCTGACTCGGAGTACGAGTACAGACATGTACAACTTCCCAAGGCTATGCTAAAAGCCATCCCGCGAGACTATTTCGACGAGCAGAAAGGTACACTAAAGTTATTGTGGGAGGAAGAATGGAGAGCTCTTGGTATTACCCAGGTAATGCTCTCAAAACAAAACGTTCACAGATTAGGAAGAGATGTTGACACGTTCACAGAGTCTCGGCTGGGAGCACTACGAAGTTCACGAACCAGAACCGCATATTCTATTGTTCAAGTAAGAAGGATGCCGCGTAGTGGAATGAACCAAAGACGTGCTAACCGTGACCCAGACGTCCGATCGGCTATCAACCTCCGGCACAATGATTAGTGGTTGATTGATTTCATGGTGAATGTGTGTTGACTAGCGCAGCATTGGGAACGGCGTTTTGCTTTTGTCCAAGGAATCAATGGGAGCCATGGCCACTGCGGTCTGAGCGAGCGTGCTTGATTACAATCTTGGTATGCCATGACGGATACAGACACCAGACAGTTCAGACAGTTCAGACGATTTGGGCAAGAAATTGTGTATTGTTCCAAATCAGCACAGAGAAGTTGACTCCCAAATTATACCACGACTCAGGAAGCGTCGGCCACGGTATCGTTGGGTTAACCTGATGCCAGCGCTGTCTTCTTGAGTCATCTCTGCTCATTTGATGATCCATGTGCATGTTGGGTGACGTTGTCATTGTGGAGTAGATGAATCGGGGGCGAAGTTCGATCTCGCTGGGAGGATGTCTGTCTGCTCTCAAAGTTTGATGCAATTTGGTAGATTAGGAGCTGTCGGTGATGGCGGTGGTGGAGGTGGAAGCGAAGGAGAACGTGGTCCTTTGGAGGACGGCATTGATCAGTTGGATTTCTTTTGAAAAATATCTGGGTATCACTGTTGGCTTTCAATCTGGGTACAGTGGACGTGGGAATATGGAGAAGTTGAGAAGAATATGCTGCGAGACAGGGTTTCTAAAAACATGGCATTACTCGTTGACGAGCTGAAAACGCCGGCCATGAAAGGAGAATGACAGCCAGTTCCATGACTCTATCGCGAGCCCAATGACTGTATGCGAAGAGAAGAAGTCTGATGACACGGATCAAAGCACAGAATCCTCAAGAGACAGATTCCCAAGCGACCCAACGCCCGCCCACTCAAACCGCATTCTTCTTCAACCACTCGTCCCATTGCTCCTCAGTCCAGCCTGAACTGATGGACCGTTCCTCGACACCATTAAACAAAACTGTAGGTGTGACATGCACACCGGTGACACGATTGGCCTTGACCTGGAACTTGACATCATCAGTGACCTTGTTCCCAATATTCAGACCGCCATCGGCGGCAGGCTTGTCCGGCACCACCAACAGGTCGTAGATGGTCTTCTCATCGACACCTTCAACGGAACCGGCGAGCTTGGCCAAGCGCTTATAAGTATCGTTGCGGGTTTCATTAACCACGTTGACGTCAAAGTAATCTTTCTGTGCTTCGAACAATTTCTCGGAAAACGCCCAGAAAGACTGCGGCGATGTACGGAGGACAGCGACGCCGGCTTCATCTGTAGCACAAAGACAAGAAACATGATTAAAATGGCTTGAAAAACAGATTTCGCGAACAGAGCGTCGTCCTACTTACGGGTTAAAGTTGAGGAAGGATGCCATGGCTGGATTTGCTGACGGAAGATGACACGAACCCCAGGGTTGGTGTATTTCTCCTCGATCAACGGTCGAACCTTGGTATAGAATGTCTTGAAGATCTTGGCTGAGAATGGGCAGACGTAGTCTAGGTAGATTTCAATGGTATGTTTGGCATTGGTGGTGGATGCTGTGGCTAGTAATTGACCAGCGAACTTGGGCGGGAGAGCCATGTTGGTTGATGTCGATGCTATGGGGATGGAACTGACAAAAGCAAAAGGTGCAGAACGAGTTGTTGTAAGAAGTTAGGGAATTGCTTGGATATATATCTTCTAGCAAAGCCAGTGAGGGTTTAAAGGTTGAAGCTGAAGCGATCACGTTTTGCGATCTCGAGGCAACTACTTAAATCATCAACTTCTTACTCAGCAATTCCGTCATGGAGCACTTATAAGGTGATCTCAATTAGAACATTGCATGTGATCATGCTTGAACAAGGCAATATAGCGTCATTATCTCACTTACAGTATTACTCTTTCGTTTAACCATAAAGCCCTCAGCCCTCAAGCTCTTCACTAGTCCAATTACTGATCGAAATAATGGGCACTGTTGACATGAACGATTAATGTATACGTTAATTTCTCAACCTGTCCCCCACCCCCAACCACCACCACCCAATGCTCATCTAATTGACTCGCGGAAGAATGGCGACGATGGCCAGATCTTGAAGTGCCTGACACATTTCTCTATCTCAACTACCAAAAGACCATGGAAGCTCTTGCCTTGGTGACTCGAGTATCGAGAAGCTCCTTCCTATCGACATACCTCTCCCACCTTCCCTCTCCTTGAACGCATTCAACATGTTCTTCTCACTGCTCGAGATTTTCTGGTCAACTTCGTCGCCATTACGTTCATCATCATTTGAATTATCTTCATCTTCACAACTGACGATGTCACTTCCAATTGGTTCTTAGCTCGCATCTTGTTACCTGATTGACCATTCTTTCAAGTTATGTCTAGAGGGTTTGCCCGCCTCATTCAGTTGACTCTAATTCTCTCACTGTTTAGTATCATTCTTCACTTCCTTGTTTTGGCATGGCTTCTCAAGTCCAACCTGATCCAAACGCGTCCATCAACTACCTCGTTGTACTATCACGATGGATTCTGGACAAATGTAAGCCTTTTTTGACCTACCTTCGAGCTGTCAGGCCCATCGACGCCGTTCAATTCGCACAGCTCCTATACTTCTACTTTCACGTCATTCTCGTTTGGCTACTCTCAATTGGCACTGGGCTTCGCTTTGAACTGCCCAATGAGCGCTTTTAACAAGGGCTGGTGCCGGTCAAGATCCATGAATACTCTCATCGCACCATACTAACCAGACCTCTAGGTTTCTCCCCAAAATCTACAACCAGCCAGATATCCTCCAAGCCTGAAACTCGACGGGTCTCGGAACGCATCGGCGGTACAGCACGCAACAGGGAGAAGGCACCGTCATGGCTCCCGTCGATAGGCCTCGTACCGTTGATCAAGGCGTGCTGTTCTTGGATCCCAGGAGGACGATTATTGATCGAGAGATTCGACCGCACTCCTGAGCCTGCTCGTTCAACGTATCTCGGTAGACCATGCAATCTCTGCTAGGAGCTCGTTCTACCGGATGAGATCATCGTGCAACTCAAGTGTCAAGACAGTCATTGGTTCCATCACAAATGTGCCATCGAGCACCTCCGGTCCGTGTGGAGATGCCCCATTTGCAGGGCTATGTGCTTTGCGAGAAGTGAAGACTCTGAACACTCTGAAGACTGTGAAGACTGTGAAGACTGTGAAGACTCGGGTTCAGAAAGAGTGCACTATTGGGATTAGCGTACGGTGCACGACTCGACAACTGGATCGTGTTCTCGTCACAAGGTTGAGAATTTGATGGCCCAAAAGATACAGAACCCTTTGTTTGCATCAGGCTAGTTTGAATTTGGTAATTGTAGTTGTACATAGTGCCATTGGTATAGTATAGCCACCGCTTCATCTCATACAGGTGGTTGACTTGCCGTTTTGCCCATACGCCTATCTATGCACTTTTCTGCCGGGCTCCTCCTCGATGAGCGCTCACAGCGGTCTCGATAGACTTCAAGAATTCCTCGGCTTGCAGAGTGTTGTAGGTAGGGTTGTTGATCAGCGCCTGTGCGATGTCGTCCATGAAAGGCATCTTCTGCTTGACGGGCTCGGGATATTTGCCCTTGACATAGGCTTCGGTCAGACCTTTTCGTTCATCAGCCCTTTCCGCGACGTTACTGAAACTCATGTCCTCAACCGGCACATCCTCGCCCTTTGTTGCCTTAGCCTCATCTGCCTTTTGTTGAGCCAGCTCGGTCGCCAGTTTAATGACAGTTTCCTTCTCCTCTTCGCTTTCAAAGCGAACAAACTTCCCCTTTTGATATCTCTCGACCAACTGCATCGGCGTCTGATAATCATGTTGCAGACGATGTGACAAGAACTCGATTCTTTGCTGCACACTCTCGACCAACCCGACACTCGTCAATGGCGTATTCGGCCATTCCTTGCGTAATTCTTCCAACGACATATTCTTGCCGGGGACATGATCGATCTCTTCCGTCGGATTGACCGGTGGATCGAGGTTGGTGCGCACATATTCATCAAACGCTGCGTCTGTTGATCCATCATCCTGTTCTTGTTGTGCTTGGTCGCGAGCGGCTTTGGCTCGTGCGCGGTGGATGCGTGAATCACCTGGTCGAGCTGCTCCTCCTCTTCCTCTTCCAAATCCACCTCCTCGGCCTGGTGGTCCTCTGAATCCGCCTCCTCGTCCTGGCGGTCCTCCGAATCCTCCACCACGACCTCCGGTCAAATTAATCGGTTGTAGGCGACCGGTGCCGGGTCCAGAACGGCGAAGAATGGTCGGTCCACCACCTGGTGAGGATGTGGATGAGGATGAGGATGGTGATTGGGATGAGGTCGACGACGGACCTGTCGGTGCGGGCCGTTGAGGGTTGAATTGTCTTTGAGGTCCAGGTCGAGGACTGCCCCGGCTGTTGTTATTATTGGGTCGTGTCGTTTGAATGCGTCTAGTTTCGACGGAATCTTCGGGACCTGTGGGGGTGCGACGAATGGTTGGTCCTTTATCTGGCAATTAACGATTCTTCGTTAGATATATGATGATGAATAAAAGTAGCGAGAGAACAGAAAATGTATCAAGAGCTTAACTTACCATTAGAATCGTTCTCCGCTTGCAATGTCCTTGCGGAGGAGAAAGTTCTTGAAGTGACAGCTAACGCATGAGCATGTCGGGCTCGACCGGCGGTCAGACCGAGCCTCGAACATCTCACACAGATGTTCTCCATGGTCCGGGATATATGTCTGGACCGTGAAACGGTTAGGGAACGGATGATTGAATCACAAGATTGAAAGATTGAAAGATTGTCGATGGAGCTTCCATCGACGAGTTCCGCAGGATAAATTTGGCTTGGCGCATGTTTTGGCTTAGAATCTGAGAGAGGAAAGTTGGCCGACACGCTAGCTTGGGTATGGGGAGGACCTCCTTTGTTGGCTCAGCCTTTCCATGTATCCATCCCATGCAGAGTTGAATGACAGCTACAGTCGAGTCATGTTATCATATTCAGCCTATGAACAACATAATGGATTCAGTGTGTCAGTATAGAGTCTATTCAAAAGTCGTGTGTGTGGACAAAAAAGCAAAAGGCAGGCCACTTCCAGACACATCGCTCCCACTCCTGCCTACGCTGTGATTGACAGAGCACATAAAGAAGAGTATGTTTGAGTCGAGCCACAGCTCTCTTGTATTCGTTTATGTATTGTGGTACAGGTAAAACATTTCCGGCAAAACGCCGATCATCAAAGGCCAATTACGAGAACCCATCACCGTATTAGAATCTCTCCAACCAGTGGTTTAGAATGAACTTCTACATACCTACCTAGACTAAGGCCGAGGTCACTCACACCCTTCTTAAGGAGTTGTTTCGGCCAATTCTTGATCACTGATCAAGAATTCAACATACGCAGACATCCCTTGATTCGATTCGTCAGCAAACGTTGTGGAAAGCGGGGATGCTCTCCACCAGGGACAGTTAGTTATCCCCAATTCTCCAGATCTTGTTGGAGATGATGAGGAGCAATGGATGGATGAGTGGGTGGTTATACGAGAGACTATCCAGATATTTGGTCGAAGTCTGTATATTATATAATATATGATATATCCTGAAAGGAATGCATCAAATCCCAACCCATCTATAGCCAACACCTCGAAAATCAAGTCATTCGACCTCAACTCTATCCAAGCATATATATAAAAGAATCCATCTATCCCACTGGACCTCAACACCAGGCCTGACCTTCTTGAACAAAAATAAACAGCCGTCACCAAACAAACTCTCAATCCATTCCATTCTTCACCTCGACAAAATGCCCTTCTACGAAATCCAACACTCCCACCCACTCACAGCAACTCAGAAACACACTCTCGCTCGACACATTACACACCTCCACTCAACCACGTTCCTCACACCCTCGTTGTACGTCAACGTCGTCTTTCAATACCTGGCCCCAACGTCAACCTCGACGACATACTTCCTCGCGGGCAAACCCACTGCCCACCATCCTGCAGGACCTAACCGTATCTTCGCCATGGTCCGCGTCTCGCCTCAACGTACAAAGGCTGATTTTGATGCTCTGGCCCTCAAGATCGAGAATAAATGGTATGAGGTTGTCAATGAAACTGATGGTTCTGGCGATACGGCCGAGGCTCGTGCTTCCAAGAAAATGCATTTTGTTGTATTTCATCCGATGATTGCGGCGAGAGAAAATGGTGTTACTATTCCAGATGTGGGTCTTCTCTCTCGCTCAATTGCTTAATTGCTTCATTAACTTCGCGTTTGCTAACATCTCCTGCCTACCTTGCGCTCAGGCTGGTAATGAAGCTTCCTGGCTCAAGGACAATATGCCTTACTTCAAATCCCAGGCCTATGAACATGGTGACCAACAGTTTAAAGATATGCTAGACGAAGTCGAGTCTAGGGCTGATCTCAAAGCCCTCCTCTCCTGAGCTTGTCAGAAATCATTCAAAGTAACAGCTTGGCTCAGCCAACACATGCCGTGTACTGTCGTATCCTAACAACATCAACTAGGGAAGACTTTATATAGGCGTTGCCAACGTCGTTGTCCTCCCGCTCGTGTTTTTACAAATACCCTCGATATCATACTTCAAGACATCTCCCCTGTCACTCTGCTTGTAGGCCTGACACGTGGTCATCCCATGGCTCAAACACCTTCCAGGTTGTCCACATTTGCTCTGACAATCACAATCTTTTCACCCCGTTCTCGTGCCTCCCTCTCTGGACTATCGCGCACTTCGACTTCAACTCTGACTGCACCCCCGTTCCTGGACATGCTGCGACCAATGACCGGGCTGAGGTTGAACTGCTGTGCCACGACATTTCGCGTGTCATGATCCCCTGCCAAAGATCCATGTTCCGGCTTCGTTGATCTTCTGCGCTTCGGTGTCTGCGGCTCAAATGCCTGAGGCGTATCGCTCGTCTCGCTCGTGTCCGTTGTCGGCAAAACCTGCTTCTCCGTCATCGCTTTGTGAAGCGGCGTCCGCTGTCCCCCGGATTCTAGGTCGAGTACCCGAAGTCTGGAATCTGGACCTTCCAACGACGGGACTTGGAAGGTCTGTAGGTGAGAAGGTTTGACGGATTCGAGAGCGACTTCGCTTGCCGGCGATTCTGATTTTTTCATTATCACTGTTGGGATTCGGCTGTGCCTGCGCCTCATCCGGTCTTTCTCGAGGGCCCACTTTTTGTTCTCACTATCTTCTCTTTCTTTCGCCGCCTGAGCCAACTCTCGTACTCGACTTTTCACAACTCCAGGTTCAACCGAGATATCTCCTGGATCTTGCTTGATTCTTTCTTCGGCTTCCGTGACTTTTGGTGGCGCCGGGCTCTTGTTGAAGATGTTCCACTGAAACGGCCAGCTCACAGATGTCTTGCGCAACTTCCGTGTTGAGCCATCATTCAACCCCGACTCATCCTGAATTGTCTCACAGTCGCTGTCACGTAGTTCCTCAAGACCAACGTCCTTGCTCTCATCCTCTTTCGGACGGATTAGAGATGGCAGAGTGAGAGGGATGAGAGGAGTACCAGAGCGTTCCTCAATGATATCGCCGAACGTGATCCGGTGCATTCTCGTGATTGACCTAGGTTTGGTTTTGGGAAGATGGCTATTCGGGTACAAGTGTAGACTGTCTCGACAAGACAGATCATGACTAGAAGTCTGTGTTCCCAGTCGTTCAAACATGGCAGCTTTTTGACGTATGGGGCTTAACTCAGTTGCTGCTGCAGACTTGCCTTGTTGATCACATTTTTCTCCTCCTAGTGAACCCATCTTCGGGGCTGATAGCTGCCTGGGGCGATTGGAGCTCCTCGTAACAGTCATATTCTTCCTAGCACTCTCGACACCTAAATGTGGCCAGTAGAGAGGGTCCCTGTCATCATCGTACACAACCCTTTCACTCTCCTCGCTACTCCTGGGCCTGATAGTGTCGATACTTGACCGAAGATCAGGCTTTCGGTCAAGTGATGGTTTATGTGAAGCCAAAGCGGTGTGCGGACGACGGCGTTGATAATTTCCGGACGCACCCTCGCCTGTTGCTTGATCGGAGAAGACGTCATCGTCATCATTGCCTTCGATCGCATTGTCAAGCAAGTGATTCAACTCGGCCATGGTATATGCACGTGATCGTGGCTCCATATCTCGCTTGCCCTTACTGTCACCGATTGACTTGAGACGCGACCTAGCATGTGCGAGATTTGGTGACGTTTGGGTAGCATCCCTATTGTTTCCCCCAGCGTTATGCTTGTTGCTGCTGCGACGGCTAATGGCTTGCTCCGGAGATTGGACTTGGTTGTGTTGTAGAGAGTGTCTGGGAGATGGTACCTTGCTATTTGTTGGCCGAGTCGACGATAGCTTGCGAAGAGGTAATTCAGGCTTTTCAGGTAGAGAATTCGACTTGAAAGATGGTTTCAGAGGTTGTGGTCCATGGTCTAAAAGACGTTCGTCCGGATCATGGGTATCAGGCTTCGAAGAGACCCCAGGGGCAGTTGACAACGGCTCTGTCCGGTCTGCAGCCGGGAGAGAAACCAACTCTTGCTTCGACGATGGTGGAGGCGGCAGAATGGAAGGACTTCGACGCTCAATTGGATGGGCATCTTGGAAGATTCGAATCCGATCGGCCACAGTACCGGGCTGTGGACTGGGTGAGCAGGTCAGTGAGTCATCCTCGTTGAGGAGGAGGATATCGCCCTACCTTCGACCGGTACTCATGCTTTCTGAATGCAAGGTAATCGTAGCATAAATAATTTATCGGAAAACCCGGTATGACCGAGCAACTTGGTTGAGAGGCTCGTTTGCGGCCTCGAAGACTGTGATATATCTGCTTGATGGGTAAAGATAGGTTTCAAGGTGCCGATGTAAGGCCTGAGAAGTTCTTTCCCAACTTCTGATGTGGACATTACATTCGGGCAAGAGCATCCGATGGCATGACCGCGACTTCCGTCTAGAAACTGCCTGATGATACCTGCTAGTTTGAGCCAAGTCAGACGCTGGAGCATTAGATTTATTCAATAAAGGATTGACAGGAGACTACTGCTGTTGGGACGGATAAGAAGAAAATTGTTCAGGTTAGTGGCATGGAAAGAAGATGATCGACGGAAACACGAGTCAGGGGTAGTGTTCTTGCGGAAATTCTTTTGGCTCGGGTCTTCCTCTATATGTACAAAAACATTGTTTGAACGACCGCTTTATTTCAGTGCAGCTTGGATCGACTCAAGGATCTGTTTCATAATGGTTAGCATTTTCAGGGTCCGACATGTCAAAGGCTGACACAGTTTGCACATACCTCGAGCTCAATCTTGGCCTCAGCAATGTCCTGCTCGCTACCGCTTCCATTTGCAATCTTTTGTGCTTCAGCAATCTGTGATTTGACAGCTTCTGCGCTGAACTCTTCCACTGGGTATCCTTCCACAGCATTGATGCTGAGAACCGAGTTTGGTTGGACTACGGCGAAACCTCCAGACACTATGTCATAATCCAGTCAGTTCTCTTTCTTGCTGCGGATTTGTGATATGTTGACCATGGGTTGGGGTGCTCGCGTATGTGGTGATTACGGGGACATACAAAAGAATTGTTTGCTTCCTCCTTGCTCTTCGATGATTTCCACCAAGCCGGGCTTCAACTGTTCAATTGATGGGACGTGCTGGGCAAGAATACCCATTTCTCCAGATTCGGCAGGGATGTTAACTTGGACGCTGTGACCATCGGGTTAGTAAAGAGGTGTCGTCGGGAGGACAATGAGGACGAGGCTTTCGATTCATCGTGGTGGTAGAACGTACACATCTTGGGACTTGTAAATAGACTGAAGCTATTGTCAGCAATTGTCTCGATCGTCCATGTCGAGGAGCTCATCCAGAACAGGTTGTAGGAGAGGACAGCATTGAGCGTCGCCGAGTTCGGGGTTGGACTTACTTGATGAGGGAGGGCCAGGGAGAGCTTGATCTTGTCCGAGACGGCATCAGCATAGCCTCTGCGTTGGACGGGCTTCAAGAATGATGCGGATCCAGTGCGCAGAGCTGCGCGAGAGAGACGGAGGGCGCTCATGGTGGTCGTATGTCGAGTCAAACGATCCAAATTGATTTCGCGAGCCCGGAGTTGTTCTTGCAAGCTCCAGACTTTAGCTCTACGATTTGAGGTTCAATGCCAAGCAACCTATTCTGGGAAGTTGAACTTGCTGCCTTCATATAGAAATAAGATTAGCCAGTAATATCTTTCAAAATCTGACAGACGTGAAGCGGCGACAGGTACTTTCCACATTAGTACTAGTGAGAGCCCTACTTCCTATACGCCTTCTTACTATGCTCACTCAGAGCGTTTATCTTAATATCACTGAATTCCTCCACCCATATGATCAGACGGAGAACATTGTCAGAAAGACTCATGTTTCGACTGCAGCATGTTCATATCCATATGTTAACGTGAGCGTCGTTGGTATCCACTTACCCCTACCTCCATCTAAGTAGGAAAAGTATGCCCCAAGACGGAATAGACTCTAACCACCGTCGTCAACATTCTACTCTTCTAACGCAGCATCCCTTCATAGTCCTCAAGCTATCAAGCCGAGGCTGTGCGGAATATCTCTGCCATCCATTGCTGCGACAATTTACTGCTCTTTGGGTCTCCCGGCGGAACCACCTGACTCGCATAAATGCCCGCGACACCCTTCTCTCGATGCATGAACCAAGTCAAGTTTGGATATCCGCCCCAGGTGAGTGTTCCTTTCTTGAAAGCCCCCACATCATCTCCCATGTACAATCCTCCAAGACCCCAATTCACTCCTTCTGGAGTCTTGGTCGCTCCTGTCATGGCGGCAAGGATATCCGTCGAGGCCAACAAGCCGTTGTGTGCGCTGGAACCTTTTGGAAGCTGTGGTACGAACATTTCCTTCTCGACAGTCCCACGCTTGAGCAAGACTGGCTGGTCCTTGATCAGGTCACCTAGCACTTTGACATAGTCTTGCGCCGAAGAATATAGACCGCCACCAGCGCAGTCTTCAGGCGCATAGTCAACCCATGGCTTCTTGGCTTCCGTCAACTTGCCATCTTCTCCTCTTGCGGCGGTATTGACAAGACGCTTCTGGATGTCGGGATGCTTCTCGAACCTGAATGTCGTAGAGTTCATTCCTAGCGGTGCGAAAATGTTCTTCTGCATATAATCTTCTAGTGTCGTGTTGTTGAGTCGTGCCACGATCAAACCAGCCCACTAGATGTGAGGAGTCAGGATCAGGTTACCGATCAAGATCGTATGGCCAAGATAATGAAATTCGACGACCTGCAAAGCAAAAGGGAGAGGCCAACTTACATCGATTCCTCCACTATAAGCCCAACCCTGACCTGGCTCAAAACTCAGCGGCACAGTATGCGCGGCTGCCACGACGCCATCGAGACCTTTTGGACCCTCCCCCCGAGAGGCACGCCATGCCATCAACGAAGGGGTAAAGAGATCATATGCAAGACCACTACTGTGACAAAGGAGTTGTCTCAGAGTGATCTGGTTTGAGGTCTTGGTCGTGCTCAGCTTCGGGCTGGTGATATCGCCCTCGGCGTGGAGGATTTCCAGCTCAGCAAGTTCAGGCAGGACTTTGCTGACAGGTTCATCGAGAGTAATCTGGCCCCTTTCGACGCATTGCAGCGCAGCTACCGTGCCGAGAAGTTTGGTGCAAGATGCTATCCAGAAAGTTCCATCGATGCTGATGGGCTCTGCGTCGGGCGCGACGCCATTGAACCCTGCGGCTTTCAAATACAACAACTTGCCTAATATTGAAAATCAGAAAGGATTCTCGCAATGAGGATCCTGCAGAATGAGTGGAGGGATGTCAACCCACCATTCTTGTCCACCGCTGCGAGGACACAACCGGGAACCTCATTGGCACCCCGCGCGGTGCTTGCGGCCAGAATCTGTTCGAAGTCCGCCATGTCTACCCTGATACCTTAATTCGAGTTTGTGAAGAGCAAGATGACAGATTACCAACAATCGCAAGGTTTATTGAACAGAGTTCTCAACACTCGAAAACTACTCAATTATTCACGCGATTTGACTCAGAGTCTGATGGTCTAAGTTACTGACAACAAAGAGGTAGCCTAATGAACCCAACGTTGTCAACAGTATCCAGTAATCGCACGGCCCGCCTGTCCCGTTTGTCTCTCGCTAGAGTTCAGCCTTCATTGAGGGGCAAAGAGGAGTGGTGCCTTTGGTGGCCTTCCCGAGGATACAGATTCATTAGCGTCACGAGGCCAAGTCGGAGCACCTAACCGAGGTTAGGACCACGACATCGTTAACCCTGACGTCGACAGGATGCCGGGAACAAATTGTCACAAGTCGGTTTTGGTGTAGTCATACTCTGTAATGTTGTGAATGTGCTGAGTGTGCCTTGATAAGGTTATGTGGGGTTGGTCCGAGGGGTTCCTGGGGTCCCCGTCGACTCGGGCTTCCGGGGGAGATCGTCAGGGGTGGCTTCGGGACACGGGGGCAATTCCACACAACCCCAGCGAACGTTGAGGCCTTGACTTGAATTGAGCTAGTTGATGGTATTTGACATATTTTGATGGAGCAGTGCGCATCAAATCCGCGACTTCTGCAGCAACTTTGCCTGCGCCGCGATCGCGTTTGTGTATCGCAGATACTCCCTAGTTGGCGGCAAGAGCCAAGTCGTGCTGTTCGGACGTCGCTCTATCGAAGGAGCATGTCCGCCTCTCTCGATGGCTTTATCAATGCAAAAGAGGTGGATGCATCGACGTACGCTTTCTTCATCCAGCCAGATCCTTTCCTCAAGAGAATTCCAGTCTCCCAAAGAAGGTGATTCGCCGTCCACGACAGCTATGTCCACAGGATAGGCCAGGACGGAGGAGGTGAAATCCAAATCCACATCCGCGACATAGGTCGCATTGGTTGTTGTGAATTCTACACATGACCCTTGACTCACATATAAAGCTCCTTCCAGCCAGGAGGCAGTTTAAACACCTCAAAGTCGTCATCCACCTTTTTATTCAGTGGATTCTCATCCATTCTCGATATTCCCGTCGCATTCTTCTCCCAGCGATCCACCAGCCCCACATCCCAGTCTTGAAACTTTCGTGCTGATTGCGGCAATATTGACGAACTTTCGTGCAGCGTTGTGTTGAAATCGTCAAAGTCTTCAGGCGGAACGACAAGTTCTTCGTGTGTGTTGCTGTTGTCGTCGATAAACTTAGCCGGCTCCGGCAAGGATTTGTAGAAGACCTTCATCGCTCGATGAGCTGTAGGGCCACGACTCGAGCTTGAGTAGTAGATGTCGGGGTTGAATATCCAAAGGAGGAGACCATCCCGACTTCGGTGGGGGGCATCTGGCGTATCATCATGCAGCACGACTTTACGGCTGATGGAGCTCTCGATGAGGGACAGAAGTTGGCTGCAAATGAAGACGGCAGCTGCGTATTGTTGTAGAGGTTCGTCAGAACTGGGCTTAATTGACAATCGAGACTTGTATAGTCTAAAACTATTCTCGGCGTCTGGGCTCTTGGAGCCTAGCACCGACTCGCAGCTTGCGCAACGGACAATCGAGTAATTCGACTTGGATGATTCTTCCTCCTGCGAGATATTCTGGTCAGCAATGATGTACCTCCTCATCTTCCCTCTGAGCTGCAACTTCCAACGACACAAAGGTGAAACATGGGGCAGGTCATGACTTGGCAAACATCAACCATCTTATCTATTGACAGGAGGTTGAAGACTGCCAGCCACAAAGATATATACAATATCGACCCGGTCATTCTTTGGCGGTTGTATCAGAACTCGAATCAACGGTAATCTCCAGGTTTGGAGACTGAAAGAGTTCTTTCTTTGCGCCATTTCGGTAGCTCAGCCCAAGAGGAAATCCTCTTGGTCAGCGGAACAACAGTCATCATCGCCATCAACATACCTTTAGATTTTTGCAGTCCTCCCCATTGATTAAAAATGAAACCGTGTCAATCAAGCCCACGCTGGGCTTTGCTATCGTCTTACTCTTTGCCGAAAAGCCTTTCGATTCAGCAGCGGCCGTGGTGGTAGCACCATGTTCTGGATCCTTATCATCATGAGGCTTGTGACAAAACCAAATATCCATCAAGTCGGCCCAGTGATTGCTAGGAAGATCTTTCCATTCGTTGATTTTCCCGGCCGCCAAAATCTCGACTCCACAGCCTTTGCATTGCAAAGCGAGTTTCGTCCCCGTCAAATCGCCAGCCGACCAGGGAACTTCGATTCCTGACACATTTTCCGAAGTCGATTTCAATTCATCGAGATCGTCAATCTGCAATCGTGCCGAAATCTCTGTCTTGCGATCATATGGGAAGGTGACGTTGGCTGTACCCGAGATCTGAGTGGGTAGGTAAATACTGGACGATTCGCCCTCATGCAGTGCAGTCACGATGTGTTTGTCCGAAGAGATCAGGATTTTGGTATGTTCGTTCTTGTCGGTTTCTAAGGAAGCGTAGAGGGTCAATTGGCGGATATGAATCAAGATTTCGGCGTAGAGATAGATCTTGGGTTTTGGCATGATCGATCTCTCTAAAGAGCAATATTGGGCTGATGTTCTGGAGGGACTCTTATAAGGTGAGATATGGGACTCAGTCAGGAACCCTAATTGCCCAGGGTCGTCGTGATTTGAGGCCCTGGCGACAGTGTTGACGACTCTGTGGTTCTCTCGTGGCAAGCGTTGTTAGTTCGTCGTTTAGGAGGGGATCTTGTCCTTAACAAAGGAGGTCATGCGACTTTAGCCCCTCCTAGCCAGCCCGACAGGTACTTGCTATCGATATGAAAGCGCGTATGCCCTGCTTAACAGGACTCCTCATATGACTGGATGTATCATACACGAGAGTGTTGGGTGGCAAAGTCTCTCGTCGCGCTAGATGGTTGGTCTGCTGGGACTCGAGCTGAGGAAAAGGCAATATCTCGTCCCTGGGAGAAGCCAGAATGCCGGACAACTACCCATCTGAGGACAATAGTGCTCTCGAAGGCGCCGCCGTTGTCAGGAGTCGTTGGTAACGTTGAAACTCAGGCGACGAGAAGTCTGATGGTGGTATTCTTACTCTGCCGTACTACTGCCCAACATAATGACGGCAACGCAACTCTCTTGCTTGGCTTGGATTGACACGTGATATTCAGTGTTCCTTTGTTTCGGTCTTCAGTAGGACGCGACCTCCACGTTCGTTCATTGACAACCTTCATCCCGTCAACCCAAAAGAGACGAGCCATGCGATCACGCATGATGCCTGCCGATACATACACCTGGTGACAGGACGATTTAATCCACTATCGAGACAACAAAATTTGTGGCTTGGCGTGGCGGATGCACGTATACGAAAGGGGTTGTCCTCCCCCAAACCCAGAGACTAATGTATGCATTTACTTTGACAGGTAGATCAGCCACTCGCTTCGCGTTTCTCGTGGAGATAGCTAGCGCTGGCGATGGCGACAAAGAGAATCGACTGTATCTACATATAACAGCGGTAACGATTTGACCCGATGAAGCAGCATGTTGGATGAGACATCATACCGAGACTCGTTTCGACATAGGGCATGGATAGCCGGGGCTCCATTGACTCAACACGAGGTGGTTTTATCTCGTATCAAGATACGACTAAGGTAGTCGCCAACAAGCCACTGGAGGAGATATGAGATGCGAGATGTGAACTTCGGTAGGTGCGGGAACTTGTGACTCCATACTCCTTACTATCTGCTACTGCCGAACTTGTACGAGTATGCATCTCTTGGCCTCGCCAGTTCATGCCTATTCAACTCTCAACTCGGTGTGCATTGCATGGAAGTTGGCGCCTTGGTTTCGGTAATCTCCAGACGTCAAGGTCGGTTCGACGTGGATGTTTACCAACATGAGGTGCGGACCGCGCCAGTGGCCTCCTCGTTTGGCTGTGATGCATTTCTGGCAAGGCGAGATCGCCACTAGCGTTGGGAATACGAGGTGTCTGGCCGTCAGGATCGCAGATCAATGCCAGGTCTAACGAAGGCGTTGAACGCTTTGGTGGCTTTGCATATTGAGAAATGCTTCATTGTTTGCAGCTTACGCGGCAGGGTTGATTATCCTTGACCTGATGGACGTCTCTGTGTGGTTGAGGAGAACACTCGAGACTTGCAAAAACGATCACATTCCTACGGCAGTGCTCTTGGTCTGAGACTTCATCGTGCGCTTCGTTGTTGTCTCCCATTAAGCAAGGGGCTAAACACTGGGTGTGGATCCCCCCTGATCTGTGTGAGTAGAAGCCATGAATCTGTCCTTTCGATAACCAATATCACGCGACAAACTTCCTACTCATCCACAAGCGGAGATCGGAACGTCCATCATTCTCCACCTTTGACCAAGATCAAGTACCCGAAAGTCTTGTTGAAGTACAGTGTTTCAACAAGGCCAACCACACTTGTGACAACGTACTCCTGGGATAACCCAAACTTCGTTTCCCTTTGCCTTGCATTTGGGGCACCGCACGCCATTCATCTTTCCATATTTAGTCAGCCTCGGTGCTTGGTTGTGGTAATGGACTTCCAAATCACAACATACCGGTCGCTCACGGATTCCTGTGCTAGGCTTGCATTTTGGAAGACTACTTCCGATCAGCTCCTGCTTGACCTCTCTTGGGTCAGTACGTGGGCGAGGGATGGTCATTGTGAATCTCAAGTGGACCTTTCGAATCGAAGTAAAGTCTGAGTGAGAAAAGCAAGGTTTGGAGATGGTGGAAAGGTGCAAGTGAAACGCAGAGGAATCAACTCTGCTTTATAGCTCGCTGATATACAGCATGTATTTGGTTTGTTCCATGGCCACTTCCCTCATGAGAGGGGTGTCTAAGCGATCAACTGTTCCAAGGCAGGCTCAACACGAATCATGAGATGTGCGGCTTGGATCCAGCCCTTGCTACAAGCGTGTTTGAAAGAGATGGTGCGTCATGTCAATGATGCAAAGTTCCTTTTTGAGTACGACTCCCGGGAGTTCGGTGATCAATGGATATCGCTGATAGCTCTAAACCGACAGAGCGGTAAATCAGATCTCTAGCATAGCCGCTGGTCTTGTGACACTCGACATTACCAAGGGCTTGTGTGCGACTAGTGCTGTATCTTGTCCTCCTTAGTCTGGAATGTCAGTGCGTATTTGCAAATCTTCCCCAACTTTTGATCATGGCGCTGTAAGAACAAGATCGAATTCAGCCCTCTACTGGGTATTGCAAGCAGCAGGACGATAGAAGTGAGAAAGATGGCACAGTCAGAAGTTTACCGCGGTGCAGACGGAGATGATTAGTGGGACCAGCTTAGGCGAGGCTGCTCGTGATGGTGTTTATTGGCTTAAATCAATGATGTTCCTGGAAAGGTGCATCACTGATGACGGCGACTCTTTACCTCACAGTCAGCTGTGGCGATTGGAAATGTTGGAATTCCGGTGTAAGAGTGAAAACAAGGTAGGTAAATGTCTAGCTTCGACAGGCGATGTCGCTGTACATTGATGCTTCGTCAAGGGGATTCCCAGTGTCTCTAAGGGCGGTTAGGTCGAATTAGAGTCGAAGAACTCTCCGAAGGTGACTTGGCTAGGACCAAGTTTATTGCCGGAAATGTTTTTGAGAGTGATCGCGGAATCTGATTCGTGAGGGTTAGCTTTCTCCACTATGGTTCGGTTGGAAGTCGTGTTTGAAGACAGTCCAAGACATGCCAATTGGACGAGATGAGCGATATAGTCGAGAGATCAGGTGGGCCACTTCGGTCGTTTTGCGGGTTTCCTTTTCGGTCAAGAAAGCACTTTTGATATGTGGACCAGTAAGGCGCCGGGGGATGGCATGCCCGTCGCATCGAGTAAATGAATAAAACGGTAACCAGACTGAAGGCGGTCAAGTCGAATACAGGCCCATGCCAGTAAGGTATTTTTGGCCATGGAACGATCGTCCTTGATCTTCAACCTAATAGCAACAATTAGCAGGGGTCAAAGGTCAGTCATCGGTCAAGGCACGACATGACTGGTCACAATGTCAAATCCAGAAGGAATCCAGAGGCGAAAGAAGGAGGGCCAGGACGTTGTGTAACGAGATGGTGTACTATTTCCGAAGCGACCAATTGTCGCACGCGACGGCGTTCACACGGCTCATCGAGTGACATATCGTTATCAAGTCTCGGAATCACATGCGGCAGTGGGAGAAATGTCGACATGTCTCTGACATTCCGTGAGATTCTCTGGAAGAATTGTGCCGCTGGTGAGCATCGAACCAGGTGGCAGGTCGAAGATCTGGCTAGGGCCGTGAACCAGTGCAGCCAATGAACCAAATGCGGTCGGCATGGATTGCCGATTTCACTAGGAATGGCAATCACTGCAGGCCCAATCACGTTCTGTCTGATAAGATGGAATGCCTTGGGCTCCCCAGGTAGTAAGAACGAAGCGGTCATATGGAAAACCGGTCACGCGTACAGATGCATGAGTGCGAGGGGCGCCATTCATAAGCAGACCCGAAAGGCGATTCGAGGCCAATGAAACAAAGCACACGTACCTGAGAAAGCTCAATTCGTCCATGAGGTCTGGAACTTTAAGCCAGCTTACAGCTTCGCCGGCAAAGTCGGGATGTTGTGTTCTATACGAAGCAGATCTGCGCTTGAAATTTATCTCGTCAAGATCGTCCCCACCGGAAGTATTGCCGTCATATCGAGCGCCGCCTTGACCAGGGGGTCCGTGAGTGTCGACATGCAGTTGAAACTTGACGTAAGGCTTGATTTTCGAACCATATGCAGCGTCTTTGTCTGCCGGTAGTGGTAAGTTCTGTGCTGCCAGAAGGATGATGGTGAGATCCAAGGTACGTTTAGCCGGGCCACCCGCTGATTTGTCGATGAGTAATTTGTCGGGACGCTCTGTGCGATATCCATCGGGCTTGAGGACCCAGCCATGGGTGCCGGCGAACATGCCCTGGTTGAGCATCATGCCCTTGTCCAGCTTCTGCCAGTTCAAGGCCACCATTTGAGCACCCTGTCTCCAATGAAATGTTGGATCCACGTTAGAACTGCTAATTCGAGTTCCCTTGGGAAAGACGCGCATCAGAAAGTTCTTGTTATGTTTAAACAAGGCAGGACCATTCGCCGGGTCGGGGTGAATGGTATGCATCTTGTTCTCGGACAAACTAAACACGTGGGTTGGGAAGGCGGCTTCAGGTTGGGAGAAGCTTTTGAAAGTATAGGCGCGAGTATATATTCCAAGCTCAGAAAGCGCAGCCAGTACCTTTTTTGCCTTCTTTTCTGAGGCAGAGATGACGCCGTCATCCTCGACAGTACCTTCGGTGGAATTGCTTGTGATCTGCTCAAGGGGATTGTTAGATTCCCCAGTCTGTGAATTTGGAGTCCACTTGACTTTGATTAGAATCTTGGATCTCAACTTGTCGGGGCTGGGCAGGATGGGGATATCAGAGTCGCAGCCAATGTCGACCAAGAGACCTGCCCAGATATCTTTCATGATTTGAACCATGACTTCTTGCTGAGACAGGGATGCATGTACCTCGAGTGACACGATCAAGGGCAGATCGGTGCTCACAAAGGCAGAAGCTCGAATGGCATGACAGACGGAGCGGAAAGTGACTGGCTGGGTGAGTGTGTAGCCATGGTAGACACGCGGTTCGGGCTTGATAGGAAGTGCTGGTGATTGCTGGGGCGAGAGATACGCAGGATTCAAGGCAGATCCCTCAGAAGTGGATTTACGAGGTCGCGTGGTTGGGGGTTGAGGATGTTCGGGCACTGGGGCATCACCCCTGGGTTCGGCGGGTGCGTGGTCATGGCTATGCAAAGCCCCAGACTGGCTACGTGACCGTGAGCGCATCCGAGAGGCTTTAGCCCTAACTCTGGTCCATCGAGAAGCCTTTGAGCTAGAGCGTTCTCGCCCACCACTCCTTGGTTGGTTTCCGGGGTAGCCCTCTTGATCAGAATCACTGGTCTCAGAGTCGCTACTATCACCGTCCCAGACATCAATCTCGAGACAGCGGCATCCACGATTGAGGACGTTTGTGTAGGCATCCCCGCTCGCTTCTCCGTAAAGTTGGTGGCCGGACAGATAGGTGTTGTGGCTAGAGCTAATATAGTAGGACGGTATGGGATAGGTCAAGTCCTCAGAGACCCATGCAGACATGGCAGAGGAATCGGGGGTGGCCATGTATGAGAGGAAAGAACTCTCAGTGGGGAATTGGTGGCCATTTTGAGACTGGTTGGTGGGCTGTAGAGATCGGTAGGCTCGATTTAGATGTGAGAGTACTGAAGGAGAGAATGGGGTGAGGGAATAAGTGGTCGACTTGACCAAAGGTTGGGCTCGTCCTGCGGCTCGAAGTGGAAGGGGATGGTCCGTGGTCTGGTTGTCGGCAGTGCTTGTAGCTGCTGCAGCGGCCATGATCGTAAGGCTTTCCGAACTTGGGTGTTTATGGAGGACACTGCCCTGAGGCGGTTCAACTGGGTTGGAAGTAGGAATTGAACAGGCAGCCGAAGGGGTCAAGGGATGGGTCTCAAAGATGGGCGCAGGGCGCAGGACGAAAGAAGTGGTTCCCTAATCTTATACACACCCAAGGGTGACCGTTGAATTGTGTGTGTTTGATCTTGATCGGCAGTGCCCAATGGTCGAGCGAGGTAGTGACACGTCACCCTAATGTCGGTGGTTGAAGGATCTGGAGGAACGGAGAGGAACGACAGCCGTACATACTTGGAGAGAGCGATGTCGACCTGGAGCGGTTCAGCGGCGCAATGATTCAAGCGAGGAATGGCGAGAAAGATTGACAAAGTGGGCTTGCGTACTCTGGCAAGTGATGATCCTCTGGCTGGACATGGTGAATGGGTCCAAAGTGGGCGATTGATCGAGAAATACCCCAGGTGGGGTGGTTTGAAAGGAATCAAGATCTTAGATGAGATGGCGTACGCCAAGTACTTTACAAGATAAGTTACTTCGTAGGCATTGTAGGTTAGATCTGTAGGTAGCTTAGGTACTAAAGACAATGGCAAGCCTTTGACCCGGAGACCACCTAGAAACAAAGACGACGGAGGATTCGGGGCACCACGGTATACCTGAAGTCTCTGTCTAATTGATAAGTAGGTACCTATGTACTAAGATCATGTTTGAATCTTGACAATGGTAGTCACGCCAGTCTCACTCCATTCCTTCCCACCTTCCCCAAAGCCTTAAGGCTTCCCCTCCCCCACGTGACGTATGTGCGACCCAGATCCCAAACTCCCAACTCCATTTCCAAAGTCCAAGCACTATTGTTTGATGCTTGCAACACTACTGTATGTTGTTACAAAAAAGTCAACTATAGTGCCGCAAAGACTGTCCTCCCACAAACATGCCCGCCAACACATCGAGTCGCTCACAGGATGAAGAGAGTGTTCGCGGGTGGGGATTTCACCACGTCTTCACCTGGAATGATTCACCACGAGCCCACTACCCGCCCCATTCTCATTCGGGCCTAACTACACATTTGATTCGTCGAGGGACAATGACAATCACATATCCCAACGATGCTAATCCCACAAAAGAGACATTCGGTGTCGGGTCGAGGATCGACGTGGCTGCAGGCAAGGTCCACGAGGTTTGGATTGGCGATCAAGGTGCGTTTCACCTGTCTCACTCAAACGCCTTGTTTCCCGTACAGCCTGACCCGAACGTGACACAGGCTGCGAATATGTCATAGGAGAATAGCAACGTGTCGCCGTTCAGGCTCGATCGAGACCTCATGGGTGCTGATGTAGAATAATATTTTTTACACTGACAATATGCGATAGCTAAATTCATTGTCTTGCGCAACCCTCTGCTGACCATGGGTCTCTCAAGACTCCTGTGCTCAGCACAAGCCAGCTGACGACCATCTGAGACTAATATGTTCTCTTGAATGGAGGCACCGCCTTGCACTCGTTCTCATCCAACGTTGTACCAGTCACGGCTCGGTAACCCAGCTCGACCTTGCCGTGAGGAGTCTTTTGCCACGACAGGGTATGCTTCATCCAGTTCTCATCGTCACGATCGGGATAGTCCTCACGGGCATGTGCGCCCCGTGATTCCTTGCGGTTGGCTGCCGAAGCTGCTGTTTGAGTTCTAGTTGCCAATCAGTACAATGTCCCACTATTCCATTTGGTGCTTTGCATCACTTACGCGCAGGTCAACAAATTCCTCAACTCGAGGGCCTCAACCAGATCAGAGTTCCAGATCATGCTACGGTCCTTGATACCAATTTGATCGTACTGTTGGTCGACCTCGTTGATCTTGGTCACACCTTCATCGAGGGACTCTTGCATTCGGAAGACACTGACATCGGTCTGCATGGTCTTTTGCATAGCAGCTCGAATGTCGTTGGTGCTCTTGGGTCCACTGGAATTGCGTACTCGATCGAGAACCTCGATCGAATCGGCGCCGGCGTCAGACGCAAGAGGCTTGAGAGGAGCACCTGGTGAGAAGTTGTCCCTGATAGTGTGTGACACGGCTCGTCCAAAGACAATCAGATCCAGTAGCGAGTTGGCTCCCAATCTGTTGGCTCCGTGCACAGACACACAGGCGGCTTCACCACAAGCAAACAGACCGGGCACGACCTGATCCTTTCCTTGATCGTCGACGCGGAGCACCTCTCCGGTGTACTTGGTGGGGATACCTCCCATGTTGTAGTGCACCGTTGGTAGAACGGGGATTGGCTGCTTAGTAACATCCACGCCGGAGAAGATGGACGCTGTCTCAGAGATGCCAGGGAGTCGCTCGTGAAGGATCTCAGCGGGCAGATGGCTCAGTTGTAGGTAGATGTGATCCTTTTCTGGACCGACACCACGACCCTCACGAATCTCCATGGTCATGGATCGCGAGACGACGTCTCGCGATGCAAGATCCTTGGCGGTGGGTGCATATCGTTCCATGAATCGCTCACCCTCCGAGTTGAGGAGATATCCACCCTCACCACGGGAACCCTCGGTGATGAGACATCCAGCGCCATAGATACCGGTGGGATGGAATTGTACAAACTCCAGATCCTGGTTAGGCAGACCAGCACGTGCGACCATGGCCATACCATCACCAGTGCAAGTGTGTGCAGATGTGCAGCTGAAGTACGCACGCCCATATCCACCAGTGGCCAAGACGGTGTTGTTAGCTCGGAAACGGTGAAGGGTGCCATCTTCTTGATTGTATGCCAAGACGCCCTTGCACTCGCCATCCTCCATGATCAAATCCAGGGCAAAATATTCGATAAAATAGTTGGTATTGTAATTCAACGATCGGCCATAGAGCGTGTGCAAAAGAGCGTGGCCCGTTCGGTCTGCTGCAGCACAGCATCGGTAGGCTTGTCCACCCTTGCCATACTTCTGCGATTGACCGCCGAAAGCTCTCTGATATATCCGGCCATCCTCAGTTCGGGAAAAGGGGCAGCCGTAGCCTTCGAGTTCAATGACGGATCGGGGCGCTTCTCGAGTCATGTAATGGATCGCGTCCTGGTCGCCGAGCCAGTCAGAGCCTTTGACGGTATCGTACATGTGCCATCTCCAGTCATCCTCGTGCATGCTTGGTGCGGTGTCAGTGCAGCTCCTATAAAGAAATCCAGACAACTCACTTTCCCAGAGCAGCGTTGATGCCACCTTGCGCCGCGACGGTATGACTTCGTGTAGGGAATAACTTGGTTATGCATGCGGTGTTAAATCCTGCTTCCGCTAGGCCGAAAGCTGCTCTGAGACCAGCTCCACCAGCACCGACCACAACAGCATCATACTCGTGATCCTATACAGTATGTGATTAGAACGAAGGCCAGCCATGGAGGACAGGATGAGGTGACGAACAATGACCGGGTATGATTTTCCAATAGGACCTTCTGCAAGCTTGGCTCTTAAGGGCGACGAAGTGACCAGTCGTGCTAAAGGAACGGGTGTCAGTCGGAAAACAGCTGGGAGGGACAGACATTCTGCATACCGGTCGGTCTCGAAGAAGAAAATTGTCGTGTGTTGGATTTGAGGGTGCGAGAAGAGAACTGCAGTCGGATCAGGGCCGGAACTGGGCGTGGGAGACTGGTGTGTGCATACCTTTGTGGAGGGAGCCAGGCTCCTCAAGAAGGCTGAGCTCATGGTTGCGCAGCTTTCAAAACACGCAACGTGGTGTGGGAGGGGAGACTGAGTGAACGAGGTGGACAGGAAGAATGGTGAAGTCGATGGCGTCGATGATTCTTCGATTTACTAAGTTAGCTTTGGGCGACGCCCGAGCACCACCGCGGCAGGAGCGAGCACCTGAGGTTGGCGGAGGACAGCCTCGGAGGGCTCTGGGCCAACGGAGATTCAGCCAATTAGATTTGATTCAATATCAGCATCATCTCTCCCACTCAGAAACCTTCCTAACTGCGTTTTGGACTAGCTCTCAAGTCGCCATTCTCGAGATTGTCTACTCCAGTCTCGACTCTAACTAGGTACTTCATACATCCAGACATTTCCTTGTTTTTGGCTCTTCACCTGCCTGGCCACACACTGGCCTTTATCCGTCGTGTGTCCCAATCTGACCTTGGCTCCTGTGCTCAAATCTTGCCCGCTTTCAATACCTTCAGAATTCCGATTCGGCGGGAGATCTCGGAGACTGCTTCCATTGGCACAATCCTCTGCGAGCACGCCCACTGCTACGGTACACATCGAATAGGAGCTCAGACTCAAGGGCACAATATGGAAAGATAGACAACAGATAAATGTTGACGGCCAGACCGCCAGTCTCTTTTCTCTGATAGATTTACTATGGTACAGTGACCTGATGCGCCAAAATGCAAACGCTCGTCTATCGAACACAATGTGGATTCTTTGCCACGTCTTAATTATATTGCATATCTGAAGCCATGGTCAGTCATTGCAGGTTTTGCAAGGAGGGTCTTCACTTACACGTAGAGGTCGAGTTGAACTTGTGGTTGCCCCTACAGTCACCGTGGTTAGTTCTGCGCATCAATCACTTCGAATTCGACTTACTTGATGACCTTTTCCACTGCAGCAAGGAAGTCTTTCTCTGTAGCAACCTTCCGCCGTGCACGAATTGCAAACATGCCAGCTTCAGTGGCGACACTTCGAAGCTCGGCTCCTGTAGCGTTTGGACAAAGACGACTAATCAGCTCCCATCGAATATCCCTCTCAACGCTCATGCTCTTTGCGTGCTGTAATACATCTATTTAGCGTGTGCTCGCAGCCGACAACGTGGGGACACGTAAGAAGAACACTCACAATCCGAAGAATGTTTGCCCTGCCGTCGAGGTCCGGCAGAGAGAACTCGATCTTTCGATCAATTCGACCAGGTCTCATGAGCGCCGGGTCTAATGTCGACGGTCTGTTCGTGGCAAACATGACTTTGATATTCCCTCTTGAGTCGAAACCATCGAGCTGTGTGATCAGTTCCAGCATGGTTCTCTGCACTTCATTATCACCACCGGCGCCGTCATCGAACCGCGCACCACCAATGGCATCGATTTCGTCAAAGAAGATGATGCAGGCCTTCTTCGTACGAGCCATTTCGAAAAGCTCTCTCACCATTCTTGCCCCTTCGCCGACATATTTCTGTACCAGCTCGGAGCCGATAACTCGAATGAAGGTTGCATCCGTCCGGTTGGCAACTGCTCTTGCGCATAGCGTCTTACCAGTTCCTGGAGGACCATACAGAAGAGCACCCTTGGGAGGATCGATGCCCAGGGTGACAAATCGTTCGGGGGAGAGAAGTGGCATTTCTACAACTTCTCGCAGCTTCTCAATCTGCTCCTTGCAGCCACCAACATCACCATATGTCACATCGGGCTTCTCTTCTACCGTCATCATCGTAACTGAAGGATCGATCTTGGGTGGCAGCGGGAGCATGATGGAATATTTCTGACGGTCGACCCCTACGCGCATGCCTTCCTCGATATCCGTCGGACTAACACGCTCGCCGAGATTGACCACAAACTTTGCGATCTGCTTGACATTGATGACATATTTTGATTTTTCACTGTCCTTCTCGTCTTGGATGATTTTGGTGCACCGGGCGACTTGTAGGGGTTGTTCCTCAGACATTCGTTGTCGGTCGGCGGCGACATCCCATAGATGAGGAGGGGCAAGGCCAGTGTCGGATTCTTTGACGCCGATCTTCTCATTAACGCTCTGCTGTTTCTCCTTGATTTCCTTTTCGAGCTTTTTGAGGGCTGCAGCATAAGGCGCCGCACCGTATGTCTTCAGCACTTGGATATCCCTGGTCACGTTAATCATTCAATCACCCACATCGGGGAGCACATACTCATCTGTGAGTGGCGTGATCTTCTTCTCTGGAATCTCATCATCGGCAAAGTCCTTTTTGTACTTCTCCCAGCTAGATCCTGTGGCACTCGGCATCTTGAGGCCGACTTGCACTTATTGGGGCGACGGGAGGTGGAGGGAGGCGAGGCAATGAGGCGGATTCGGGGGACGGGATGGCGAGAGCAGGGGAGTCAAAAAGAAGGATTTCGGATGGTTATGGAGGATAGATTGATGGAGACGGCGAGCTGGGGATGTGTTAATGAAGGACAAGTATGAGATGACAGTGATGTGGATGGAGATGCGAGCGACGCAGTTGTAGTTGCAGACGCAATGTTGACTTCCGTAATCGCTGCTGTGCCTGAATGCAAGGTGCAGCCACAGAAGTGGCGCGTGAGCCACTCAATCCCACGTCTATGGCAATCACGTGTCTTGCACCGTCCCCCGGGCGCGCCTGCCCTTCAAGATCTACGGATTAGCCACAGATCCACCTCTCCAACTTTGGAAATATCGGTTCATGGTGGGCTGCGAATTTCAATTACCAACAATCCCCCTCTGCCTGTTCTAAAGCGACATCGACACAACAGGATCTAGCACATCGCAACAAGCTAGTCGATTGCCAAATATCCCTGTCTACCTTCCAATTGCTTTGCCCTCAAATCTCCTGTCAAGATGGCTGCGGCCTTGGGAATCCAAGGCAATGTGGGAAATGCCGCCTTCAAAGTGAGTCTGGAAATCTATACGAATGGAAGCAAAGACTAACTCGATACAAGGACAAGGAAAAGCCCATGGCTGTCCGAAGTGGTAACATCATGGCTGCCCGAGCCGTCGCAGATGCCATTCGAACGTCACTAGGCCCGCGGGGCATGGATAAGATGATTCAATCAGGCAAAGGCGAGAACTTGATCACCAACGATGGAAACACTATGTTGAAAAGCATGAGCGTCATGCATCCTGCTGCAAAGATGCTAGTCGATCTCAGTGCCGCCCAAGACGTTGAAGCCGGCGATGGCACCACTTCAGTCGTGGTTATTGCAGGGAGCCTCCTTGGGGCCGCAGACAGGTTGCTATCCAAAGGCATTCACCCAACCATCATCTCCGAATCCTTCCAACGAGCTGCAAAGGCTGCAGTCGATATTCTACACGACATGTCCCAACCTATATCCCTCTCCGATCGCAATACTTTGTTACAGGCCGCTTCTACCTCTCTGTCCTCAAAGATCGTCTCGCAGCATTCTGGGCTTCTAGGCCCCATCGCAGTTGACTCTGTGCTCAAGACAATAGATACCAAGACTGCAGATAACGTGGACCTGAGAAACATCCGAATCATCAAAAAGGTCGGAGGTACTATTGAAGATTCAGAGATGATCGACGGCTTGGTTCTCAATCAACCAGTGATCAAGAGCAGCGGCGGACCTACAAGAATAGAAAAGGCTCGAATCGCTCTCATCCAATTCCAACTCAGCCCTCCCAAACCAGACATGGAGAACCAGATCGTCGTCAATGATTACCGACAAATGGACAAGATCCTCAAAGAAGAACGAACATATCTACTCAACATGGTGAAGAAGATCCAAAAGGCGAAATGCAACGTATTACTAATCCAAAAGTCGATTCTCCGAGATGCTGTTAACGAGCTGTCACTCCATTTCCTGTCCAGATTGAAGATCCTCGCCATCAAAGACATTGAGCGGGACGAAGTCGAATTCTTGTGCAAGAGTACTGGATGCAAACCCATTGCCAACATTGACACATTCAGCGAGGACAAGTTAGGAACTGCAGACCTAGTGGAAGAAGTTCAGGCATCAGGTGCGCGATATGTCAAGATTTCGGGCATTCGGACGTCATCTCCTCAACATCAGACCGTGTCGGTGGTCGCACGGGGTGCAAACACACTGATTCTGGACGAGGCCGAGCGTTCCCTGCACGATGCTCTCTGTGTGATCCGTTGCCTGGTCAAGAAGAAGGCACTGATTGCAGGCGGTGGTGCACCAGAGATTGAAGTTGCGCATCAGTTGTCCAAGCGAGCGCGAGAGTTGACTGGTACCGAGGCCATTTGCTGGAAGGCTTTTGCCGATGCGATGGAGGTGATCCCAACAACATTGGCCGAGAATGCCGGATTGAACAGTATCAAAGTGGTGACCGACCTCCGACATCGACATGATCAGGGAGAGAAGAACGCCGGTGTTAGCATTCGAAGTGGAGGGGTCAAGAGCAACATTACGGATGAAAAGGTGCTGCAGCCACTGCTTGTGAGCACGAGTGCAATCGAGCTAGCGGCCGAGACAGTCAAGATGATACTCCGGATTGACGACATTGCATTGTCTCGGTAATTTCGATAAACACAAGAAAATAGAAAAGCTACTGAGCAACATGCTCGACTCACGAACGATGATGCTCCTTTCCGGAAACGAGACAGCCTTTACGGATCAGCTACCTGTACCTACCGTGTTGTAGCTATTGTTCTTCCCTTGAAAGGTCATAGGCGCGCTTGATCTTTAGAGGTGTCCTTTCAGAAGCATTCTCTATACCATGAGTTGTATGACTATTGGCGCATGTCAAAATTGCACGTCTTGGATGTACAAACACTTCCAGATCCTCAAATTATCATCATTATCATTCAGCACCTTAGTCTTCGATCTCACCTTGACCTACTCCGTACACAGCGCCATCCCATACTAGACCCGGCATGGCATCAGGTTGGTTTTGGAGATTATGGCTGGCCTGATTCGCCCAGACAATGCCCCTGCACAAGCACCAGGAAACCAACCAACCAACCAACCAACCATATCCTCGATGAATCCTTCTCGTGTTGAGATTTCGAAGGAGCTCGCTTCTTAGAGTCTGTCGTGCCCGTTTAGGCAATAATGGATCCCATCGGTTTCGGGATCATGGAGGTGCAGGACGCCTGATGTACAGCAACATCCAACCCCAGACGTAGGTAATCATGAAGAGTGCTCAGCGTCAATTATCTACATATGTCCTAACTCCGGAAGCGTGTTCCCCCTATGCTGACTGCATGAACGAGGTCTGGAGTCTGGACCTGAATGATCACCCACGAAGTAGATAATCGCGTTTGGCATACAACAGGCTACATCATATCATGTCTGTCCAATCCTGCGTTTGCTGATTACCTGGAATTTGGTTGGAGGCTTTGTTTGCATCTGGTCGAAGCAGACTATCGTATACATTCTATACAGGCCCCTTCAGCGACGGCGTGGAACCTACCTCCTTACCTGCCTGCCTGCCTGCCTGCCTCACTGAGCATTCTTCTCCTTTGAAGCCATTCATCATGATCGGCGTCATCTTCTTGAGCTTGATTGGCATCTGGCTCATATCCAACTTTTACTCCCTATTACGAAACTACCAGGCTGCACGTCGGGCAGGAATCCCCATCTTCGTTGTCCCATGGAACATGTACAATCCACTATGGATGATCCCCTCGGTTCCTCTACAACCCTATCTGCAAAAGTACCTCCCCTCGTCATGGTACGAACATATCAACGTGGCGACGTATGGGTTCGAGTTTCGCAACGCCAGAAACAGTTTACACGATAAATACGGCGACGCCATCATTCTGGTAACTTCAGGTCCCATGGAACTGTCTACCTCCGACCCAGAACTAGCAGCCGAAGTGTTGAAGCGGCTCAAGGAGTTTCCTCCCACGAAGCAAACCGGAGTCATTATGAACATTTTCGGACCTAGTATCTTGACGAGCGAAGGAGAGAATTGGGCTCGACAACGGAAACTCATTGCACCGAACATCAATGAGAAGATCTCGGCTTTGGTGTTTGGAGAATCGATCAGTCAGGCTCGGCAGATGTCAGAGTCATATATGAATGATTCCAATGGCGTGACCAATACGACCATGCAGGGCATGAAGGCCATTGCTATGAATGTGTTGGGATTGGCCGGGTTTGGGATTCAAATGCCGTGGAAGAGTGGTGAAAATGAACAACCTGCTTATGGCCATCGTCTGACATATATGGAGGCCACTAAGATTGTGGTGGAGAATCTCGTCGCCGCCGCGGTTTTCCCTGCACGCATGCTTCTTCTTCCGATCTTTCCTCCGGCGTGGCAGATGATTGGACACGCGAAGAATGAGTTCCCCATTCATACGAGACGAATGTTGGAGCAAGAACGAATTGTTCAGGCGAGTGGGAAAGAGACCAGGAGTAATCTCATGAGTAAGATGGTTGAAATGGAGGATAAGAAGACAAATTCCGACAGCAAAACAACATTCAAAAACCAATCCTTGTCTCAAGAAGAAATAGAAGGAAATCTTTTCGTATTTACGTCGGCTGGATTTGACACATCGGCCAATACAATGGCGTATGCATTGGCACAAATGGCTACACACCCTCAATGGCAGGACTGGTTGTACGAAGAGATCCACGCGGTGCTCGGGAACAAGTCCATCGACAAGCTCGAGTATAATGAGATCTTCCCAAGACTCCCGCGTTGTCTTGCACTGTTGGTAAGTCCATGCATCTTGTCGAGTTGGGGGCGTTGGTCCCGACCGGCGGCGAGTATGGATCATAACACTTACATTGAAACACAGTTCGAAACCATGCGTCTCTTCCCACCATTGACGCACATTTCCAAACAAGCGCATGAGGAAGGCGATGTGACGGTGACCACACCATCGAACCGAACATACATCATTCCCCGAAAGAGCATCGTATACGTCAACACAGTAGCCATTCACCGCGACCCCAAGATCTGGGGTATGGATCCGCACACTTTTAACCCAGCACGGTGGCTGATTGACCCACTCTCGCCGCCGGGAACGTCGACAATCACAAACGTCCGAACCATGCCCCGAGGCACATTCCTGCCATGGTCTATGGGTCCTCGAGTCTGTCCTGGGATGAAGTTTAGCCAAGTCGAGTTCGTCGGTGTGTTCATGACAATCTTTGCCGAGTATCGCGTGGAACCGGTCAAGTTGTGGGATGGTGAGAATGAGAAGGATATAACAGAGAGATTTGAAAAGGTCATGATGGATAGTGCACCGATAATGACTTTGCAGATGACAAGAAATCAAGATTTGAAGGTTAGATGGGTGCGGAGGTAGGTAGATAGGAGGTCGAAGGTAGTGATGGATTCTTGGCAAGACACAGGGTATGGGAATCGGATTTGGACTGACACGGTTATATACTGCTTCAAGATTTCGAAACGGGTAGAATATAGGAATAGATGATATAGAAAAGTGACATAAAGTCTTCTTATCAATAAGTCGCGGTGAATATGAGTGTGTGGTTGGGATATCCACTGGGTAGCAAGGAATATATTCAGTCAAATATTGAAACAATAAACAAATCACGACTTTGCAAATGGTTGGAATGTGTATTGATACAAAGATGAGAGATTCGACGAGTCCCTGTGGAACAATTTAGAGGGTGAAGACAAGGATAAAGAGTGACTTTGAACATGATCACTCCCATAGCACTGTTGACGAGATGGAGGGCTGTGTGGTCGTCTACGGAGTTAGGTTCTGATGATGATTCTGATTGGATTGCCTCGAAGTTTGTCACTATTATCGAATAATTGGCTCGCTACTTTAACAGCTGACTGAATTAGGCAAGTTTGCCGAGGATATTTAGCTGCGTGTCTCCTTTTAGTGATTACTCCGTAATTACATAAGTCAAACGTCCGACGACTCCCAACAGCTGATCATGCATCAAGCTCCAGCATAGCCCCCCTCGTCTTCTCTGCTCCCCTCTACCATTATTGCTCGTCATCTCATTGGGTTCTGTACAAAGGCATGTTGTCATTCGATTGCATACACAATATCTGTACTGTTCCATGGGTGTAGAGTACCAAAGAGGATCTCCATTCCAGTTTCCTTGAGTCAGAAGTATTCAACATGGTTCTGCAACGTGGTAGGCAACAGGCACGGCTCTGCACTGAATTGTAGGTTGTTTGTTTGGACCAAGCCTGTCGCTGCTGGTCCCGCCCGTCCGTGCCTCTTGACACCTCCCGATTTCCCATACAGATCAATGCCTGGTGTCAGTGCCCCCAACGCGACCGCTGTATACACATAACGCCATCATACTCCAAGATCCCCTTCCGTCAAGACTTCCCAAAAGACCCTGTTGCGAGATCGAGACACAGACCCTACGAGGCCCCGTGCAACGACAGCGCAGAATAGGAGAGAGATTGTCGACCTAGAGTAGCCGGCCAATTTGATCCTCCCTCTTCACAACGCCAAGAGCTGACTGCACAAAACTGGCGCTCCCTGGCTTCCCTTTTCACATGACCTCAGATAACATAGTACAAGAAAAAGCACCCGACCAACAACGCACGTCAAGTCATAACAAAGGCTTCACGCCACGTGATTGCCTCGTTCAAGCAGCGGCCTCGGCCTTCTTGGGAGCCGCCTTCTTGGGAGCTGCTGCCTTCTTCACTGTTGTGGCCTTCTTTGCTGGTGCCTTCTTGGTACCTGAGGTTGTCTTTTGTTTGCTGACTCTACCAGACTTGGTCTTCTTCAGGACTGTGGGAGCATCAGTAACAGCAGGGGCCTGGATATCGTTAGTATATGCGTGCATCCACTTCCACAAGAGCGCTTACTGGTGCTTCTGTCTTTGCGGCCTTGGCCTTAGGGGCTCTCTTTGTAGCAGTGTTTGCCTTTGGCTTGGCAGCAGCAGCCTTCTTAGGGACAGCGGGCTTCTTTGCCTTGGTGGCGGCAGTCTTGGGTTTGGTGGTCTTGGCCTTTGCGACCTTTGGCTTTGCGTCCTTGGGAGCCTTTTCCTTCTGAAGAGCAAGTCAGGGACGCGTTACGAAAACATGCTGGTGATACGGACCTTGACAGCAGCCTTCTTCTCACCAGCAGGCTTAGCGGCAGGCTTGGTGAGTTTGACTGGCCCAGAGGGACCTGTGATGCAGGTTAGAGTTGGTCAAGCCTGTGGAATAGCAAAGCACTCACCCTTGGGTTGTTGGAAGTCACCTTTCTCCACACCGGTCTTCAAAGCCTTATTGAAGAGAGAGTCGAACTGGAGTGGGGAGCTGACTGAGATGTTGTTGTTGGCCTGGACATACTTCTTGATGGCTTGTCGGCTGTGGACAACGCGTTAGTAGGATGCACCCAAGTCATGGTTGGTGAACCACCGTCAGCGACGACGAGGTCGGGTATAGGACTAACCTGCTTCCGTTGCGCTCCTTTAACTATAGATCGATGACGACGTTAGCATGGTGACCATGATCATATTTCAAGTTTGCGACTCTTCTCGCGCTCCTTCGGTCGAACCATTGTCATGGACATGGTGGTGACTCGAGGGCGTCGGGGTTGTCGCAAAGCAGATAGACTTACGTTGAGGATAGCATCCTTGATCATATCTAGTAAACTCGAGTCAGCTTTGATACGCGACCACGACCACGACAATCGCTAGCGGACGCGACCATGTTATGATGGATCAACTGACCTTTGTATGAGCCATGAGCGGGGGCGGCGGCGGGCTTCTTCTCTTTGGCCTCTTTGGCCGGGGCGGCGGCGGCGGCAGCTTTCTTGGGAGGCATTGTTGTTATGGGAAGAAAGTGTTGAGAATATAGATGAATGGGTAACGGCGATTACTTGAGCGAAAGAATGTATCGGGTAGCTTGGTCTGGTTGAGCAACGAGAAGAGTCGAGAAGTGGAAGAGAGATGGGTGGGCGATGGGCATGCGGCGCGCGAATGCGGGACACGGGCTTGTTTATACCTCGCATGTGACGTCCAACGTGCCTCCAAATCAACCGCGATCAACCTGCCAGGTGCTCCTTCCCAATCAGCCTCGTATCCGGCCAATCACAGACCCAGAGCCTTCTCCCCTCAGAATATTCTCAATATTCTATTTCCATAAATCAATCATGGCAGTTCCAGATCACGCGCCCCCCTCCTCCGCCTGCCTCGTTGTCCATCCTAAGTTTTTCCTTTCCGCCCTCCATTTCCTCTGATCTTCACCACCACCACCACCACCACCACCATCATCCACAATCTCGCATTCGAGTTGACTGGATTCTGGTTTAGTATTTTCCTATATGCACTTATGAAATGATTGCACATCGTTCCCAGTGTTCATAATGTCTGTGTATAGTTTTTGTATTATTTCCCCTAGCTGTTTTTACCTGCTGAAGGGCTCGCCGTTGCCAACGGTCGTGTCAACGTTGCTATCGTGCTGCAACTGTTGCCCTCCTTCCCCCTCATATCCACCCAACAACAACAATAATCCTCGCACTTAGTCAGAGTCGCTCAGTCTGACTTCTCGCCCTCGTATGTTATGATTCCCATTTCGCCACTATAGCTCTTCTTTGGTTTCTCTACTACTGAGGTGTGTGCGCAAACTCTGGGTTCAATTGGTTCAACAACAAATGGTTGAGCCTGAGTCAGGTCAACCTCCACTTCAGAGAATCGCAGCAATCAGACTGTCTCACCTGATCTCGGCCTAACGTCATGTGATGGTCCGCGCCCTGATTGTTTCCAGTTAGCCCCAAACTCTGTTTAATTTCATATGGGCAAGAGTTTCGACTAGGTGACTCAATTGATGACTACTCGAAATGCTTTCTTGCCAGTCCAGCATCAGCTTCTGGTGCAATGTTAGGCACCACCACCAACAGCACAGCAACAACAATCACCCTCTTCTTTATTCAGACGCCACGTTGCTGCCGTACTGGACATTGATCTAGATTTGATTGGCGGCTTGCATTCGCCACTACTGCATCCATTATCCATGCTATCCTTTTTATTTTTATTTTAAACAAACAGGATCAGGATCTGTGTCCACACTGTCTCTCCAGATGTCACTTTGCTCGTATGAGTCAAGTGAAGCTGAGGTGGCAGATTCAAAGCAGGCCGTAATGAGTACGGCTAAGGATTCGGGATCATCTGGCCATGGGATCTTCCCTGGCTCGCCGCAATGGCGCTATCCTCCGTATACTGACAAGTCCATCTCTTGTGGACTAGCGGGATAATCAGTTCTCTTTCTAGGTCTCTTTTGCTCATCTTTGGTCCAGAACGGCATGGACTTGCTGAAGTCCACCATGTGCCATAAGACACTGCTGCCGTCTGTGTTGTTCCGGTTCAGTACTCCTCCACTGCTACGGCATCTGCTTCTCAGGTCGCATCTCTGGAGCAAGGTCCGTGGTCCTTGAGAGCAAAGAGTAGTCTTGACACTACTCGCAGAGTTCTTTTCTCCGAGCTGTAAACGGCCACCTGTCCTTGAACGCCGCGCTCGAATTCCACACGCGATGAGATGCGTTGACGAAACCATTTCAATAAAGTCATAACGCGTTCTCGCTGCACATTATGTTGAGATGTGTGCCTTTCCTCGTGCTTCTTTTTTCGTCTTTGTATCTTCTTTTTTCTTCTTCTTGGCCTCGGCAACCTTTTCATCATGCTTGCGCTTCAAGTCTTTCTTCTCACTCTCACTTTTTGGCACTGCCTTGAAGAACCCTTCGAGTCTGGACTGTTGCGCCGTCTTGACGTTCTTTTGCAATTTCTGTGCGGCATTCCTGACCCGATCTTCACTGAATCCTTTTTCATGAACCAGGAATTGGACAAGGCCCTCGACGTCTGGAGCTTCCCACTTGAAGTCACATTCAGGATGATCTGCTGGTCGAACATCAGGATGGAGGAATAGCTCTCGTGCATCTTTGTACGGCCAATCTTCAGGGATCACATATCTCTTTTTAGAATCGGTTTCCATGAACTCGACCACCTTTTCAAGCGAGCCATGTTCACGGATCAGCTTCAGCGCCGTGTTTGGTCCAACCTTGGGAATTGGGTCGACGTAGTCACAGCCAAGCAGAATGCAGAGATCGATAAACTGAACAAGTAATCAGATGAGTCAGGTGGTTAATTTTGCCATTAGGGGACGGCACAGGAGAGATCATACCTGATTTCGGTCCATCCCTAGCCCCTCCAACGCTTTGTCGAGGTGGATTTCTTGGATGGGTTCTTTTCGTTGTTCGCTGAAGGTGAGATGGCGGAGGAGGATGGGCGCGTCAAAACAGAGCGTGTCCATGTCCTCAGAGGCTGCAGCATATACTTTACCAGCACGAGCTAAAACCGCGCATTGGGCTTCAGCTTCGGTCGGTGCAATGATGTATGGAATGCCCATCAGCTTCAACAGTCTTCTGCATTCTTCATTGTGTTCTCTTGTCACTCTCACAGTACGCCGCGAGAATTTTTCAACTTCTTCAGCAGTGCCTGTCTCTTTTGCTTCCTCGTGCTGCTCATTGGCTTCGTTCTTTCTCGCGAATCGTTTGGCCAGCTCGCCTGACTTGAGTTTCGGAGGTGCGCCGTCGAAGACGTATAGTGGTTTGATTCCGTTGTCAACAATGCGCAGGGTCCTGTAGAACATGCCCATCAAGTGTGAGGTGGTCTCGCCCGTGTCTGACATGAGTTGCTGGCCTTCAGATCGCACGGCAATCAGGAAGCTGTAGATGCTCATCGATCTATGAAAGGTTAACTTGAGCCCATGGTGATGACGAAGCAATCCTCACGCATCCTAAGTTACCGTGTCAGTGGAACGGCCTATAGCATGACTCGGACACACTCACAATTGCCACCTTTCTACCAAAGTGATTTTTAATCTCACCGGTTTTGATGGCATCAGGAGCCTCATCGGCGATGACATGATAGAGTTCTGGTCTAGAGTCAGTGAAAAAAAGAAATCATGATCTCAGGCAGAGTCTCACGTTTGATACCCATGTTGCCGAGAGTTATAGCGATACCATGAGTTGAGGCAAGTCGAATGGGTTGGCAGGCAAATATTGTCTGTCCAAGTGATCGCGTAAAAGTGGTCGGATTAAGGCGCGTTCCTGCTTGACACGCTTGCCTGTGACTTGCCCCATACGGCTCCCGCGAAAGTGATGACGTTGGTCTTGGCCTCCACGCCCCTCAAGACCTCCATGATCGTTCTACAAGGTAGGTACCTGGTATACAGGTACAACAACAATATCAAGATTATATAGCTACCTAGGTAAGTACACTATAGTGGCAATAGTGGGGAGATTGGTCTGATTCCTACCGTTATGCCCTTGCGAACACAGTCACCTTCACCGTCACCGCTTGGGAACTCTTCAGCCAGATCACTCAAAGGGGCCTCCGGCGAAGAAAGTATGCCGAGAGCCAGTACTCACTGCCAACGCTAGGCAAAAATGTATGTACATTATTATCACCTACATATACGGAGGAACGATGGTTTTCGGCGCCTTTTTGCCGATAAATCTACTTTGTAGCCCCAAATCTCCACGCCCTACGAGTACTCTGCTCAAGGGTTAATTAGTCAGGTAACACTGGCATGAATAAATTAGTCTACCTAAGACACACTGTGGGATAGATCGTAGTATGGTGTCGGCGAGTTCACGGAGGTTGAATGATGCGTGTGGAGGCGAATCTAAGCCGGGTAGGTCCCTATGGACCGTGTAAGGAATAGTCGTTGGAGTACTCCGTACCTGTGAAGGAAGAATCGTTGGAGTATTCCGGACCTATGCGACTGCTCGCACACCATCTGTGGGGAACGCAGCCTCGGTCCAAGTGCATGCAACAGTAATAAAATGTGATTCTCTGGCAATTGTATTCTCTCTACCTTGATTGAACATTGTCTAGCAAATTTGCTTCTTAGCTTCCTGACTCTGCGAGTTGCCTCCTTGTTTGCTGTCCTTAGGCTTTCCGACACCATGCTCGCACGCACTCTCTGCCGCAGTGCTACCCGCGCGCATCTGACGCCTTTCACTCAACTTCTCGCTTGCAGATCCGCGTCGAGTGCAGCGACGTTCAAATGGGACGACCCTTTGAATCTGCACAACTCTTTGACCGAGGAGGAGCAGGCAATCCAGGAGACCGCACACTCATACTGCCAGGAGCGACTACAACCCAGAGTCCTCGAAGCGTACCGCAAGGAAGACTTTGACAAGAAAATCCTGCAAGAGATGGGCGAGCTTGGCCTTCTCGGTGCCACAATCAAAGGCTATGGCTGCGCAGGTGTGAGCAGCGTGGCGTCAGGCCTTATCACACGCGAAGTTGAAAAGGTAGACTCAGGATACCGGTCAGCTATGTCAGTTCAGAGCTCTTTGGTCATGGGCCCCATTGACGAGTTCGGAACTCAAGAACAGAAGGACAAATATCTGGAGAAGCTTGGGAATGGTCAGCTAGTTGGTTGCTTCGGTCTGACTGAACCAAACCACGGTTCAGACCCGGGTTCTATGGAGACCATGGCAAAACCTCACCCTTCCAAGGAAGGCTACTACTCAATATCGGGCGCCAAGACATGGATCACCAATTCTCCTATTGCCGATGTCTTGGTGGTCTGGGCTAAGTTGCAAGAGACTGGAAAGATCAGAGGGTTCGTCATCGAACGAGACCAATGCCCTCCTGGCACTCTAAACACACCAGCAATCAAGGACAAGAACGGGTTGCGAGCATCGATAACAGGCATGATCCAATTAGACGACTGCCCGGTGCCCAAGGAGAACATGTTTCCAGAAGTCGAGGGGCTGAGAGGACCATTCTCTTGCCTCAACTCGGCACGCTATGGCATTGCTTGGGGTACGATGGGCGCTCTTGAAGATTGCATTCGAAGAGCGAGAGAATATGCCCTCGAGAGGAAGCAGTTCAAATCCAACCCAATTGCCAAATACCAGCTGGTGCAGAAGAAGCTGGCGGATGCAACAACCGATGCCGCCTTTGGATTGGCAGCTGCCTTACAGGTGGGCAGACTCAAAGACGAAGGAAAAATTGTACCTGAAATGATCTCAATGATCAAGCGTCAAAACTGCGACCGAGCTTTGGTGAATGCAAGACATTTACAAGAGATTTTTGGAGGCAATGCGGTCAGCGATGAATACCATATTGGGAGGCACGTGGCCAACCTCTTTGTGACACAGACCTACGAAGGTCAGAGTGATATTCATGCCTTGATCTTGGGAAGAGCGATCACAGGTCTCCAGGCATTTGTATAGTTATAAAAGTTGTATGTGCAGGATATGATTTAGAGGTATGCGTGCATTCATCATGAAGGATAGGGCGAGGTGCATCTTCACGATTGATAATCCTTGCGCTTGTGCTATGAAATACGGGTTGATATCTTGCTTTGTCAGAATCCGGTGATATAGACAAATATAAATTGCAAGTGAGTGGCAAACATGACTCAGACCTGGCGGGAATCTTCGGCTGTCATGACTTGAGGCCCAAATAGCACTCGAGACACCTATCATTATGTACCTAGAGTGTTCCGGCATATTCTTTTCGTCAAAATATTGTAGGTCAGGCAAGGTGGCGCATTTCGAGAAGCATGATGCAGACGTGGCAGACTACCTGAGACACATGGTTAGGCACAAAAGGTGCACAGTAGTAGATGGGCACCGTAGGCCAGCACTGGCCAGTAACCCGACCAGGTAGATCTGTATGGAAGCCTTACATTCCCTGCGCCAAGCCAAGACCTTCTTCATTCCCGAGGATTATTGGCTGGCTTTTGCCATTGCAACGCTTGCAGTCCTCAGGAATTCTCTGCACGACCTGCGCCTTCCATTTGCCTCCGGCTCGCCTTTCCTGCCAGAACTGATTGCGTCCTCCAGCCAGCAATCACTGCCACTAACCTCCCTGCCTTATTAACACTTCGACTTCAGCCCACTTCCACCTACTCAATCATCACCACCTTGCCACACACGACACTAATCTGTTGCGATCAAACCCTTTTCACAAACAACCTACTTACTCTACATTATCTCTCACCTCTTAGGTGTCTACTGGTCCGTACCTTGCTATTACACCTCAACTCTTTACTCCCTAAAAGAAGACAAAAGTTGACCTGAACAGCCCCGCCAAGTTCGGGTTTTGACGACCATCTCGACTTCCACTTTCCATACTCCTCTCTTCTCCTCCCCACAAACCTCTCAAACACTCTAGCTATGGCTTTGAAGCGAATCAACAAGGAATTGACAGATCTCGGACGGTAAGTCACAGCGCCCTTGACCCTCGAGACCGCCATATCATGCAAGAAAAGAATCTGTCGTGATAAGCGATTCTGGTATATATCATGTGTTGATCAATGCTGACTGTGTCGTCGTGTAGGGATCCCCCCTCATCATGTTCAGCCGGTCCTATGGGAGATGATCTGGTACGTTGACTATCCTCACTACTGATCTCATCTGGTTTGAAGCCAGAGAGGTAGAGATACAGAAGATCAAGACATTCAACTAACAACATACCACAGTTTCACTGGCAAGCCACAATCATGGGTCCTGTAAGTTAACCACAATGTCAACTCGGCGCTGGAGTTCCCTCAACTAACATGTCTTTGCAGGGTGACAGTCCATTCCAAGGCGGCGTCTTCTTCCTGGCCATCCACTTCCCTACAGATTACCCCTTCAAGCCCCCAAAGGTCAACTTCACAACTCGCATCTACCATCCCAATATCAATTCCAACGGCAGTATTTGTTTGGACATTCTGCGAGACCAATGGAGTCCAGCTCTAACAATATCGAAAGGTGAGAATTGGAATGAGTCTTTGTTCGATAGAGGCCATACTAATGTATGCGCTCTAGTTCTGCTATCTATTTGCTCCATGCTTACCGACCCCAACCCTGACGACCCTCTGGTTCCGGAAATTGCGCACGTGTACAAGACAGATCGCGCTCGTTATGAGGCAACAGCACGAGAATGGACGAGGAAATTTGCCATCTAGAATGCCACCCACCAGAAGAGCTCGGCCAGTCCAGGTATCGACCTGGTTACAATCCGCAGGCATGTTTTCGGTGAGGCTGGCAAGATCAATCCCAGTGTAGAAGATTGAGACGATGGCAGTAGTTGATGGACTGGTTGACTGTGCAGGAGATCATTTTCAACACGGAGGCAATGAGCAATGGGAGAAAGGGCGCAGACGTGTCGTCGACGGGGTTGATGCTCAACGTCCAGTGACACAATCTGGGATGACCTTTTTATGATGCATTACATTATTGGCGTGCTTTAGGGATGACAATTTTACCTTTGCCTCTTGCAGCACACGTTTTCTCCGATCTTGTTCAAGTTCCACATTGACTGAATAGAGCGTAGTGGTAGTTCGCAGCCAAGTTCGAGAATTACAGGCCGTGGCTAGATCAACTTTTGCTTTGGGATGGCTGGGAGATGTCAAGGGTCTAGGTAGGTATGGAACAAGGGCGGCCATGGCCAGGCTAGGTGGCTAGGCATCACGACCATCGAACAACCGCTTTAGGATGATTGGTAGGTCTGAACATCTGATGAGATGGCAGATGGCCCGTGATCCGAACGTCGTGCAGAGCAGCAACACGTGCCGAGACTGGGGGACCAGCGTGGGTGGTGTGAGATGACTGGCCACCTGGGACTCGAGTCCTGGTGTATATAGCAAAAGCAATTGGAAACCGCCATGGTGAAAGGTAGCCTTGTAGCCAGTCACCCACTGAAGACAAAAACTAGGCCTGCCAGGCAGAGGGTGAGTGAGCGGCAAGGCCCGGAGCCTCAACGGCGATACAGAAACATGGGAGGCAAGACACTACTGAAACATGGAGCTCAAGAATACCACGAACTTGACCACCATGACCTATGGATGTCGTGGTACTGGTGGCACTTGTGGGTTGTCAAAATGTGGTTCAACAAGACGGAGTCAGCGTCAGCAAGTGTCATTGGATGACTCGCTGTTTTGAATTTGCTCTTCCATACAACATCCGTGTCCTTGTTGCCCCTGGCGCGTTTCACTAGCCTCCCCTCCGCCCCTTCCCTTTCCCCCTTCGTCACCCACCACTTGCATCGGTGCTTTTTCCCATGCAGGCCTTCACCACCTCAACTCAATTCCAGACCTTGGGCCATTTACTTTCCAATTGAACCGGGCCTCTTTGAGTCTGGATGGGGCCCTTAGATGTCACTTCGGGAGGTCCGTACTACACCTGGTGGCCTATAGGCCATGGAGCCGACTAGGTGGGTTTGCGCCTCCTGCACTGTCCCCCTTCTTGGTGCATGGTCCAAAGAAGCCTCTGACCACGCCGCTGATGTCGCCAACGAACCTCGAAGACGGTAGGTGGACCTTTTTTCTCTCATCCTGATATCAACTTAGTACTCCGAGTTCTTGGACTTTTCTTGTTGACATCTCTCTGCCTACCATCGACCTCATATCTGGTGATATCATAACCTTCTCCCAACCCGGTAGCCTTGCCAGGTGCAACAGGACCAGCCCACTTTAAGTACAGATTCAACAGGTATGTCATGCCATTGTCTGTCCACTACGCCAGCGTTTCGTCGACATTTGTTCTGTGTCAGGACTGTGTTTCAAGTACCTTGGTTAACGATGTCCAGGTTGTTTCTCCTTCCTCACCAACACCATCGGTTGTGGACCTCGCTTGAGACCTGTCCCAGACTACCAGCCCATCGCTACCAGCTAGCTGCTCCACTACCCCTTCATTTACATACTCTTCAACATGGACTCTGTTCCGCAACATGTTCACTTCTACGACAAGCCGCTGGGTCGGACCAATATGACAACACATAATAACACTCCAATGTATTATCTCGAGAAACCCCTGGCTAGGTCAAACACATCATCCACGACGTCTTCAATGGAGAGAACGCGCTCAACTCCTCTCTCCAGGATCCTCTTATCCGGCGAGGTCAGCGGCGAGGCGCCCCGGAACCTCAATTTAAGAGAAAGACTCGACAGATGGATGGTCAATGAAGGCTCCAGGAGAGTAGTGGTGGGAGTATTCGTGCTGGTTCACGCATTCATCTACGCCTTTGGATTCACTCATTATCAGCTCAAAGACAACTTGACTGGTGCTCGCGCAGATTTTGGTCTCACCTTTGCCACAGCCCGTTCAGCAGCTCTAGTCCTTCATTTCGACGTCGCCCTCATCCTCTTTCCCGTATGTCGAACCCTCATCTCCCTTTTGCGACAAACGCCGTTGAACAGCATTGTCCCCTTTGATAAGAACATCACCTTCCACAAGCTCATTGCATACTCCATTGTCTTTTTCTCCTGGGTCCACACTCTCGCCCATATCAACAATGTCGCCCAGCTCGCCATCAAAACCAAGCAAGGGTTTGTTGGCTTTCTGAGACTCGGCTTCTTGACCGGTCCTGGCTGGACTGGTTGGGTCATGCTGATCGCTCTCATGGCCATGTTCTTCACCGCCATTGAAAAACCTCGCCGCGCCAATTACGAACGCTTCTGGTCCGTTCATCACCTCTTTATCATCTTCTTCATGATGTGGGCCATCCACGGCGCCTTTTGCATGATCAAGCCCGACACGGCTCCGTTCTGCTTTGGCATCGGCGTCTTCTGGGAGTACTGGATGTTCGGCGGCTTTGCCTATCTATTGGAGAGAATCTTGAGAGAAATCCGTGGCCGTCACAAAACATACGTCACCAAAGTCATTCAACACCCCAGTAACGTCGTTGAGATTCAGATGCATAAAGAGAAAACCAAGACTCGCGCCGGTCAATACATTTTCTTATGTTGCCCTGAAGTCTCAATCTGGCAATACCATCCTTTTACGCTGACGTCTGCGCCCGAAGAGGACTACATCTCTGTACATGTACGAATGGTGGGGAACTTCACAAAGGCTCTTGGGAAAGCCCTCGGTTGCGAAGAAAGCAAAAGAGGCGGCGACAAGGGTGAGAAAAAGCAGCGCACCGAAATCATGTCAATGGCCCCTGGTGGGTTGACCAAGCTCCTACCCAGGATCTACGTGGATGGCCCCTTTGGTTCGGCTTCAGAGGATGTGTTCAAGTTCGAAACCGCGGTCCTTGTTGGAGCAGGTATCGGTGTCACCCCATTCGCGAGCATTCTGAAGAGCATATGGTATCGGATGAGCACAGGAACCGGAGGCAAGTCGAGGCTTCGCAAGGTCTATTTCTTCTGGATCTGCAGAGATTTTGGAAGTCTGGAGTGGTTCAAGTCACTCCTGATGGCAATTGAGGCTCAGGATAAGGCTCACAACATTGAGATTCACACGGTATGTATCGATTGTGCCTTATATTTTTACTAGAGCGGAGTATGCTGACATGAATCTCTAGTACCTCACCGCGAAAATCTCATCTGCAGATGCCAACAACATTATGCTCAACAGCACCGATACCGACGCAGTTACAGGCCTGCGCACACCGACCAACTTTGGCCGCCCGAACTGGGATATGGTCTTCCGTGCCATCCGCAAACTCCATTCTCCTGGCGAAGCTGGTGTGTTTTTCTGTGGGCCCAAAGGACTGGGCTCTCAGTTACACATCAAATGCAACATGTACTCAGAGGGTGATAAGGGCTTCAGCTTTGTCTGGGGCAAAGAAAACTTCTAATCAGGCCCGCATCTCTGGGGTCATGTCTGGACCAGCATTTCGGCATGGTTCAGAATGCCACGCAGCAAGCGAAAACGATTCTATTTCTTGATGTTATTCTTTAGTCTTGACACTTTGTTCTGCATTGCGACTGGAACTGGTATGGGTAACGAGGCGGAACACAGCAACGGGGAGCGAGCTTCCTCTTGGGGTCAACACATTGGGCTCAATCGTCCGCTGGATTTGGGCGACTCAGTTCGGGAGTTTAGGGGGGCAGATTGAGTGGAGATTATCTGCATCAAGGGTGATGATATCTTTCGGAAACCCAACGGGGGAGAGTCGAGCAGCGCATCTAAGGTGTCCCTGAACTCATCATATGCTCGCATCGTCCTCCCCTGGGGTGTCTGAGAGAATGTTCATCGGCGGTGAGCTCATGATGGTTTGCACCATGTCTCACTGTTGTGTCCTAATCTGCCCTCCCACATCTGTCATATCATAGAAGATACCACTATACACTACCACTATTTTTGGGGTCGATGGTGAAGGTCGTCCCCCCGGTCATCCGCCCTGGGTGTTTCTGGCTCTGCAGAAGCGAGCAAGAGAGCACCCAGAGTCGGAAAAAAGCTGATGTGTATATCATGCGGCGAGAGTAAATGAGAACTTTTTTGAAAACGGCGAAAAAAAAGAGAACCAGATCGATCCCCTTTCTTTGAGTTTGAATCCCGTATATCTCAAAGATTTCTTCTTTGTAGGCTGACAATGACGAGCCACACGTTGGCTGGTCATTTAATGGTAGAGTATGCTCGTAAGGTGTAGCGTAGAATTGCCACAGAGATGATAATAAACATGAGACTCGGTTCCCATGATTTATGTTTGATGATCAATGCTGATAATCGTTTTCATTTGATTCTCAAGTCAATACCCAACGGCCATAAGATTGATGGATATTTAATTTAGAATAATTCAACATGACACATTTAGCAAAAACAACGCTCACGCATAGGTAGATAGATCTATCTCACAGATTCGGCCTCTCCTTTCGCCAGTCCAAGAGGTTTCCAGAATCTCGAAACTTCGGAGCTTTTCCCCAAAAAAAAGAACTTCGATCAAAAAGTCCCATGTTGACTTACTTGCCCCCTTTTCATAATCATAAGTAAGCTGTTACAAAATCACGCCACATGGCCGATTTCCGATAAGACCTGCTTTTCCTTGTTTGTATTTCCATTCTGGATCAGCGAGGGCGAAAAGTTTCGACTTGATGTTCCATCATCGTGAGAATAGACGCTGACTCGATCGTGGGAATCATCTCCAATAGATTTCCGCTCTGCGTCATCATGGAACGATATTCTCGTGGGGCCTCGCTCCGAGGTTGATTCGGCATCGTAATCTTCAAGAACCAGCCCGGGGACTTTCTCGACGTCATCCTCAGGGAGAGAGTCGGCGGGTCGTGGTGGGTCGGGCATGCTGTACAGGTAAGTCGCCGTAAAGACCAGGATAGATCCGAATAGGAAATAGATGGTGGGTTCAAAATTGAATAAGAATATCGATGCCACAGTTGATAGGATGATGCTCAGGGATGTGGCGAAGCCTTTGAGGATGTTGTCGGCATATTTGATGACCATGGCGACGATTAATCCACCGGCTGCTTGAACGCAGACTGTGAAGAAGACGATTGAATTATAGCCTTGGAAAAAGCCATTTTCGCGGATGGCTTGGCCGTCCCAGACGAAGGCGCCGGTCAATGCGATGGCTAAGCAGCCCACACTGAGTTGGATGTTGCGAACCCAGATCGAAGTGTTCTGACCGCCCTTGAGGACTCGCTCGAAATATACCCCGGCAAAGCCGGAACAAAGACAGGCAATTGCAACAGAGGCAATACCTAGACTGTAGTTGCCTTCATACGTGTTCTTGGATGCTGATGAGGAGGGAATCTGGACACAGGCCACACCAACTGTTAGGACCAGGAGGGCTAGCCACTTCAACGAGGATAACGTTTGGCCGAGGAGTATGACAGCAAATAAAGCCGTTGTCAAGATCTTGCATTGGTAGGTGACCTGAAATGTGGCAGCGTCTAGATTGGAAGCGGCAACGAATTGTAGATTATTCTGGAGGGTGTAGAGGACGGCGGGAACGAGGAGTTTGAGGAAGCCGCTTTTAAAGGAGAAGAGGTCGGACCACAGTTGAGAGAAAGGGTAAGATTGTGTATGAGACGAAGTTGGCTCGTCGTCAGAGAAGGTGGGGAGTCGCGAATAGCGAGAATGCGAGCGTTGGTCGCGGATGTGAACAAAGAGACAGATGGTGCATTTCATGATTTCCGAAAGAACGACGGCGGTGGAGCTCAGATATCTGGGTCCAGGAAGGATTCGAGAATATCGCATCGTGAGAACGAGGGTGGAGTTCTGGACGACCAGAATGATGAGCGAAAGGTATTTAGTCGGGAGGCCAGCGATGGTAGCGACGCCATCTTGAGAAGCAGGTCAGCTATTGTCGGCGGATTGCCGTCAGGGACAAAGAACGTACCTTGGGAGGCCATGATTTCGAGCAAGCGGGTGGGAGAGAATTGGAGGACGAGTGAGAGGTTGGAGCGAACAGTGGAAGCACAGAGACTTGGAATAACGAATGAATTTCCCGAAAGGAAGGTGGTTGATAGAGAACGAGCGGCGAGGAGGAAGCACAGGATCGAGTCACCGACGCAAGGGATTCATTCCACCATGCGCGTCGATCTGGTCTGATCAAGCCCAATGGGCGGTAGCACGATAATATGCGTGCATAGCGAAGGCGGCTTTGGCGACAACGTGCTTGTGCTGCGTGCGGTGTACAGTGTGCTTCGAGAAGGAGAAGGAAATACGACGTAGAAAAGAAGAGGAGAGAAGACAGTCAGCTGCAGCGCAAAGTTGAAGCTGAGCAACTCTAACTCGATGAAAGTGGCGCGCGGAAATGTGGAGGGGGCACTTGGGGGGACAAGAGCCTAGAGGGGGCCCGAGGGCCCGAGGGTCTTTGAGTGCAGGTGCCTTTGTATGAGAGATTAAGGGTGGAATCTGGGAGCACCAAATCCGGCCAACGGCAGCCTGTGAAATCTGTCCAAGCACCCACAACCTTCGATGATCAACCAACTTGAACGTTTTGGGGGGAGAGGGACCTGAGGATTGATAGTCTTGTCAGGTTTGTCAGACACCTAAGATGTACATACGGAGTAGATACCTAGGTACCTAGGAACCAACCAACACAAAATTACAGTAGATGTATATCCGCACAAGTAGACTGCCACATCATTGACAAACAATCATGGAACACAATCCATGCCTGTCTATTATTGTCTCCTTTGAAGATCAACAGGCACATACGGGCTCTCATTTGATCTGACTTCTGAGGCAAGTGTCCACCTAAATTGCTTAATGGGCCCGAGCCCAGAAGTTAGGCAACTTGAGTGACGGATGAAAGATGTCTCCAAGTCCCGAGGGTTCGTCTAATTATAAGTTGCACGCCCATATTGGTTCATTATTGGCAAGTTTGCATAGGGGGGACAAGGGCCACAGGCACCTGTTATTTTGATTGGCATCCCCGTTATGGAAGCCTGAGGAGAGCCCGAGGCCCCTCGGCCGGAGTTCCTGCCCCTCTCCCCACGCAAGAGCCTCCATGGATAAGCATTAAGAAATCAGGCTATCGATAAAGACGGATACCAAAATAGACAATCTTCACACCAAGTACCATCGCTAAAAGTAGTGGAGTGCCTCCCACAATAATTCAATGACTATGATATGTATTTGTGCTTCTGGTCATTCCACGAGCTCCCTGAATTTACCTACTCCGTATACATACGTCAAGGTAGATCGCTGCCCATGTAGAGGGTCTTGGCCAACCTGGTCACGAATCACGCAACCATAAACAACCCAACCGAAATGCCTTCAAATTCGTTGCATTCACGATGCATAACTGAAATGATAACTGTCCAGCCGATACTCCTTGTCCACCGCTTTGCCAGTGATAAACTTCAATAACCACTCCTTCAGACTCAATTGCACCGTGAAAGATACGTGCTTCATCACCCAGGCGTAACTGGCAGCTCGCCAGATGCGTCGACTGTGCGAGTCAGTGTGGTCGTTGACCTGAATCTGCCACATGGCGTTGTTGCAAGACTGTCCTTGGAGGTTGAGATCCTTCATCATCGTGTGAAGGTCGTCCATATACTGCTGCAATGTGCGAAAGTCATCGGCAAAATCCAAGGTGATCATGGCGAGCGTGAGGAGCGTGGTGATTTGAAAAACTAGTTCTAGCCGGCGCTGCTGCGGAATCTCTCCTTCAGCAGACAGTGGTCTCGACACCAGGGATAACAGGATCGATCCAGGTTGCAAATTGAATGAGTGGATTGGAGCTGATACGTGGGCTACCAGCGGTCTCGCGGTCAACGCTCTGATGGTGGAGAGCGACTGCCAAAGACCCCATACCTTGCTGAGGAATTCATTCAGACCATTCCAGAGCCGCGTCAGATCACTCTCATCCCAGATATAACTTTCTGGCGAGGTTCCATAGATGCACTCAAAAAAACACATGACACGTGAGAGGAGGACCGAGTTCACCGCCAGGGGTCCTCCCGTCACCTTCAAGGTGCGTCTAACCGCTGCAAAATGCAAGCCTGACGTGTCTTTGGCCCCAGTACGTCGATCGAGAGTGCCGAGGCTGATCATGGAAGCAAGGAGATCATCCTTTTGTTTCGGGTCGGAGCGAATGCTCAAATCGCGCACCAATTTGATGGCCTCGCCTTTATGACGCATCATTGCCATTTCCAGTTCGCCCTTCTCGGTATCGGAGGCGTACTTGCTAAGAGAGAGACGATACAGTGCAGACCGCGCCAAGGCCACTTGAAAGCAGGCAGGCGTGGTTAATGCAATCGAAAAGTTGCTGGCCACAGGGTGTGGCCGTAGGCGGGGACTGAAGCCATAAGTCACCTTGGGGTAGTATAGCAGGTAGAATGACACTAGATGTTCCTGAAATCGATCTAGGCTTATGGGAAGGGCTGCAAAGGGATCCAGTCGATCCGAGAAGGGCTGCAAGCTCCGGCGCAGAATCTCAAGGATCTTTTGCTCAGTGTTGGAGGCAGTTTGTGAGATGGCTGTAGCGGTGTCGAGCTCTGACCTGCTCACATCATTTCGGACTTGCAGGAGATGTTCCAGCTTGGCCTTGGATTCCAGAGGGACCAACTCTTTCTTGATGCGCTTCACGGTATTGCGTTTCGGTGCGTCCATGTTGGAGTGCCATCATTTTTGGCCTGATCATTCAGGTTGATGGGTTTGACACGTCCGCGATCCTAGGGGTTAGGCTGAGACGTTTGGGACGAGGTCGGCGTGGGAGTACTTAGGTACGTGCGCATAATCAGCCTCCGTGGGCGCTTGCTGATGACTTAGCTGGGTACCTGGGAACCTGGATATGGGGAGCCAATCAGTCGTTCAATCAACCCTTGTACACCCGGTTGGTCCATCGATCAGAACGCAATCCTGTCCACGGTTAGGCCATGGGATATGCCTCATGATGGGGAAGCCGAGACCACGAGATCGGTGAGACATCCGAATCATGATTCAATTGGATAATTATTAATCTATCTAGCAAATGTGATGAGAGAAAGACGTTCAGAAGAGGGTCCTATGGGAGAAGCTTGAACCTGGCTTCACGTGACTAGATCACGTGACTGTCACTAAGCAGCATACAGTGAACAAGCATGTTACCCACCAGAAGTAACATCCATCCCTGATTCTGCTCACTTCCCATGCCCGTCGTCTCAGATGTCCAAAATGGGCTGCCCATCTGTCAAACTCATGTTCGATTTGCGCATCATTTGCACCGCATTCATAGAGTCCCAGCACTCAAAGCGATCTCTACGGAAGGCTGAAGTTCTCAACGATGGTCAAAGAAACACTCACTACTATCTCGAATCCCCAGAAAAGCCGTCTTATAAACACTCGGAGCCATGACCAGGCTGTGCGTCTCCGACCACACTCTTACTGATCAATAACCCCCCATTAGGTGCCTACAAACATCCATGCCATATCACGTGCCCGGCCCCAGACACTCCACCTACTACCCAAGCTTGGCGCTCGTACAATCCAGGGACTTGATTGGATGCTTCATGACTGCCATCCACGGACAACCACATTAACCTGGGGCCTTCAACCAGCGTAGCATCATGAGGTATTCTTGCCTCTGCTCTTTACGGTTATAGCCAGGTCCACTCTCATCTTCTCGTCTCAGCTACACTGCTTTTTGATCAGAATGGTGCAGCACAGCCTGGTGATTGCAAGGCGTCCTGTACCCAACCCTCACAGAGCGGCGACGAGATGGAGCTTCGACCGAAATTACGGACGGGGCTGAGATCCAAAGACGGCATCGGAAGAACCCTCGCTCTTTTGCCCTGACATGGGACTCGTACTGCTAGGGTCCGTGATTGGAAGCGGTGACGCTGTCCTTGCATTCAAAGAAAACCGGAGCCCAACCGAGCCCAGGTGAGAAATTGGCCGCGACGACATGAGGGCATGCTGAAAAGCTATTAAAGCTGAATCCTTTGGCTTTCTCAAGAACTCAAGGCAAGTTCTACTGCACATATTCTCGCGCTCTCCAAATTCCCGCTTTGGTCGATTGTCGGCTCTTTCCAAATGCATCTCTTGAACTTGTCTTCTGCCCTGCTCCTGCTCTGCACCACCAGCGTCAGGAGTCAAAGCACCCAACTCACCGACTGTGGCTTCTTGGGCCCAGTGTACCCGACACCTCCACATATCGCGGATACCAAAGCCATTCGCGAGGCCAAAGATGCCTTTACGCGCCTGATGGACAGTGCCATGCGCAATGGTTCGACCGCCTGGGGTCCAGTAGACGCTGCCAATAGCTCGATCTCATTCGCCGTCTTCTCCACACAATCAGACCAACTCCTATCAGAATACCACCATCTTGGCTCGAGTCCTGGGGCCAAGGCTCATCTTACAGGAGGCAAGTTGGACGGTGATACCGTTTATCGGCTGGGCAGTGTCACGAAATTGCTCTCGGTATACACATTCCTAGCCAAAGTTGGGCCAAAGTACTGGTCCGAACCAGTCACAAACCATGTGCCAGAGCTTGTCGCGCGGTCTGTCAAAAACTCTGTTCTTGACATCAACTGGTCCGAGGTCACACTGGGCTCCCTTGCGGGCCAAATCAGTGGGATTCCACATGACTGTGAGCTTCCTAACCACCTGGACTATCGTCAATTTGACAACTGACATGACACAGATGCTCTCACTGATCTTTCTGCCATTCCCGGCATCACAGAAATCGGCCTCCCAGATCTCCCTCCCTCCGAAGTTACCACCTGCGGAGCAGCCAATCAGGAGCCATGCTCAGGGGAAGGTAGGAAACCATTCCATCTCAGATCCAAAGACACCCTTCTCATATCATCGCAGAGTTCTTCCGCCTCCTGCTGCAGCAACATCCCGTTGCCCCAGTCTCGCAGGGCCCTAATTATTCGAACGAAGCTTATCAACTGCTGAGCCTGGCCTACCAGAACATTACTGGGGAATCATTTGCGGATGCATTCAGGACCGGCATTGTCGAGCCTCTCAAGCTGAAACGTACATTCTACCACCCTCCTACCTCCGACATCAATACCGTTCGAGTCGATCCCAAAGGGGCCAATACCTTTGAGATTGACATTGGGGGCTTGGACCCGTAAGAACAAGAGTCACCCCAATCCACACGATACTGTACTGACAGTTTCTAGAGCTGGTGGTGCATGGGCGTCGCTCCGCGACTTTGCATCGCTGGGTCGCTCCATGTTAAATTCTACCCTACTGCCGGCACAAGTCACACGAGATTGGCTCAAGCCAAACAGCCACAGCAGCAACCTATACTCATCGGTTGGCAAGCCGTGGGAGATCCTCCGCATGGCCGTGCCCGTCAGCCCGGATTCAACGACAACGCGTTTTGTGGATTTATACACCAAGAGCGGTGGGCTGGGCGGGTATAATGCATGGTTGTTCCTGTCCCCAGACCACAACATTGGCATCGCTGCCCTAGTTGCCTCCTTGACGGAGGCAGATAACGCAATCGTCGCGTCAGAGAGTGGGATGCCAGTCCTGGTGTCACTCGCCGAGCTCGCTCTCGCCACGTGGATTCCTGCTGCTGAAGCGGCAGCTCGCGAATCTGCCGCGTCGAACCTGGTGGGATCTTTCAAGTCTGAGGATGGTCTCAACTCTTCGATCTCGCTAGACCTTGTTCCTGACCACCAAGGCATCTGCATCACGAATCTCATCTACAATGGAACCGACTTTCTCGAAACCTTGGGTTCTGTGTTTGGGTACGCTGCTGCAAGCTTGCAGTACACGAATCTCCACGACAAGCCCAGCGGCCAACTCTCGTTTCGTGCCGTCTGGCAGAGCCTCAAGCACCCAATTTCCGTGACTAGCGTGATACATCCAGAATGTTCTCTGAACTGGTCAGACTTAGATAACCTCAAATATGGTGACATCGGACTCGACCAGGTGATTATCACGGTCAAGGCGGACGGCAAGGCCGTGGGCGTTGAAATGCCAGGCTTGAGGACATCTTTCTCCCAACGGGTCAAGTGAATAGAGGTTCCTTGGGCAGACATCTAGCAGGGATTGATTGGTATTGTCCTTCTTGTCTCTTCAAGTATAACGTATGTACATCTTTGGGATGGAAACTTAAAAGCCAGGGTGGCGTGATTCGAGCGGCGGAATAAATATTCATCTCGGGTTAATTCAAGAATAGTTGCATATACACCTTGTCAAAGCTTATGCCCAAGTAAGGCTGTTTGCCCCTGGCACAATCCTTGGTCTCGTATTCGCTTTCTCGTAGGGTTGCAGGCACTTTTGCTGAAGTAAACCCTTCACCGTTCAGGTTCATTACCGGGACAGGGGTTGTCTCGTGGACTATTTTGGAGGTTTGTCAGCACTGCCTTTGCCGTTCCAAAGAACTTTGTCGGCTTTTCCTTTGTTCATTGCCAAAGGCCGAATTTGGTAATGTTTCATGTTCCCAGGTGTCACAATGGGGTCTCTTGAATCCTCCCATCACACGTACGGGGCCGCGGATCTCCAGGTCCAGGTCCAGGTCCAGGGTCCGAATGTGTCGTATTGGACTATGGTATATAGCTAGAGTATGCCGCCGGTGAAGGAAGAGTTCATACAAATATACTCCAATGCTCCCAGACTCTAGGCCCATGCTGGATGGCTTCCCGACAACCACATAACAAAGGTTAGTTCTTTGCTGTTCGAACCTCTTCAAGGATGCTAGGACCTTTTATTGACAGATCTTCAAGTGCGAACTGGGTGTGGAACATGTAAACGAAGGCGAGTGCGCTGCGATGAAGCGAGGCCAACTTGCGTGCGTTGCACCAAAGCAAAATACATCTGCGATGGGTACTCGGCGTTCTCGACGCCGTCGCCCCAGTCCTCCAGCACGAAGCTGCTCCTGGACATCCCAGAAGGTGTCTCTCGGGGGATTCGACCATCTGATTCACCGCACTTCTATCGGACTCTTCAAGCAATGGCGGAGCTACCAGAGCTAGATTACCGAGCATATGACTTTTGCCGACGACAAACCACGCACAATATTGCGACACACCACTTGTCCCATTTCTGGACCCACACAGTGCTCGCCGCTTGCCATGACGACTCAGCCATCCTGCATAGTATGCTGGCCCTCTCTGGAGCACACAGGTTCTACTGTGACGCACAGTCGGGACTCGTTCCACTTCGAGCAGCTGAAACGGCGATGTACAGCCATTATGGAAAAGCCGTACGCTTATTGCAGGACCGCATGCGAGCGAAGAGTCTGGGAGAGTGCCAGACCATCCTCATCGTCTGTCTGGTTCTCCTCACGTTTGATGTCATTCAGGGGAGGTATCGAGAAGCCCTAGTACATCTGAATCACGGCCGACGGATTCTCAGAGGACTGCAGGCGTGCAAATCGGAAGTCAGTGGAATGACTGGGTTATACTTGCCGATCAAGGCTGAGTCCACACTAGACGAGCTGTCTTACTCTTTCGCAATCATGGACCTCCAATCGGTGACCTTCGGGAGTGAGGTCCTGCAGTTCAGGCTGATGGGTGACCAGGATGAGGTTGATCCAGGCAAACATAGGATTTCCACAAGCTTTGCCAACTTGGACGAAGCCTGGCGATGCATCTTGCTGCTCCTCAACGAGGTTCATTACTTTGCACTCTCCCTCTCGCAGAGGCAAAGCATTGGATCCACTGATGATCAGTCCTTGCGCATCTGGCAAGGACGAGTTCTTGGATACCTGCGACAGTGGAAACAGGCTTTCGACAACGGACCTCTCCGTACAGCCGCATCTGGTTCCAATTCCAGCTCCGCATGGCATGACCGTTCTGCCCAGCTGCGATTAACCCATACATACCTCACGGTCATTGTCCGAGTACTTCTCAACCGGGATGACGAGATGATCTATGACTCACTGATATCAGAGTACTCAAAGATTATAGCTCTCTGTGAGGAACTGGCAGGCCGACTGCCTTCGATCAAGCTAGATGCAGTCGTCATTCCGGCTCTATACTATGTGGGCGGGCGCTGTCGACATCCCGGTCTTCGGAGACGAGTGCTCCAGGCACTGTCAAGGGTTGGCCGAGAAGGACACTGGGACGGCAGGCAAATCGAAAGATTGACGCGGGAGAAGATGAGGATTGAGGAGGAAGGGTCAGGGTATATCCACAAGGAGAACCATGATGTGCCACAAGATGGCGGGCTTCTGGCTGCTATTGTTCCTCGCCATGCTCGTTGGACCGAACTGTGGGCCGACTTTTCTGATGAGGATTATTCCATGATCCGACTGCAGTTCAAGCGCAGAGTGTCATCTGCGGATGGAGGGACAACGATGGAAGTGCGTCACGTGCTGGTGAGATGTTGATGCCAAGTCAGAAGTGCAAGACGAGGAAGGTGCATAGCCTCGTGGTCGATGTTGCCCAAGGAAAGAGCCAGAATTGTAAGGAGCGATCATGGCCGCGGAAAAAAATATTACTTCTCCTCTCGCAGTTGGATTTATTTCTCTCACCTTCTCTTCTCTCACCCACTCTGTTCCTCTCCTCGTCTCTAATCTATCTCTACCACCAACAATATACCCTCTAGAAACGCCACATGCACATCTCACCAACCTGAAAACCCCACGACCTACAGCCTTGCTCTCTCTGTGTCATCTTGAACCCAGACCCCTTTCCGTCCCTCCTCCTTGTTCCGCACCTTCAGTACTCTCCTCAACAGCTTGCCGGTGCCGCTTTTGGGGACCTCATCGGTGAATTCGATCTCTGAAATCCACTTGTATCGTACCTTTCGATCTTTGACAAACTTCAACAACTCACGGCCCACCTCAGTGTTTGGCTCGATCCCTTTCTTCAACACGATGTACGCCTTGGGTCTTTCCCCAGCATAGTCGTCCGGTATCCCGAGCACAGCACAATCCTCCACCTTTTCGTGTCCCAACAGCAAGTCCTCCAATTCGGCGGGGGGCACTTGCAGGCCTTTGACCTTGATCATCTCCTTGATCCTGTCTTCAATGTGAATCAGTCCTTCGGCGTCAATGTTCCCCACATCTCCAGTATGGAAGAACCCGTCCTTGTCAAATGTCTCTGCGGATGCTGTGGGGTTATCTAGATAGCCCATCGCGATCTGTGGGCCCCTTGCCAGGATTTCTCCCGTCTCGCCCGGTCCTAGCTCTTTGCCTGTAGTGAGATCCAATACTTTTGCGACGGTATTTGCCACCAACAGACCCCCCGTCGTGGCATACTTGTAGTCATAGTGCGAGGGAGGATGGGCGGAGATACAGGCCGTTGACTCCGTGGCCCCATACCCTTGTCTGAATCCTGACCAAGGGAATTTTTTCTGTAGCAGTCCTATAATTTCTGGTGAGATGGGCGCGGAACCAGAAGAGAACCGATCGACATGGCGTAAATCATAGTCATCGACAATCTTGTCTCGCACAATCCGGATGATGATAGGAGGCACCAAGATTAGTTCGTTGATTTGGAACTCGACCACTGCTTTCAACATTGCAGGCATCGTGAACGCCGGCAACATGACGGAATTGCCATTCATGAGCACAGGGTAAGTACAGAATCGAACCAAACCAGTAACTAGACAATGTTAGCACTCACTTTAGCCATTCGACACTCAAGATAGAAGCGCTCTGGTCAAACTTACTATGGAACAACGGCATGACAGCCAAAATTCGGTACCGGCCTTTCGCCTGGATCTGCTTGAGCTGATGACATTGGGCAATGATATTATGATGCGACAGCATAACCTATGACGCATCGACGATGTCGTTAGACCGGGAATCACACAATCAAATCAATCCCCTTGTGGCCACCTGCAGAGAACACCAAGTAGGTATGTACTTACCGCCTTAGGCAACCCCGTCGTTCCACTGCTAAAGTTCAAGTATCCACAGACTTGTGCATTCGTCTTGCCCTTGGGGATACGATATGGCGCCGGCGGCGTGGATCGGGCGCCAATGTCCATCAATTGCTGGATGCTGGTGAATCCTTGCTTGGAGCCTTGCAGTAAGAGGACGTTGGATTGTGGGATTCCAGCGTTTCGAGCCGCGTCCAGCGCGACATCCAAAGATGACGGTAATGTGATGAGGATCTTCGACTTTGCTGTCTTCAAGGCATGTGTCATTTCCTCGGCATTGTAGGCTGGTGATGCTCCGTTGACTCTTCCGCCTGAAGAAAACCATAGGGATGGAAGTTTAGCAATGTCTGTTTTCTCTTTGCTCATTTAGAATCGTGGATTGATCGACTTACCGGCCCGGATTACCGCCCACATGGCCACAGGGTACCAAATGGTATTGGTACTGAAGAGAGACACCGTCTCTCCAGCCTGGAAGCCATACTGCTGGATCAACGCCGTGCTCAATTGCGTCGCCTTGGTCTTGACTTGGGCCCAGTCGAGCCTTTCTTTGGTATTGGCATCGATGTAACCTGCTAAAGGCTCCGCTGGCGACTTGTACAGGGGCGAGTATGGGCCCGGCTCAAAGAGCCATTCCCACGTTGTGATGTCCAAGGGCACTGTGAACGTTTTGTCAGCAGATGTCACTCACAACGCATATATGTTGTTGTTGTCCCTCGAAATGATGAGATCATTGCTTCCATGAGCAGAAATTCTAGGGAGGTGCTCACCCTCAACATCTGGATGCGGTGATTTGAACAGCACCATTTGTGCGGATGGTTTTACTATTGCTTAGTACTCCTTCAATCTTAGACTGTGCAATGAGTAAAGGCGGGGGATGGGGGAAGTAAGATCTCTTGGTCAAAATGACTCGAGATATGTAAAAAGAGGCACGACGACGAAGAGGAGACGCCACGAAATGGAAATAAGAGGTCACTATGCTTGTCAAAATGGAATGGCAAAAAGAGATCAAATGCAATCAATCAATCTTTCCGCTTATTCTTTCAATCTCCATCTCCACCTCCGTGCCTCCCTCGCCTTTTCAGATCCACCTCATGCCGACCGCCACTGAGGTAGCACTGAGCGTAGCTTCTATGAGAACTGGAGTTCGAAGTGCGGAGTTTGGTTTCGTCGATCCTCCTCATTTGGAGCAAGTGCCTCGGCATAAGGAAAGGAGAATGAATGCTTACATAAGGCATGATGTGATATCACAGCCTCGTGTATGTTCGTATATGATAATCTCCACGCGGTAAGGTGATGATGATCAAGAATGTGTGTCGTGCGCAACAAAATTGTCATTCACTTGTATCTTTCCTTACTTCTGCTGTCTATCATCGTACATCGTCATATGTCGCATTCGAGCCAACATCTCAGCCTTACATTCACACTCGATTAGTACGCATCTATCTGGGCGCGTTGGCTCCCATGAAGATCAAGTCCTGAGTCGACATGACGATGCACCACATGGTCGCCCAAGCCCAATTGCTTCGCCTTCTTGACAAATTCTCGGAAGTCAACCTTTCGCCCATCTCTCCACTTGCCATTTTCATCTCGCTCCCGTGCCGCAGGCATGTTCTCGCCACTGACGATGCAGAGGACCGTCATGCCTGGCCGGTATTTCAACCCGCTCAACAGCTTGGGCGTGACCAGGAAATATTGGCTGCCATTGTCTGCTGCAATGTCGACCAACCGACCGTGCACCATGCGCTCATTGCGCGGGTCCATGCCCTGGTTGATCTCGTCCACCACACGAAAGGGTGCCCGATTCAAACTTTGCAAGGCCATTAGGTAGAATATGGTGCTGACCGCGCGTTCGCCCCCAGACTGCCGGTGGCTGTCTAGAAGAGTCATGTTCTCGCTCGCTCGGAAACTAACACTGATATGGATTGCCCAATTTTCGAAATCCAGTCCGTTCTCTGAGCCGCCGTTTTCCTCGGTACAGTCGACTGCCCGGTCCGATGAGGCTTTGTGGACCGCGACTTGTCCCTTGAGACCGATTCGGTGGAAAGACGCAAAGAAGGATTCGCTGATTCGTTCAACATATCCATCCAGTCTAGGCTCCCACCTGTCGCGGATTTCTTTGATGCTATGCTTGTAATCTTGGCTCTGCTTGTCCGCTTCTTGCAGCTGCCTCTCAAGTCGTTCGATACTCCTGGCTCGCTCCTCAAAGTCTTTGATGATGTTCGTGCTGCCGCCTTCTGTCAGTTCGAGTTCAGCTTTGATCGAATCGATTTCCGTTTCGAGGTCCGCTTCTGTCCTGATTTGTTCGCCGACGTGTGCAACAACCTGAGCCAGGCCTGGTTCATCTTCCTCAGCCTCGAGCCGTTCAGCCTCTGCTTTGAGTGAGAGAGCCAATCGTAGCACCGCCTGCGCCGCCGCATATCCCTCGTTGAACGCCTGTACTGCCTCTTCGAACTCGTTTTGCTTGTCCTCAATGCTGCGGATGATGTGCTCGTTCTGGGCAGTCAGGCCTTCAGCATCGGAGGTGGCTTCGATCATCATGACTTCTGCCTCCATCAATCTAGAGAAGGCTTTTCTGAGGTCTCGGGTGGCAGCAGCAAATGCCAACACTGCATCGGTCTTGCGGACTATTGCTGCGTCCCGTCCTTCGATCAGCTTGCTCTCTTGCTCTCGGAAGCCATCTAGTTTGGCTCGGCTGGCCTCGGCTGCGGCTTTGGCGTGGGAAATCTGAGTGGGAAGCACCAGCCAGGCCCTTTGACTCATTTGTATCTTATCTTTCTCCTCACTGGCCTCCTTTGCCGTTGTTGCAGTACGATCTATCACTCGCTTCCACTCTGCGTACTCTTTCTTGAGGCTTTGAATCTCTTCCTGGATGATTTCCTTTTCGCCATTTTTCTCACTAATGGCGCGCTGAAGGTTTGCCTTTCTCCCGGCATCAATCGGCTGATTTGTCCAAATCTGGGCCGGTCTCACATCGCGAACTCGAGACGTATGTCCAGCTGACCCATACTCTGCACGTCGAATGAATTGATAGGATTTGCCACCAGCAACGTATCCTTGGAGGCCGGTATTAGCAACTGCATCGTGCTGTTGCTGACTTAACTCTCTTGAACTAATGGCACATTTGTCCAGCCTCTTGTCTTGACACAGCATCACTAGAACAGTTGCTGGTCCTTGAATATGGTCAATCACCCAGCTATCCAGCCCATACTTATGCATCTCTTCTGTAGACAACGGAGCTTGGATTTGGTCGAGATTGCTGTTGGAGCATGTTCGTAGGCTAACATCGTGCAACTTTTTCTCCTTGAAGAGCTTCTGCTGCAAAAGTCTGAAATCTGTTTGGTTTTGGACAGTAATCACCTTGAAGTCACCCTGCTGGAGAAAAGCCTCGACGGCGTCTGCCATCTTTGGGTCCTTGAGGGAACATTCCACGATTGGAGGGCCATAGACAGTCTGTGTAAAAAGATCTTGATTCTCTTGAATCCATTTCCACGCCTGGAATGTGTCACGCGATAGACTTTGTAGCTTGCTTTCCTGCTGACCCGCTTGTGTCTCTAGTCTTTGCAGGCTTGACTTGAGTTGCGACAAGGCAGTGTTTCTCTCCGCGTCCTGAGCTGCGAGTTGTTCCAAGCGGGGTTGGAGGTCTGCCTGATGTTGTTTGGCCTGTCGTTGCTCAGCTCTGGCCTTGGTGATGAGATCGGAGAGGCTCTGAGTATCAAAATCGCCCTCTTGACTCTCACTGTATTTGATTTCAAGGTCGCGGATCTTCCGTTGACTATTCATCAGTTCACTTTTGATGGTGGGTATACCTGCCCGTTCATTTTTGATGGCATTTGCAGCATCTTTAATCTTGTCTTGACAAGTTTCAATCTCTTTGGCTAGGATGTCGCATTTACGGTTCTCTTCTTTTACAGCTTCGGCACGTGCATCCCGCACACTTGCTGTTTGACGAGCATAGGTTTCCTTTGCCTCTTTCTTCTTGAGAGTTGGGGCTGATACCGCCCTCAGTTGGCTCAGTTCCTTCTTGAGCAAGTCTCTTTTCTCCTTGGCCGCAGTGTACCGTCTCTTGGTCTCGGCGTATTTGGCGACCGGACGACACATCTCGAACCATTTGAGGCGTTGTTGAATCTGGGCACGTTCTCGCATTCGCTCGACATCGGTTCGTTGGTTTTCCTGACGAGTCCGTAGGTGTGTGAGTTGTTCGTTCTGACTTTGTACTGAAGTCAAAAGCTCCACATGATTCTTACGCAGCAACTTGAGTTGCTCATGCATCTTTGTCATGTCGGATGTTGCAACTGCTCGTTGTGTGCTGGCAAGAAGCTCGACTGGGTTCATGGCGGCAAACTCGGCAACTTTGTCCTGAGGCAGAAATTGACAGAGATTGTCGACTTGGATATTGAAGGAGTGCGCCAGCGCCTGGATGGCCTTTCCCGTGGAAGGGCTGTTATTCAGTGTGTAGACAGACTTGTTTCCGTCTCGCTTTATTTGTCTCACGATAACTGGGTTTCTCTTCCCACTCTTTCTCTGGATCTCAATCTCTATCGTAGCTTCGTGACAGCCATGCTTGATAAATTCGTGTGCCTCCTTCGCGCGACCCAGAATCTGTGGGTTGTCAGTAGGAACTGATGTGAGAAGTGGAGGAATAACTCACGGAAGGAGGCCAGCCCAGGCCGAGGCAGATGGCACAGATAAGTGTGCTCTTGCCTGTGCCATTGGGTCCAATGACCATATTCAAATTGGGCCCAGGCCGGCATTCGGCAGATGTGTATGTCACAAAATTGATCATTTTGATCCGAACAATTGCGCCTGGCTGATGAACCGATTTAGAAGGTTCACCTCCAGCGACGATGGGTATTTGAGTCGCATCCTGCAGCAGGAGGTCCTGTGTAGGCGATGGAACATGTAGTGGAGTCAAGCTTTCTTCGTCAACGTCGTCTCCATCGTCATTGCTCCTGGAATTGGGCTGTCGACGAAGTCGCTTGCTGTCATTCGGGGCGGTGGATAAGGGGGTACTCGGCCGGGACTCGTCGTCGTCAGAGTCTCTTGCCCTTGATCGACGCGCGGTGGAAGAGTCCATCTTGCAGTAACATGAGAGCAGAAGCAGGGTGGTATGAGCGTGAGATTTGATGCGTCTTGCACGAAGAAGCTGCTGGTTAGGCAACTTTGAATAATCGAATGGACAAACTCCCCGCGTTCACCAATTAGACGCGTGACGCGTTGGGATTCGCGTGGGCGCATTGAAATGGTCACGTGAGTGTTCGAGACGCCACTTGCCACTATAACTCAACTTGCTGAAATCAAGTGACTACTTAATTGCATATCTTTTCAAACACGATGTGACCGCGGCAGCACGCATAACTGATGTAGTTACATTACTACTACGATAAATATCACAATCGTCGATAGGTTAGGGGCAATCAAGCGGGTATAGTATAATTACAGAATGACCAGATACCCAACGGGTCTCGACCACGTCTCAAATACCACTGCTGACAGTAACACCAACAAAGCAAGGTGTAAGTGCGTGCTAGTATCCGAAAGAGGACTTCCAGAAGACTGTCCCTGCAGATAGGGATGAGATGACACGGTATCAATTTAGAAGAAGTTACCAGCAGGGACCTAGAGAAAATGTCAGAAAGTAAGTTTGATCGAAGATTAGAGAAAACACCTACTGCCAAGAAGATTGCAGTGATGACGGCAGAAATGATGAAGGCTGTGATGAGGGCTTGGACAAAGATTGTATCCTGAATCTGGCGCAGCATTGGTTCTTGGATCCACACCTCTCGATCAAATATTCTGCGAATGATGTTGCGCTTCTCGTATTTTGCGACCCAGGGTTCGTCTTCATAACTGTTGGCTGAACCGAGACTGTCGAAAGAGCCTTTGCCGAGGGAGAAATCGGATTCGGAGTCGTCTGAGTCGCTGAACAATTCCCAGGGTCGAAGATGTCGATGATGCATACCATGCAGAACCTGACAGTGTTAGAGCCACAATACGAGGAAGAACGTCTTACTCACCACACACATGCCCTTCCAAGCAGCGAAAAGGGTTGCAATGCCAATGAACAAACCCAGAAAAGCCAATGCCCTCCAACCTCGGTTGGCGGAGCTGAGAGTAATGACGATGGCATAGACGATTCCAGCGACGATGCCGCCGACTCCAAGTCCTCGGGCAAACGTCTGTCTGGGGGGGTTGCCATTACAGATGGTCCAGCGAATGAAATTGGGGTGGGCTTGGTGCCGAAGAGACCATTCGACTGTTGCAATGACATCACGGAAAGCCGACGGATGGGTGGTGATGGACAGCGCCTTGAGCACAACAGCCCTTTCCTTTGCGGATAGATTCAAGAGACGAGCACTATCGAGGGCGATGTAGATGGCAATAATGCGCGAGATTTCTTCTCTGAAAGGTTGGATGGTAACTAGGTGACACGGTCAATCTTTTGCCGTACACTGGTGCAGTTCCGTGACAAGACTTACAGGGTTGGAGGACGCCGGCCTCACTAAAGGCTTGCTCGGACTTCTTGCTGTGGTTGAAGGTTTCACTCTGCAACGAGGGCATATCATCAGTCCAAACGCCAGTTGATTGGGTCACACTGTCACCGTCTGTTGCCGAATGAGACGGGGTTCGAGGAGGGGTGTTGAAAGGATTGGGAGCGGCTTCCGGCATGGCGTTCTTTGCATTTGTGTCGAAGTCGGTGCCTTTGAGCACTGCGGCGGCTTGAGGGTCGATTTTCTTTGGGAGCTTTTCCTTCTCGCCACCCGTCTTTTCCGCCAGAGCGTCTTCGGCGGTCCATTCTGGGGCCAACTTCTGCTCACTTTCGGGGAGCTCCGCAAAACGTTTGCAGTAGTCGCGGTACCACAGATAGAATTGGAGATTTTCGGCATCATGCTCAATATGGAAAAGAAAGTCCATAAACTCGCGGGTCGTCACGGGCTGCAGGGGATGGTTTGTCAGAATCTGAAAGCAAATGCCCAAGGCAGAGAACAAGGTGAACGACTTACAGGGCAAGTACCTCCACTGATGATCTTGTCGAAAGAAAGAGCGTCCGGGATGCCATATGGGCAACTACCACTGGACGTCACAGATTCGGACTTTCCACCTTTCTCGGAGTCGAGGGACTGTCGTGAGTCCGAGACATAGGCAGGACGACGGTAGTTCAACGACAGAACCATTTTGTCTGTTGAATCGGCCGAGAGAGAAGGCGAGGGTTTCGGTGAGGGAACAGACTTGGTTTTTGAGATGGAAGTCGGGAGAGGTGGTGCAGGCGGTGCAGGGCAGGCGGGTTAAAACGATCTCAGACACGTGGGAGACTTGCACAGCAGGATCTGATTGAAGGTTTGATCTTCAAATGTGGATCAGTGGAAGGAAGGGGCGGGAAATGTTTTGGCAAGAGGGAGTGACTGGGGAATTGGGTTGAGGGAAATGCTCCGACCCTTTGAATAGTGCAAGATGGAGCTGAGAGATCCTCGCCAGCTGAGGTGGGCTTTGTGTGTTTATGTTTTATGGCTGTAGATGTGGAACAGAGGCAACATTGGCAGAGAGGAACGCCCTACCTCTGTTCAAAAACTCAAGAGGCGCCCGAGACGAATGATAGTGTCGTCTGCAGCTTGTTCCTGTCAACGACTAGCTTGGGATGACATCGACGACAAGGAGCCATGTTCATGGGTGACCCCAGCGAGGAGCAGGGTTGAGGCTATTCATGGGCCCCCTGTTTGAGGGGGGAGTTGGTGCTCCGGATGGAAAAGGCAACATGCAGTCAGGTACAGACAAGGTCGGGCAACGTAACAGGATAGTAATAGACTCATTGAGACTCGAAGACAAAAGCGAATTGGCACGCAGGTGACAAAAAGCCAAAAGTGGATAGAGAAGTCCGGATCGGCCAGCGATCGGTCAAGTGCTGGACCATCTTCAGCCATGTAGAAGATGGATGGAGGTGAATGGGTGGCACTACTGCGTGGGTACCAGATGAGGCAAACGATCTGCAAGACCTAAAATGGTTCCACTGGTTCTCCAGTGGGCTCAGGTTTCTGATGTCGCTCTGTTCTTGGACGCCACTAGAGTCCGCCGACGGCATACTTCGAAAGCCTTTCGTGCCTCTCCAACCATCGAGTTTCCTGAGTGGCAGGAAGCCAACAGCCACATATGCAAAGGTAGGCTGGATGTGGAGCTCCCCACGTCATGGCCCAAGGACACCCCGAATTCTCACTTTCTCAAATTTCCCCAAACGCGAGGAAGACTCAATTCACAACAACCATCTCATGTCAAGTCATTATGGTTGCAGTGAATGATGCACCGCATCGAGGAGTTGTGCACCAGCGCTTCGAGCTTCAGAGCAGAGGTGACACAGTCTTCGGATGCGATGCGCGAGTGGCAGTGGATTCGTGGAAACTTGGCAAGGCGATTAGGTAGTTTGGCGTCCGTTGTGAAAAGTTGACAACTCCATGGCTGGTGGCGTTGAGTGCAAGTACGGAGTAGTGGATGGGGACCCTCGGCCTGCATCTCCCCGGAACCAGGTTCAGATGAGTGCATCACTGTGCATTAAAAATCACCACTGGAAGACTGGAACAAACCTTGACCCTGCCTCAGGCTTGGCTCGCGTCTCGCACCCATCCGTGTTCAACCCACTAGCTGCATTCACTGTGGTAATAAAATGTGGTTGAATACGGGACAAGGGTGACCGCCAGTGCTCTGTAGAGCCGCTGCCAAAATTGACACGTTGCGTGTAAAAAAGGCTATGGAGGACTTGGTGTCCAGTAACACGTTTCGGTGATGTAAACACACGAACGACATTCTTGGCCCTTGGGCTGCGGAGCATAGAAATTCTAACAATCAGTAGGTCAGGCTGGAAGCCACCAATATGTTCATGTCGAACGGCATCTTGCAACTCCAAGACATTTGTACGAACCATGTTTTGCTAGACCACGGAGCCTTGGGTAAGAGCTCCATGGCCGTGACCTCGGGAAGCTCAAATGAGGTGGAGTTATTTTAGACTTGGGGGGCGATCAACAAGCGAACGTGGAAGATGAGATTTCCGATCTTTTAGCCCGTTGAGTACTGGAGGGGTGAGCGCGTAGTGTGCTAGCCTATCCAAGGCTCGATCTCGTCAATCTCGGGCCTAAGAGGCCCTATCAAGACGCTACAGCTGACAGCACTAATAAGGGACTACCACGGGCATCGATAGCCCATAGGTCAGCGCCAAGGTGGTTCGGGCTGGCCCCCCGGACGTCTTTCGCTCCTTGCCCGCCACCCAAGTTATCCGGCCGTCCTAAGCCAACAGCAATTCCCCCATTCACCAGCTGCAAGGTCGCGTGCCAATCAACGTCTACGGAGTATGTCTGAACACCTCGAATCAGTATCAATCCCTTCGAGATGTACTCCGTACATACCTATATGGGCATATCCACTTGCCTGAAACACATACTGTACATTCTGGCATCTGTCAAGTGGCGGATACCCTCAGGGCTTAGAAACGGAGTTATATGTCCTCGTATCCTCGTCCTTCTCTACCTGGATGCGTAATGCCGCCTTCGTGCGACGATTGACAGTTGGTTGACGTGCATGCAGGCCACTCCTTCCCGTCCACATCACACACGCCGCAGCGACTTCTTGCCTCTTGAGCGCAGGCCAAAGCCAAGACTGCTGCCTTCCCACAGCGATACGCTATAACCCACAACTCCACCATCAGTTTCCATCACTATCCATTGATCCAGCACATGCATGCATACACTCTGGAGAAATGTTCGGATGTCGCTATTCAATATGCTCTCAGGTGCCCTACACTATCGTTGACGTCCAGTCCAGCATTTGCATCGATCCACCCTACATTCCAACCATCCATGCATGCCCTCTTAATAACCCTGGTAGTTGCGGCGGTGTCGGGAAATCGTCTAACCCCTCCACCCCTGGACTTAATCTCCAACCCACACGGCAAGTTGAGAACTTGCAAGGACCAGGGAACTGGACTCAGCAACTCGCCTCTTGGTCGCAATATGTTTTTACATATGGCGCTATTGCTATCAGCTCCCATTCCCTCGTCATTCATGCCCCAGACGGAAGGCATGTGTAAATTGGATGCGACCTCCGAGAGATTTCATGAGGAAATGCTCACTAGATGCCTTGACCAGGCCTAATTCAGCCTTGTGAAAACTGCAAGACCTCGCTCGAGGAATTCCGAGCTTACCCACACATCCTTTTCACTTTAGTACACTCCCCTTCCGCCAGACAGGGACCAGCCAAACATCAGTCACGTTGTTGGATGATCTTTTGAACTTTCACGTGGCAAAACTACAGACCTGGGCGACCTGTCGTGCTGTCTCCTGTCATGTCTTGACTACAGAGAGACATGATCACCATTGTCCTGACCATGTATCCACACGTGCCACACCACCTTGACCACGCACCAGCCTCCAGCTTTGGCCCCTCGGCCTTTTCCTGTCAATTCCTGCGAACACACTGCGAAGATAGAGTTTTACATGTGGGATTTGAGACGTGTGAGGCGCTTTACAGCTTCTCTTGATCAGGCGAGGTCTTTCAAAGCAGAGTCTGGGCTCTTAACACCTCGGCCAAAGACGACTTTGAGCTTCAGCCCTGACAGCCTGCTTTCGCATCTCGATGTCTTAAAGGGCCGTACTCAAGGGACCTGGCCACTACCAACTTACGCCAAAGACACTACCATGCTGTGAGTTCAAGGCGTTGAAGCTGACGCCTATCAACAACATTCAATGGTGGACAAAGAAGGTTCTTTGGCCCTCAAAGAACCACAGTGCTTTGCCCCGAAGGAATTCAACGGCATGGTACAAAGCATACGCACAAGGCCACTCCCCGGACTCTGCTGTGATTTGACGCAAGGGAGTGTTGAGCTCAAGCCAAACCTACACGAGTCATCAAGGTGAGATTGATCCTTTTATCTGCAGGCATACAAGTGAATAGTACAAGCCGTCCACAGCACCCCGTGCCATCAGCACTACCCCCTTGAAGCCTTTATTCGGCATATCAATGTACCTTGCTCGAGGTTTCCTATTGATGAAAACTCGGGGCATCTTCGCGTCCCATCGAGGAAGCCATCTCACGCAACAGTAAGAATCCTATCATGTGTCCCACCTTAGGTAGGTCCCTCACGCATCAACAGAGACCTTTTGAACAAAGGACACTCCCGCCCAGGCGCTCTTCCAGGACGACGTGGATGAAGTTGACCATTGTTCTAATTTTAGAGGGCACCTTTGTGTGTCCCAAGAAACCAAGGTCAAGAACAATGGACAATGGGATTCTATTTCGAACTAGAGCGGTGTCTGACTTACGGTACATATACATATTGGGCCCAGTATCAAGTGATGGCAGTGCTCAAAGTCAGCTCATCCACAATACATTTGACTACCCATCACCTTTTTCAATTCCGTCCACAACGTCATCATTTTATTCCACGCCTAGCCGTGGAGATCAATCATGTTCTATATGTGGCAAAAGCCGAATACCGAATGTGCTCAAGCATATCCATCACAAGCCGGTTGTTCATCAATATCAGGGAGCTCAGTGGAAAACCATTGTGGTGTAAGTGTGACGAGCACGACTACTACTACTGTCACTCAAACGGTTCTGGTGGGGGCAACGACTCAGACGTTGGCTGAGCAAGCTCCTTCCAGTTCTACAACAGCCGCCACTGGAATACCGCTCTGCTCGTCATCTTTTGCAACTGTTGCCCAGAGTTCTTTGTCCGGTGCACCGGCGTCAACGTCAACAGCATCAGAGACGAGCCTAATTACACTTCCAGGCACTATTGCCACCACCAAAACCCTCAGTCTTGTATCGGCTAGCGCAACAACCGCAACTGATTGTCCAGCTACCACTTTATCCAGCAAGATTGCACAAAAACCTCCTCATTCGTCTTCGTCGTCAGCGGGCATCATTGCCGGAAGCGTCATCGGCTCTGTGGCTGGCTTGGCCCTTCTCGGTCTCCTCATTTCATACTGTTTGAAGCGCAAAGCTCGCCTCAGGCTCAAAGTGAAACGAAAGGTAGAGAAGAGCGACAGCCAGACAGAAGCAGCCCTAGAGGCCCTGGACCACGTGACACAGGAGCGAGATCGTGCCCTGCGGCAATTACAGAGGTAGCATTAAGACGACTTATATATATCAAAAGCTCATTTTCCTTCTAATATAGGTGCTAGTGGCCAGTCCAGAACGATATGCTTCCACATTAGAGTTGCAGCCCCACTGTGAGTTATACTACCAGACAAATGACTTCAGTAAAGCATTTTAAGCGTTGCCTGCCGGTAGGTTCGGAATCTCGTTGTATACACACGCGCATAAAAATGATAGTACGGCCGTTGCCCCCATCGGCTCCTCCGGATAGACGGTGGCCGATATACTCCGTATGCGTATGCATATGGGAGGCCCCACAACCAGGCAACACAGTAGGATGCGACTCGCTGATACACTGCATAACGTAAGCACAAATCTGCGATATCAAGAATATCGGGAGGCGGGAGATGAAAGAGAGATGGAAACAGAGACAGAGAGATAGTCTGAGATATACAGACGCGAAGCAGGTAAAGCGTCAATTTAATTTTCTCCATATCAGTTTCTTTTTCCTGACATTGCGAAAGTTCTTGCGGCTGGACATGACCAGACGTGACCCGACTTGACTGCACCGCACTGCCAAACATGTTCCTCAAGAATGGAAACGTTCCTGCTGCTGCACCGTCGCAATTGGCGCCATGCCATGTCTTTTGGTCCCCGTTCCCCGTCCTTGAGCTGACCGGCCACAATGCACCCATTCAATTGCCTTCATGGAACTGCCCTGCCCATGCTTAAGGCAAAATGGCTTATGATCCCACTCGTGGGGGAAAAAACGCAAAACCAAGTCCAGGCCATGTATGATCACAAAGACAAATGCCGCCTTGTCCTAGCTTTCTGCGGGATACCAAAGGAATGTGAAAGAGGAGAGAGGGGGTGTTCATTCTTCGGGTGGATCGGAAAAGAGACCAATCCGCATGCGGTGGAATTGGGGCAGTTTTGGTATAACCACAGCCATGAGGGCCATGAAATTGACGATGAAGTAGGCGAGGTCGTAGTGGGTGTAATGGGTACTGAGGAGGAAGAGGACGATGGGGACGGTTAGGAGGAACTTCTTGGCCGGGGTGTATTGGTCTCCGTTGTCGATTTGTTCCCACATGTTCAAATTGTCGTAGGCGCCGGCGTTGAATTCAAAGGGAACACCTCGAACCCAGTGAAACATGAGGTAGGAACCGGCCATGTATGTAATATTGGTCAGGGTCCAAGAGATCTCTTGGGTCACACCGGGGAGAATGTCAAACAGGATTTTGAGGCCGATGATTAGTACGGGATGTATCGTCCAGGCTCCTTCAAACCGGTGTCAGTGTGGGTTGTATTGGGGGACTAGGATGTATGGCATATACAGGGGGGAGAGGTCCGAACCTTTGGCATTGACCCATTGTGAATTGAGGTTAGGTAGGGCTTCTTGATCACTGATCTGTTCGAGCGACTCGGCGGGTTCTTGATAGATGATGCTGCTCGATCTCCTTCTCCGGCCACCTTTTGTGGAACTCATGGCTTGATTATAGGCTGAGACTGGAGGGGCGAGTCTGGCATTGGCTTCGAAGGAAATGGTACGGTGAAGGGTGGTTTGGGAGGTCATGAAGCAAGTAGTGGAGAGGGAAGCAGGTGGATGGAATGTTATCTAAAGAAGCAAGTCAGCATGTCGGCACCCGCGTCGCTGGGGGCCAGAGTACGGTAAGATACGTACAGAAAGAGTCGGAATTGATGGGTTGTTTGCGTGTGCGGTGCACGGTGAGTGAAAGGTGTCAGAAGGTGAGAGTGAATGCGGGACAACGGCGTTGGGGGTAGGTGCTGAGAGGTCAAGCAGGGCCGGCGAGAAGACGAGTGAGTGACGTCTCACAGGCAGCGGCAATTGAAGGGTTGCGGTTCGAGGTTGGACGAATGGCAGCCAGGCAGAAGATGAAGGGATTGAAAAGGTTTGTAGATGGTGGTAGATTCCAGGCAGAAGAAGCTCCGAATTTGAAGAGATACAAAGTTACTCAAGAGCAGTGAAAGTAGATAGATATCTGTCACGGGTTGAGAAAATGTTGTTGACAGTGGTGTTTGTGGTGTTGGTGTTGGTGTTGGTGTTGGTGATGCAGAGAACCCAAGTCGCGATCATGGATCATGGATTGGATGGGGTTGTTGGGTTCCGGGTGGGTGCGAATGTTTCATTATTGAGCCTCGACGGACGCTACGAGCCTACGACGATTGACTATGACTCCAGGGACGCAAGAAACCAGAAACAGACCAGACCAAAAAGCATACGACGCTCTTCACAGCCACATCCTAATTCCCACAGTCCAAGGCTCCCTTCGGCCCACATCCAACCCAGAATTGCCTAAATCAGCATCTGGAATCTTGCCACAAGGCTTGATTTGGAGGCCTGGTTCATTGAATGATTGCTTTGCAAACCACCAAGTACGGAGTATATGTATAATGGTTATTGACGGTCCACCGGCACGCTGTAGTCTGCAGTCTCTACATTTTGTGCCTGGGACTTAGACCTACCTAAAGTACCTACCTACCTACCTAGGGATGCATCCTTCAGTAACAAGTAGATGGGCAATCGGGCGCACATCTAGGCACATCTAGGCACATCTAGGTGGAACTCAACAGGAATCTTTGGGGTGTTAAAGGTATTGTTTAAGGGCGGGCCTAAGGGTCCCTCAGGCGGAGACAATTATCCACAGGGGATTGCTTTCGAGGTTTCGGGTGTATGTCTAGGCTCCGTTAGCCCTTGTTACTTAGCTGTCGGTACCAAGCGCAGTCGTTCCAACAAGTCATGTTGTGACAATCTACGGGAAAGAATCTTGCGAACTCTGGAGGCAACCATATGAATCGGTATCATGGACATCGAATGCTTGTGTTACCAATGTATCCCAGTTCAAAGACAATAATGCCTCAATTCGCAGAATCTGAACTCAACGAACTTGTCTCTGATAGACCATATCCTCATGTGGACGTTCTGCCGCACGTGGCGTCCGAACCATCTTAGCAATCTTCGAGTATCCAGGGACAAGAAGAACCCCGCAAAAATTTATTTTTCTAGACCAACAACAACCACTCCATTTACACTCCACCTTGTATACCAAAAGATATGATGGCATGCACCAAGATTAGGTCGTAAACATCTCAATTGAATTCTGGCGTCTTGAGCGCATTGCCTCGGATTGATGTCTAAGACTTCAGGTATTAATATCGACTCCAGAACGGCCGCCTTTGATGCAGAATCCTCTTCCAACGACCACCTTTCTCGTGCCTCTGGCAATCCATTCAATATTTTAGCAAATTCTTCTGCTCTACCATCTGACGACGGCGAAGCCTCTGACTCGGATGGCTCTGTCTTTTACGAACCCGGTACCTCAGATCCTCGACTTCCATCCATTCATAAACCCCCAGTTTCCCCATCTCAACTTCCACAATCTACCTCCAGTACCATGGCCAAAGGATTCGGAACGAATCGCCTTGCCGCTGGCTTCGGTGGCTACAAAGCGGCTCCTGTAGAGGAAGCACTCAGTCCAGGCGTACAAGATGATCCAATCGATCTAATGTCGAGTCCTGGTAACTCTGCCGACCAGGCCATCGAGATCACAGATGATGAAGGCTCCGAATCAGGCGGAATGCTCCTTAATCTTGACAATCCCGCCAACTCTCACTCCCATGCTCCATCAGGGTCTGGCAGCGAAGCGTCCGAGTCCCAAGAGGAGGGCCAGATCAAGTCCACGCCGTCTGATGATGGTTCCGGCGTGGCGACTCAGTCCTTGGCGAATTTCCAGCGACATATCCAGAACGCAGTCCTCCAAGACTCCAACAGTGATACACAATCATTCACTAGACTCATGGATTTGTCTCCAGCAGAGCAGGAATTGCAAATCAGATATGTGTTCTGCGATCAAGATGAATCCTGCATCGATATGACCTCACCAGCACGGTGTCTCACTTGTCTCGCTGCTGGTCATTCCAGAGAAACATGCCCTGAAAGAATCTGTCTCCATTGCTCTGCCGTTGATGAACACACCACACGAATGTGTCCCACCAAACTACGCTGTTCAAGATGTCGAGAACCAGGCCACTCTGCCAGAACATGCCGCTCCAACTCCAAAGTAACCACCATTCCTTGCGACATATGCTCTAATCCACTCCACACGGAAGATTCATGTCCACAGCGCTTCTTTGCCCCCTCCAGCGTCCCGCCCCCTACGCTCCCTGCAAAGCTCTGGATCTCCTGCTGTATTTGCGCCAGCAAAACTCATCTTGTTGGAGACTGTCCTGACGCCGACCAGGACGCCACTGCTAGATGGTCATTGAAACATTTGTCTTCCACCACTAACATAGTCAATTTAAGTCTTGAGAAAGCTACACAGCAACTCGAGAGACAGGCTGCAAATCGCGGCCTAAGACCAGATAATCTCAGGATTAAGGGTCGTGCTGGCACGTATCAAGCTGGCAGATACACGCGCCTGGATATCGAGGAAGACGACGACGATAGTGAGGATGAATTCATTCGACCTACTGTGGCTCCACAGCGTCCTCTTCAATCTCGAATCGCTCCACTCGAGAGACCTTCACGAGACCGTCACCCCCAACCGGGCCAGAACCCCCGACGACCAGCTAACGACTGGTATTCGACCAATTCATTCGGTCAGCGTCGTTCACAATCTCCGCGGCCACCAGCTGAATCTAGAAGAAGAATGATGCCTGATAGACAACGATCTCGATCTCCCCGCCGATTTGATGGTATCCAATCAGGTCGTCGACGGTCTCCAACTCCACGAAGTGACAATGGCGGTAGTCGGAAACCAAGTCCTCCAAACTCCAGGAGATCTGGTCCTGGTCGTGACAACCTGGCTAAAAGCGGTGCCTCTACTGATTTACCTGTCAGGAGAGCATCTCAAAACAACATTGAACATCCTTTGCCTGTCAAACCTCCAGCAGCAGCAGCAGCAGTGACACCACCAGCAGCAGTGGCTTCTGCAACGACAGCTGCGGTCGGACAAAGCCAGAAATCAACACCATCTTCGAGCGGCAACGACACTGCCGGTACAAAGAGAAGGAGGCGTCGACAGTTTGCTAAGGCGTCTTCTGCAGCGGCTCAGAAAATATGAGACAGACGTGTTGATCTCATATCACGACCTCATGAATGACCCCGTTCGCCTTTGACCAAGCCGACGGGTCTGAGTTGGAGTACTTCAGGCTCACCAATACGGCCCTTGCTTGATACGAATGATCTTCAAGACAAGGGAAACACAATGACAACATTAATTAAACTTGCGACCTGCTTGAGATCGCTTACATTGGGTTTCAAATTATTCACTGGATTGTACGACGTCTCAAGTCATCTGTCTGCTCTAGGTGCTCAAGCAGTGACACAGACGCAAACCCTCCCAACGTCTTGCCTTTGGCTGATGGACTAAGACTGGTATTCATAGAAAATTCCTCCTGATGTGTTCCATCAGCTGCTCACAAGTTGGCATGTGTAACAAGAGCCACACAAGCATATGGCTATACGACTGTAAGGTCGCCCTCAACTTGATGGAATGAATTGTAAGACAGCAAGACTAGCTAGGTTGAGATCACCAATCGGCGCGGTGAATGATCAAATAAGAGGTTGCAGGCGTGACATAGCATCGGCCTCACCATTGAACCCGCCTGGGCACAGTCAGTTCTTCTTTGTTCCAACCGCTGGCAACCGGCTGCTGAGGTTGTCCGATAGTGAATTCTGCTGGATCAGGCTCTGCCTGTGGGATCTGCTCACCGCCTTTGACGTCCATGTGTCCCGTCATTTTCACATCCTCCTGGGCCATCACTGGTGGCATTTCCGCCATTTGAGTCCGCGCGGGAACAGGGGGTGGTGCATCTGGTGGAGGATATACGATGTCTCGTTTTACCGTCTCCACCACTTCTCCTACGCGGTCCGAACGTACGTAAACCAACAAGTACGGATTTGGTGGGACGTTGTAGCTGTCTTGTGGTGGCTTCCCAAAGATCTCATTTCGGTTCTGAACGACGGTGACATGGTCGTCGTTGTACTTCCTCCAAATCTCCTTTTGGTGGTCGTAGATGTATACCCAGTAATGTCCTCCACCTGCACTACCACGATGGAAAAAGGCAGCGTGCAGGCGATACGGGTGTTTGCGCATGTCCACGAATGCCTCTTTGATCTGCTGCGAGATGTCCGTGGCCCGGACCCGAAGATCTGGACGAAAGTCAGAACGATAAACATACTATTGAGAAAAGAGTTGAAAATACCTTCGAGTTCAGTTCTGGTACTGTCGGCTAGGGCGCCTAGAGTGGCAATAGTATTGGGGTCAACGTCAAGATCACCACCGAACGTATCTGCTGGCACTTCGGCAAGATATTCCAGTGCGGTTTTGGCGTCTTCGAGAAGAGTGGGTATGTCCTTGGATTGACCCTGTAATCGAGTGTCAGCTTCTTATTCAACAAAACAATAAAGAACCAAGTGCTGGCCTACATGCTTCTCTTCCAGTACACCTCGGCGGCGCGAGATGGTCGCGAGCTCCCGTTTGAGGTCCCAGGTGTGTCGACGACGTTGCATTAGCTCCGAGTCCGGCCCACTTTCGAGGTATCGGTCCATGTAGATGGTTTCTGGAACTTCTACATGATGATTCAATTTCTCCTGGCGTTTTGTTTGATTGTTCCACGCCACGCGATCGAGCTGGACACAGAGTATAGGAGGGAGTGAACTGAGTGAGATGTATCCTTTGACTGCGTTGCCGCCAGTCTGCAAGTCAAACTCGTTGTCAATGGCGGCGTATACGTCTGCAGGCTGATGAAACACCCGGGTGATAATGTCTCGATACTGCTCAGACTTTCCGGGAGAACCATTGTCGTTTTCGGTATGCAGAATCAGCTGGCCGTAGAAGGTGTCGTGTACTTCGTCCAATTGTTCGCCTGTCTTGTCAAACCCGGTTGGTCGTATAGCAGAGGACAATTGGTTAAGAACGTGACCAATAACTTCTGTGACATCCTGCTGTCTAGCGTACTCCTCCAAGGTGATTGTTGTAGCTTCCAATGGCTTTCTAGGGGGCACTGGGGGCGGCTTGCCTGGGGGTGGCAGGTATTGCATGGGTTGTTCCTTCGTAGCATTTTCAGTCGCAATGGATACTTGGAGTGTGCCAGCTTGAGAATTCAGCTTTGAAGGAGAGGCGGGAGTAAGGGGCGCGTTGGACTGGTTTTGGGTAGAAACAGAAGACTTGACAAGGTCGCCCTCTGGTATGGGGGCAAGATTCTCCTTGTCGTCTGTGATAGCTTGTCTTTCGGCTTCGGGATCATCTTCTGTCAACACTGGCTCTGATTCTTCTTTGGAAACAACCGTCGCTTCGCTTGAATTGTCATTCATATGGACATCTTTTGCGCCGAGTTCTTTCTCATGATTGTCATGGTCATTCGCGTCGTTTGGTGGTAAGGAACGTATGTCGACTTCTTCTGCAGGTGAAAGTAATATGGTGTCGCCAACATCACTTTTGTCATATTCGGCCGAGGAAAGAGGTCCGAGGAAGGGCAGACTGTGAGTTTCACTTAGACTTGGGCGTTCTCCTGTCTTCAGCGTGGATCTGCGGCGAAGCTTCTCTTTAACGCTGTGACTCTCTAAGGTCAAGCGTGCAAGTTCCTGCTCTGGCTTGATTGAGGACTGTGGAGTTTGAATCATTCCTCTGAACAGTGTGGCGAGGCTGTCAACAACTACCACATGTTAGCGACCCACATGCTATACTGATGTGGACAACTTACACTTCTGCCCAGTTTGCACTTCCTTCAGACTGACTTGGCGCTGGCCAACTCTCTTCTGTCGCAGACTGACATCATCGAGAGGCATTTTATATTCATCAAAGTTGAGTACTATGTTTCGTAGGTCAACAGTTGTAAATAAGACTTGCAGCAAGCTGTTCAGGTAACATGTGTTTCCAATATTCTCAAGACCCACGGGTTCGTCCAAGGCGCCTTCTGGGTCCTGGGGTGCTTTGCTGTGCAAGTGATCCATTAAGACAGTGCTTCCTCGGGCTGTTGCGATCGCCGTTAGGGCCCTGGTATAGAAATCTGCACTGGCTGGGTTCTCGTCGACGGTGAATTTGTATTGCATAAGAATCATCTCGTCGTCCACCTCGCGATTGTCAATTTGAAGCGCTTGGTAGCCTTCGGCAGGCTCCATGCTGGGTTCGATCGTGAAGCCCGATTCAATCCAAGTAGTCAAGAGTTGGCTCTGGCGCTCCTTGGCGATGATTCTCAAGGCCTTGATGGCTCGCTCTTCGACGTTTTTGTTGTCGTTTGTCTTCACTGTGTCAGTAACAAACAGTGACACAGGCTTAGAAACACAAACCTTGACCGTAAACATGGTACGAATACCCTCATCGTCGGTTGTGGGGGAGGCATCGAGGAATGCTAGGGCTTGCCCGTAGGTTTCCATGACTTTTCGTATCATCAGTAAGTGGGGTGACGGCTTATAGCTAAGGCTTACCGTTTTGTGCCGTGTCATAAATTCTTTTGCTATTTCGATGGACTCCAATCATGCGAAGATACTCTCTAAGTTGATGCTCGTGTGCAGGAGAATCTGTGAGTGTGGCGTTGAAACATCCGATGACATCCTCATCCGTGACAAGCGCCTCCCTGCCTGTCAGTTGCAATGCTTTGTATGCTTGATTCAAAGATTCAATCTCGAAATGACCTTGGGAAATCTGCAAAGCCACTTCTGTTTCCAACAGGTCGCTCTGTCTGTCGTTTGCAATATAACGGAGATTGCTCAAATACGTTGGAGTGTTCTGAGGATCGGTTTGGACCTGCCAGTGGTATGCTTTAGATATGAGATCGTCAGAGAGGTCGGAAGGGCAGCCAAGAGCAACAAAAGGCCCCGTTCTCATCTCTGCAATCTGCTTGGCCGTCCGACTTGAGGGGTGTTTGTCGTAGTCTTGACAACCGAGAACCCTGGAGAGCTCCCGATCAGCAGCAACTGGTGCTGGCAAATCCGGCAGACTTTGCCTCTCGTCATACGGGCGTGAGAGCAGTAGAGAAATGATTTCATGCTCCGCGTCGTCGATGAACATATTGTTCCAGCCTTGAAATGGTTGGGCCTCGTCGGGATCAGGCTCGGGAACTTTCCAAGTCTCCCCCGCCTCTGACCTGAAACCCAAATGCTCTAGAACATCCTTGCAAGCGACACCTCCCGGCCCGAATCGAACGATAAATCTTTTATTGGACACGTTGATCGAGGCATACTTGGGGTCTTGCTTTGCTCTCCAGGAATTCTTGAGATATGACCGAAGGTCACATAGGACATCGGTGGGGTTTGGGTATTTCATGCCCTCGGTGGAGCCTTCTTGTTTTCGAAAGGCATCATCTGTGCGCTGACGTAGAAGACCGGGATCGGTCAAGACCTGGACATCATATGGACGAAGCACAGGAGGTGTGACCCTCACAGTGACTAGAACGGAACAGCGCAGGGCGGAGCATCGATAGGTGTATATCTCCGCGGTCGATCCTATTTGCTGACGCCAGGCATTCTTTTCCAGAGGCTCTTGTAGCTCGTATCTGACCAGATGATGAAGTGGGTGGTCTGGTGTTGGGCATGGTCTGTCTTCGAAGCGGACGGTGTAGTCCACCTTCAAGTGTAGGTGAAGCCTACAGCTTGAGCAGAAGGCTGCAACGGTCCATACCGTCTCTGGCCCAGGCCTCTCGTCCAACTCTGGAAGCCGTGACTGTCTGGGCTTCAACGAGAATCTGTGTCTGCAGCTGCCGAGGGGTACATTTTCGCCGAGATGCTGAGACTGGCTGAAGATGAGAGGTGACTCAGCCAGTAGGTTCGGGACATCGGGACTCCATGGCGTGTAGAGGGTCAGATCTTGAAGGAAGGCCGGTGCAGTTCGACCTGCTAATGTCATTATTCGTCCCACTGACCCTCAAGCCTGGTGAAATCTACACACCCGATCCTTTGATGGGCGCAATCAAAGAGCGTATGTCTGCTTGCACGCCAGCCATCCAAGGATGTCTGGTCTTGAAATGGATGGCGTCTCAACGGATATGAAGATTGTGCCGCTTCTAGATGTTGTTCGTCTCGATGGGACAATGGCAATGCAGAGGTTTATGATAATCTAGGCATTTGTAAGGGACAGGCAGGGTCGAGGGAGACGAGGAGAAGGAGGAGGTAGCGTTTGAATAAGGCGAATGAGATGAATTATGCAGGCAGGCTGTGGGCAGTCTTGAGATTGGAAAAGAGACTGAAACTGGCGAGACTGGAAACCAGCGCAGTCTCTTGGAGGACAATTAGAGGAAGGAACGGACGGAACGGTAATGGGTGCGAGTAGTATTGTACAAGGTGGCGCGTATGGCGCTCAAAACAACGAAGAGGATGTAAATCTGAGGCTAGAAGTACATATCTACAGTCGGATGGAAATCAGAGAAGAGATGTAGTACAAGAGTACTAGGTATTTGCCTGGTGTGGTCTACACGATTCTATAGATGGCGGCCTAGCATAGCAGGTGAGTGTTGGCATGGAATTGAGCTTCTATCACGTCACGGGCGGCGGCTCTGACAGCGCCAGCAACAGCCAGTCAGTTAGGCGTGGTGTCAAGCCCGCGAGTGCCCCTAAGTCTAATAATTTTGGGGTAGCTGGGAACATGACTCGCCTGTGGTGCGCGGCTGCAAAGGCTCATCAAACGTTGTTCGGCAACAGCCTCTAGGCATGTGGACACTTGAAACTTGCTAGGCACAACTTTCCACTCAAAAGTTGGTACTGCCAAGTCGCGTTGGAGAAGACCTCTTCACGTGATGGCTTTGCAACACATATCACGTGACTACTATCTGCGATAATGATTGGTGCAGAAGCTCAACCAGTCGACTGCGTCCTGAAAGTCATTACCATTGATGCCAGTTAGAACCTTGGAGTGTCGACCGCACCTCGAGTCACTCAAGTCCAAACCTGCAGTACCAACGCACGAGCACGAAAGCTCTCTATACATCCAGGCTTGCACGGTCCTGCTCTCTGATGAGGTGAACAAGTCGAACCCCAATCACCTCACGCCGAGTCGCAACCATGGCCGATATTCTTGACCCCAAACCGATCGACGCCGACGAGGCCTACCACCCTCAAGATGCCCTCAGCGGATCCATACGCGCTGCAACTCTCGGAGGAGCAGCTGGGCTGTTCTATTCTGCAATCGGGAATACTCTGACAAAACAAAATATTGGTGCCTTTGGAGTCTTTACAAGATTTGGTGGAAATATCGGATTATTTGGTACGGAAGTCCAGCTTGGATCTTATCCTATGGGCACCTTTCTGACCATGTCGTAGCGGCCGCCGGTGGTACATATCAATTCATTGCGAGCGCCTCTGCCAATCTGAGGGAGAAAAACGACTTTGTCAACCATTCCATCGGTGGAACGGTAGCTGGAGCGTTGATAGGTGCTTCTAGTAAGTATCTTGCAAACAATCCACTCCGAGAAAATTGCTGACACGATGCAGGCCGCAAAATGCCTTCAGTAGTGTTGAACGCTTTCCTACTCGGCGCAATCTCTTCTGTTGCAGGCTTCACCGGCACATCAGTGTTTCCTTCCTCTGTGGATGCACCAGAGGTAGATCGTATTGCCGAGAAAGAAGAAATGAGAAATCGTTTCAGAAGGCCGGTAAACGAGACGATCAACGAGCTTGGAGAAGGACGAGGTACGTGAACAGAGCTTGGTTGACAAGCACTCATGAGACTAATTTCGTGCGCAGGTATCTATGGACAGGGATATGAGGAGAGAAGGAGACAACGGTTGAAGGAGAACTACGGGATCGATGTGCCAGAGCCATTCTACAAGTCAACGTCATAGCGCCTCGAGCCGACTCATGGTCATGGACATGATCATAAGCGTGGTGGCTATAATCTGGGTATACCTGTCGAATTTGTCCAGGTCATCTCTTCATGGCCACCAGGTGCGACGTCTTAGCCTCGCCATTATGGAATTGGTTCGGCCATGATCACGGCATTGGCAGTCGTCTTTACCACACTGTACATAGCATATTTCGAGGGAAGACTGGTAGTAGACCGTCGAGGCAACATGGTGCAATTGTAGAACCAATCAAAAAAACATAGCTCACCCGTTGAGCCACACTCGTTGTTGTGTCCTTGAAAAACGACAATAAATCTCTATCAACTGCGGTCGAGGTAGATGGAATCGGCGACCGTCTTGTGACTGGGGGTTTGGCGGAAATCTATAGATCGTTGACAGTCCTGTCAATCTGCCACATTCGACAGTTATCGATGACCATGAGTCAAGGAGTCGATGCTTTTACGAGCGATGGAAATGAGAGCCAAAGTTTTAATGGGTTGCTTGTCTTGAGCAAGCCAGTCTTGACTCCCGATGCACGAGCATTGTACCGGCAAGTGAATTAAGAAATAGTACTTAATTACACATTGCGGCAGAGGCCGGAGGCTGGGGGCGTAATTGTGCACGAATTAGGAAGATTACGAGTAGTTGAGCAAGCAACCCTGTATGCAAGAGCTACAGTCAGCAAAACCCCCAGACGGTGTGCGAGTCACAAGCACAAGTTAGTAAGGTAATTTGGAAGTAGCGCGGAGTACGCTCCAAATGTAGATGAATGCTTTCATTTTGTGTTCACCTGGTCAAACACAATGTCTCTTGTCCACAACGGTGAAGTTTGGGTTGATGGGGGTTGACTGATCTAACTTAATCTAAACCGTGTCGGCAAATTGTCGTGAATCTGCGAGTCATGAACCCCAGATACGAGCGGGATGTTGCCATGATCTGGGATCCCTAGCCCAAGGCCTGGGGAAATAGGGATGTTGCGCACCAATGGAAGGAAGTGTTTGGGGGCGACTTGGAATGGAGAATGGAGAATATGCAACATGCAACATGCAACGTGAGTGATGCAGTCAATTTGATCGGACAAGTCGGAACGGTAAAGCCGTATTGGCCTCTCTGACATGTGATTGTGCCCGGCAGCTTGCAGAATATCAAGTTACGATTTACGATCTGCACGAAGCGAGTTGGAAGCCCGGAAGCACTCGTTCGCGACGCTAGCTTGGCGGACGAGTCAGGCTCGATCTACGGAGTAGGTGACTGACAGCGACGGTGGTGGTTCCATGGATTCTACGCATCAAGTAGATGGAAGACGTCGGTGTCGATCGACAGTTGGACGACCGGAGCAAGTCTCCAGATGAGCTGTCGAACCACTCTGTCAGTGCAGGGAACTAGATTTCTGGGCTGAGCTCTACCTGGAGTTCTGGGCTATGCATGTTACTGACGAGTCCTGCAGGATCCGTACACAGCCAGCTGACAATGTTGGGTGTTCATGCATTATCCCTCACACTACTACTGTAGACTGCCGTTTGACTTTGAATAGAAGCGATAAATTGAAGAGTTTTTACTCTTGTCTAATAGTTCGCTATTACTATGATTGATACCTCGAGATTCCACAAGTGTGACGTACATGAATCAATAATTCCAAAGGTAGAGTAAATAGCACACCCATAATAATACCCACCCTCCCCCAGACCCAACCATCAGAGCTAATTGGAGTTCGCATATGACTTGAATTGGACACGAGGAGCCCTAAGCCAAGATCTTTACGGGTCAATGTGGCACCTCGGGGAGCTGTCACGGCGCTCATCTAAGCACTCATTCCCGCCTGGATTGGGGTCATCCTCAGTCTAGAGAATGGCAGGCACTACGAGAAGGAAGTTTTGCTGGGAGCGACTCTGTCCCTACTTGAGGTGCTTGGGAACTTTGAAAGTTGACCCAGGCCTGTGACCATTGCAGCTGAGTCTGTGGAGCCCGAGCCCCTAAGATCCTGCTAATTCCTCCTTAAGAGCTGTGCCTCGCGAGGTCGGCAGCTCTATCTTGATGGAATTGTCACTACTGCAAGTTTCAGCTTCCTTGGTCAGTACTTTAGATATGCGCAGGCACCGGTCTGCGTTGGACCTTGGAGCTGGATGCTGGAATATGCAGACTTATTCCTACCAAGGATTGCTATGCTAGACCGTGCTTGCAGGTACATTGCGGCACCTGCTCGGCTCGAAATAGTTAAGAGGTCGTGATTCATGGCGTATCTGCGCCACTGCAGTTAATTAATCGACTAGCAGGGCAACAGTGGGCCAAGGGCGCCCCTTGGGCCATCGAGGGCGCATGTGCGGGTGGGAAATGGCTAAGGTCTGCTAGTGGCTCGCTGGCTAATAGAGTCAATTGGTGCTGGGGGGCATTACGGAGTAGAGGTGGCACGGTGGTCCAGGTTGGCGGTCATGGAGCTTGGACGAGCGTCTATGGCCTCTCGAGTCTCTCCACCTCCCCACTCTGACCCTGGCCACCAGTGCTCCCGCCGAGCTGTCTGGGTGCAAATTCCACTATGGTGATGCCATCGAGTCATCAACCAAGCCAAACCACCACCCCGAGTACTGCGTCGCCCCATCAGTGCTCATCCAAGTTCGGCCTAACCCAATAGACCCTGGTGATCTCTGTCACTCATCATCATACTTCCCCCCTCTTTCGTCAATCACTTCGGCAGCCCTTTTTTCATTTCCCACGTTGCCGGTTGCACCGAACAACCACAGACCACTCGCTGAGACGAGACACATATTCCTGCACAGATCCAGCACCACCGCACCACCGCACCACCACATCACCGTCCAGTAGTCCAAGAAGAGTGTCAGAGTCTCCTTCTTACTAACGGCACAGCTCTCGGGTTAATCCTAGTACCTATTATTGTAACTTGCCTGCTTGCCTGGAGTCTTGTCGTCTCCAGCCGTTGTGGTTATCATCTGCCACCCAGCTACCTTCCTGCATTCCTCGACCTCCACCAGGACAAGGAAATCGACGTCATCCACTTTCCAACCACCCACCCACTCCTTCCTTCCATCGTCGCATCTCGTTTCCTTTGTCCTTCACCGTCCCTCACAGGTCTTGCACCTCATCACCCCGTAGCTCTCCACCTTCTCATCACCTTCCTTTCTCAATCACCACCATCTATCACTCCCACCCAACTCCCTCGTCCTGTTCAACTGCAACAGCGAGATATACCTGCAGCACTCACACAGACTCATCTCCTTCCGCGCCATGTCCTCGACGAGATAGCTATCAAGCTAGCTTTCCAACTTGGACCGACTTTCCTCACATCGCGCCAGTGCACCCCTGACAGCCAACTTGAGCTCTCATCGCTTTCCTCGACTTCAACATGGCTTCCAGACCCATTACCCCCCTCTCCGCCATTCCCGGGCCAATCTCCCCAAACGCAGCTCACTCGATGCATTCTGCGCATGTCAACAGCATCAAGCCTTCTTCGAGAGCCCCCTCCTTCTCTGGAACTCAACCCATAGACACCATTTCCAGAGAAGAACAATCTCAGAACGCTGTGCACCAACAACCTTCTCTCCTTTCTCACAGCAATTATGATGAGGATCCTCCCCGGTCAACTCTGAATGAAGATGCGCCCGAGCTTCCTCGCTCCAATTCTCAGCTCTCGAACTCCCATTCTGCTTTACCATCAAGAGGTGGCACCTTGAAAAAGAAAGCCTCCCTCCATAAAAGCTCAAGCTTGAAGAGAACCGCTAGCAAACGTAGTAGCTACGCTGGCTCTGTTCGGAGCTTGCAGCTGGGAGAGAAAGAAAAGTATGGAGAGACTGAGGAAACCAACAGCGTCTTCTACTGCCCTGTTCCAACTTCAGGTAACCCAACAGAGCTTCTTGCGAATCGCTTTCAAGGTATGTGTGCGCAACGAAAATCGACTGCAAACTTGCACTGACCCCCTTTTAGCATGGCGAAAGGTTCTCAAAGACCTGATCAACTACTTTAGAGATCTGCACAGGACATACGAAACTCGTGCCAAATCCCTCATCTCTACCTCAAATGTCATCAATAACACTACCCTGCCCCCAGGTTTCCTCAACGCTGGTGGTATCGGAGACGCAGCCTACATTCTCAGAGACTTCCACAAACAAGCTCTAAATGAAGCCAACAAAGCTCGCGACCTCCACAATGAAGTAATAATCCAGCTGACCGGCCTTCGCAGTGATCTACAACAGAAGATCAAGGAAATTAAAAGCCTGTCCGGCGATTTTAAGAATTCGGTGGACAAAGAGCAAAACAACTCGAAAAATGCTGTTCGCCAACTTCAGGAGGCTTTAGGGTCCGTTGATCATGATGCTGCTGCAACAAGCGGCAAGGGGGATCCATTCCTTGTCAAGCTCTCCGTTGACAGACAGATTGAACGTCAAATCGACGAGGAAAATTACCTCCATCGGGTGAGTGAACTTCTACCTACGATTGACAGAGCCACACTGACTCTTTTAGGCATACCTGAACCTTGAGGCTTCTGGCCGTGAACTCGAGTCGATTGTCGTCGGCGAGATTCAAAAGGCGTACAATGTCGTTGCTGGCATTCTCCGTCGTGAAGCAGACGACTCATACGACGCAGCCGAGAAATTGAAGGAAGGTCCTTTGGCAATGACCAAGGACCATGAATGGGACGAATTCGTCACCACAAATAACCAGATGATCGACCCGAGGAACCCTGTCCGACAGTTCTCTCATATTGTCTATCCAGGCAAGGATCATCCTGCCGCGATTGAAGTTAGGAGTGGTATGCTCGAGCGAAAGAGCAAATATCTCAAGAATTATACCCCTGGATGGTAAGCCCACTTTCTCTTTTCAAAATGCCCCCTCTAATTCATATTGCAGGTATATCCTATCTCCCACTCATCTTCACGAGTTTAAATCTGCCGATCGCATTGCCTCGCAGTCACCAGTAATGTCTCTTTTCTTACCTGAACAAAAGCTGGGGTCACACTCCGAAGAGGATTCTTCGTCTCACAAATTCATGCTCAAAGGACGACAGACAGGGTCTATGCATCGTGGTCATTCTTGGGTCTTCAGAGCCGAGACTCATGACACCATGTTGGCGTGGTTCAACGACATCAAAGAGCTGACTGAGAAGCGTGGCGAGGAGCGCAACGAATTCGTCCGCCGTCAGCATGCTCGTTCCATTTCTGGCAACAGTTTGAAGCCTGCTAGCATCATCAGCTCAGACGGCGCCCTCGAAGAGGACGAGGCTGATCGCATCGCATTCTCGGGTGAACAATCCGTGCGTGGCAACTCTGTGGCCGAGGGGGCGCTTCTCGCCGGAGCAAGTGGCCTTGGAGTGGCAGGAATCGACGATCTCGACGATAATCGATCCGAGGCTGGATGGCGTCCACCACAACAACGACCTGCACCAGGTGGGCGATTTCCATCAGATGTCAATGTTCAACGAGGCTTACAAGCACCGCTTTCACCTTCTAGTGGAGAAAGCTCCGATCGCGACCGGGACATCATAGCTGCTGCAGGAAGTCTCCCTGGCAGTGGTATACCGTTTATTGGCTCCACCGAACGGCATACCGAGTTGCAACCTGATGGGTCTCACATACATGAGCCTGCGGGACAGCCACAGTATACTGCCGGCCACCACCCCAATATAACCTCCACATCACACGGCGCAATTGCTCCTCAAAGCGGAGCCAGTCAATATGGAGAGTGGATGGCCCCCATTGGTGTTGGAGTCGTCGGTGCAGCGGCCACCGCAGGAGCTATTTATCATCATGAGAAGAAAAAAGAACCAACAGAAACATCACCTGTGGAAGAGGAAAATTCCGGAATTCCTTCCTACGGCCACTCATCTCCACCTATCCCCGTTGCAACTGTTGCACCCACCGATGCACCCACGGGTCCGCGTGCAATGAGCGAGACCACCACCGCGCCCAGTTCAGCTCTAGGGAATGCGGCATCTTCAGGCACCGAGACCGGCACATTGTCGACTGTTCCGACAAGTATCGGTCATCCCAGCCAAACGGAGAGTCTTTTTGACGCAAATGGTGTCTTTGTCGGACCACGATCTACAGATACGGCACCTACTGATTATACACTGAAATCGAGAGCCAAAAGCCAGACCACAATTTCGGACCTGCACATCCCGGGCGAATATCCACCGACACCGGCGCCGAACGAAGAGCCAAAGGTCTATGGAGCTGTTGTCCATTGACCTATTAGGTTCATATCATCTGTTTAAACGGTCACCGAGTTTGGAATCCTTGGAGTAAGGTGTAACCCGAAGAGGGGCAGTTTTCAATCCGTCAGCTTATCGTTTCAGTTTTTTCCTCTGAGATACCACAATCGCTATCTGCATTTTCCATTCACAACTCTAACTCTGCATTGGGGTTGGATACTTTTTGGTCTTCCGCAAGGTTTGTTCTGGCAGACGATGAAAGACCCAGGCACACCTGCACAAACGCATGCGGGAGATATTACGAGAAGACCTCAAGCCAGGAGTTAATGTTAAGGAGGTCCACGATATGGGATATTTGAACTCGCAGGCCAGGGAAGCTGCCGTGTCTCTTCGAAGCACTGGTGTCATGTTTGGGAAATTGAGGTTTATGTCCTGGTGGATGAAGTAATCTACACAACCGAGCATCTGGAGTGGCGGTTGTCGACATATACAAAAAGTGATGCATTCAATCTTGTATTCATGGTTGTCTCGTCCTCTCACGTATGTTTCGACAATGCGGTCCTATAGGCACCTGCACATAGGTACAGCACGTACGAGTAGTCCTGATATACATAGTACTCGTTCATCTTGGACACGGAGAGACAGACACCCATCGCATAATCAATCAGTCTTATCGTTTTACACAAGATCGTTGCGTCATCAACACCAGTGGTCTTCTCTTGGCCTAAAGCTAGTCATGAAGCCCGCATGCTCTATCTCGATCCGCTCCTGTAAACCTCATCGTCACGAACTGGTCAAGAGCAACTTTGGTCTTGTCCATAGCCTGCAGAACGGGTTGCATCCCATCAGTATTCGTCTGCATACTCGTGAGATGACTTCGTAATCGCGTCATGATGTTTTTCATGTCTGGCTCTAGATCGTAATTGAGAGACGTGCCACTGCTGGGTGGATTTCTTTGTGTCGGCCGTAGATGTGGCTGCGGCTGCCGCTGCTGTTGCAGCTGTTGTGATGATTCGTCATCATCGCTAGATTCCTCTTCGGCGTCGTCACCTGGCGCACTAGCACTTCTCTGCCGGGCTTTGCCACGTTGTCCCCTGGCCACGCCATGGTCTATTGAATGGTTCAGGGCTCTAGTCACAGGATGCAAGCCGCGTTCCTGGACTTTCCGCAACCTAGTCTCACTCCTCAGAGCGGTTTGCAGAGTGTCAAGCTCGGCGCGATCCCGTCTTAGCGCCCGTTTCTCGCGTTTCATCTGTGCGCGCAAGAGGTGTGAGGTCGATGTGTGCATTGATAGAGTAGATTCGAGTGTGCTGATGCGGTGCAGCGTCGCTTCCAAAGAGAAACTCTCGTCGGTGTGGTTGTTCGAATTGCCGTTGGGGTTGGAATTGGTCGATGACGGCGGGAAAGGCATCCGTGGTATGCGTCCGAGTAGCCTATACAAGAACATGGCCATCAGTATTGACACCACGTCTATAACAAAGTCCTCCTTTGTGGTGCGCAGTTTGTCTTCTTCCCAAGTCTTGCAGCACCGACTCGAGACATAGAATTGAGATTCGTTCACTCACTTTTCTGTCACCATGTCCACCGCGGCCTGATACTCCTCATCGGCCTCTTGTTTCTTTGTCCGGCCCGGCCAACGCTGCGGCTGCTTCGTTGAATCTTGACTTTTTGTTTTCAGCGATGCCATCGTTGGCACCCTGCTGTGATCATTGGCACCGGCTCGACGCGCCTTGAGAGATAATAGGTTTGCCCTGATACGGTCCTGGGAAGACTGCGGCAATGGCTTCCATTTTCTGCGGATTGTACTTCGCGATATGTGACGGATGTGTGGGGACAGATGTGCAAAGCCATCACTGCCCCTCGGCTCAGTGTTGGATGAGGCCATTTCTGAATTGGGATTCGCTTTCGTTGCGCCCATGGGTTTAGGAGGTCGAGGCAAGATGATGGTTTTCAGGTTGGGATATAATCGCTGTCCCCTTGTCAGTATGGTTATGACAGAACCGTTTTCAGTAGAGTTACAGTGAAGATACACTGTGCATGCGTACCACGGTATTTGCTGTTGTGGGTCATCATTGAACCCCAGATGGCGCGAGTTCACTTACAGAGCGCGATCGCGTTTAAAATGTTTACCTTGCAGTTTTGGGATTAGCGCAGCCTCTCAACATGTCACTTTTCAAATGGACTTTCCAACCAACATGTCACAGCATCAGTGACACAATGCTGGGACACATTTCGATCACGACGGCTTCGTTGTTCTAGAAATTAGAAAACTCGAAATCAAGAAGGTGTTGTCACTAATGTTGGACACAATCATGTCGACCATGCCCGCCATTCTTCAGCGCTTAAGGGTGAGTTGTTTTAGATGAGGGAAAACCGACGAGTTTTGTTTCTTTCTATTCTTCAAGGTATTGCCTATTTCGTCAATTCCAACAACAGGTAGGAACGGTGTGGTTTCGGGGCAGGAACGAGTGTCTCCAATGTAACAACATTGAAGGCATGAACAAACATTTCAATCCGCTCAGTATCTCCCAGCAGCATGTCCAAGAACTCTCGACAACAGTCATGGCGACCTGTCTTTGCTAGGCAATTGTGTCATGACAGTCGCACTGCCATTGATAGAAACAAGAAGGGAAAGAGATCGTTATTGATTAATAACTATCAAGCCTGGTAGGTGGGAGGACTCCAGTTGAGCACGTGACAAGCGAACTACTTAGTCTCCACAGTGGAGTATGCTGCCTGGCGTTGCTTTCAATATGGCCAATCACGATGACTGGTTGAACCTCCCGGATACGAACGTGGATATGTTGCGATGCCTCAAATATCATGAGGACGGGGGGATCAGGGTGAATGATGTTTTGCCCTATATCACACCAAAGGTCAACACGAGATTGAGACACGACTATAATAACATCAGCGTACTCGTCAAATCCACAGTTCATTCAGTGGAATGAGGTCTCGGGCCCAGATTCACGTCACGATGAATCCTATGCTCGATCCGACTTCCATTGAATCTCTCACTACCGCGTCGTACTTCCTTTTCGATGAATTACGCTCAGAAGATATCGATGCAGCCGGCCATGATACTTCAGGTATTCAAACCGCCGCATCGACCTCTTCGGGCGCTGGCTTAGCAGGGACGCCGGTTTCTAACCCCTTGCCGTCGACCAGGTATTCGACGCCTACAACACGGTGGACTGCACTGACCACTCGCGACTCGGACGCAAGCGATGCGTTCATCTATGCAGTACGAACCACAGGGATCTATTGCAGACCCGACTGCAGTGCCCGACTTGCGCGAAGAGCCAACGTCGAGTTCTTCGACACTCCAGACCAGGCTCTGAAAGCTGGTTACAGGCCGTGCAAACGGTGCAAGCCAGGGCGAGGATCGCCCAGCGTAACGAGCTGTTCGACGCCCCATGAGACCGAAAAGACAGGATCTGTCGACCCGCCCGTCACAGTTGAAACATCACGGCAACGTCCTGACCCGGACGACATTCGATTTAAAATCCATCAGACTGCAGAACTCGTCCGGCATGCTGCCATGCAGGGCAAACAACTGAGTCTTTCACAACTGTCCAAAGAAGTGGGCTTAAGCAAATGGCACCTTCAACGTGTCTTCAAGAAACTGCAGGGCATGACTCCGCGGGAAATGGCAGAAAACCTCCAGCGAAGAGGGAGCGACAGCCACGTCACAGATCGAAATGTCAAATCTCATGATCTACCCGAGCTAGAGTTCAGCAACGACATAGATCTCGGAGCGAGCTTTACATTTGACACTAACAACCACGCCTCATCTGAACCACTTAGACAACTGTCTCCTCAATCTACAGAGACAACGGGAAGCGCTTGTACGCCATCAAGTTGGTCGGACGACAATGTGTTCAACAACCAATTCAACTCGCCCGCTAGCGGCAGGCCTTGCGCTCTGGAACCGGATGTTGAGATGTTGTTGAGTGAACTATTCCCCGAACTTGCGAGCAACAACGCAGATATTCCGCCCAAACATGTCCAGCAGGCCCTAACGCCACCTAGTGTTCAGTAGACAGGCAGACAGATAGTGGTTGTTAAAAACAAATTCTAAAATGCATACCTCGTGACAAGATGCATGCGCATGATGTGAATCAGAATCAAGATCGAGATTTAATCCACACCTTGGTCGTCTCCAATGTATCGGTGCCATAAACCATAAGCGCGACCAGGACCATCAACACCGACAGGAGCGAACTCGACATGCTGACCAAAATCAACTGATTTGCCGTGTATACCTTCCTAGGCATCCGAGGTCCGTCGATGGGAGCGTACTTCCCGACCATTTTCTTAATCGGCTTGACACTATCAGTGATGGCTGTTTGAACTCCCCTCTTCAAGCCAGGCAGACCATCCATACTCCATGCGTTTTTGAATGCCCAGTATCTGAAAAAGTGGATCAGTCAGTCAGTATTCTTGCTTTCTTTGAATCTTGATGGAGAACCAGAACATGACATGACGTACACTTCAATGCCCTCTTTTCGATTCCCTGCCTCTTCACACGCGACTTTCTTATCGAAAAAGTCGTGCAATGTGGTTCGGTAGCCGGTCCATTCGTAAGTTGGGACGGAGAACCCGCATGAGGTTCCCACTTGATGGATATCAACCATGACGATACTGCGGGTACCGTTGATGAGCTTCAGGTTTTCGGATTTGACTAGGTCATTGAATTCCTTGGTTCCGTATTCGAGTGGTGTGCCTGTGATGGGTGATATAATGTTAGTGCCCAAGCCATTCAACTCAACATGCTAGACTCGACTCGACTCGACTCACCTTTTCCATAAATCCTCAAAATTCTCGGTGGTCCTTCAAATGCGTTAAACATAACCGTAATCCTGCCGTTTCCAGGCTCATGCAAATGACTTGTAGTTTCGATACCAGAACCTGTTAAATCGACATACCAGAACTTCTTGATCACATCCTTGTCGTTGGGGTTCTTTTTTGGTTCTCGAAGGACACCGAAAAAGGGTCCTCCTTTATCAGTGATGCCCTTTGGTGAAACATTGACGCATCCATCGCCTGACAGAGGGGCTGATGCGACGTAGAGGACTCGTTGGGCGAGTAGCCAGTCAACTAGAGATGGTGGTAGGGTTTCAAAGAAGGCGCCCATTTTGTGGGGAGGGGGAGATGATGCTGTACTGTACTGTGCTGTGCTGTGCTGTGGATGTTGATGTGAGGGAATACTTGGTTGCTGGTCGCAGACGATTAGTAGGTACGGGTATTTATCTCGACCAGTCTCTGCAGAAGTCCGGGCTACTCGTTACTCGATCGTTTGTGGTGACTTGCGTGCGCGGCACACGCTGTAATGATCCGTTCAGTGAGCTACAAAACTCCAGATGATGTTGACATGACGATAGAAAGGTGACTTGGAACTGCGTTGGGAATATGACCAAGGATGGGGAAGGAAAAGGGTCTTTTCACGGCAGACGTCTGGAGATACTTGGCTTGCGCCATATGCAGTGCTTTGAACTTTCTCTGACTCCTCCATGTCGTTGAAGATTGGAGATGGCCAGATGACGTTGTCATTGGTGCTCGGAGCGTGAGGGGAAGTGGAAGTGGGCGAGCGCGAGGAGGGCGAGGAGGGCGATAGGATGTGTGGATATGCGGTATCGGGCGCCTGAGAAGAAACTGACAACTCCGTCGCATATTTTAAGCTATCTGGGGTCGCTTGTTTGCCATCTTTGCCTATCCACAAACTACCATCGCCATCGCCATCGCCAAGACGAGTACAGAACATACTCCGTACTCCGTAATTGATCCATCGAGGCTGTAACACTATGCCCATGTCATGTCTGTCTAATATCCTACTAACGTCAATGCCAATCGCATTCAAGATGTCTGGCTAGCGTCTGACTCCATCAAAGTTATAGACTAGCTGTAGAGCATATCCCCTGCCTCATGTTGCATACCGTGGTAGGTACCTAATGTCAATAACAGTACTCCCAAGTTTCATGCAGCTCGAGACGCATTGCCCAAAACCCATTCCCTTCAATTAACGCAATGATGCTTTTCCCTCAAGTCTCAGATCTTTGGCCGCTTGGCCGATTCTGCATCCATGGCATCATCGTCTTGCTGCTTGCGCTTGCAGAATTCCTCAAAGCTGTTCCCTTCCTTGATCCACACGTCCTTGACCTCCCATGTTCGACGGTCCCAGTCCGCAGCCTTAACAGACCACTCCTGGAACGCCTTCTCGTTTTCTTCTCGGTTCTTGTTTGTGCGCTCTGTATATGGCTTCTTCTCTTCATCCGACAATGCCGCCCACATCTTACCAAGTTCTACACGGACCTGGTCCCGTTCCGACTGTTTTCCCTTCTTCCCAGCCTTCTTCTTCTCAGCCGCGACCCGCGCCTTGACCTCTTCCCAATGCTCCCCAGAGAACAGGAGAAACGAGTTGATATTGGATTTTACTGGTTTCACTGGTGGAGGGCCAAGATCGTTATAAATGCGCACCCACATGGCCGCGTCATAAGCACCGTGAAGAGAATTGTCCTTCTCCTTGACTGGCCGCGTGAATGTGCCGGTCGGCAAGATTTCGTCTCCTTTTCTCTTGCCACCTTGAGCCAGATGTGTGTCCATGTTTGTCAATTCCGTGAGCGTGGAAGATGTTCTCTTGGCAGAATTTGAGAGAACTAGTTTTTCCGGAATGGCGATCTCGCCAACCATCGACTCAAAGACTTCACGGGCCGCACGTAACCCAGACAGATACGCACCGTGCACCGTTGCAGGATGGCTGGCAATGGTTGCCTCACCAGCGAAATAAAGATTCGAGATGGGCGCGGCAATGAGGTCGTAGTCTCCAGGCTGGGCTTCTGCGGCCACGAATGAATAAGTGCCACGAGCGAATCTGTCCGAACCCCATCGCGTGACAATAGATTCAATAGGTGGCGGCACATTGGCCACTCCAAAAATGTTGCGCAGTTGATGTACGCACTCAGAGACCACGGTTTCGTCGCTTAGCTTCTCAGCCTCATGGGCCGCTTCGCCAGCCATCAATGCAATCAGGACAGGAAGACCTGATGTTTCAATGCAGTTCCAGAAGAGGTAGAATTGGCCACGACCCGCCTTGTACTCACTTTGATGGTATCCATTGCCACTGCGGGGAGAACGAAGCAGACCAAACATGTCGCGGTTCACGTCCCAGAATGGCCGCTCAAAGACCAGAATGACCTTGTTGAGCAGGCCGAATCCCATCCTCTGGACGGCGTCACGCTTCCACTGTGGCAGAGGGGGGTCGAACTGGATCGATTGCTCTTTCAGAACGCCCAGTGGCGCTGCGAACACAACTTTGTCCGCCTCGATAGACTGGCCATCTTCACAGGTCACTGTAGCTTTTCCCTGTGTGCCAGCTGCACTGTACTTGATGCTTTTCACGGCCTTGTTAGTCCGCACATCTAGCGGGTCAGGATACCGCCATAAGGCTCGTGGGACCTGCTGATAGCCACCGACGACCTGCGCATGTTCTCCTTCGAACTCGTTTCCAATGTCTTGGTCCCAGCCGCGAAGGCTTAGTTTGTCCACGTTAGCAGCATTAGCATACTCGAGATTAGCAAAGTGCCAATTGATGAGCCGTAGCGCATAGGGTTTTAGGTCGAGAAACTTTTGGTACTGGTCAATCCCCGCATCCATGACGGAGCCGAGGGACTGATTGGGTTGCTGAGCAAGATCCTCCAGTTCGAGAGTTTCGTGCATCTCTGTCGTTTTCCTTAGAAGAAATCCAAACTCTTTGGCGGCTTGTGCGGCTGGCAACTGCATCTTTGTCTCAGTGCTGGTTTCGATCTCTTCTGTTGGGTTGTCGCCCTTAGCCGCCCGATGCCCCGCCCCTCGTCTTCGTGATTTTTTCTTGGGAAGGAGTTGGTCGATCGTCCCGAGGGCTGTGGCTTCTTCAAACTGCCTTATGGTCAGGGATTCATCCGTTGCAGGTTCCCGACCGGCTTGAATCAGCTCTTTGTCACCTTCGGCAGTCTTCTTAACACTATTTTTTAGACGATAGTGCCCTGTCCGGTCAAGAACGTCATTATAGAGCCGCTCGATCATGGCGTCGTTAGCACCATTAACGGGTACACCGTCGATATCGTAGAGGGTGGAGAGGTCTCGGAGCAAGTGGTAGTCTAGTGCAAGTTGGCCACGAACGATGGCATCGAGAGGATTTCCGCGTTCGAATCCGACGATAATGTGAGCTCCCATCTCGGCTGTTGGTCTTTGATGGGGTGCGAGTTTGGAAGAGTGCATGCTGGTCAATGGATGCGAGTAGATTCGTCCTCCTATCCGTTGGCGGCCTTCAAGAACAATGATCCTAGGTAATTTGTGATCGGAATAATGATGAAAGAGGTTTGTGAGTTGCCTGGCAGTACTCAGACCTGCCATGCCACCGCCAATGACAACAATGGTCTCTCGGGACGGGTCCTTCTTACGGCCCCGACCAACTTTGTTGGTTAAGGGAGTTTCGACACAACCAAAATTGATATAGCCATTTCGCATAAGCCACTCGTAGGCGAAACAGGCCAAGCGAGTCCAGCGATCATCTCTTGCACAGCCAATTGCTTCCTCGAGGGTGACACTCAAGCTGGGATTTCGAGTCCACAGCCTGAGTATCCCGTTCCGGATATTCAAATAGACCGTCACATGAGACATGCATAATTTATCCTGCAAGAGGCGGTGTTCGTCTTGATGTAGGGAGAAAGGGTCCAGGCGGGAGGCCTCGGCAGCAGCCACACATTGGGTTGCATATTCGGATGCAGACAGCCTCGGAGGAATGGACGACTTGGCCCGAGCAGTTGCTGGTGCTTTTGCATACATGAAGGAGCGAGTGTCGTTGGAATGATGGGATTCAATTTTAGGGTCTTGGAAGACGTTGGATTTTGGATCAGCAATAGATGATGCAACCGATATCGAGGTCAAGGAGCTGTTTGGGGAGTCACGAGCTTCACTCCCCAACTGAAGATTGCGAATAATGGAGCCAGGGCCGCTAGATGTATCTCCATCGTCGACGTCTTCCATTTTGATCATTGAAAGGTTCGTTGTCGGGAGTATAAGGGGGTCATGGCTGGGGTCGGGTCAGTGTTAAAGCTTGGCCTAATATATATACCGGAGAGGTGTGAAGTGACAACTGGTCTTTTCATACCTCGAGGGAACAGGTTCAGACATTGAGTTGTCCATTTGTGTTTGAGATATACTTGTCGAGATATTTGCTAGACTGTTTTGTGGTGGTGCTACCGTGGCCGCCATTGAGACATTTGTGCTGGTATGAATTACTTGATAGTGGACACAGCGGTCTTAATTATCATGAATATTGTTCTTAGATGATGCAAATGAAAAATCGTGGTCATAGGCGAAACCGTCAGGTAGACTATACATGGTTAGCATGATTGTGTTGTGAGGAAAATGTATGTATGCATCAGGGATTTTGATACCTCTTGTGTGTTTCCTTTGCTGCGGACTCCACATATGTCGATCGCAAAGATGCCGAGAGCGAAGGAAAAGGAGAATTGAATGTACAGAGGGTGACCCTAGGCCAGGTTGACGATGTGAATGATCTGTAGGGAGCAAATGAGAGGCATCAGGCCACTGTGTAGGTTGGAATGGGATGGGTGGTTGATGGGAATGAAGTCGAGATGAGGTTACCCAGCCGTCCTGCCGCCACTAAAAATGGGGATCTGGGCGACGGAAATACGCCCTCGGGTGGTGGTAGGAGTGTTTCGACTTCTGCGACAACTGCACCTCCTCGATAAAACGATCAATCATATCTATCTTTCGATAACTCGAGAAGCCAACAAAGAGACACATTAACATGTTCATTAATCCTGTGCCTGCACCTTCCTACAGCTACAGTTCCCACATTTGATTGTTGGGAAAGGGCGACTGTCCGTGGTGCCTCCCTACCAACCCCTCCTTCCGTCAGCCCTGGCTGCTCCCTGCGCCGCACTTTGATTCTGATATCTTTCAACCTCAACAACTAAATGCTGAAAATTATCACCAAGATTGCTTGAAAATCATGCCTGAGCATCGCCCGCAGGTCTTCAACTCGAATCTCCCTATTTTCCTTCTTCATTCTCGATGCCTTTGCTGATCCTCCCGACATGAAAAACTCTGCACCTGCTACCCAAGAGTCAGCCTCAGGCCCCAAGCCTGCGGTATCTGCCCCGAGTCTCGACATGGTCCTTATGCCGGCATTTACCCTCCTGCCCACAGGGCTCAAGCAAGACTGGTTGAATACTTATTCGAGCTACTGAAAGATGATGACGATGAAAAATCTTCAGATTTCCTACGAATGACTGTCCTTCCGATGATTATTCCTGCCATCAATCCCCTCTATCAGAGCACTGCGGGATTGCGTACTCACGCCACCTCCTCTTCCAGGCTTTCCAAAGTCTTGGTACCTTTCCTATGTCTTCCCTCGAGCATCCCCCTCTCGTGGCCACTGGTTCAGCTTCAACAGACTCTCTTGTGTTTGAATACTTCCCCCTGGTCGTACCGAGTGCACTGAAGGATCTTATGAGACATGGCCTGGGACAACCCAATATAGTTTAGCGCTGCGTAGTTGACTTGAGTCAGTTGCGATTGCCGAGGGTTCTCCTCGTTACGTATGCGTATATTTTATCCCTCAATATGAGAGGATATCAGAAGCCAGGGTACAAGCGCAGCTTTTCAGCCAGCACATTGTTGATGAGGTTCACATATTTGGCCTCTCTACCTTGATCACCTGCACCTAGCTGTTACTCGAAGGATTTCTGTTCCTTCGAGGCATTATTGCAAATTGTTTTTCATTTCTCAATCGTTCCTCCCTCTTCGTGATCTATAAACAAGATGGACAATGAAGGTGCTTAGATTTCGTCACCATTTCTGTGAACGCACCCTGTCTTTTCCACGATATTTCCCGAGACCTTTACTCCTCCATCATTGTACATTTTGGCAATCTCGAAGTATGGCCACGGTTAAAGACTCGATTCCTCACATTATTCGTACCGCCGACGATCCTCGTCAAAATGGCATTTGGTCTTCACGACTCAGCAGAATCGAGCAGATCAATTCAAGGATCCGTCTATTGAGACTCTCGCTCCCAAAAGAAGGGGTACGTCCTGGATGAATGCGGGATCCCGTCTGAAACCTTTCCCACTGTCAAGCCAATATGTATTGCATGGACTATGTGTCACTGAGGTTCTGCGCGCTTGAATATATTGTCTTCCCATCAATGATGCCCAAGTCACGAAATGCCGTCCCAATGATTCCGACCCTTCCAACCCGTCATGCTACATGTCCCATGCTCACTTATTGACTCGAACCTAGTAGCCATCGTTACGACACCTCCCGGGACAGTATATTGATCTCTACATCCCCAACATTGATGTCGTGGGTGGCTTCACCATCACCTCGGCACCTCAAGACTCGAATCAATCACAGGAAGACCCGCATATAGAGCTGGCCATTCAATCATCGCCTGACAATCCACCGGCGGCGTACCTATGGCGACCGATATCTCAAATACTTGGTTCCACCGTTTCGTTCAAGGTCGGAGGCACATTCGTTTACCCACCCTTGACCTTGAGTCGTCAAAAATGTGAGAAGATTGACAGGGTGGTGTTCATTGCGGGTGGAGTTGGAATCAATCCAATCATGAGCATGATCTCTGCAATAGACGAGGTGGGCGTCAGACAAGCAGTCGGCTCTATGCCAAAGAGAATGAGGGTATTGTATTCGGCACGACGAGATCTCACTCCACAAGGTGAAAAGGAAGACATCCTCTTTGAGCACCGGCTCGAAGAAATGGCTCGAAAATGGAACAAGCATCCCCAGGTGGACTACCAATATCGTTTATTTCAAACAGGGCTCTCAGGAGGACCAACAACTAGTTCTAAGCGTTCAGCTTCTCCTTTTGACAATTCAAACCCAGACAATATGACCACTCACAACAGGCGAATCACTCATGATGATCTGTTTGATGCAATAGGGCCCGAGGGCTCTCGAAGAAATACTGTGGTTTACGTTTGTGGATTACCCACCATGACGGACGAGTTTGTGTACCTCTTCGAAGGCTGCCCTGGTCTCGACGAAAAGCGGGTACTGTGTGAGAAATGGTGGTGAATGAGACCGACATCAGAAAAATATATCTACTCTAGTACTTCAAGAGGAAGCGAAATTTGAGGGGCTGTTCTACCTAGACATCGGGAGGGCCCATACTTAGAAACAAATGCATTCATCAAGTCAGAGATATAGACAGGAGCTATCTTACAAGTCTGTATTCGTCCCAGGTAATCTCTGTGCTCGACCCTTTCAACCCATCCCTATACGTGGTGTATCCTCCACAACCATTTTTAAGACAGCTGTCCCGCAAATCGCGTGAACTGTTTACTAACCAATAAACGCCTCTCGCAATGCACGTACACTTACTGTCACACACGTATCCCAGGGCAAAGATCAAACCATATCGACGGCTTCGAGTCAAGCGTCCATCTACATGCCCGTAATCACACTTCCACCATCCACGATGATCTGTTCATCAATCCTACTCTTCGTATCACCCCATTCCATTCTTTTCCAAGTGGAAATCCTCGCCTCGTTCATGTCAAAGTCAAAGAATCGTATCCGACGATGATAGCCGTAGTAGCCACCATAACCACCGAACCCTGCACCGCCACCATAGCACATCCACAAGGCGGCCTTTTTATCCTTGTTATTGGCTGGTAAGCAGTAATCATTGACGTGGTCGTGACCACACGAGACAACAAGGACATTTTCCTCGATCAATGCGTCTTTGAAGTTGGAGTTGAATGCAGGAGCGGTCGGTGGTTCTGTCCAGTTGCCTACCCAGACTAATTTATCCGGGTTGCGGTATTCGGGGAGTGGAATGTGGATGAAAGCCAAGTCCATGTGAATGTGCGTGTATTCCTTGTGTTTCCTTTTCAGGGACTGTGATGTAGATTTGAACCAGTCAATCTGTGATTGTTTCAGCCAGTCGTAGCCGTGATATTTCTTTTCTTCAGGCGAGTAGGAATGCGTGTCGAGCATATAGAGGGTGAGGGCTGAGTGGGAAGTCGATCCACGTCCGAGAATCTCCACCACGTAGTTTCCCACTCCTTCGACATCTTCAGGTCCCGCGGTGGAGAGACTATAGGGCAGACCGTCCATGATTGCCATGGATTCAGCGCGATTCAGATTTCCTTCATCATCATGGTTTCCGAAAATACCTGCATATGGGATTTTATGCCGGGCGAACAAGGCAGAATATTTATAGATGGCAGATTGTGCGTCTGGCGCTGTGTCGCCATTCACTTGGTCACCGCTAAGGACGATGAAATCGGGTTTCTCGTCTTCAAGAAGTCGTTCGACAAATTCGAGGGTGCGAATATCAGCTTCGCACGGTTGCCCTTCGGGCAGAGCATGGCGACATGTGCCAATTCCGGTCGCTAAATGTAAATCGGCAGCTTGCATAATCTTAAACTTGCCATCTTTCCGGATGCGAGGCACTGGTTTCTCGACCTTGATGGCGGCACCTTTGCGGATTGTCAAGTGCGGTTGAGGGTCATTGCCATCCGACGAGTCGATAAGGAGTGGGATACTTTGTACAGCCCAGTTAGAGCGGGGGTCTGCGGCATCGGCACCGAAGAGTACATCGATACCAGTGATGACTTCTTTGGGATCCGAGATATGTCGTTTGGATGATTTTTTGATCCAGATCCCACTAGGTCTGGACTCCCACCTAATATCCTTTGATGTTGCGTCCGCAGTAGACGGTTGAATGCGCCCGACCTTGACATCGAAAACAAGCTCTTCGTGAAGCGCGAGGTCTTCTTCACGTTTGCGCTCAACGTGGAGGTAGGCTTTGGAGATGAAACCTTTGCCCAAGTAGAGATCTTTATTGATGCGGTGCCAATATTCGCCTTCGAGGGTGCATCGACTGAACGGGTTGAGAGATGAACAGGTCACAACAGTCAAGTCTGTGACAACGAAGCCTGGGTGATGAGCTGGAAGGTGGTTATGAATGGCATTCGGAAGGACTCGATATCGGTTGTCGAGGAAAATCACTAGGATCAGGGCAACAGTCCCAATAATCCCTAGCTGAATCCCAGTTCGTACCTGTGAAAATTCGTCAGTCAACGGCGATTCTGTGAGGATGGGCGGCTTGTTGGCTCACTATCCGTCTCGTCATTGTGGCATATGGTAAAGAAGGGCGGCCGAATTGGCCTGTGGTCGACTTGCAACACCTCTCTCAGCAAGCGAGATTCATGAAGGTTTCATTCGGCCCTCGAGTCTTTCAGCCAGCTGTAGTTTCTGAGACACCTGGACTTGCTGGTCGGTTCAGTGGGCGTTAGTTAGGCAATCAGGACTGTCGTTGGTGGTATTTGGGTGCCTTGTCGTCGCAGTCCAGGGCCACAGAGCAGACGATCGTCGCTGAATTTCTCAAAGTAGACTAGTCGAACCTGGGGTTCGGAGAACCTTCCTCGAATAATGCCTGCTCCCAAAAAACTTCCGATGGACCAACCTGCACGACGATGGCGTGCATGATCGCCCCAGAATGATTCGAGTTTTGTTCTGTTGATAGAGCGTCTTTAGTTTGAGGTGCCTGTTGGGTCTGTTGTGGCATGTTGGGCTCCGTTAAGTCGATCTCACGGTCATTGGGCGCGTTGAAACGTCCAGTGCACGGCGGTCGTTATGGTTCTCGACACTTTGCCACGAGAGATCTAACCCGATATTGTGGTAAGTCCTCTGTCTTATAGCGCTCTCGGATATAGGTTGTTGACTATTTTAGAGGGTGACAGAGTTGTGATTGACGACACAAGACTCTCCCCGAAACTCCAGAAAGATGCATCATTCGACGTCAAACATGGTCGAATAGAACATAACGACATTATCGGAAAGCCGATATCCGGACCCTTCTATCTGAGATCCAAAGGACGATTGACCAAACTCGAACACCCGACCCTAGAACAGTATGTTTCTATGAGCAAGAGATTAGTCACTCCAATCTATGGAACCTATTCCAATTCAATCATCTCGCTTCTCGACATCCATCCAATCCAAATCCAGCAAGACGCCACCAGTTCTGATGAAAATACCGAGCCCGACGATTCTCCTAAAGAGCGCCTTGAAGTCCTCGAAGCCGGTACAGGTCATGGCGCGCTAACTCTCCACCTCGCCCGAGCTATCGCAGCCGCGAATCCACCTCCCTTAGCCCTCGAAATTCCACGCTCCGTCAAACCCTCTAGCAACCAGGCACATACTTCTGCCGGTAGCAGCGAAAGCGAAGTATTCAATGAAGCCATCCAAGAAAAACACAGTTTGACACTTAAATGGAATGCATGGAAAGCAACTCGAAGAGCAATCATCCATACCGTTGAAAATGTACAAGCCAATCGCTTTCATGCAGAGAAGGTTACTCGGGAATTCCGTCAGGGGTTGTACTGGCCTCATATTGATTGGTATCACGACGATCTTTCTACTTGGGTTTCGAAGGCAATGGTAGAGCGGGACAACGAGGCTTTTCTATCATACGTCTGTCTTGATATGCCCGACGCCCATGAAAAGTTGAGAGATGTTCACCCTGCAATGAAGGAAGGGGCAAAAGTGCTTATCTTTGTGCCCAGTGTGACACAGCTTGTGGACTGCGTCAAGATGATTCACCGGGAGAAGTTGCCGTTCAGTCTAGATCAAGCGATGGAATTGGGACATGGAATAAGCAGTGGACGAAAATGGGATGTTCGGAGTGTGAAACGACGGAAACCCAAGTCTGAAGCTGCGTCTATCCAACCTTCCGCAACGTTGGAGGAGCAGCCCGAAGAAGAAGAAGATGATGATGAGACAGAGGCAGAAAGTGTCGCGACGACCGAGACCTCGTCAGAAACGGCTCATGAGGATGGCAATATTAATGCCGACGAAGACACGACATCGAATTCGACATCATCAAGACTACCACTCGAAACATCTTCGCAGCTGCCACCATCTGAAGAAGATCCGGTGGTTATTTGCCGACCGCAGATCGGTGAGCGAACCCTGGGCGGGGTGTTTGTTGCTGTCTTCCGCAAGAGATCGCCAGAGATGGCGGAGCTAGAACTTGGGTGGAGACGAGATCAGACGGGCATAAGGCGGAGATTCTTCCGATAGGGCTGGACGATCAATGGTCAGATAGATCTGTATAACACTTGTAAAGCACATATAGAACGCAGATAAAATCAATACATCCGCAATCGCGAGCAGAATAGTCTTAAATCTTCCAAATATTGCATTGGATCGTTTTGTGTACACCAGTCCCCGCCATTCATATCTAACATTTGCGATATCTAGAATCAATGTCCACCCAAATGTCCGTTCAGACCTGATCCAATCACGCATGAAACTGAGCTTGCCCAGAGACTACTAACATAGTGTAACACAGAAGAACTCCGTGATGGTAGATGCAAATGAGCAAGAACCTGCCCAGTCGCTGGTTTCCAGGTTGACTTTGTCGACCAAATCATTCCATCAATTTTCACTGAAGATATAGTTTGATGGAGAAATGCGTTTGAAACCAAGACGCAGGCTGAGGCATCCTATCTCTTTTCTGGACTTTGCACGCTAAGCAGCAGTGTCTGTCCTGCAACTCTTTACTTGCTCGAGACGGGGAGCGCGCCCTTGGCCTTGTCGAGGATGGCCTCTGCAGCCGGCATGGTTCGGCTCTTGAGATCGTTGGCGACTGGAGCAGCGTTTGCCTTTAATTTCTCGGCAACTGCCTTCAATCGCTTCTCGCGCACGGTGCGCAGGTAGGCGAAGAACATGAGGAAGAGGATCTCCACGCGTTCTTTTGTCATCATCAGCAAACCCTGCACCATTAGACCTTTCATGAGTTGGGGCCCAATGCCCTTGAAAAGAGCGAGGGGCCCTTCATGCTCCACGATATATCTCATAACCTCGGAGAAGCTCTTGAAAGGCTTGCCCTCTCGGGCTGGAGGGGGTCTTGATTGAAGGCCAACCTTGGCAACAATCAATGGTTGGGTTGTAAGGGTGGCTAGGGATTTGGAGAGAGCTCCAAGGACTGGGATTTTGTTAGAAGAGGGTGATTAGAATGGAGAAATTGGACGAAACTTACAGAAAGCTTCGTAGGGATGTAGCCGGTCACGGCCGGGGTATATGATGTCCTTTAAACGTTGATATGCGCCATAGGTAATGGCGGGGTTGACACATAGAACAAGCGAGGCCTTCAACCCTCTCCATAAGCCTGATACGCCATCTTCACTGTGGACGACTTCCTTTCCGGTATCGATGAAGCCCTTTTTGTGTCCTTTGGGTTGTGTCTGTTGGCGTGCTGTGATGACGGCAATGGGGATGGTGAAAATTTGAGCAACAGCGCCTGCAAGAGCACCCAATGATAATTCGATGGCTGTTCCTGGGTGGGCACCGGGAACCTTCTGATACTTGTTGTAGTACTTGCGTATTAACGAGTACCAGTAGAAGTATGCAAAGTTGGTCGAAGCCACACCCAAGAGTGAGCCGTGGAAGCCAGAATACAACCCACTGATGCCCTCGTGTTCAATAATCTTTTTGAGAGCATCGAGAGTAGAATGGTAGTGGTGGTTTTCGGCTGAGTGAACTGCTTCTTGATCCCTCTTCTTGATCTGAACTTGTAATCTCGTCTTGACACTATGGGAATAGATTAGCATTTGCTCAAGCTCGGCATCTTTATTTAGGATCCGACCTACATATCGAGAGGATACACCATGGCATTGGCCAGAACAGCACCAGTTGCACCTGCGACGGCGCTCTCCCAAGGGGCCAACTCGCTTGAACTCATGGCTGTCTGTGTATATCGAGGAGCTTATCTATTCTTGGCTGGGAGGAATTGTCGGAGGGGATTTGGAGCTACTCCTTTGTGACGTAAAACGGAGACGACGGCCGAGCAGTCGAGTCTTGGTGGGGGGAGTGAGAGGATGTTTGGTGAGGACGAGCTGGTCGGTGGGAGGCGGTCAGAGGAAGATGAGGTTGTAGATGCAGTTGCAGGAAGGAGGAAAGAAAGCAACGCAGGACTAGGTCACAGACAGAAGTTGAAATTCAGAAGATCACGGAAACGAGGAATAGTCCAGATCCTCATCTTCCCGAATCGGTGCGAAGAGAGAAAGGATGGATAACGGCTGTTGTGAGTGGCTCGGAGGTTCGCTCTTGCCATGGGCTGGGGAGTAGTTTCTCCAGGCTCATCCCGCAACCGAGGCACAAGGACAAGTTACGGAGTTGTCTTGGGGCAGGAATGGCAGTACTTAGTGGGCGGCAGTGGGCCCCTCGGGCACTTCCAGCCACCCAGAATCCCACGGCATTATTGGTTCCTTAGGGTTCAACGATGGTCGCACCTGCCAAACCGCCACTGGCCCAAACTGCCACTGCGGCCTTCCGACCCGTCTCTTTTCCGGTTCGTCTCCGACTTTCGTCCTTAAGGTCTTGGCATTGGCATTTCGACTTGTCGTCATGCTTCAGCCGAGTGTTGAAACTTAGAGCGCAAATTACACTTCACGCTTCTGTGCTCCGTTGACTGATATTCACCACACGAGTGACATACAAGTGAAGACACACGCATCTCACACGCATCTCTGCCTCGTCACATGTCTCGCCATCTTCATCTGCAACTGGCTTGCAATGGATATCACTCTCGAAGAACAAGCCCGCTTGACCGAGAGAACCATTGCAGCCAAATCCTCAGCTCATGCTGCTCTGGAAGCCACTATTCGTAGTGCTGAACTCTACCTCCAAGCCTTACGGCTGGCTGATAAGCCCGCCGATCGAAGAAGAATCGATGCCAAGTGTAAACATTTACTGGCCCAGGCTGAGAGGCTCAAGGACTCCCGTGGAGACTCCCCTCCCGTATTTGCTCGAAAACAAGATTTGAAACCTCCTTCATCGAAAAGAAAGTTGACGACGAGGGAGAATATCATTCTCCTAGAAGGCTCCAAGGTGAACGGACTGTTATTCAAGCCATGGACCAAACCACCATCAGCCGAGGAGTTCATTCTCCAAGATGGCGAAGAGCCGTATGCCGACCCTGTCCGTCTCTCCCTGTCGTCTACGCAATTGGACTCTTTTGCCGGTTGGAAGCGTCCTCATGAAGCGCTCGCTACGCTCAGCAAGTCTAATGATGGCGAGTCCCAACCAGCAGGGCCAGTGATGCATATTCCTGTCGGCATAGATTTGGTCCAAGACATGACATCAGACTGTTCTGTTGTTGCAAGTCTTTGTGCTGGTACTGCTAGATTTGAGCGTGGCCATTCCAAGGTAAGAAGGCTAGTATCCTGTAAACTTCGCGATTGACCGTGAAACTAGATGCTTCGCACCATTATATATCCCTATGATCATCAAAACGACGAAGTTGCCCTCTCACCTAACGGCCGCTATATATTGAGACTCTATTTCAATGGTTGTTGGAGACGAGTTGAAATTGATGACTTTCTCCCTGCATCCAAGACATCTCGGGTTCTCCACGTTATCGATCGCCGGCATCCTAGCCTACTCTGGCCTGCCTTGGTAGAGAAAGCCTACTTGAAGGTCCGCGGAGGCTATGACTTTCCAGGAAGTAATTCAGGTACAGATCTGGCGGTTCTAACTGGATGGATTCCCCAACAAGTCTTTCTGCATGATGAAGATGTGGAGCCAGACCAGCTCTGGGATGAAATCTTCACTCATTTCGAACAAGGAAATCTCCTCCTCACAATAGGGACGGGCAAGCTGCCACGTCGCGAGCAACGACAACTTGGATTAGCCGCAGAACACGATTACGCCGTGCTAAGACTATCTGAATCTAATGGTTCCAAGGAGATCTTGATCAAGAACCCTTGGGCCGACGGCGATGTTTGGCGTGGTGCTAGCCGTCGAAGACCTAATCATGATGATCAAATATCTTCACCACCAGAGGTTGTCGATGAGGCCATGATGCCCGGCACATTTTGGATGGACTTCGGGAGCGTGTTTCAATACTTTGAAAACATGTACATCAACTGGAACTCGGGTCTATTTTCTCACCGCGAAGACGCCCATTTTTCTCTCAAGGCTGAAGAGTCTGGAATGAATGGCAACATCTTTGTCGACAATCCTCAATATGTCATCGAAGCATCTGATAGTGGAGATATCTGGATCCTCCTGAATCGCCATTTCCGGACTGGGGATTATACTCAAGCCTCGATGGGCAAGAATGGGTATATCAGTCTATACCTCTACGAGCAAGATGGCAACAAGGTCATCTCTAGCGAAGGTGCCAAGCGGAGGGGCCCGTTAGTCGACTCTCCTAATACCCTACTCCGGATAACAGGGCGTGCAAATACGAAGTACACGGCTGTGGTGGTCACGCAAGACCTCCCTCCTGGCAAATTGAACTTTACGTTGTCCGCATTCGCCAACATGTCGGTGTCAGTGCGTGAAGCACAACTCCGATACCCCCAGAAGCAGAGCATCACATCTGGATGGACAAGATCCAACGCTGGAGGCAATTCAGATTCGCCAAATTATCTCACCAACCCACAGTTCCGGCTCACCTTGTCACATCGACAAAAGACCGCTCTAGTTTTGCGCGTGCCCGATCAAGAGCAACAAAGACCCTCTCATACATCGTCCATCCACGTCAAAATCCTGATCGTCTTCAGCACGGGCACTAGAATCACTCGGCTCAGGCCACGAGACGTACAGGCCCATTCTGGAGACTATCGACGTGGCAATGCCATCATCGAAACGGAATTGAAACCCGGAAACTACACCATCATCTGCTCGACCTTTGATCAGAACCAGTATACTCCATTCGATCTCGACCTATACTCATTCGAGGCCGGACAGCCATTAGCATCCCTTCCCGCCGAAGGTGCAGGACGAGTAAGTATTCGAAGCAGCCCTGGTCTATTTCGTGGCGAAGTCGATCGAATCCTCGCACCATTGACTATTCCACGTCTAAGCCGAGTCACCTTCGTCGCTCGATACGGCGGACAAGCATCTTCACAATCGTCGCTGTTCAAAATGACCCTCGAGCAGGGACAGGGGCCGTACAAGCAGATCTTGGCCAGCAGTGAGTTCGATAATGAAGAATTCAGCAGTGTCGCATCTGGTCTCAGGATTGGGGACATGGATCTTGACCCGTCTATGGGCGGCCCGGGCACAGGAGGATTATGGCTCGTTCTTGAGCGCTTGGCTCAGGGACAAGGTCCTGAAGTGGCCGCGAGGGAGGAAGTGTTAATGGTGGAAATGTTTACTGAGGAGAGACTCGATTTAGGGGCCTGGGGATCAGGTGGTGGTTGAGTACAAGGACAACGTGGATTTAGACAGGATTAGCCAGGAAGATTTCCAGATGCAACATCCCTAGACCTATGATATGATAATGACTGATTGAGAAATGTTGGAATGATAATGATTTAATACAGGCACAGTTTCCACAACTGCTATATTGACATGGTTTTGTTGTTCCCACCAAACCAGACCAATGTCACTTCATCCAGCCTGCTTCATAATAAGGCCTTTCAGACCAGGAACAGAATCTACCAAATCCATACCCCATCCTCTCGCCTTGCCCAATAATCCACTCACAGGACCATCTCCCCCAGCCCCAAATTGATACAGATGATTCAAGAAATCGACCCCTCCGCCCATCAACAAACCTTTCCCGAACCTCTCACTCGAATACCGTTCCAACGACATCAAATCCCCCAAATCCATTCCATGCTCGACCGAGAACGCAATGGTAGTCGCAAGTGCATCAGCATCAGCCAAACCCAGATTAAGTCCCTGGCCGGCAAGAGGATGGATCGTATGGGCTGCATCGCCGATCAATGCCACCCTTGGGTTGATGAGCGACGAAGACTGCCGAAATCGTAGGGGGAAGGATGCTAATGTTCCAGATTGAATGGATTGAACGATTGGTGGTTGACGCGAGAGGGAAGGTGCAGGTGTATGTTGTAGACGCCAGCGAAGTTCGGACTCGTGTGCGGATTCATCGGCGTGTGGTGAAGTGGCGGGGAGGGTAAAGAGGTATTTTAGGTCGACGGCCGAAAGGCGCAGGGCGGCGTTGACCATAGCTAGTTGAGATGCTGGATCAAGGGATTTGAGGTATGATGCGTGGGCTGGTGTGGTCGACCAGACTAGACTGGCGTGGTTGTTTGGGAGTGGAAGGATGGCGATGGGACCTCCCAACGAGGGTATGAAGCGTTGGAACGCCGTTGCTCGATTGGACATGCTCGACTCGTCGGTGAACATGTCGCTCTGGTACTCATCTGCATTCTCCATGGGTTGGACTTTCAAAGTAGCAACAACACCGTGCCGGTCATAGTCCCATCCTTTCGAATTAATCCCCGTGAAAGCGCGGACGGGGCTGTTGAAGCCATCAGCCCCAACGAGAAGACGAGCGGCAATGGAAGTTGGTGGTTTGACTGGCGAATTTGCATTCTTTGCCTCGAGAGATAAAACAGGCCACGCCGATAAATCGGAACCATTAACGTCGTTGTCTCCGTTTTTGATTTGCGAAACGCTAGTATTTGAAAACAGGGACGAATCGCCTCCTAGCTCAGAAATCCGCTTCAGAAGACCTCGCGTCAGATTTAGATTCTCCGTCATGGTAGCGATTGTCTGTGCTGGTGCATTATACTGCCTGGATTCGTGTTTCCAATCAAAATGGATGGCACCGTCGTTAGAAGCGTCCCAGACCTGCATTTCGTCATAAGGTTGAACCCTGGTCTGGTCTACATGACTCCAGGCGCCTGATTTCTCGAGGGATGCCACAGATGTGGGCGTCAAGCTGCTGGCACGATTCGAGTATCGATCATCTGGCATATTCCAGCCGTGTATCTTCGAAAGATCTTGCGTTTCGATGAGAGCCGTTTTCAAATGAGATGTAACAGGTGATGACTCTGCAGCAAGAAGTTAGGGTCTTGAGCGCCGGGAGGCAACCTAGAATTTGTTTGTTCGAGGAAGCGGCTTACTCAGGGCGGCAAGAAGAGCTAGACCGGCAGGTCCACCTCCCACCGTAACTACATCATAGATTTCGGGTTGTTGTTGAAGACGGGTGCTCGATGTAAAGAATCTTCTCCTTTTGACTGGGGCTGAGGCTTGTCGACATTGCTGGCAGACGAAGCGACGACTGCTGGTCGCGAGTCTGGACGGCATGATGGAGCTACAGCTGTAGAATCAATTTTGAAAGAAATTATAGTGGAATTGGCATGGTCCTCGGTGGATAGACTTGGAAGGCAGGATGTTCATGAGGTGGAAAGATTTCCCCAGAGTTGCGATGCTATATTGGCCGAAAAAGGCTTAGCGTTGTATTTTTACACTGTATTTTACAAATTGTTCTTTAGGCTCTCAGCAGATTTTATAGTCGATGTGTTGTCCTCCGAGATGCTGTTCACGCCATCTTCTTGTGACAATCCTTGTCACTCTATGAGGTACACCTTGTGGCCAGAAACAAGGTATCGACCCACAGGCCAAGAGTCTCTGGCGACCGCTGTCCACGGTAAGCTATACCCGGATCGTCCGCCGTTGGACTAGAGGCACTCTATGTCCGTGTGCATCAACCCTAGAATACCTGCCATTCACATACACCAAACATGGCTTTGGCAGTGTGGCTGCTTGGTCATGGAAAGCCTTGTCATCATGAAAGACCTGAGACACTTCGCCGAACACGACCACGTGATCACCAACCTCAACGGTCTTGTCACCGAGATATCGGCAATGAAACCTGAAAGGGACCATCAGCTGACCTTTGTCATCCCAGGATTGTAAAATGGGCGCCAATTTTCCCCATGAAGCGGTCTTCACAGGATCAGTCAGGTGTGCAAAGCTTTCAATTTCCCCATCTTCCGTATGGAAAGGTGATGAGGCGTTGCCACTGGCGAATTTGATGGCCACATCGGTGGATTCAACTTCCTCGCTCAATAGGTGAACATTGAACACGCCCGAGCTCTTGATGGCGTCGTATGTCGATGATATCTGCTTTATGTTGAAGGAGACAACGGGAACTGGAGTCAGGGTGACGCTGTTGAAAGATGATACAGTGGCACCTCTCCAACCCTGCTCTCCGCCTGTGGGATGCGAAGAAATATCGGTGGCAGTGATGACTGCGACAGGATGAGGTACATGGCGCATAACCTGCTTGACCGAGTTCTGTAGGTCCCCTGACTGCGGGTCGCGGGGTTTGAAGTCGTGGTGCTTGACCGAACTCGAAAAGCAGACCTGCTTAGGAGATATGACCAAGGCTGTTGGGCGAGCCACTAGCCTTGGCCTGGCAAATGTGGTGATTGAACAGCTTCCATAGTGAAGGTGTGAGAATGAATTTGTGAGAGTAACAATGACGGATGATTGGTGAGCTGCAGCATCAGATACGCTCAGGCGAGAACTCGAAAGATGCCGTGAATCCACATGGCGAATGCTGTTGAGAGCTGTTCTTCCTTTGAAGAGCGAATTGACCGGCGTCATGTCACGAGTCAAGGGTGTGTATAGTGTTTTGACATGCTGCCATTATGACGATAGAGAACCGAGATATGTCGAGGCTGGATCCAGTTCCCTAGGAGTAGAATCAATATGAAGTACAACAGGAATCAAAGGTGTCGTTGACTTTTTGCTATGACAAAGACTGAAGCTTGAAGTGCGCAGGTGGTTGTTCTGGTTGGCTGCATATATGATTTAATATGACCCCACTTCTAGGGTGGAGTGTTAATCAATATGAGTCAACGGCATCGGTCGTGATCGGTTCAATAATAATGGATATCAAAATCAGACGGCAACAGGTCGGCAGTTCACCCGTCTCGGACATCCACGACTTTCTTTCGTTTGCAGCCCTTGAACCCTTCGTACTTTCTTCTTCGTTGATTTCGAGTCTCAAATGTAAGATCATCACTATCTACAGGAGACTACCAGATACGCTGCATCTTGTGGAGTTCTCTGCTTGCGCCGCTCACGAGATAGATCACTAGCAAGTGGTAGAGGCTCTCATCCATCAAAACCGACCAGCAATATCGACTACCAAATTGACAGCCTTTCAGAGAACCTGGCATCAATCACTCCTCTCATCTTCACGAAGGACACGTGGCCGTGACCGGGGACAATGGCGGACATCGAGGAGGCCGATGTCACTTTTCGCAAATCCAGCGTCACGGTCAAGTGGCTAGCAAAGGAACGCCTCACTTTGCTTCAGCTGGCCGAAAAACATGGCTTGAAGCCCGACTATGGGTGCCGAAGTGGTGCTTGTGGCACTTGTGAAACCAAGCTGTTAAAGGGCGAGACTGATGGGCCTGAGGGTGATATGCCACAAACCATCCTGATCTGCTCTTCTCAGCCTGCAAGCATCGAGGTAGAATTGGACCTCTGACGTGGCCGTCCACGATAGAAAGTCCCACATTTACACTATCATTAAAAATTTCCGCGCAGTCGTGGCAGTCGTCATCTTTGCGTCCATCCATGACAGACTATATCTGAGCTTGTTGGGGAGCGGTGGGTTTCGCCAGTCTCTTTGGTGAAATGAAGATGGGGCCCGCTCAAGGATCCTCGTTCTAGCCATCGATTCAGGTCCATAGCATAAATATATTGTTCTTCAGGCGCCCTCGGATCCCTCCGCCGAGCCTCTTGATCAATACAACGGAGAACCAATTGGCCACTGGGACTGTCGGGCAACTCGATCTGCAAACTCGCTGGGTCCAGAACTATTGATCCTGGGAATTTCGACCTCTCATGCTCGATTTCCAAGACCTTTTCAGCGATTATGACGGCGATTGAAGAATCCCAGATTCCTTCTCTGTGAGGAATGAACCGAAACATCTCTATGGCTCTGTTTCGGATGATTGGGTCATGACAGTACATTGAGATGCTGTAGAGGATTGGGATCCATCCAATATCTGCTATAGCCTGGGAGGCATCTGCAACGATGTCGTCATATTGGTTGATTCGACTTGCCTGAGCTGTCGGACTCGTCGCCATTTTGAATAACATCTCGCAATCGGTGATTAAGGATCGGAAGGCGGTTGTGATAGGGTCCTCCGCTCGCGTCGAATCAGGCGTCTCAGTACCAGAGTTAGAACCACACCGGGACTTCTCTCCAGCGTTGCACCATCCATCTGACAATGAAGACATAGAAGAAAAGTCTTGGTTGCCATTGACAGCATCCAGCGTGGCAGTCCTCAGATGCAGCACGCAGGCCAAGGAGTGATAAATGGGCAATAATTTCCTTGCAAACCTGTCCAATTTTATGGCTGGGGACAGAACGTCTGGCTTTTCACAAGTACCTGGCCCTCTCTGCCACACTTGAAGCCATAACTCCAGATCATTGTTGATAGAGTCAGCACAGGCCGCGGAAGAGTCGCTTGACGGAGAGGAGTCGGTAGTCCCCGGGTAGCTTGCGCCCGCCGCAGATCTGCTGTTCTGGTACATGATTCGGAGGAATATCGCTTCAAGGCTTCGTCTTGCTTCGTTCACGGATTGGAAGACACGGTCTGGAGGGTTTAGCTGCTCTGAAAGGAGGAGAAACAGTTCTGGTCGGCAGACGTCCTGGCCGAACAGCTTCGCTTGAATTGTCATCGTACAGAAGATCCGGATGATCCATTCGTTGACTAGAAATTGCGATGCCATACGCTTTGGTTCTCTGCGCAAATTCATTTCCAACACGGTAAGGCCGTGTCGAAGGTGGGTTAATGCAGCTTGGTAGCAGCCTCTCAAGTACTCTAATTGAACAAAAGCCGCACATGTGATGAGCGCCACGTCTGCGGAGCGCCGACTGTCATCGCCAATTCGATGGCGAAGATCGGTCATGGCACGCGTATACTGTCGAAGCGCAAAAAGATCGGACCCGACATGGCCAGCAGACACAGCACCAGGCTTCAAACCAAGCGCCTGCCTTTTGTGGATCGAGGCGAGGGAGAGAGTGGCGTGTAGCACAGCTGGCTCCGATACGCAGGCCTGAGGCAGAAGAACCGTCCAAAATGCGGTCTCAAAGGCGCCTGGTAGTTTGAAGATGGTCCTGGACATGAACCACTCCATGCCGATCTGCTCGTCTGCGGTGACGACATGGAGGGGAAGTGATCGCAGTGTCCGGGTGTCGAGAAAGATCCGATCTCGTGGTGGACCTTGCGTCTTTCGTTGAACCAGAGGAAGGGCGGATGAGGTTGAGTCATCTAAGGAGGTGCCTCCACCCCATATGCCATAGCCTTCACAGATTCTCCCAGTCGAGACACAACGATGGCACGCAGGTCGTGACTCGTCACATTTTACTTTGCGAAGCCTTAAAGAGTCAGAGTAGAAGCAGGCGTTGAGATGGCAGATTGTACCTACTTACAGGTCCGACAGCCTGTCTTGACTTTACGACCTTTGTGGTCAGCTGGTTGATGTAATGAGTTCTTCATCTCTCTCTCCAACGTAGACTAGGCTACATGATGTAGTCAACAATAAATAAATGATCCTTGGGATTCGAGGTGCGTCGACGGCAAGGACCAAGGACGAAGCTGGCGAATCAGGGGAGATCAGAGCTGTTAGAGGGGATATAGTATCTACTGATGTTTCTCTAGTCCCCAAGATGCCAAGCCGGTTATGAAAGCAATAGAGCAAGATGCTAGACCGCCTTTCTTGTCATACATCTGATAGAAGTGTCAAGGAGGGGATAATGGTTGTCTGAAATGGTTGCCTGAGTGCTTCCTTTCTATCGACGCCGGTTTATGCGACCAACAGCGGATGGATATTGGAGTGCTACATGAATGGAGTGGGAAAATAGAAAGTTTTCCGAACCATTATTAGGCGGGAGAAGTGGGCAGGGGAGGTCAAGGCGTAAGCAGATATTTTGTTGGCCCGAGGCACCTGTCGTGGGACAAGCTGAGGTACCGACTTATTATTGTTAAAGTGCCCAGTCATCTTGGCAGGCTTTTAGGCACGCGCTTAACCTGTGGCGGGCAGGTAGGCCGAGCAGACTTTCTACGTGTGATACTAAAGAGGGAATAGAATCGACTGTACCACATTCCGTGATCATCTCCATCAGACAAATCAGCCAAACAATGTCTCCAGACCCTATCGAGCACTACTACAATCCACAGAAGGTGAGATAGGCAACGTCCTGCTGTTTGACTCATCTTAAACCCGCGTTATCATATCCTCTGCTCGGATATATGACATCGTTATTGACCAAGGATGGACGCGACTGCATATCGGAACCGCAACCAACCCAACCACGGTGAGTGTCTGAATGTGTTCTCAAACATCCTTCTTCGGCTGTCGCGCTTTTGAACTGGGAGACACAGCATTCTCATGGCATCTGGAATTGCATCCGATGAGATTTGTGGGTCTGTATAAAAGCGTACCTGCCACCATTGGTCGGCTCGCGTTTATCGCTCTGTGATTGGTGTACTGCATGGACCAAAATATAGGTGGTTGAATACTTCAGCATCACTTCTGGCGTCCATTTCCCCTTTTGCCTTGTTGTTGGACCCGCTCGAGATGGCTATAAGAACTTGCCAAATACCCCGATGTTGACTTTCAAAATATGATCACTCTACCATTGTCGCATTCACCATGACTTCAACCACTCACCCCGAATTTGATGGAAAGACAGAGGCCCTTGAGGTAGCCGCTGCGTTTCCATCCTTGATCAAAGACCGCACTGTGCTCATCACCGGTGTCAACAAGCTCGGGATTGGCTTCACCACCGCAGAGGCATTTGCGTCCCAAGGCCCTCGTCATCTGATCCTTGCCGGACGCTCAGACGCAAAGCTCCAGGAGGCTCTGGATGCTCTTCGCGACCTGTACCCAACTATTGACTACCGTCTTCTCCACCTTGATCTAAGCGACCTCAAGTCAGTGAAGGAAGCAGCAGCTACCGTTTTGAGTTGGACCGATGTGCCGACAATTGATCTCCTAATCAACAATGCTGGGGTTATGAACATCCAGCAGCGTACTCTGAGCCCTCAGGGAATCGAAATGCACTTGGCAACAAATCACATCGGCCCATTCCTCTTCACCAACCTCATCTTGCCTCGTCTCATCGCAGCTGCAAAAGGATCGCCCCCGGGGACCGTCCGCGTGGTCAATGTCAGCAGTGTTGGCGCATTCATCTCCGGTCTCCGGGTCAGTGACATGAACTTCACTAAGCCCGCCTCCGAGTTACCGGACAAGGAGAAACCTAATCTGGACATGCTGAAAGCTAGCGGTCTACCTGCGGAAGAGAGCACGAGCTACTTCCCCATGGTAGCTTACGGCCATAGTAAAGCTTGCAACGTTTTGTTCGCTGTGGTGCTTAATCAGAAGCTGCACGACAAGTACGGCATTCTCAGCCTTGCGTTGCATCCAGGAGAAATACAAAGCCAGCTCTCCAGAACCACCGATCAAGACTGGCTGACCAAAGTTACCACAGCAAGGGCGGCTCAAGGGTTCGCCTGGAAGACGTTGCCAGAAGGTGCAAGTACTACCATGGTTGCTGCCTTAGACCCCAAGTTACAAAGGCCTGGCTCTGATGGTCACGGGTACTTTCTCAACAATTGTCAAATTGGGTCTGTTGCGCCGCATGCGACGGATGATACCGATGCTAGCAAGCTTTGGGAATTGAGCGAAGACCTGGTAGGGGAGAAATTTGCCTGGTGAGTTGGACTGCTGCCTTGGACAGGACAGCGATGGGTCAATGCCAACCTGCAGGATATTCCAGAGCCTGGAAAGTTTGATAGAGTCTAGGGGTACAGAGGTTAGTATACATATAGGATTTAGCGGTCGAATAGACTACTGTGAACCGCTTCTGCAGACATGTACGTTTAGTACATGTAGCTGGCTTCCGCATAGATACCTGGTCTGCATTCATTCCATTTGAGATGGGGCGGAGATCACGTGCGAGCCTTGTGCACCTGCCCTTCACGTGTCCCCCATACTGACATTCTTCGTCAAAATTTCTCTTCCAACGTCTTCTCTCCCTTTATGATTGCAACCAAGACCTAGGTGAGTCATCGATCGCCATATACCCGACTACGATTCCCGTATTCACTTCATGCCAGTCTCCTGACAAATCTTGGGGGTTTCCAGATTCGCAACAGCAATGTCGCCACTCGGATCATCGCGTTGAAAAGATGGCTCTAAGGTCTCCGGGGCCCGCGGCGGCCGACGCCCAGCCCACTCTCCTCTACCTTAACCACATCCATGTCCAATAATAACGCCATCTCTGGAGACGAGACAAGAACTTCGAGTCATATTAACGTTGGTCATTCAACACTTCGGCTAGCCAAATCCCTCTTGGGCTTTACTCCTGCCAAGTCCCATCGTATTTCACTTACGCTACAAGCAATTTCGAGATGAGTTTGGGGCATGATACATGCCACATGGACCACATGGTACGTGCCGGTAACATTTTGTTACCGTTGCCGGCTTAGCTTCCTCTGTCATGTCTCCACGGGATTTAAAGCAATCCGAATCCTCACACTTGAATTGGATTTACAAAGTCTCTACCCTGGCCATGTCAGAGCCTCACTGACGCAAGAAACTACATCATATGTCCATATTGTCTCGGAAAATGCAACCTACCGGCCGGCCAACCTAACTTCGACGCCGTAATGTCAAAATCCACCACAGCCTTTCCACCAGAAGGATATCTAAATTCGCGATTCATCCACTAGAGTAATTAACCGCGAGTCGTCGTACCCAGCAAGCTATATCTTCAAGTTTCCAGGTCAACTCTGGCTATACCACCACCGCCTCGTGCTTCCTTGGGAAGAACTCAACCACAAGCATCAGTCCTTTGGCCAGAGCAACTTTGAAACATGTCTGAAAGCCCCGAGAAGCGATCTGATGGCAATGGTCAGGTTCAGTCGCCATATTCAGACAGCGTCACCCCTGCCTCCCAAATATCACAGTCTTCACTACCAAACTCAGAGAAGTACGACGATCGATTAGAGGACCACAACGACCAAGCCACACGAGAGGACTACGTCGCTACCCTTGCTCGAACCTTCACAAACCAGTCCGAGCAATTACACATACAAAGTCCCTTTCACACTAAAAAGGGAGGCCCCTTGGATCCGACTAGCCCAGCATTCAAAGCTCGTGAATGGGCGAAAGCCTTCTATACTGCGGTATCAAGCTCGGCTCCACGGCGTGTCGCTGGTGTTGCATTCTCATCCTTGAATGTCTACGGCCATGGAAGCCCCACCGACTACCAACCCAGCGTTGGCAACATCATCTTTAGGCTCCCTTCCTTGGTACCTCGCCTATTTGGAAACAGAGAAAGGAGAATTGACATTCTCCACAATATAGAGGGAGTCGTACATCCCGGCGAGATGCTTTGTGTTCTCGGACCACCTGGGTCAGGTTGTTCTACCTTGCTTAAAACTATTGCTGGTGACACCTATGGTCTTTACCTAACTTCAGACTCATCCCTCAACTACCAAGGCATCCCACCAGCCAAGATGCATAACGCATTTCGCGGCGAAGCGATCTATACAGCCGAAGTCGACGTCCACTATCCGATGTTATCCGTCAATGACACGCTCTTTTTCGCTGCCTTGGCCCGAGCCCCGTATTCTTTACCCGACGGCGTCCATCGAAAGTTCTACGCTACTCACCTTCGCGATGTTATCATGGCCATGTTTGGTATCAGCCACACAAAGGACACACCAGTCGGTAACGACTTCGTCCGCGGAGTCTCTGGCGGTGAACGAAAACGTGTGACTATCGCGGAGGCGACACTTAGCAACGCGCCTTTGCAGTGCTGGGATAATAGCACGAGAGGCCTAGACAGTGCTAATGCGGTGGAATTCACAAAGACATTACGCCTGCAAAGTGATGTGTTTGGCTTCACCTCTTGTGTTGCGATCTATCAAGCTCCTCAAAGTGCCTATGATGTAAGTTTGCCGCTGGTTGCATTGAATCCGCATGTAAAGACAAATAGCCAGTGGCTGACCAGATATGACTACAGTTATTTGACAAAGTTACCATTCTCTACGAGGGCCGCCAGATCTACTTTGGCCGAGCACAGGCTGCAAAAGCCTATTTCCAGGATTTAGGATTTCAATGTCCAGATAACCAGACCACTCCAGACTTCCTGACGTCCATGACCAATCCGGTCGAAAGAATCATCAAGCCTGGGTACGAGAACACAGCACCCAGAACATCCGAGGACTTTGCCGCCCGTTGGAGAGACAGCAAACCCCGTCATGACCTACTTGCAGAGATAGATGCCTATAACAACGAACACCCCATGAAGGGAGATAGTTACAACAAATTTGTCAGCTCCAGAGTTGCAGAGAAGTCGACCATGCAGAGGAAAAACTGTAAGTATTTTGTCGATTCACGGAATGTGGTGTTCAAGTACTGAAATCTCATTTGCAGCTCCATATACACTGTCATACTGGCGTCAGATCCAGCTGTGCGTCTGGAGAGACGTCCAAAGATTAAAGGTCGACCCCTACACAACGATAGTCATGCTCATCGGCAATTTCTTCGAAGCCATAATCATTGCCAGCATCTTCTTCAACCTGCCAGCCAACACTTCAAGCTTCTTCGCCCGTGGTGCGGTTCTCTTCCTGATGGTTCTTCTCAATGCCTTTGGCAGTTTGATTGAGATTATCGGTCTCTATGCTAAGAGAGCCATCGTCGAAAAGCACAATCGCTACGCATTATATCATCCCAGCGCGGAAGCGTTGGCTAGCTTACTTGTCGATATGCCTTACAAGGTTACCAACGCCATATTCGTCAACTCTACCTTATATTTCATGGCCAATCTGCGACGCGAGGCTGGCGCCTATTTTTTCTTCTTGCTGCTGTCGTTCACGCTAACTCTGTCCATGTCCATGTTCTTTCGACTCTTCGCCTCGATTACAAAGACACTTGCGCAAGCTTTATCCCCTGCATGTATTGTACTGCTTGGCATGACACTGTATACAGGATTCACGATCCCTGTGGAATACATGCGTGGATGGGCGAGCTGGTTGAGATTCATTGTGGGTGGCCTCATGGTAGACCCGTTCCTTTCCATTGCCTACTGACGCAATCATAGAATCCGATCTACTATGGATTTGAGAGCGTGGTTCTCAACGAATTCCATGGAAGAGAGTATACATGTTCTCAATACATCCCATCTGGACCTGGATACGAAGATGTCGCATTCGGAAACCGAGTGTGTGCCACCGTCGGTGCACAACCTGGCTCGACGTTCGTCAGTGGTACCGAGTATGTCAGAAGTACATTTAGCTATGTCAACTCTCACCGATGGCGCAACTTTGGCATTCTGGTCGCCATGACGATTGGACTGACGATTGCACACCTTGTTGTTTCCGAACTTGTGGCTTCTACTCGCTCCAAAGGAGAAGTCTTAGTCTTTCGCCGTGGCAAACACCATATTGCCAGAGCACAACGGTCTCGTCCAGATGAAGAGCGCACAGTTGCTCCAGTGGTGCAGAACGAGGTCCACGATAGCAATGCCGATGCCGATACTAATGGTAATGCTACTGCCGCTGGAGTCGAACGACAGACGGCGGTCTTCCACTGGCAGAATGTCAGCTACGAAATCAAGGCCAAGGGCCAGCAGAAACTCATCTTAGACCGTGTTGATGGCTGGGTCAAGCCTGGTACACTGACCGCGTTGATGGGCGTTTCGGGTGCTGGAAAGACGACTTTGCTGGATGTGCTTGCAAGTCGCACCACTATTGGCGTTATTACAGGCGAGATGCTGGTGGATGGTCAGCAGCGTGATGGCTCGGTAAGTGTTTACTGTCCAGGCAAAGCATGGATCATCGTCACTGTACCACACATGCTAATGCTTCTCCCAGTTCCAACGGAAAACCGGCTATGTGCAACAGCAAGATCTCCACCTACACACTTCGACGGTCCGAGAAGCACTCGAGTTCAGTGCTCTGCTTCGACAGCCAGATCACTATAGTCGCCAAGAAAAGCTCGACTATGTCGACACTGTCATTGGACTACTCAATATGCAAGACTATGCTGATGCCGTGGTTGGAGTGCCGGGGAGTGGACTCAATGTTGAACAGCGGAAGAGGCTAACGATCGGGGTGGAGCTCGCCGCCAGACCGTCATTACTTCTATTTCTGGACGAACCTACTTCTGGCCTCGACAGTCAGACATCTTGGTCTATCTGTGATCTCATGGAGAAGCTAAAGGGAAACGGCCAAGCGATATTATGCACCATCCATCAACCTTCAGCAATCTTGTTTCAGCGGTTTGACAGGCTCCTGCTGCTAGCACAGGGAGGTGAGTTTCCCTTTTCTCTGTCATTGATGCATTGTTGAGACTGACTTGAACAGGTAAAACGGTCTACTTCGGAGAGATTGGATACAACTCACGGACCTTGGTCGAGTATTTTGTCAGGCATGGGGCAGAAGACTGCCCGCCTGGTGTCAATCCAGCGGAATATATGCTCGCAACCATTGGTGCTGCGCCTGGAGCTCACACTGACACCGACTGGCCGGCTGTGTGGCGACAAAGCAATGAGTATGCCCAGGTACAGGCTGAACTTGCAAAACTCCGAGGTTTGGCCTCAGTCTCGAAGGACCAGAGTCACCGCCGCGAGTCAGACTATGCGGACTTTGCAGCATCATTCAGCCAACAACTGTGGCTGGTTTTGCTGCGAACATTTCAACAATATTGGAGGACGCCATCTTATATTTATTCCAAGGCGAGCATGGCCGTGATCTCAACCCTTTTCATTGGCTTCTCCTTTTTCCGGAGTGACAACACGCAACAAGGTCTTCAGAATCAGATGTTTGGAGTCTTCTTGTTTCTGTTTGTTCTCATCCAGCTGATTTTCATGACCATTCCGATCTTTGCGGTGCAAAGAACGATTTATGAGTCGAGAGAGCGTCAAGCACGAACTTATCATTGGTTGACGTTTGTCATCTCCAACGTCTTGGCTGAAATTGTGTGGAATAGTGTGAGTTTGTTCTTTTCGAGGCTGACTATGACTTTTGCTGATGAGCTTCATGACAGGTTTTGGCAGTGTTTTGTTTTGTGACATGGTATTATCCCATGGAGCTATACCGCAACGCAGAGTGGACCGACTCTGTACACATCAGAGGGTTCCTCACCTTCCTTTATGTGTGGGCGTCTTTCCTCTTTGCCGGGACATTTGCACAGGCCCTCATTGCGGGTGCTCCGTCAGACGAGATCGCCTCAGCTGTGGGAAATATTATGTCCATTATGATGTATGCCTTTTGTGGCATTCTTGCAGGGCCGGACGCACTGCCTGGGTTCTGGATCTTTATGTACCGGGTTAACCCTTTCACATACTTGGTGGACGGCTTGCTTTCAACGACGCTCGCTAACGCGCCGGTCACCTGCGCATCCAATGAGATACTTCGCGTCGACGCCCCGGCCGGAGAATCCTGCGGAGATTACATGGCTGAATACATCCAGACAGCTGGTGGCAATGTCCTCAATCCGAACGTTGTGGGTGGAGGAGACGAGCAGTGCGGGTTTTGCCAACTGACCAACACAAACCAGTACCTGAGTTCCATCAGCGTCAACTTCTCTCTAAGATGGAGGAATTTCGGGCTGCTGTGGGTCTATATTGTATTCAACATCGGAGCAGCGTTGGCATTTTATTGGTTGTTTCGGGTTCCTCGAAAAGGAAAGGCGAAGCAGGCGAAATGAGAGGGTTTGTACTTGTATTGGGGCTTGGGAATGGCTGGGATAGGATCGATTAGATATGTACTTGTCAAAGCCCTGCTGCCATTGACATGAGGAGCAGATGTCGCTTGACAAGGTAAAAGTTAGTGTGTATAATATTCACTAGAATAGATTCCGATGAGTTACAAAGATTTTTTGTGAGTGACCTTGCCATCCGACCTAGTTTCAAGTCGGAGATTGTATGTAGCTCAAGCAACGGTTGTTAACTTAGACGACGGAGCGTTGTTGGTTCGGCTTGCGGCACGGGTCATTGCCTAGGGTGTTGTGTCTCGAATACTCAGAATGCAGCGGGAGGGCACGCACCGGCTAGAGACAGGTAATCACTCCGATTTGAAGGGACAAGTTCGATGAGGGATAGAAAATGACTGAAAATATTCAGTGGAAAAAGTGAGCTGGCTAGAGACTTCCAGGACGGGTACAACATGAGGCAGGTGCGGTCGTTGCCAAAGGCACCTGCCTCTGTGAGGAGCAATTGCTAGGCAGACCCGAGCAGCAAGAACCCTAGGTACGTAGTAACGGGACTACCTACAGAGATATTAGAGATATTGGGCCCAGACTCGCGAGGAGAGACCACTGTTCTGCTCAATCTGGTTACACAACTTCAACACCGTAAATGTGTGGACAGCGCAAAGTTGATTGTCCACTCTTCAATGAGGAACACTGGGGAACATGAGGCAAGGCTGGGAAGATCCACCTGGATCACCATGCATGGTGCCCTATTACATAAGCACACGGAGTTTTGACCACTCCTCATTTAAAGTTGGTTATCATCTGCGATATACATACAAATCTTCGTTATTGCGTTGAGATAAGCACTTGAACTCATACGTTGTCTTCCTGTGTGTGAATCAAACAACCCTTTTCGCGTCCCAGTTTCTGCCATGACTCTACCAATGATGAGGCTGCGATGCACCGAGGCAGGTGACACGAACAAATATTGCTGCAGTTGTTACCACGAGGTTAGCTCTCAGTGACCACAACCATGGTCGCACCTTCCCCGACTTTGTGACCACTAACTAGGCAAACTCACAAGGGGAAGGAGCGTCGTTTGCAGGTCAGACAACTGCCTCTGCATGTCTTGTGTCCCCTTCAATCTCTTCATCCGCCTTGTCACCAATGTCCATCCCTCGTTCCATCGTCCTTTTCTTACGTGCAACTCCACCGCTCGCCTCTGTTGCAAATCCCAATTCTTTGCCTATTGCTGGGTAGCCGCGTTTTATCTTGCATTGCTTCATATTCATCAGTTCCCAGTCTCATTCTCCAGATATCGACTATCCACGATGCCTTTTGCAAGCCTTCGACGTAAAACCGTTGGAGATCGGCCCGCCTCAAAGGGTCACGAACAACCTCCATCTCCCGCCAGGACGAGATTCAGAGCTGCTCCCTCCTTGTCACCCCGGAAGAGCTTTTCGACTTTGATCGAAACAAATATCAGAGGAAGGGCTGCCAGGTTTGATCGCAGGCCGTTAGACCCATTGCCCAATTAATCACGTCCAGCAGTGCTTCCCCCATAGTCTCACCCTCAGACCCTCTTGAGCAAGAGTTCGGTTCTCGACAAGATCCCGGTCCCTCTCTTCCAGACACCCTATCCGAAGCTGCCGAGCAGACCCCTCTTCAGGACCAATTGACCTCTCTCAAACGCAGCCCAAGTCCTCATCCTCTCAAATGGAGAGGAGCCACTCCATCCCTACGTTCCCGGATAGATCGTGCCAACCTCAGTCGTTCACATTCCGATACTTCCCTCCAGGAAACAGCCTCGAAGACGTTCCTCGAAGCTATTGCTGATGCCATCAAAGCACCAACTTTCCTGTTCTACAGAGACACGAAATCTGCAAAGACACTTAGGAAAACCGAGGAAACACTAGACTCTAGCGGCACTCAAGACACTCCTCCACTGGTGACGACAGAGCACCGCAAGGCCAGCCCAAAGAAATCTGTCCGATTCCGCCCTGGAACCTCCATCATCAACGACGTGGAAAAGTCTTCTCCTATCAACATTCCAAGAGCATTTCCAACATTGCCACCCGTGCAGCTCGCAACGACGCCTTTGCTACAATGCTTCGGCAAGACTTCGTTTGACCAGATTCCAACTGCTAGACCCCCTCAAACACAAATCCTCAATTCGTCGGCCGAGTTTCGTCAAGCTATCATTGAAGCACAGTCCGCCATCCCGTTTCTTGACCTTGATCAAGACACCAATCCAGTCAACCCACCCACAAATCTGCCGACTCCTCTCCCTGGCACAAACCTCTCCATGGATGACCCTTTTGCCCATGCAGTGAGCGAGCTTTCGCCAGAGGCGAATCAAAATCTTCTCGCAAAGTACGAGGATCATTTCCCAAACAAAACACTGCCGACCTGTACAACGACCGATCTAACGGCCGATTCTCCGCCTGCTTCAACAACTGTTGGTGACCAATCCGAAAAGGGCTTCGATTCTTTTCTGCCCATGGGCTTCCCGGAACATCCATCTCACTCTCCATTGCCTAGCACCAGCTCTATGCAAGCCCAACGCCAAACCAAGCGAGTTGCTGACATTCTAGGACCGATAATTTCAACATCACCACTGTTGCGACCTAGTGATCCAGCACGCCTGCCCCTCAGCCAAGACTCGAGTGACCCGGGTCAGAAGAAACTGCATCTTGCCAGAAGCAACTTCTTTCAGCGTCACCATCCCTCTGCCTCGAAGTTTGACGCTGTCATGCATGCGAATATTTCAGAATGTCATTCTATTTACGATCAAACTGAAATGGCCCCAATCATATCAACCCCTGAGAATGTGGCAGTGAGCGAGAAGTGGAACAAAACTCCTACCCATGAAGACATCCGACAGCAGTTCAGAGTCCCTCGTTTAGGGAAATCTGTCGAAAATCTCGAGACGTTTGAAGTGGAAGGAACATCGCAATTGGGCAAAGACTCGGCCGTCACATCTCCATCAGAGGGCTGCTTTGAAGATTCCCGCGAATCAGGAATTGTCGCATCCCATGCAGCTGAAAAGGAGTGTTGGGAGAAACCACAATCGCGTTCACCACACCTAAGTGGATCCCAGGTGACTTCCAATGGGCTGACCTTTCAGGACGCTTTCCCAGCTTTCCTTGAGGCTTCACAACCCCCCTGGACTGCCGAGCTTGCCTTGCGAAGTGACAAACCAACGCAGTCCAAGCCGACTGAAGTTGCTCTTTACGATAATACTCCTCTCGATCTGTATCAATCACATAATCGAAGACTTAACAATACCGATGAAGTACTCGAATCACTCTCCATCACAAGTCTTCCCTCTACCAAGCATGCGAGAGAAATCGCGGAACAGGTATTGAACTCGCCAATGATTGCAATAGCATATTGACTCTTTCGCAGATTAATTATTCGCCTGAAGACACGGAGAACGTGTCAACTCCCGTGCCATCCTCGAGATTGGTCTCGCTAAACTCAATGTCGTCGATTTCTTCCGACATGTCATCTCCCTCTTGCATTCATCTGCCAATGTCAGCACTTCCACAAGATCGGGCTTTTGAGTATTGTGATCAAGATGGCTGGTCGCCATTTGATGAGGCACAGTTCAGATATGCAGCCATGGCTGCATTTGAGACAGATGAAGCCGGGTTGCGCAGTCTTCTTAGCTTGCAAGGTGGCTTCCATGCATTTTGGCAAGAGTCCCAACTTCCTCAAAGTACCAGTCCTGCCCAAGATACTCGTGGTATGACAAATGCGGAGATCGAGCGACTTATTGTCATGGTGAAAGAATCGCGGTCATGGCAAGGGGGGATCACCACTCAATTTGTGGACGCCTACAAAATCAAGTTTAGCCATCGCTTGAACCCCGCGCACGCTGCATTCCACAGCAATGAATGTGATGACGGCGCGAAGGTCGATTTTGAGCACCCTCACCCAGAGATCGCCGGTGGTAGCGTGTACACCAACGGTTCAAAGAACAACCTTGTAACCGACTCAAAGCAGCATCCGTTCGAAGCATATTCTGTTGGTCAGGAGAGAACTGGAGTACACGTTGTGACAGATGAACATGAGCACGACACAGGTGGAGCCAAGGCAGTTGATTCGATGTCACTAAGACCAGCAGCATCCATCGACCCTGCCACCGCTCGACCCGACGGCGGACATGGTTTGGCCGGCGTTGAAACCGAAGTAGAGGAAGCCGCACAAGGAAGTGATGAAGATCACAAAGATCAGAGCCGACCGCGAAGAGAGACAATGCAAAGTCATAATTCTCAAGGCACAGGACGGCGGAGCAGTACGTGGTCTGCTAGATCGGGCCACAGTTCACGAACCTCTGTTGATTCGACTGCCATGGGAATGGCAGAGGACGAAGATTTCTGCCGAGGAATTGTGTGAGCTGCTAGGCCATGACAAGGCGAACTCGGCGAGGTAGGATACATGTTAGTGGGGCATGGTAGGTCTGTTTTTACGTTAGCATGATTAGCATATCAGTCCTGCCTCGATAGACCAGGGAAGCGGTTGGTGGATAACGCAGAAGGCATTGCCTTGGAGAAACAAGTTTTGATTGCATGAAAATAGAGATTGCATTAATTAAACACAAAAGTATGTCGATTCTTATATCAAGGTGGACCGAGAGGAGGAGCGCCTGTCTGTTGATGTTCCCCTCGATCTGCTCTATGTTTAGCGACGCTACCCTCGAGGCCGTAAAGAGTTGCAGCGTCGCCAGGAATGATCATCTCGAACGTCTCGCGAGCGACGACGTATTCATAGTAGCCACAGCGGGCAATCGGCTGAGTCTTTGAGATGTCAATCTTGCCGTCAGTGAGAACATGATCGCTAATGTGGATGGCCACGACCTTTCCAATGACGACGTCGACAGTTCCCATGGGAGGATTTCCCGGTAGCCTCAGGGTAGTGTAATATTCACATTCAAAGCGGACGGGACTTTGCTCGACCATGGGTACGGGGGTCTTGAGGGTCTTGGACCAAGTCTTTTCCAGCCCAGCACGCTCGAATTCATCGACTCCATAAGGAACAGCCTCGGCAGATTTATTGACCGCCTCACGAAGATCCCATGTCGCCAACTGCCAGCAAAAGACACCAGTGGCTTCGGCGTTGCGAGTAGTGTCTTTTCGGTCACCAAAGCCCGTCTGATTGGCACTGAACATGACATAAGGTGGGTCAAAAGTCAAGTTATTGAACTGAGAGTATGGAGCTAGATTGTGAGCTGGACCCTGCTGGGGAGTGGAGTTGTCCTGGCCATTGGTTGAGGTTGATGATGGAGAAACGGTACTGATCCAACCTATGGGACGGGGAACGACACATGCCTGAGAGAGGGTTAGATGGGGAGGCGTTAGGCCGAGATGGTCATGGTAGGAGAGAATATGGAGTGTCCGCTGGGTCGTTTTACCTTAAAAGGATCTCGAGGGAGATTGTGTTCTGTTTTGCCCGGTTGATAGAACACCATGGTGGGGGGAGGGGGGAGGCAGGGTGGGAGTTGATGAATACTCAAAGAGGATGTCACCACGATTGAAGTAGCAGGTCTGGAACAGATGACAATGATATGAACGAGCTCACTATGATTTTTCTTTCAACGTTCTAACAAGATTTTTCTCTTTCATCAGGTTTAAATTCAAAATCACAATGCATCAGAGCCGAGGAAAGTTAGCTATCCGTGGTCGACGTCAGTAATAAGATGCTGGTATAATGTCGGCATCTGTGTGATTGGCTGGCTGATAGCCATGAGCCACAGTGTTTCTCCGTAGGTTGCAGGGAGATTCTTAGGGTCTTTTGGAGGGTTTCTTCCCTCGATGCCAAGATTGCCCAATTAAGATTTACTCTACGGAGTAATCTATAAAGAGTCGTCTGAGGGGATCGAGACTTTGGTGCATGTACCGTACTCCGTAGATCAGGAACGAAAGAGTGGCCTACGGAGTACTGTACTCGTAGATCTTGGTTAGTGGGATCTCTCCCCACAGCGGGCACCAGATCTGGGCACCCACCCACTTGATGAGTGATGGCACAGAAGGCCAAGATCTACTCGTCCGACATGATACCACGTGACCCGTGACCAGCCGTGCCAGCTCATCCTTCCACGTGACGTGCCAATTGCTGACAGATTATTACCAAATCTTTTGGAAATCCCAAACCTGACACTCCAACCAGTCACAGGCAAGTCTCACCTGCAGATTCGTAACTGCATGTGCGTCATTCGCTATGGCGGGGCATTTCCGTCGATTTGCTCATCATATCCACGCTCTATAACGGGAATTCACTTTTCGCTTATATCATGAACAGTAAATATCACAATCCCGTGGACGCCGTCCTTCAAGAACAGTCGACGGACTGCCAAGGACCTTCTAGCCATTTCGATCAACCTCAATTCTTCAGGTATAAGTCCCTCCTCTGATCTCGGATGAAGACTCCAAATTCGTTTTTGATTCGCATCAACCCAACAATAACTACCACATTCAATCTGGCTTCAAGAAGGTCACTCCTACAACAAGCGAGTCCCATCTTGAACAAAATCCTCAACAAACAAACCACGATAAAACAAACTCAACACCACTTTTACACCACAAAAGCTACAATGACCACTCCCAGAACCATCAATTTTTCTTTTGAAGCTCGCGAACAGTCTGAAGGTGCGGGCGCCAAAGTGCGTCGCAGCATCGGCACACCTCGCCTGCGACATCTGACTCCATTTCTCATGCTCGACCATTTTAATGTTCCCCCAGGAGCTGGATTTCCCGACCATCCTCACCGAGGTCAAGAAACCATTACTTATCTCCTGAAAGGCGCGGTTGACCATGAAGACTTCGCTGGCAACAAGGGCACCATCGGCTCCGGCGACCTACAATTCATGACCGCCGGTCGCGGCATCATGCACGCTGAGATGCCAGCTCAAAACTACGAAACCAACATTGGCATGCAATTATGGGTTGATTTACCCGAGAATCTCAAATCAGTCGAACCACGATATCGCGATTTGAGAGCGGCGGAAATCCCCATCGCCAAGACTGAAGACGGAAAAGTCGTCGTCAAGGTCATCTCAGGAAATTCTCTCGGGATTGAATCCGTCAAGGACCTCGCTTATACACCAGTCTGGCTTCTCGACATCTACATTCAACCTGGCGGAAGTCTCAAACAGGAACTCCCCAAGGGTTGGAATGCTTTTGCATATACTCTCGAAGGAGCAACTACTGTCTCAGACGGCACCAACGAAACCACCATCACTCCATACCATAACGTCGTCTTCAACAAAGAAGGTGACTACGTCGCAGTCTCAGTTGAAGAAGGAGCTAACGATCCCGCCCATTTAATCCTCGTGGCAGGTCAGCCTTTGGACCAGAATATCGTCCAATATGGTCCCTTTGTCACCACCACCAAAGAAGCTGTCTACCAAGCAATGGTTGATTTCCAAACAGCTAGCAATGGCTTCGAACGAGCCGCTAATTGGGAAAGTGAAATCGGAAAGACCATGGGTCGAGTCTGATCATGAATTGACGGCTCAAAACCCCATAACATCACGCCCACCACTGTGTGTGCCCTTGAATGACATTTTTTGGCCATCAGGTTCGGCAGCACGGCGCTTTGTCATGTATAGCAGCAGTATAGAAACATAGCTTAGGAGTTTTGGGACCTAAGGCTATAGGCATATATATATATATATCATGTATCCTCGTTGCGAGTCAGAATTGGCTCATGATGATCAAATCAATAATACTTCCGAACCCGAATAAAGTTGTTTTTGCATTCCACAATCAAAGTCTATTTCGTATGCGGATCCTCGTAGACACATTCAAGTAATACTAAGCATCATATCTGTGTGTGTGTGCTAGTGAAGTGATCGTATCGTAGAGGTCAATCATACGTAATGGCATGGCATGGCATGGCATGACCTGGCCTAGCCGATCTGGTCGAGCACCTTGGGTTTTAACATCTCCCAGTCTCTCCCTTTGCCATCCCGTCCCCCCTCCCCCCAAGAATCAGCCCGTACAGGCCGAGCATCTACTCATCATCACCGTCCTCACCAGCACCAGTACCAACCGTACCAGTCATGACCTCATCATCATCTTCGAAAGTCGTGAGAGGAACCTCATAAAGTCGAATGACAGGCTTATTTGGATCCTTGACAAGAACGTACTTCTTATCAGCATCGTCATCAGCAGACATGCTCTTGACAAGATCGACAATCGTGCGAACAATACCCCAACCATTGCTAAAGCCCAAGTTCATCTGGCTAGCGAATTCACGGGGCTTGTATCCGACAACACCCAAGACAACATGACTGGCATTGCTCTTTGGGTTCGCTCGAGACACAAAGCCAAGTTTCATTTGATCGGCCTTGGCCAGAATAGCCTGAGTGGTCCAACGAGCCAATTTGCACGAGTTGTTCTTCATTTCAGTTGCCACCACAGCACCTCGCTGCGAGACCAGCTTGGTTCGCCAATCAAGTGCGCCGCCGGAGCCTTGGGCCTTGTGGTCGAATTCATTGAGGGCCTTGATGACCAAGAATTGATCTTCGCCGGAAATGTTGTTCTTGACCGCGGCGTCGAGTTCGGTCCGGACGATCAGGTGGAGAGGTTCGTCGTCTTTTTCTAGTGATAGATCGAAACGTCGGTATTTGTAGGCTTTGGAGGCCAAGGGGTCGCTTTCTTCCGATGCGCTGTAGAAGGGGTTGGCGTTGGCGAATTCAACCTTGGATTGGTTTTCCAAAACGGTTTGTAGGGCAAAGTTGTGGTTGATCATGGTTGCTTCGTTGGCCAGGTTTGATGGCGTGTTGATACTATCTGCCTTGACTCCGGTTTGTTGTTGCGAGGGGGTGGTGCTGGAATCGGCCTCCAGGGGTGCGTCTGCGGCGTTCTCGTTGACTGTCACGAGATCGATGCTGCTGTCGGGTCGCTTGTCGAGGAAGATCTTGTTGCCGTGCTTGACAATCACCAAATCCCAGCTGTACACTGATCGAGTGGCGCACATGAGCATCGATAGGATATCAGATGTCGCGAAGATGCTGGCTTCGTCCTTTTCAGCCAACTCCTGAATCACGGGATCTGCCGACGTTGTCACGTTGTATGCTGCGCGGTCCAATGACACCAGTTTTCGTTCCGTGTTCTTGACTGGTGCCTTGTCGTATGATCGGTCGTAGTAGTAGAGAAATCCGTAGCTGTCAACGTCTTCGCCCGCCGAGGTTTCCAGGTTCAGTTTCGTCAGTCGGTTGAAGTCAATCTCCTCCTTCATCACCCAATCCGGCCGGATGTTGACTGAAGAATCACGATTCCGTTGTGGTTTGTCATAATCTCTCCATCCAAATCGACGGCCACGGCCTGCTCTTCCTCCACGGTTGTCGTAGAACTGTCCTTGTTGTTGATTTCCTGGCCGTCCTTGTCCAGCTCTTTGGAATCCAGCTCTGCCTCCACGTTGGACGGCTCCTCGTTGACCACGACCACGGAACACTGTCACTCCGCCTCGACCAAATCCTCTAGTCTTGGTCGTTGCACGTGTATTGTCGACCACTGAGAAGGAAGATTCGTCTTCTTGTCCTTGGATTGCGAAGAGTGAGGAAGTACCGGCTCCGTAGATTTGTTGGTCTAAAGAAAAAGAGAGAGAAAATATATTAGCTTTGGCTCTCTTGCTTTACAAGAAACTCTCGAGAATCAATCGTGCGACTTCAAACTCACCTCGGAAGTTTCTGCCATATTGTCGTCCACCTCGATCTCGACCTTCTTTTCCTTCTTGGGTCCAGTCGGCCATGCGACCTAGTTTATCGCTTTTCGAATATGGAGCGTACGGCACGCCATCGAGGGTGGTGTTAGAGGATGTCTCTGGTCCCCATTCGTCGTTGACGCTCAGTTGGCTGATCGTCTGGGCTAGACTGATGCCAGGCATGGCGGGCAAGTCGTAGTCACAAAAATGCCGGAGTTGTCGCAGGGAAGAAAATTGTGTTCACTGTCGTAGCGAGGTTTCTCCTGCAATTTCAATCGTTCAAGTGCGTCGTTCTGGTTGGCGGCGATATTCCTGTAGGGAGTTGGGGCATGGCGCGGGACGATTTTTGTGAAATCTTGGCAATTGGTTTTTGGATGAATGTTGCCAAGCCACACTTAAAGCACGTGACCTCGACGCCCTCCTTTCCCAGATATTCAAGAAGTGAAGCATCAGAGTGTGGACGATATGCAGTTCACAGGCTATGAAAACAAGGGCATGATCTATTGAAGAAGGGCATGGTTGATCATTTCTTTAAGTTCTAATACATTTAACTTGAGCAAATTTTTCCTCCCACTAAAATAACGTCCGCTAACAGTCTGCGTTGACGAAGTCAGTTGTCCACTCCAGATACATCACGAATACATTTCTTCGATCTCTGAAGTCATGTCCCCGTCGAACTGGTCATACGTCTCCGGTTTGGTGGCAAAGATGGTTGACAGAGCGTCTCGAAGCTCAAAGTCTTCCATTACGGCGCCAAATCCGTAACAACGGACTTTACTTTTGATTGATTCAATCATACCAAGAACATCCTCTCGGGTGAGGGTCGCGTAGTTGCGATGGCCTTTCAATGACTGTAGAGCCATGATGGGGGTCACTTGGCCCGAAGGAAATTCGTTTCCTCGCAAGGACTGACTCAGATTCAGAAGGTTAGTCAGGATCTGTACCGATTCTGTATCAGGAACCTTGTGCTCATAGGTGGGAACCAGGCCACCTTCCTGGGCTGGGGTGTTTTCGATATGACTGGGAGGCGGACATGATGCCATCAAAGCGTGTCCAGAAAACAGAGCTTCAGTATCGTTATCGGGCGAGTCAACTGATCGGCGGACTAGATATTCTCCATGGTCGCGACAGGTTTGTTCGAGCCTGTGGGTGAGTTTAGCGTAAAGTAGACGCGACGCAAGAAGGTTGACTCACTTCAAGATGAAATCAATTCCAAGCTGGGGTTCCTTTTCAAATATGCCTGGCATGTCTGGGACCGCACGAGGCTCTTGTTTGACAGCAAACTCTTGAAGATCGGGACCTTGGGGTGAGTGGCTGTAGTGAGTGGTGCCTGGAGAATGGCCAGCAGCACTCTGACCCCCATTCAAGTAAGTGTGTGGAGAATAGCCTGCTGTGGATCCTGGTCCAGAGGTGCCAGAGCGATAGCCTGCAGTAGAATGTGCACCTAAGGAGGGTGGACTTAAAGTGGCCATTGATGGAGGCGTCATGGAAGCATCTTCCAGTTTCGGGCGCATTGCTATTACAGCTTTGCGATTCTGTAGCTCATTCTCGTATTGGATCCCTCGCGCTGCGAGGATCTCTCGCAATGCTAGATTCTCACACTGCTGATTTTCGATGATGATTTTGTGCTGGGCCAACGTCTCGGCAGCATTGTTTTGTTCAATGACATACATTTCGCGGAAGCGGGAAATTTCTAACTCCAAGGCTTTGATATAGTTTTCCTTCCTTTCTCTGTGTGTTCTACGGCGAGCTGTGTTAGTCGCTGAGTGATCTAAGGTCATCCGTTTGAAAATACCTTTGTGCTTGACGGTTGAGCTCTTGCCGCCGTGTTTGTGCGGGTTTGCTATCAGGTTTGGGACCTCTCCGCTTGGCTGGTTGTCCATCTAATTGAAGCCATGTTAGCATATGGACTCTGGCTCACTCGTCCACGTATACATACCTCGAGTGGTCTTCTTCTGCATACCACCAAAAGATTTGAGATACCCGATGCTCGTGCCGCCAGGGCTGTTGATCTCGCCCATGGAAGAGTTGTCAACTAGAGCTGAGCGTTAGTCAATACCCTGTGAGGCGAAGATGATTGCATTATGGGACATGACATGTGTGCTGGCAGGTCCCGCTTGCAGGAGTCTGGATGTAGTGCACATAGAGCTACTTACTATATCCTCCAGTGGCTGCAAATTCATTGTCGTTCCATGATGGGTTTAGGTCGACTGACGTTTGGGGTACGTTCGAAAACATTTGGTGTGATTGTGATGACATGGCGGAATATAACACGACACTTGGTCGGTGGGCAAGGAACGAGTATGGACTCTCGAGTTTCAGCCTTCAAGATGTTGGGGGCTGTTCAATAATGATGCGTTTGATTGGTGGTATCTGGTAGGAATGCGATCAAGACTCGACGGCCCTAGGTGAAGTAGCAAGAGTTTCTGAAGGAACACGAAACGTAGCGTATCCTGAGTTATCTAGGTTTCGAGTTTCCAGAGTCCAGGTAGAGCATTATGAGATGCAGATTGACTGGGTTCGTCCAAGGAGTGGTTTGGTGCTCCTCCGGTAGGTTCCTTGTGCTGGGGCAAGCAGGGAAGTACACAACAGGGAGGATGTTGGCGGGACAAGATGGGTGATGGTGGTAGGTCAGTTCGTGCAACAGGAACGTCGCAGGTTCGTAGGGCAGAGCCGAGACGGAAACCGATAATGTGCCGAGATTGAGGCGAAGCGACGTGTTCGAAATACAGGGATTTCGACAACAGGGGAAGAGCGCGGGGATGGTTCAACTCTGTGGTCGTGGTGAACTTGATAAATAAGAATTGTGGGTTGGCGACAAGATGCGGGTGGATATAAGTCGAAGAGGTGTCGATCAGAGCTTATTAGTGGAGAAGGTTCAGACGACAGTCTACCTTGTTCCGAGTGGGCGGAAGTCGACAAACGTGCTCGAGGCAGTGCAGTGCGGCGCAAGTCTCGTAGATTGTCGAGGACAGTCGATGACTCGATGAGGATCTGATCTTGTTTGTAGCAGTAAAGGATCAGGTCGGAGTGGGTGGCTTTGGAACAATATGGGTCGCGAAGTGTTGAACGGAGACTTTATGTGGTAAGGAGTAGGTACGAGATGGAGTGCACCAGCATTGGTTGACGGGAGAGTGAATAGTCGAGAATGTGGATGGACTTGAGCAACGATGGTAAGTTGCGGTGATACACAATGTTGCAATAAAAGGAAAGAAGAAGGATGAATGTGTGACTGGCCAGCGGAAGTGGATAAGAGAAGCAATATGACGATAGCTATGGAGGTATGGATGTCTGTGGGTGAGTGGGTGAGTGGGTGTGTGGAACAGTGTAACAACGACAGCGTAGATGTAGACGGGCGCAGCAAAAAGTAGCCCAGGAAGGTCAAACTAAACCTCGAATGTACGGAGCAAGTGATTTGAACAGTAGCGGCAGCCCTATACGATGGGTGGAACGATAGGGAAACAAAATCGCCGGGGCAAATGCTTGGGAGCGGGAAGCTGGAGAACAAGTTTGTGTGAGTAATATCCAAGATAGTTCCTAGACACCCCAGGCTACGGGCTTTCAAAAGACGGTAAGATGTCTGGGGTTTGGTTGGCGGCAAGATCCCCGTGAGGTGGCCCAAGCACGGATAGGTGTTGCACCGACAGTATCTTCTGGAACACAACGCAAAATGCTCGGAGAAATCAGGTCCAAGTTGAAACCGCAGCTGGCAGCACCCTCATCAATGACAGATCTAACGTCGACGCCAGTGTGCTAAGACCCCGAGGTTGCAAGAAAATGGTAAGAGACTGCGAGGCTTACTCCGTGCGATCCGACAACCGAGAGATATCAGACCAGAGAACTGCAGGTCCAGTGGCGAAATAGGCTTGGATGGGACACTTGGGGTGTGGCTGAGCCCTGAAATCGCAAATTCGCAAGGCTCCAACAAAGCTTCCATGCGTCCAACCTGCAGGCGAGGGATCCTGAGTGGAGTCTAATAAAAACGGCCCCCGGGCCCCCGAGCTCGCCTATTACTCCCCTTACTAGGAGACTCGGGGTGACATCGAAAGCTCCAAGGACACTCACCTCTTTGTTCTCTTCTTCTGTGCACGGTGATGCTGGCACCTGCTATTCGCTAGCAGGGAAGCCGAGGGCACCGAAATGGATATCTGTCCTCGTATTCATACGTAGAGGCGCCAAAGGACCTATGCGTAGGAGCAGTCTGGGGTAGGGGATCTTTTCAACCCTCTCTTGACTTACCTCATGTATATTTGCCTGTCAATGCTGATAAAGCGGCCAGGAACCTGAGGAGCCTGTGTGGGAGGCGGGATCCTCATTATTTCAGCCCAAGCAATGTTGACTAATAAGGATGACCTGAACACCTCGTTAGGTCCCAACCCCTTTCAATAATGCGGTCACTTAGTAATACGCCCTGGCGTACCTTACTCCGTAGGTGATCGATCTCTGTCGTCGATCCACAAGAAGCCAAGCAAACCTTGAGCAGTCCACGCCTATTTTAGAGCCTCTTGGATCTCTCACTGGAAGACCTCACACAGACTCCAGGGACCTGTTTCCCTCTTGTTCTCCTGTCTCATCTCATTTATTGTCGAGGCATTGCAATGCATGTTCTGCAAGCTAGGTATTCCCTCGAAACAAAGCAGATCACCCTTTCCACAACAATCCCAGCACAGTCCCACGGCAGGTGCAATGTAGGTTTGGTGGGGGCGAGTTGAGTGGCTCGAGGGGTTCTCATCCACGCCCCGCCTTCGTGTTGTACACGATTCATTCGTCAACCACATCCATCGCAACATACCTAAAGTTTGTTCATGACATGTTGACAATTGAGGATCATCGTGGCCGTTGAGCCTGCAAGAAGCTGATAAGCTCCTCTTTGGTGGAAATATCTTTTGTACCTATGAGGTACTTTCCGGTCTTGCTCAACACCATCATTCATTTGAGTACATCTGTCTCTTTGAGGTGAGAGGTCTGAATTGGGTGACTCATGATGTCGGGCCCCGTACGGTACTCTGCGCTGGGTCGAATATGTGTTCACATGCGGGGTGCGGCCATCGTTACACCATGGTTACTCCATCTTTTGGGGACCGACATCTTGATTTCGCTGCTTCTTCCTTTGTCCTTCGTTGCACCAAATGCTGCATACAATCTCTCGTCCTGGTTGGCGCAACTGGTCTGGCGGGGCATCCAGTTCATCTTTACTCGACTCAACCAAGCTCGCATCACTAAATCTGGCGTTGAGTTGCCACCAGATGAATCTGCCATCGTTGTTGCCAATCATGTCTCCTGGGTCGACTTCTACCTTATTCAGGACCTGGCCGACCGATCATCCATGTTAGGTCGATGTCGCTATTTCGCAAAAGAGCAATTGAAGTGGGTCCCCTTCCTCGGTTGGGGTCTGTGGGCCATGGGTATGCCGTTGATTTCAAGACGTTGGAATCGAGATCAAAGGGAGCTGGAACGTGTTTTCCGAGGTCCCCGCAGATATCAGTGGCCCATTTGTAGGTCCTTTGAGACAATATTCGTCAATTGACCAGTGCTTACCTCCGTGATAGGGCTCATCAGTTACAGCGAGGCCACCAGATTCACTGCTCACAAACACCTCCAGATGATCGAATGGTGCAAGGCTCATGGTCGACCGGTCCCCCGTCACACATTATATCCCCGCACCAAAGGCTTCGTGGCAACGGTCAAAGCACTGAGGGAATTGAGTTCTGTTCGGGCTGTTTATGATCTGACTCTGGCCTACGCTCATGGGAAACAATTCATGGAAGCTCCTTCGATGTGGCAAACGCTCTCACAACCAAGACTAGACCGAGATTGGCGATTTCACATCCACGCGGAACGGTTCGACATCGATGACTTCATCGGCAAGACCGACACTGAGATCGCATTGTGGCTGGAGCAACGATGGATGGCCAAGTCGGATACGTTACAGGAATTGAAGGACAAGCTAGAGAGAGATAGTGATTGGGCCATCGATTCGGGCTCAAAGTTGCCGAAAGACAAGAAGCAGTGATACCAGCATCAATGGGCGGATGTCCGGCACAGACGTAAGAAATGGATACTGAAAGAGAGGAAGGAGGCTGTGAAAATGGACATGTCCCTCGACTGTAGGGGTCCATCAACACTTGTATGATCGCGACTAGTGGAGGGAGAGAAAGAGAAATCCACACCGTAGCCACGCGAGAGCATCTCCTACACTTCTGCATGCAAGGGAGGACGTTGTCAATGCCAGCAGTTATGTGGCTGATTGTGCTCATTGGTTAATCTTGGGATAAGGTGCTAGCTGGTCAATATCATATTTGGAATTCAACGATGCAGACGTAGGAGAGGATGCATTTGAGGTGTGGATCGCCCGGGTGGGTGGGGGGAGCGTGGGGAGCCTGCTTAGTGTCGCTTAACTGAGCGTCCGTGGCACCTGAGGCTACGCTTTCAGTACTGACGGAGTAGTTCTTTGTGGTTAGGCTGACCCGCCTCCGTGGTAATAATTCTAGCTACCTTCCACGCACGCCAGGCAGCCAGATTCCCTCATCGCTTAGAATCTTATGGGTCAAACGATGTATGTACACCATTGGTGGCGTCACTGCCGCGGGGCACTCAAGCCCCTCGCGTCTCTTGTTCAACTCGTCGCGTTACTTTGGCAGCGACACAATACAACTCTCCTGTTGCCATTCCAACACCCAGCCGCCACTTCGCTGCTCCATGTTCCGCTGTGGACCACTTCCACAGGCATCATCGCGATGATGGCCCATCTGACAGCGACAAAGAACTCTTTCCGAGACTCCTCGAGACCGAGTGAACGACCGAAGCAAAAGAGCCCAGAGCTCGACTACAAACGTTCCACGATATGCGTTCACGTACCCTTCTTCACGGATTGAAAGGTGCTTCAGACTGTTGAATATGCAAAACTCTATATGTGAGTTGCTGGTTCATATAGCAGCTCCCAGCACGCTCAAAGACGATCAACGATTCTCAGATATTGCCCAGTCCATCCTGGAATTTCACGCGGTAACCAGATTCGGATCGTCGTGGAACAGTGATTCCTCTCTATCGACACCTTTCTCGGCTGATGCAACGAAACAGCCGCCTTCTGGAGCGGAAGAAACATCTTCTTTTCGGATGGCCCATGGGCAATCTGGAAAATCTATTCCTTTGACAGAGTCTGTCGCAGCAACCCAACTCCTCCGGACGACCCCATCATCATGGCTTCTCTCATCTTCCCTCTCAGGACTTGATGTGGAGACTTCGCGGCCGAAGACAGCCCCCGAATTGAACTGTATTCGGGCTGAGCCTCCGGTCGCCGTCTCAGTGAGAAAGCATCAGCGGTCCTATTCGGACACTTCGTCTTTGAGCCACTCCATCTCGGCCATCCCAAACTCCTACGGTCAAGAGCAAGGTATGACGCATACCAGTGATTGCACATCAAATAATTCAAGGCTGTACGGGGAATTATCCTTTTGTCGAGTCCCTTCAACGCCGACCCGGGAGCGACCACCAAGTAAGAGACGACGTGTTGGCGCAGGGCTAACCTATGAGACTCCAAGGGAATCATTATCCACAGCCTCTATCATGAATGCAAGAGTATTGTCTTCACTACCTGATTCAATGGAACTTACGAAATCTTTCCAGTCTGTTTCATCCACTCTGTCACCGTCGCAGCCAATTCAGCTCAGGGTTACAACGCCTGCAAGAATGCTTCCGAACGAGGAAAAATCAAACGAGGTTCTGTTCATGGATTTGACAAAGGGGACTCCTGAGCAAATAAGCAAAGAAGTAGACAGGCCACAATTAACGCACTGGTGGTGCGAAGAGGACAGGCACGATAATGTCGCAAATGATCACAGCAACAAGCGCCCGGACTCCGGCGACAAAGTATTTGCAGACGAAGTCGCTAGTCCCCCATCTAGAGGGGGCGAGCACGTGTTCACAACACATATCACGAGGACACTTCAGACGATTGTGGACCGGATTCCGCTTGATAAAGTGTTTCGACCCAGCCGAATCTCACGCCCTGTCCGAGCATTGGAGAGAGGACGCTGGCTCTTAAATATACTGGTTGTTAGAGATCAGCAAGTGTCCTCTTCGAGATGTCCGGTCGGCAACGACGAGAAGCTTGGGGCTCTGGACGGTGAGTTTGACATAGGAAGACGGAAGGTACGTTGGACTCAGGATGACGGCCCGGGGCGACGCCACTCGGCTTGGACTGAAGTTGAATTTCTGAATTTCTGGCGGAACATGAGTCGCCTCGTTCGCCAAGGTAAGTGTGGAATGGGCTGTCGCCTGGTGAAAGAGGTAGACCGCGAAGCGTCGAGCGAACTTGGACAAGTCTGGAGGATCACCATGTTTTGCTGGGGCGAAGTGGTGGCCCATATTTGGCTAGCTCTTTGGATACTCTCTGACAAGTTGACTGCCCAAACCCCAATGCAATGGATCTCTGGTGATGGGACAGTGGTGATTGAAATGTCGGGAGAGAAGGTGTCGAGGACGAGGACGAATAGGCCGGAAATGGCCCCCAAGGGATAGATCATGATTGAATTTGGAGGAGAGACTTCGTTGTACTTACATATACGCAATTTATACCTGTCTATACCTACTGTTAGTATCATCTGATAGATTGCCGTCCATCTCTGAGCATGAAATGCGTTTCTGTGTTGGCGGCGAACAAGTCGTGATGTAAGTAAGGTACCTAGTGAGCTACTTTAGGCAGCGATCTTGGGAATTGAGGTGGTAGGTACCTACCTACCTAAGCTACTAGATAGGTACCTACTCACGCCATTTCTGCCCCAGATTCAGATCTCACCTACCCTAACTTAGGTACTTTTAATGGTCCTCCAGGTCTGCTGGGACTCGAGCTTCAAGGCCTGTCTTGCAGTCAGATCGTTCCAAGTACTTAAAGTACCTACCTTAGTACCTCACCTAGAGTTATATGTGCACCTACCTTCAGCTCAAGGTTCCCAATCAGATCAGCACCTAATTAATGGTGCGTTCCTGGTGCCTGGTACTGGCAGATCCTGAAGAATCTGGTCCTTTTGGTAAGTACCGAGGACCGTACAATACTGAGTAGCTTAACAGTTCGGCCCCCTCGGACTGTCCAGACCACCCTTGACCACCCGTAGTAGCCCGAGGGGCCCATCGACATCTCCCCTCTCCTTACACCCGCACCTTGGAATCTGTTCTCACTAAGTACCTACCCTAGCTTCCCATCAAACCTCTTGCGCAGATCTGCACTTTACATTTCACATGTGAAAGAAAGCCATCTGCAGATGCATCTGCATCACGACTCTCCTGCCTGCGCTCTCTCGCAGTAACACCTCCACCTGCACACCTTCATCTTTAACATTCACTCAATCTCACTGTCCTTGTCGCCTTCACACTTTCCTGTCGCTCTGCATGCCTCCTCTTCTCTGACTCGCGACAGTTTGTCTGATCTGATCTCTAGTCCCAGCCCTAACACATTCTAGCTGGCACACTCCTCCGGCTCCAGCTCCGCCTTTTCCCCAATCTCGATCTTTTCCCAACACTTCTTCCTTCTGCTACAGATCACACTCGCTGTCGCTTTCAGCCCCTCCACGTCGCATTGAGACGACATCTGCCTGCTATTAGCCGTCCACAAACGCCTTGCTCTCCCATCTCCACCGATCCTTTCCTTTTGACCTGTCATTCAACAATATACCTGTGAGTCGAGGACCACGCGGACTCGGTCACTCTTGTTTCCGCGACCAGGTGCAATACCTTTCATAACTTTTTGAGAAGCCAATCTCAACATTTCTACTTGGATATAAGGCACTGCGGCTGCTCTAGGCAGTCTAGGAGTGGTGGGCGGACAAGATCGGAGTTGAATGTTGGCGACCCAAAGAATGTCGTCCCATGGCGGACAGCAGAACTTCCCCTTCGGATGTACGTCCCAGTCATTTCCACCAATTCTGTCCCCAGCTTACATGTCACAGATCAACAAGAAAACATCCAGGGTCTCGGTCTCCCCGAGTTCATGAACCCAGGCCCTCCCCCTGGCCAACCTTTGCTCAACGCCGATGACTTCCAAAATCTAGACAATTTTTTTCACGACTTCGACAGCAATGCTCTTGCAGCAAGCAAGCAGAATGATCATCCCCAATATGGCCTACATCCTGACCAGCAGAACTACTTCAACAACATGCCTCCCATGTTCGTTGGATCCGAGACAGCCCTCGGCCAACGCCCTTCACTCACACCAAATCACCTACAGACTCCTACCTTCCCTTATGGAGACGTCATGATGGGACACGGTCTGCCAGTGCTCAACCATAACAATGCCATCAACCATGGTCTTCAGGGCAACTCTTATCCTGCGTTCACTACTCATGTTCTACCACAATATCACAACACCGCCTCTGTTATCCAGTCTCACAACCAGCCCTGGGCACCAGATTACCCCAACCCAAACATGATGAACTTACAGTATCCGCCCCGACCACCTGTTGTCAATTTCGGAACCGATAATCGTTTTCAAGCTTCTGGTTACGTGGCTCCAAATGCCCCCGCAGATCCTGATATGATCAATCCCTTTCATCCCATGGAAATCCTTGAACCTGCTAGTGGTTCCACCACACAGCCTAATACCCAACCAAACACACAGCCTTCGAGTCCGACATGGTCCAAGAAGAGAACATTTGATGACTTCCATCAGGACCAGCGCCAGAATAATGGATTTCTTCCCCCCACCAAGGCTCAGCTTGCCAGTCCGGCAACGTCCTCACCACCCAAATCCGCTTCACGTCCCGCGCGAGGCCTCCTAGTCAAGTCCGAAAGCAAGAGACCGTCCAAACCTCCAACCCCGTCAGCCGCTAGCAAGTCACGCCCGACATTGGATACAGAGCAGGACGCAGAGGCTGAAGATGACGATGACGATGCCACCGCCGATCAGGATCGTTCTCCATCTCCAACCTCCTGGCCGTCTGGCGCTCGTCCTCCGCGAGTCACTAAGCCTCCACCTCAGCCCGCAAAATCCACCCGGAGGAAGAAGTCCCTTGGCACATCGACGCCCATCAGACCCAAGGCTAAAGCCCAACGAACTTCGAGCGTTTCACAGTCAGCTCAAGCAACCAGGACACCTCTCAGCTTGGAGCAAAAGAAAGCTAATCATACGAGCTCGGAGCAACGCCGACGAGACGCAACTGCCCGTGCATATGCGGAACTCTACGACCTGGTCCCCGAATTGGAGGAACTGGGAAAACAAAGTACAATGAAGAAACTTGAAGTTGTCGTTGACAAGGTCAGACGTGTCAAGCAACAGGTCGAGGAGTTGAGTGTCCGACTGGGAATTGACCCTTCTGCTCGTGGACAGCTTGCTACGTCAGTTAATGACGACTTGATGCACAACGGCGTCACCAATTGGAGCTGATGAAGCTTTTTGCATGTCAGACAGTTTGGACAACCCCAATGCAACGACTGGAGCATGCTGTAATGGACAAGCTCCCACCCTCAAGGAAATGACCCAACATGAACTTGGACGAAATGAAACCCTCTTGGTCCCATAATTTGGATCTTGAATTATGATTTCAGCCACGATGCAAATGGATATGGAAATGGGACATGGCGGCTTTTTCAACTGGCTTTTTGATTTTTGCGAGATACCCCATTTTTTGAGTGTACTGCGCTTGAGTGTACTGCGCGGACATACACATACAACATTTTGCGCGAGAAATACTCTTCTTTTTTTCGCGAAAGAATTGCACATGCACACGCAGACGGCTTCGTTATGAAGTCTGTCCATGCGGTGAATTCGACACCTCCTCCTACATCTTCTCCTCCACACTCGTCGTTGTTGTCAGAAGTCAGCCATATGGCACTTTTGGGAATCATTACCTGCCTGCATGGGTGCTTGGATGATTGGCTGCCACGGAACGAGACAAGACGGGCAATTTTTCAGCACATCGTTGGCTCGATGCACACGCGAGAAGGAGTGAGAGAGAAAGAGAGAGATGAAGAAGGCACTGAAAGTGTGTTGAAAAATCATAATGGTTCGCCTTTGACGCGATGAACATTAATGGTAGATACGTAGGTACGCGAGACTACAACTACTACAAACAAACAAGTAAGAAGATGAAGGGATGTGTCCTTGTCCTTTGGACAACCAGCATAAGTGGTGTATCTCATGCGTGCCTGCTCACTCGAAGACTATAGCCATCAATTCGCACCAAGACGGTTTACGTACCTACTTAGTTCTTTCAATTGAGGCCATTCGTCTTCCAAGTCTAACTCAACCCAATAAATACTGTCCCAGAGTCAATATTTGGTACTCGAGCAAAGGTGAGGTCGTTGAAATCTGGTTATGTCATCAGTTCCGGGGTACGACTTGTTTTCACATGCTTCCATCGCCATCCCCAACGTTCGCAACAATGAGTACCTACGGAGTATAAACTGCATATAGCGTGCCTCGGGCCTCCTGACCCCTGGCGGGTCATTATTACCCCGGCTTCTCCCCCGATCCCCACAATAATTCATGACTACGAATAGGTAACTGTTTCTCTCAATTTTGCGTGACGTGTACAGTATACGAGTACTCCCCCACTCCTCCTTGCCATACGCGAGTACGGAGTATCTCCCATGCAGTATGGGAAGCAACTTCATATCAAAGTTCCCAACCTAATTCCTGACACCGCGCCCTCAGAGTCTCTGCTAGAGTCCCACCATCTCCGTATCCAGCTCCCTCATACGTATAGTCGTCTCGGCAATCCACCTCGTCATTGAAAGATTCAGCATCATCTCGCATCGCGTGTGATTGAAAGCATGCACGTCTTTTATCCACTTTCCAGTTCAACAAGTCTGCTAACTCAATCGCTGAACGTGCCCAATACCATGGCGAAGTAACCGAATCCTCGCAGAGTCCTTCGTTATTACGAGCATCTCCTTCCCCTGCAGCAGTGATGGGTTCCGGTTGAGCTGGGGTCGCCTCAGCAGCACTAGTTTCGGCGACGATCCTTGATCTGGGGTAACCTCCGGCTGGGCTGTCGCCTCGATGGGAGTCCGAGGCTCTTTCGACTGGAAATGCTATTTGACGGTCCGAGGATGCGACGCTGCCTTGAGCTTGAACTGCGCGTGAAGACTTGGTAGATTCAAGCACCAGCAAGTCGACCGATAAGTTGAAAAATGTGATCGACAGCCATTCAAGCTCCTCACCAGGGTATAAAGAACTCGAAATCTGTAGCGAGCTCCTAGTCATTTCTTCGACCCCTGATTCTGCGAGCAAGAGTACCTGTTGCCCGATCTTATCCACCATGTCTAGAGTTTGGCGACCTGTGCATGAAAGATGAACGCTGCTCGATTCTTTTATGACACAGTCGAGCCCAACTTGCACGAAACATCGAATCCATCGTGCAATTTGCTTCACATCACACTCTGAAAGCTTGCCGACTGCTCGAACGATTTCCCACAATAAGTGCAAAGCAATTGGAGTTGGGATGGTAGCCTGCTTGCTCGACTCCGACTCCAAGTCCGCGCTGACATCAAGTAGAATGGAGGACAAGATCATATCTGCAAGTAGTGAATATGTTCTCCGAGGCGAATGCAGCCCCACCGCTTTATTAAGGATGCGCTTGAGTTCCTCCTGGTTGAATGGAAGTCCAGTCCGAAAGTCACAGGACGCTATAAACAATCTCGCCTCGAAAGCTATCGGAAGAAGGGTAGTAAGATGCTTTCGAAGACGGGTGTTCCAAGAGGATGCCTCGATAGCTGTTGGAGTGTTGCTATCTTGTTGATTCAGGACTTGGAGATCATGGAATCTATTGATCACGTTGCCGTAAAGTATTCTCTCCAACCCCCGGGCTTGTAGAGCTGCGTTGCGAGCATTTGATGTTCTAGGAAGATCTTCAATAGTCCACGAAGGTGTGTACAATTTTGCCATGGCCATATAGCATACCATTTGGACGCAAATCGCATTTGCCCTGACAGAAAGCCCCTCAGCCTCAGTGACGCGGTCGAGGTTGCCAAAACCACGCATCTACAGCAGTCAAATGGGTTCAAGATCAGATGTGGAGGATCTTACCTCACAAACCCAGTGCAAAAGGTCGATTGTGTATTTGAAAGGCCATGTCTGCAGCTTCTTCATGACAAGTTTGTAGCCTGCTCTTTCGAACCACTTAGAGTCTTCAGCACAGAACTTTGGTTCAATAGTCAGGTCATTCTGGGCATTGTGCGCAGACATGGCAGCTGCCCTGAAGGTTGCACATATCATGACCAAAATCTCATTCTTCTTATCCGTTTCTTGCTCAGAGGCTGAAGTTAACATGCAAATGATGAGCCGCAAGAGTGTGGGCATACGGATGGCCGGAGAAAGGCATTTGCCGTGCTTGTCCTCATCAAGGAATGGATTCAGAAGGGATACAATGTTGAATTTAGGATCCAGATTCATTGCCTCTCCAATGGCAGCAAGCAGGAACCGACCACCGTCACTGCAGGCTGACCTGAGCGATTTCAGAAACGATTGTACTGCGAACGGTCAACTCAACTGGCTGTAGAGGATTCGGGATGAGTACTCGCTGTTTCGTCTCTCACCCGAATCGCCAGACTGTAAGACAGAAACTTTGTGAGGGGATCGCTCCTTCGACTTGCAGACATGTCTTCGATAGTTTGAGCAGCAGCAACAAAATCTGACTGGTCCAGGAAACATTTGATCATTTTTCGTCGGGCCGTTAGCATGGTGATGATAAACCATCAGGGTCGGTACCTTTCAAGCTTGCCGATGGTTTGGTCGCTTGCAAGGGAGAAGATATCATGTAAAGCCACACGGCACCAGTCCACCGTGACATCTTTCCTGCCATCGTTGTAAGTGTCCTCGATCTTTCTCCACAATAGCTGTTCGGTTAGCCCTCGTATGAACAGATATCAGACTGGGACGCACCACAAGAGCACCATGTGATATTTCAGAGCGTAATGTGTGTTTCCATGTCGATTCTATGTCCTGTAAGATCAAGTAGCATTCTTGAGCAGTCATAGAGGGTGTCTCCGCCGGATCACTTGTAATTAACCAGACAATGGTGACAACTGCGCTTTCAGCCCATGATTTCTCCTTCACGTCTGACAGGCGATGTGTGATGTAATGCTTCAACACCTCCACAGCATATTGAATGCTTATTTTATATCAGTGCAGGACTGTCATATGTACAGCAACACTGACCTGAATGGCTTCAATAGATGGCTGTGATGGATGATGCTGCACTATCAGGACCTTCCTTTTGAAACACGGTGTTGGACGTACAGATTATGATTCGATTGTGTCAAAGGGATAGCCTGAACGACATTGACCAACTCTACCAGCTTCAATAGCTATCATATGTCTGGTAAGGGCTCCATACCAGCGTAGTATGCTTTCACATAGGTATTTAGATCACGAGAATAGACGTCTATCTGCAGAAGCATGACAGCAAGACTGTTACAAGAGATCTGCAGAGGAGAGCGTCAACGTCTGTAGCAGGTAAGGGATACTGTACCAACACTGCGTAGAGACTCGGCAGTCGTAACCGCCTCGACAATGGTATCGGGGTCGTTGTCCGCGAGTAATGACCTAACTGGCTCGAGATAAGAGTGGCTCTCATGGAAATAAGGTATGGTATTCCGAACCGTAAGCATGCTTAACATTCATATGTGAAGCTATCGATTCTGGGGTCATGTTCGAGCTTTCGAGGGTATCGCAAATGGTTGAGGCCTTTTTCAGCCATTGTTTAGCGAGAGCGATACTGCCACACCCAAGCTGTTGAATGCCTATGCCATAGCAAAGGTCTAAGCCAGCGTCAATCTGGCAGTGTCCCGGAACTTGGTCAAGCTTTGTGAGAAAATGGCCTGCAAGGTCTAACCGTTCTGTCTTCCATGCCTGAGTTATCAGTAGTGTTGAACGTCACACCAGTTCTCAGACCATACCAAAGCAATACGAAGCAGTAGATATTGCCTACGCAGGAGATCATTGGTGTTGGTCTGAGAGCAGTTTGGGATTTTTGTCAGGAAGTTGTGCTTCGAGGCCAATAGTTCCACAATTTTGGTCCCGAGGGCGTAAAGACCCAGATCTAGCAAGATGAGTGAGAGCAGCAATGTATAGCGAAGTGGACGTACCCAAACAACATTTCGCAGCTTTGATGGCGATTTTGAACGTTCTTTCCTGGCCTTGTCTTATAAGAGAAACGTCTTCTCACATCAATGCGGTGTAGTTAGACTTGCCTTCCCTCTCGAATCCCGCCACACTCTCGAGAAGCAAACAAGACAAAGCTCTTGCTGTTGTAGAGGTCAACATCTTGTTTGGGAGCATTCATAGCCGACCTACCGTAGGCAAATGTCACAGAATTTTCATGAAATGTTCCCGGTCTGCACAGTTTGCAACATGTATTCCAGAGTGAAACAGCAACCCTGTCAAAGTCAAGACATTCCTGCGGTGAAAGGTCACTTCGCGAGAGAGGCAGGGCATCCATATAGAGTGGAGCTTCATCAAGGCAGTTGCTGCTGGGCTGGCCATGTTTCAGGTGTAGCAGAAGGCGATGTGCGAAGCCTGCGCCAATTAGTCAGACGACTCTGAAATGAATACTGGCCATACCGAGAATCGACAGTGCTTTGAATGAGGGTTGTTGCTGCGACATCAGAAGCCGCCACACGATGTCACAGGGAGCACACAATGATTACACTGACGTGTAAAGGGGTTGAGGAAGATGGCTGACGTGCGAGATTCAATCTGGACTCATATATCGACCGGAAGTTGCAACTTTGGAGGAAAGAGCGAGTGGCTTCCCTGACTTTGGAAGGCACCCACGAACGCGGACTCAGGGGCGAGAATGACCACAATTCACAACAGACATCTTCCATATACTCATGCGCCATTATCTAAGTTGGTTATGTACTTTTGCTCTCGTCATACTTTTGCTGGGCTCATAGGCAGAAAATTGCCCACGATCAAAGAGGGTCTGGGAAGGTCAGTCAAGGGACGTTCAGAATCTAGTACATGCACGCTCACATGTTGTGGTTGTCTCTGCGGATGGTGAAGGAAAAGCAACATGGAATTTCCGCCACCTCAGAGTTGGGGAGTGGACAACGCAAAGTGCAGCTTGTGAGCATAGCCTTTTGCTGCTGGTCAAAGCAGATGGCACAGAACTTCTCCCAGTAGCTGACCAGTTGGTCTTCCACTATAATCTCGTGAATGGCTAATTTGCCCTGAGTAGAGGTTAGTATAAACATCGTGGCAAGATGGACAACAAACATACATCACGCAGAGACTCGATTGGCACATGGATCAACTGTGCCATCTCCTTGTTGCCTCTGAATATCTCACCCGTACGCCTCCAACAGCAGGCCGGGATGGCCATGCTGGCGAAGATTCTATCATATTCCATCAAGCTTCTTTCGAACCACATTTCCACCAAGACAAGCTCGATATCGGTCAAACTCTGCATCCTTTCCCTGAACTTGGGACGGAATTGGTCCAACTGCATAAGGATCTTGTGCCGGGAGGAGTGTTTCATGTTCTTTTCCATGTACTTGTTAAGCCGCGCATATCCATTAACATAATTGAACGGCCGTAGCATTCCGGCATCGTATTTTGCTTTGAGCAGTTTTTGCATGCGCTCCTCGGGAGGCTCTGCACCAGTGGGATCTGCTGCCATCATATAGTACTTCTCTCGCGCCTTGTCAGAGACAGGCTTGACACTAGATGGCCGAGATATGAGAGCAGCTTGGGCGACATTAGTCTGGTTTGGCTGCAAATTGGCGGACTGATTCGGGTTCGTCAGATTGTCGTGTGCTGGCATAGGCAACGTTGATTCAGCGACGGCATTCATAAATGAGGGGTCGTTGAAAGGCCCACGGAACTCATCGGTGGAATACATTCCGGTTTCTTCAAAGAGACTGGTACTGAGGAAGTCGTTGAGCAGATTATATTCATCCGTTACTTCGTTTGCATTGAACATGTAGTTTGGATGAAAAGCGTGCATGCCCTGCATGCCTCGCCAGTGTTCGTTATATCCAAATTCTAGCCTGGTTAGGGTGACTGAGACAGAAAGATTGGCGGTGTTCTTACGATTGTGTGTATTACCATTCATGGCCGCATTTTGACCTGGCGCCGTGGTGGTGGCGACTGCCATAGGGGCATCTGGAGAATGTTTCAGATGAAGGTTGTCAGTCTGTAGCAGGTCATGACCGGTTTCGTCCACAAGAGCTGGAGGGCCCAAAGTCGGTGCTGCTGTGGCGTATTCTTCGGCTTGTGGGGAGGATTCTTCTGTGGCGGCGGCATCGGATTCAGGTTTGGTCTTTTTCTGATGACCATGTCCTTCTCTTGGTTCATCATGACACAGGTGTCCAATATTTCTCTTAATACATCTTTTACAGGGTCGATCCTGAGACATGGCCCCAATCGAGGGCTTGGGTTAGCCAAAAACAGTCTGTTGAAATCAAGGGGGTGCACTGGGGGTAGATGAGGAAGTCGTACAGAATCGCAAGTCATATGCTGTGTATCCCCGATCGAATGTGTTAGCCATCTTGCTTCGCTATTGCTGACTGGGTCGAATAAACTTACGGATCGCCGACAATAGACGCAGGCTTGGGAAAACACAGTCAGTAGGGAGCATGTGGTAAAGGGGAGCGGGCTAGAGTCACCATGATTCACTTTGCGCTTCTTCTTTGGCTGCTCAGAAGTGGAGGATTGGGCTGGATTGCGCGAGCTGGTGGGAGATGAGGGGTCGGCTGAAATGGAAGTGCGCGCGTCGGTGTTCCTAGATGAAGAGTTGGTTGGGTACTCGGGCTCAAATTGGGGTTCTGACATGTCTTGAGGCATTGCAATGACAACCAGAAGCCGTGGCTGGCAGTCGAACGAGGCGGTGATCAGTAGTGCGTAGGCGGTGCGTGGGCGATGCGGTCGATATGCAATTCGATCGCAGCCAGTTCATAGATGGGAAGGCGGAGTGGAGAGGTCTAGGTAATGATGGGGTGGTTTGTCGGTCGCAACATCCAGAGGTTGAACATGGACATCGACTAAGGATATGAATGCACTGGGTGTATACAGGAGGCAACAGGGCAACCCTTTTTGACTGGCGCTTTGCATCTGATGATGGATGCGCAACCGAGGACAGATGAAGCTTCGACGTATGAGTCACGTGTTTGTTGCTTGGGCCGAGTCTGACCCGCTCCTGCTTCCGATTCCCCGCGAAGAGTTCGTGTGGATGCATCATCTGGAATCTGGAGTAAAGGATGTCATATCAGATCCCTCGACACACCCTATGCAGCAGCATTCATGGACTTATCAAGGTGCCTTTTGCGTTGGGTGGCTTACGTGAGAGTATACATAAATTAACATAGCCGAAATTACTCAGATTACATCGATGCTATGTCTATGTACACCAAATATCGCCTTTGAACCTGGAGCATTTCCTGACCCAATGGCAAACCCCGACTTTTGACGAAACACCGTTTCCTCCCATCTGATGATGTCCTCTGGTGATCTGTGCCAACTTTAGTCTTACAAGGTACTACAAAAATGCCTGCCTCGATCGCTTCGATGTCATAGCGAAAATGGACTCGAAGAAACGGCCAAGGGTGTACTACTGCCAGCTCACAACCCTCACTCATACATTGACGCTTGGTCGCATCCTTTTTCTGCCCTTGGTTCCTCCAGGGGTGCCCTCTTCTTCCCTTTCCCTGGCCCTCTTCTCTCGCTGATCCAATACCAGGCTCAAAACGTCGAAACCAAATTGAGGGAATTCCAAACACATTGACTTGAATTCATCTTCAGCTTCATGCCGTAACACATGAGATCGCGTAGCCCAGAAGGCCGCAACCGGTTTGCGAATGATGGTGTCATGTGCAGGGGTGTTGCCGTAGACGAACCGAGCATAGGCGATCTCGCCCACCGCAGTGGAATTGATGCGATGGATCTTGGAATGTGCCAGGACCTTGAGTTCGGGCAGTTGCAGCTTCTCTGCCAATGTGTAGACACGAGCGTGTTTAAGTAGTTGATCGCCCGTGTCATCGACGGCAGGAATAGAAGGATCGGGCTCAAGACCGTCTGGAATATTGGGGAGTCGTCTGGGAAAGTATTCACCCGTGTATTGATACTGCAAAAAGCAGCCCACGGCGTCTAGGGTTTCGTCAGGGAGATTGAGCACAAGATTGTCATCTGATTGACTGGATAATGATTCTTTGATCCAAGGGGACTGCTCAAGAATGGCTCTGTGGGCCGTCAGGGTGGTCTCTGTGTCGTCGGTTCCGACGATGATGCGGACGATTGGAGATTGTAGGTAATCGAGGAAAATTGTTTGAGGGTTGACTGAGTTGGAGTCGGAGGCATGTTCAGGTTCTGCGGCTGCGCCAGCATGTGGTGTGTCGTCCTCGACATCTACAGGCTCATCTCCACCTTCCATGTCCACATCAGGCTCGCCCGAATCAGCAATGTGTAGGGTTTCTTCCGAGTCCGCCATGGTGTTTGCGACATCGGTCGGCTTGAAGGAGAATAATCTTGCTGGCGTGGGTAGGGAAGAACAGGAGCAGGCTTTCGCCAAAGGGTCAATACAAGAGATCGAAGGCCCTCAAGTTAAATCAGAGGTCGCTTCGATATGTGGCCGTAGCATGAAAGTCGCATGTATAGGCCTTGATTGGCGCAGACTGAGTCGCTGGTTTTTGATAGCTTGTGCTGAAAGTCGGGGTATTCAACTCAAGGTTCAAAGCTCACAAAAGGCCGATGGTGATGGAACACTGGGGGGAGGGTTGGGGGACCTGACTAGTATGTATTGGGCCTAGTGAATCACATGAACTCAGATCTCTTGAAGGGTGTCGCCAATATCACCAGGTGCAAAACATGGTGCCACTTCAACCCCACGTCTGTGATGTCGCATAGAAGACAGTTATCCTATGTGAAGAGGTGTGAGCTGTGTGAGCCCGGCATTGTGGTTCGCAGAAGGAAAGTCGAGACCCCGGAGCCTTTTTGGGTGCGAGACAAGTACCTACATAGAGTACCTTAGTCTCCGCACCATTCTACGAGAGTCGAGACGCAATGGTGATTACCTAAGTCATACCTAAATGATAGTTGAGCAAAGCAAATTGTTAGTCACTAGATCGGGGCCTTGCATTTGGTCGACAGGGCTGGGCATTTCGTGGAGACCATCTTCATGCATGCTACTGACGAAAAGCTGTGATCGACAACGAGATGATGAGTTCAACTAAATATGCATGCGTATGCGAACATACTGCAGTCCAGATGTGTCGACTGTACGCTATAGGCAGAATTACAGTAGCACTGAGAAGATCCAGAGCTAAATTGTGGGATACAAATCGATGGCATCATCAGCAGGAGAAGGCATAATTGGCCAAAGGTTTGGTGCCTGGGACTTGGCCTTACCTTGTGCAGGGAACCGCAAAGCCTCGCAGGCCAAGCGCAATGCGTACCTCGTATGGGGCATGCATAGGTGCTTCTTCTGTCCACTCGGGGACTGAGAATTCTGCAGGGACCCCAACTGATCGGAGAGCCTTGCCCTAACACGCCTATCGAGGCTAGAGTGGAGTCTTCAGATAGGCACGAGGGGATCTCGACAGGGGTCAGGGGTGACTTTTTTAGCCCCGAGAGTCCGTGGTAGGGTTTCGGAATGACATGTTCTCGCCTACGGAGTACGCTTAGGCACCGCCGTCTCACCGCCTTCGTATCTAGTAAGCAATGGCGTGCTCGCCACATCAAATGTTGTGATTGTTGCCAGCCTGGAAACAACCATTCGTAAACTGTCCTTTAACATGACGAATCTCTTCGGATGGGACTTCAGAGTCCCTATTTGAAACTCTACACGTAATATCGGATCACCATCCCCCTCGAACCTCGAACCTTTCGCTTCTTCTATCCTGCCATCTCTCCGCAAAACCCACAGATGACGGACATGATGGCTGCGAGTGATGCGGCATTGTCCAAAAGTCCGTGTCGGGGAAGGATTCTGCCATGGACCCTTGCGCCCCTCTTGCCATTCTGCCATTTTTCCCTTGTCGGGCACATACCAACACCTGTTCTCGTCCTCTGGCCTTTTATCATTCACCACTACGACTCTCCATATCAACTGACCAACCTTGCCCCACATACGCTTTACCATGATCAGTAAAATTGAGCCTGCCTGCATTTCCCATTGATGGGCTCAACCTAAGATGAGTCAAAGATTGCCTTGGTTCCAGTCTGACAGTGCCACCATCCCCGGTCACTATCAACGCCCGTGCCAGTGCCATTCCCACGTTTCCCTTTTTTTACTTTGCTTCCCACATTATATGACCTTCCCCTTATCCCACCATCAACTTGACCAAATCTCCCTTTCTGTCAAGCCGTTGTGAAAGACAATTGAGAGTTAACATCGTTTCCTCTCAAACAGTTTGTTTATTATTGATCTCACTCCAGACAAATCCCCTGCACCACCACCTCGAAAATGGGTTCCTACGATCCTTACCCTGCCTCTCCTCCCATCTCGCCGCCCAATGGCTTGGACGGACAGAGCAATGACTTCTCAACGCCGCTCTTTCCTCAAAAACCAAATATTCTTTTTATCATGGCGGATCAGCTGGCTGCACCGTTGCTCAAAATGCATAACCCAAATTCGCGAATCAAGACGCCCAATCTAGACAGTTTGGCAGAGCGGTCAGTCGTATTTGATTCGGCCTACTGCAACTCCCCACTTTGCGCGCCCTCGCGCATGTGCCTTATCTCTGGCCAGCTGCCCTCCAAAATTGGGTCATATGACAATGCCTCTTCCATCAGCTCCGACACTCCGACCTATGCACATTACCTTAGAGCCGCCGGCTACGAGACGACCCTTGCCGGGAAAATGCACTTTATCGGAGATCAGCTACATGGTTACGAGAACCGTCTGACCGCAGATATTTATCCCGGAGACTACGGCTGGGCCGTCAACTGGGACGATCCAGACCGCAGACTGGAATGGTATCACAACAGCAGCTCCATCCTGCAGGCAGGTCCCTGCGTGCGCACCAATCAACTCGATTATGACGAGGAAGTTTTGTACAAATCCAAACAGTACATCTATGACTATGCCAGATCCGGTGACGACCGTCGTCCCTTTGCCTTGACCGTCTCATTCACACATCCACATGATCCATATGCCATTGAAGACAAGTATTGGGATCGCTATGAGGATGTTGAAATTGACCTGCCCCAAGTCAACATCAACAAAGAGGACCAAGACCCTCACAGCAAGCGACTCCAACATGTCTGCGATCTGGAAGACTATCAGTTCACCGATGAACAGATCAAACGAGCCAGACGTGCGTACTACGGGGCCGTGAGTTACATTGACGACAATATTGGAGAGCTTCTCTCGGTGCTGAAGAAATGTGGTTTGGACGACAACACAATCATTATCTTCTCTGGTGATCATGGCGACATGTTGGGCGAACGCAACCTCTGGTACAAGATGTCTTATTTCGAGAATTCGGTCCGAGTACCAATGTTGATCAGCCATCCCAAACAATTCACCCCTCATCATGTGTCCCAGAACGTTTCCACACTGGACTTGATGCCCACACTTGTCGACCTCATTGGCTCGAAACTGGTGCCTGGCCTACCCATGGATGGAAAATCCCTCATCCCCCATCTGTATGGCATGGGTGGCCATGACACTGTCTTTGCAGAGTACATGGGTGAAGGCACTGTTGCCCCGCTGATGATGATTCGACGTGGTGATTGGAAGTACATTACATGCCCGATTGATCCTCCTCAACTCTTCAATCTTCGCAATGATCCTTTGGAAATCACCAACCTCACTTCGAGCACCGATCCCGCAATCCAGTCGGTCTTCAAAGCTTTCGAGGCTGAAGCCAACGCCAAATGGGATTTCAAAGCCATCACGGCCGATGTCTTGGCCCAGCAACGTCGTCGCCGCCTGGTCTGGTCCGCCCTGACCAAAGGTCGCTTCGAAAGCTGGGACTGGAAAGGTCTTGAAGATGGCCGCGAGAAGTATATTCGAAGCACCATGCCCTTGGATGAACTCGAGCGCAAGGCTAGGTACCCGGTCCATTCCACCGTTCCTACCCAATTTATGGTCAACAACAAAGCACAGCTGGCGATCCGCCAGCCTCCTCATCTCGCTGAAATTGCGACTGATCCCGTGCACTTTCGTTGAGCAGCAGCATGCATCAACTTCTGTTTTCTCTTTCATTTTTGCCAAATTATTGCACGCCGCCGTTGACTCTGGCCTGGCCCATGGCTTTGCCTATCGTTAATGTAAGGATGACTATGGTTTTAAACTCACTGGTTTACAGCGACGGCGTTCTGGAGTTTCTCATTTAGCAGGTTTAGAAAATAGCAAAAACCAGGAGAATATTCAATGATTCGGTCCTCGAAGCCACATCCTCCAGGAGACGATGGTGGTTGCGAGATGACCGTCTCACCTTTCCTCAGACGTTGATCATCTTGCAAGTCAGCGAGTGGTGCATTCCATTTTTCTGTTCACGGTCTTGACACTAGTCTCTAAAATGAGTCATGATTCACTTTTATACAAACAGATAACACGCACTACATTTTCCCATGGTCTCCGCCTGATGTCTGACAATCGAGTCATCAGGGTCTGACCATCTTCAACTTGATCGCCACCCAAGTTGCAACATATCGCTAAATCGGGAGATACAATCCAGAGGTTATTTTTCCCCCGCAATTTCCTCTTCTCCATAATAGTGATGTGATTACCGCACGTCAAGCCTTGCATAATCTGAGATCACCTATGATAAGGCCACATGCACGCCAGCGTTTGCCAACCAACATCCGATAGCATGGCCGCTTCTGGAAAATTTGTCCATTTGCCGCCGCCTTGAATGTCAGAACTGTCGAAATGGACGCTTGGCGCACTGCATGCACGTCTGTCACATGCATGCAGCGTTGCATAATCGCTGCTTTCGCTACTCATTTGGCGAAGTGCAGCTCGTAGAAGAGCCATTTCCTGGCGTTGACTTGTTGAGGGGTAAGACCCGGCCAGCCGTAAGTCAGAGGGGAAAAGAAATAAAACCCGTACAAGACGACGCTGAGAATGACAATCGTGGCGATCCAGGTGCCGAGGAGACTGCCCTTGCCTTTATGGAAGGCTCGTCTTGCCTTCTCAGGCAATTTGCTCGCTGCTTTGTCCTTCTTTGCATTGATCGAGGCGGCTGTTTCCTCGTCAAGCTGAGGATCCACGCTGAAAATGAATTCGACAAGAGCACCAGTGACGAGGCACGAGGCAAGATGTGCCGGAAGGTAATGATGCAAGAAAAGCTGACGACCCATCAAATAGAAGGGGAAATAGTGTGCTGCCCAGCAGATAAAGAAGAAGCCAGTGCTGTTGTACAACCGCGAGCGAGTTCCTAGCAAAAGAAAATTAGTAAGAGGGTTGTCTGGGTGAAAGATCAACTTACGGCGGTCTAGAGCATCAACTCCACGTCTCAGGCTCAATTGATCCGCCCCCAGAACACCGGCAAGAACGGCGAGAAGAGCGGAGGTGATCCAATATCCAATAGGGTTCCCCAGGAAGTAGATTTGCTGTTTCGTGCTTTCTTGGGTCCAGAAGCTCACTCCGCGAAGCAAGAAGGGCCACTCGAAAGGCTGTGAGGCGTACGGGTGACTGGCGGTCAAGGCATTGTTATGAAAGAACATGGCGCGTTGAAGCTCAAAGTACTTGACCAGGAACGGAAGCGTCTTGATCTTCTTGGCCTCTTTGTGCAGACGAGGCGAATCTGCAGGAATGCTGGGGATGTCGTCAACATACCAGATGTTGCTTGACTGTTGTGAATTCTTGTTTCCGTTGATCTCGGCTTGCTTGAACGCCCATTCTGGAAGGGGAGAGGTGTGGGTCCACATGGCCACCTTGCTTGGAAAGTGAATCAACTTGAACTGGCCCGACTTGGACTTGAATGGCGCCGCCTTCTTTCCTTGTTCGAGTTTGATCTCAAACAGAGTGTCATTGTGCCGACGGGCCGCAGCATCATCGATGGAGACGGTGGTAAACTCTTGGTTTGTGGGAAACCCTGGCGAGGCAACGTCATGAGTCAGGAGCATGGTATTGGTGACAACATGTCGAAGTTTGACCACGTCGCCGTTTTTGACGGGAGTCCCGAATACTGTCTCGTCAGGGAGCGGAGTGTTGGGAAGAATCTGCCATTCATTGTTGGTGTCGTTGAAAGGATAGCCCGTGACCTGTTGACCTTGGCTTGAGATACGGCCATCATCATATCTGAGAGGATATTTGTCGGGGTGACTATGGAGATAGGTCTTTGTATCCTTGTGACGTAGAACAATGTTGTCGCCATAAAGAATATCAATAGAGGCTTGATGCATGAGGTTATCGCTCAGAGTTTCCTGGAACTCGGGGGTCATGAAGTCGTCTCCGGGACCTGAACGAGTCAAGACTGCAAAGTGTACCTGGAACCAGAAGAGGTAGAAGAAAAAGGGGATGATGATCAGGCCAACGGCGCGAGCAGCAAAGTGTTTGCCGAAGGTAACCAGGTCAATGGCACCACCTTTGCGATCGACGTTGAGCAAGTCCCACAGGTCAATGAGGACGGCCCAGCCGATGGTGACAAATATAAAGGTACCAACGTACTTGGTTGAGATGACACAGCTCATATTGAAGCCGGTCAACAGCAACCACTTCCACCATTTGCGTCCAAAGGGTTCATGTCGCTGCTTATAGAACCTGATGTAGGAGTATACACTCAAAGACATGAAAAAGACCAGAGTAGCGTCAAGCAGGATCAAGCGAGTTTGGCCAACGTGAGAGTTGTCAAATAGGATCAAGCCCGAGGCCAAAATGCAGGCGGGCAAGGAGTAGCCTGATTCCCACATGATCATGTACACCACGACGACGGTGAGTGCGCCGAGGAAGGCCGGGACGGAGCGAAAAGCAACATAGTCGACGTTGTTAGCGATATATGACTCGCCGATATTGTCGAAGAGGAAGTGGCCATCATAGCCGACGACCCAGCCGATAAAGGCAAAGAGCAGCTTGCCGAAAGGAGGGTGGACATCGAAGAAGTAGGTACGTTGCAGGTAATACGAAGCAAACTAGACAGATGAGAATGGGTGATGTGAAGGGGCGAGGATGTCAAGCATACCTTTCCAAAGTGTACTTCGTCAAAGACCACCTCGTCAGGATGGCTAATGCCAATGAACCTGGTGACGAAGGCGAGAATGGTGATGACAGCAAGGGCAATCTTGTAATCCAAGTCTTTTGGAGCCTGTTCCTCCTGGATTTGTCGATACTTGATGTCCAAGAATTCGTCTGAGGATTTGGAGCCATTAGCAAGGCCCTTGGACTTTTCCTTGCCCGGCCGTTGGCGGAGGGATGAGTTGGGGGTAGACATGGTGAGCAGACGCAGGAGAGGGGAACAAGACTGGGCTGCGCAGTCGACCTCAATCCGAGAGTGTGGCCAGTCACTGAGGTGTGTTCTGGGTGCTATAAGGTTGAAGAGGTGTTGGAAATAAATGAGGGTTGAAGAAGAGAAAAGAACCTTGAAGTAAAGGTACAAATGGTAGGTTTGACAAAGGGAAGGATGACTTTTCGGAGGCAGGCTGCGCTGCGTCCTGACAACGACTTTTTACAGAGCAGAGCAAGGACGCATGTGTGAACGTGTCCTGACTGTCGCTATTCAGGGACGCGACAACCCACTGCTGTCATTACCTGTTTAGGCATGGCCTCCCTCCCTTAGCCTCCGTGCCTCGTAACTCCTCCTACGAGTAGAAACCTATGGAGGACAGTACGGGTGAAAGCCTTGCTGGTATGACCTGGAGGGAGGCGATAATTTTGGGGGTGGGCAAATGACCCCGCAAAAGGCACTCGCCCCCCTTTGGAAGCCCCCTTCTCACTCACATCTTTTCTCACATACCACATACTGGAATAGAGATCATTAAATGCCTCGGTGTTGGATAAACAGCAAAACTATTTAATTCAGTAGGTAAACCAGATGGCTTCCACGGGTCACTTCAGGCCACATTTGGACGCAATACATCAATTCTGTTCAACAGACCTCGACCCCTTTCCAGGTCGCCTACCACCGTTGCCAGCGGCCCCCTCAGTCATTTCTATCATAAATACTCAGGGTTTCCAATTCCCGCTGGACAAGTCGCTCGAATTCGTCTCGCTCCATCCCAGCACTTTTGGCCAAGCGATACATGCTTTTGACGGTGCTTCCAATATGCTGTCGGATTCCAATATCAGAGGCTCCCAGTCGCTCAGCGTGTTCTTCGAGACGAGCGATCGTGTCTGAACCCCTTGAGGACGGAGACGATGGTATAGGTTGATTGACCTGCACATAATCTTCTGGGTCGTGTCTGTCCAGGCCGCTAGGATATGCTGCACCATGAAGGCCTCCCTGGGTCTCGAGTTGCCGCGAGAGGAAGCTCTCAAGGGCGTTGCCGTTCAGACTCGACTCGGTGGCACCTTGTACGTCCTCGTCGGGATCATGTGCATCAACTGCGGGTTGGACACTGCCATAACGATTGTAATAGTCGTCCTCGGAAGCGGCAGTCTGTCCAGTCGGCTCGATCGAGCCTTGCCGGGCAGGTGTTCTGCCTTCAGACTTGTCGTACATGGCCCAATAGTCATCTTCATCGGTTGTCTGCTGGACTCCCAGATTCCTGCGTGCTGCCGTCTGTGCCGCACTCGCTCTATCCGCGTCTCTGATAGCCTCGTCCACAAGTCTTGCTCGTGAGCTTTCGTTAGCCTCAGAAATCGATCGTGACCATGTGCTATCACTCTGTAGTTCGTGGCTAAAAGGGAAAAGCTCGCTGACCCTCCATCCATTGCCGTCCTCGCCTCCCGTGCACCAAAGGTACAGCACGGTAAAGGGCCAGTCTTGAAGGGATACCTGGGCTTTCAATGTCTCTTCGTCGAATCTCTTGTATGTGATGGGTGCTACCTCGCCCACTTCAATCTCTCCTGATGCGGGATGTGGTTCAAAAACGGTATTCTCAATGGTGTCCTTCAGTGCGTCTCCCTTTTCGACATCCCATGTCAACAGAGGAGACCAGTTGTCTCGAGAAGCCCCCGAAGTGTTCAGGTTCAGACGCTGCCTTAGGATCGGTGACAAGAGGGGCAGGAGAGCCGGTGGCGGCCTTGGAGATGCGAAGGAAGTAGGGAGACATGCGAGTAAAGGAGGAAGTAGTGATAGAGGATCTGGGGGAGGGATCAACTCAACCATGGTGGCTCTGCGAGACACAGCACGGCCGTGATGTCGATCTCAGTCTCTGGTCGTACCACCTAGTCCGTCCGTGATGTGATTGCCGATGTCGCATGCAGGTAAATACAACGCTCTGCTCGCAATATCGAGCTGTTGGGATTATTAAATTGACACAGAAAACATGAAAACACGCTGGACTCGTCAGCACAGGTGAGGCGAGTGTGAACGTGAAAGGGCGAGAGCCAATGGAGAACGCAGACAAGGACAATGATTCAAACCAGGTGTGTTTTGAAGGAATGGGGGCTTCACATGAAGTCAACAGAAGTCCAAGGACTCGACATATGGACCTTGCACAGAAACGGAGCCTGTAGGGAGTCCCATCCTCTAGTGAGGTGTGTGTAAATGTTGGTGCAAACCATGTGCTGAGCCTCGTCTAATCCTGTTTCTCCCGTGGGAGACAATTAAATCTCCATTCGACCGATCGGCTTTGGACAGGTCGAGGCCGAGATCTCACAACGGGCATGACAGGCTGCGATCTGTTATTGGCCGAGCTTCAGGCGCCCGCTACCAACCTGCCCGCAAGTTGGAGCATTCCTCACGGAATAATAGTGAAATAAGCCTTTCGTCATAGGCAGGATAGGTACAGCCAGATGCCAATGCTAGGCGCGCTAGGTACACACTCCGCGCGAAGCCACGGAGCAAAAACCCGTCCCAGATGAGAGCCATCGGTGTCCGTCCGGGCTTTTTGGGTTGATCAACCGGCAAGATTGGAAAGAGACATTTGCATGCCTCGATCTGCGTGGCACTGCAACAACATAATGAGCATGCCTAAGCGCCTAGATTACTAGGTACATACGGATTACAGGCTTAGGCAGAGTTCAGCTTGCTGAAACCACCGCCTAAATACGTCATTATTACCTACCTACCTACCTTAACTTTTAAAGTATCAAGGCCCCTCGGGCTTTGCAATAATAATTAATGTGCTTATACTGTAGGTACAATCTGCTCACTTCAAGATCAGCTGCACCCGCCCCGGGCCTTTTATTAGGCCCTCGGGCCCCTCGGGCTCTTCCCCGCCTCGCCATAACCTTCTCTTTCGAGACATCGTAAACACCAGTCGTTCCTGCTCACCGACATCGAGACAAGGGCCATCTAAGTAGTACATCATCGCAGAAATTGGGTCTACTGGACAACTCTCGAGGCAAACTCGCTGTCAGGTCAAGTATACAGGCGTGTGAATGGTCAAAGCTGCCAGTGTGTCACCCAACAGGTTATATCGAGACATGCCCACCCGGCCTCCCACTCCAACCTCACCGCTCCATGCCATTCATATATGATATCCGTCAACTATTCTCCCGCCTAGACTTATGTTGAATCAAGCTCACTGGCAGCCCTAAAACAAAATGGGTCGCTCGACAGTGAGTGCCTTCATTCAGCACGGCATCGCAGATTCAAGTCACAGAGAACAGCATCAAGAATCAAGGTCGAATCCGATGTCAGACGAGGATGACTCTGAGGCAACCGAGATCGTCGCCGTGATCCCGGGCGACGGTCCTGAGGCCATCACAATGCAAGAGATTGAACGACGCCTAGTACGCAAGGTTGATGTCCGCCTGTGCACCATCGCTGGCATATTGTGCAGCCTGAATCTCCTCGACAGTGGTATTATTTCTTCCGCCGCTGTTACAAGCATGCCCTCCGACCTCGATTTGCACGGAGACCGCTATTCAGTCTCTATATTCATCTTCACGATCGCCTCAGTATGTTTCCAACTACCCATGACCGTCACAATGCGTGTCGTCGGTCCTCGAATCTTCTTCGCCACCGTCACCTGCGTGTTTGGTATCATCACCATATGCACTGCTGCCATTACCTCCTGGCGACAAATGATTGCTCTCCGAGTCCTCCTCGGAATTTCCATGTCAGGCATATTTCCTGGGCTGTCATATCTTGTCTCAACTTGGTATACTCGCAAGGAACAGCAGCTCCGTTTCGCACTTCTCCAGTCAGCCGAAGTCACCATTGTGGCCACAGGATCAATCATCAACTACGCCCTCAACCAACTTGACCATCGCCAGGGGCTCCGAGGTTGGCAGTGGATGTATCTAGTCCAGGGTAGCATCACCATAACTTTGGGCATTCTCACCTATTTCTGGATGGTCGACTTTCCCGACCAGGCAGAACATTCCTTCCGTTTCATCACTCTGGAAGAAAAAACGCTCGCCATTTCTCGCATTAACAATGACCGCCGTGACGGCAGCAAGCCAGAACCTTTCAAATTAAAAGCAATCATGCTTCCCTTTCTCGACCCTAAACTCTACGCTTTCAGCACCCTTTTCTTTCTTCTGAATCTCGTTTCAACCGCCCTGTCCTACTTTCTCCCAATCATTCTCCAATCAGGTATGGGGTTCACAAGCAACCGCGCCATTCTCCTATCCTCGCCACCTTACTATTACGCCGTGATTCCCGCTCTTATTACTTCATATGTTTCCGACCACTACCGTCTACGCTCGCCCATCATCATATTCAACGCCGCGACTCTGATCGCCGGTTTTGTCATGTTAGGCTTCTCCACCCAGGTCGCCGTCCGCTACGTTGGCACTTTTCTTGCCACGGGAGCCTATGTTTCCAATTGGGCTGCGCTGAACGCCTACCAAGCCAACAACATCGTTGGTCACTGGAAACGTGCCACCGTTGCTGCCGCGGTTTCTGCTTGCAATAGTCTGGGTGGCGTTGCGGGGAGTTACATTGTCAGACAGAATGAGGCTCCAAAGTATCTCACCGCAATCTGGATCAGTATTGGTAGTCATCTTGTCATGATTGGAGTGGTTCTGCTTTGCACCATCTGGTTTTGGTACATGAATAGCGGGGCAAAGAAGGGCATCCGTTTGATAGAAGGCACCGCTGCTTTTAGGTACACATATTGACACAGTATCACCAACATTAGGAATTTTTCAACGCTAGACACGCAAGTCGACTGGCTTCCCGACTTTTCTATCTCATGTACTAACTTCAGATTCTCCATATGACGCCCGCAGCGTAGTGTCAGAAATTCAACTCCTTGATCTCTAATAAATATATCCGATCGTAAGCGACATCCGAACAGACCAAATTTTTCTAGGCGACTTCTACCTGCAAGTGATTGAGGCATTCCAGTTTCGGAGGTTCTTTTTTGGCAAACCATGTGTATATGTGAAAGATGTTTCACAAGGCAGCACTCTTCACCTGACCCTGCCATATCATGTATCGTCCAGCCAAATGCCATCCAGCACGGTACGAGGAGGACCTCATTCTTCGTGATCCCGAGTATAGACCGACCTCTGGCGCCACGCAGCACCGTAACGGTAGACAAGAAGTGGTATTGGCGCAACAGCCATGCTCATTGCCGCGAAGATCGTAAAAGCCCAACCGTACCCAAATCTGTCGACTAGTGGCTGAGTTGCCAACGGAAGGAAGGTGCCCATCAGACACCGTGTGACAATGATAGCCGTCATCGCGGATGCCGAGTACAGGTGGAAAGCATCGACCACGTACGCGAAGACTGGAAGCATGCCGAGCATCATGACTGATCCCAGGAGAGCGATGGTCAAGACGAGGAATGGCAAGGGGAGCTCTTCTTCCGATGCCCACCCATAGGCCAGAACAACGAATGGGATAGCAAACCCGCCAACGATCGTAAATGGTAGTCGATACTCTGGCTGGCCGACTCCCTTGTGGCGAGTGCGCAGCCAAATGTAAACTCTATCCAGTGCTCGATTTAGCAATAGGATGCTAGGTGCAGAGCCCACGCTGAAAAAGACAAAAATGGACCCTGTCTGGGCCGGAGTTAGGCCATATCGCTCTTGAAGGATGTCCGGCAGACATGTGTTGATGGTGTAAAAGTAAGTGAACAGCAAAGAGCTGAACAATGACAAGACTTGCAGCACACCAGAGTTGAAGAGAACCAGGACCGGTCGAGCAATTGCGTTCCAGAACTTAGCGACCTCGGAACCCTCCTGTGTATCCAAGACCGAATGCAGGTCTAGATTGCCAGTCTCCTTTCGCAATCTAGCCGTTCTTCGGGCCAGGATGGTGACGGGATAGGTTTCTCGGAAGAAGGTCAGGAAGAGGACTTCAGCCAGTCCAGACAGTGCGACACTCATCCACATCACTGATCTCCATCCGAGGGTTTCCGCGATCGCTCCAGCGATGGCTGGTCCAATGGCGCCACCCATGATGGGAGCCAGCACGATCAGACTCATGGCAGTTCCCCGCTGTTCGGCAACGAAAAGATCTCCGATAATGGCGGGATTCAATACATTCGAGGCAACGGCCACACCTGTAAGAACTCTGGCAAAAATAAACAGGGTGGCGTTTTGGCAGAGTGCTGCCAGGATCGTGGCTGACGTGAATAGGACATTGCACACATTGATGACAGCATAACGGCCGAAAATCTCTGAAAATGGGGCGATTAGAAGCGGACCAGCAGCTTCACCCAATTCCCAGATAGTAACAAGAAGAACACTGGCCGTCTTTTGATTTCCGGAGTCGCCGTCGCTCAGATCCGCTACAATTCGAGTAGCGATGGGGACGACTGATATACATGTGAACGTACTGCAGAGACAATGTTAATTGGACTGTCCTCGAGTAGAAAAAGAGACGAATGTTACGTACACTGTGAACGACGTGAAGGCGAGTAAAGTGACGATTGACCACTTGTAAGCGTTTGGCCACTCTCGAGGATTATCCAGATCCCCGCGGGAATCGAAATCGACAGCATTACTATCCTTCCTCGAGTCTGGAGGGTGTTCAAGGCTTTCGTCTCGGAGGAGAGGTACTGTTTCGTCCATCGTGGTCTAGATGTGTATCATTGTGGATGTAGTCAGCAGAATCGACAAAACTCCAAGATGGAGGTTGTAGTGTGAGCGATGTGGAGACTTTTGGATTTTGGGATTATAAAAGCCGATGTTAAAGTGGCCAAGAAGAGTCTCCTCAGTGTATATGGATCTAGATATATAATGAATCCTCTGTGTCCACTAGGCACTTATGTTGAATGATCTTTTGTCAGCAAGTGCTATTTCTTTTTAGCTAATACCGATCCTGATATTTCCCTATCATTCCAGTTCATGATTGCGCCTTTTGTCCTTCATAGGGCGCGATTCCGCTATTGAACCACTTTAAACTCCACCGTATTCCATATCGCCAAGGGTACGTCGAACAAACAAAACAAATAGCGCAACCACGTGGACTCACGTGCACGACGTACTACCGTGAGTACTCCGTATATGTCCTTGTACTGCGTAGTCGCGGCCTGGCAGCCAGGCTCACCACCACAACAGTCAAGGCACCCGGCCATACCTAGGGACCCTGCTCCTCCGCATTGGCATTGAATGCTGTTTGATCTTATCTGGTACACTTAATTAACACCTGCCTGAACTCTGTCTCCAAGGCTACTCGATTCTCCTCAAAGTCGACATCAGTCTGTCCAACCTCACTCAATCCTGCCCTCTGCCGCAAGGATGGATTTGGACTCCCCATGGGGTGGTAAGATCATTCGTCCATAACTGTCACCAGATGTTGACCAATATGCCTCAGATGTCCCATCGCAGTCCCAGTCGGACGCTCCTCGAGAATCGGGCGCCACTCCCAGTTCGGACAATCAAAGCAGTATGTTATCATTCGAGTTGTGACAGGCGAATTGTTCTCATGGTTTTGCCAGGTCCCGCACCCTCGAAATCCACCCCCGGCGGCTCTCGGGCTTCTAGGAAGCAACCTGCGCGGAGGATCGAAGTGCAACCCACGAGGCTGGAAGCCGTCGATGATGCCCTCGACCCTCTAGGCCCCCTCGGTGCAGATCCGATTCCCGAGTCTTCCGCATCGACAGACCAGGCACCGACACCGCCGAAGAAAGAGGTCAATACAAGAGGGGCAAAGCCAGTTACTCCAGGGTATCCCCCATCTGATTACGGAGAGTCTGTTCTGCCAGTCGGCCGAGCAAAAGGTCCTCCTCCTGTACAACCGCAAGCTGGCGCAGCATCGCGACAAACACAACCCAGTGTCAGCGTTGAGCAGGCAGCCAAACCGACATTTGAAATCTATGTCGGCGACCCTCACAAGGTTGGCGATTTGACTAGCAGTCATATCGTCTACCAGGTGCGGACAAAGGTAAGAGGGTGGGGGAGGCTGCAATAGTACATGTGCTGACCTGTTTAAAAGACATCATCCAAGGCCTACAAAGTACCCGAATTCGCCGTTTCCAGAAGATACCGAGACTTCCTATGGCTATACAATTCCTTACATAATAACAACCCCGGCGTGGTGGTTCCACCGCCGCCGGAAAAGCAGGCTGTCGGTCGCTTCGATACCAATTTTGTGGAGTCAAGACGGCAAGCTTTGGAAAGGATGCTGAATAAAATTGCTGGACACCCTATCTTGCACCATGACGCCGACCTCAAGATTTTCCTCGAGAGCGAGGCATTCAACCTTGACATCAAGAACAAGGAAAATCGCGAACCTGATCTAGGACAGAGCAAGGGGGTTTTCAGCTCTTTTGGTATCAACGTCGGCGGGTCGAGTGGGAAATTTGTCGAGCATGATGATTGGTTTCATGACCGGAAGATCTATTTGGATGCTCTAGAAAACCAGCTCAAATCGTTGATGAAGGCCATTGATACGGTTGTGGCGCAACGAAAGGGGCTTGCTGACGCCGCGGGAGATTTTGCAGCGTCGTTGAGCAGTTTGGCCCATGTGGAGCTGTCCCCTTTCTTCTCCGGACCGTTACAAAGCTTGTCCGATGTGCAAGTGCGGATACGGGAGCTCTATGAGAGACAAGCTCAGCAAGACATTCTGACCTTGGGCATCACCATCGACGAATACATCCGATTGATTGGCAGCGTTAAGCAGGCATTTGCGCAGCGGCAGAAGGCGTTCCACGCGTGGCACGCGGCAGAGAGCGAATTGGCTAAACGAAGAAGTACCCACGATAAACTTATGCGACAAGGCAAGAGTCAACAAGACAAGTTGAATGAAGTTGGCGCCGGCGTTAGTGACGCGGAGAAAAAGGCACATCAAGCTCGACTCTTATTCGAGGACATGGGTCGACTGATGCGAGGAGAGCTCGAACGTTTTGAGCGCGAGAAGGTAGAGGATTTCAAAAGCGGAGTCGAAACATTTTTGGAGGGCGCAGTAGAAGCGCAGAAGGAGGTGAGTTGCTGGCATGAGTCTTCGAGACGAATTAACACTGATTCATTGCATCTAGCTGATTGAGCTGTGGGAAACATTTTTACTTCAGATGGACGCCGAGGAGGAGGCCATCTCTAAAGCTTCATTACCAGCTCCACGAGAACCCGCGGGCTTGGGAGGTTCGTCGACAGACGCATCGAACGAACCCGGTGACCAGCCTGCTGCGTCCGCAACCGATGTTGCCCTTGAACAAGATGCCTAGAGTTGAAGGAGGCCTCAATATCTTCTCCATCCCTCCATGTTATTAAAGCTTGTCAAAAGACTTGCAAGGCAACCAGACAACTTTTTACGGAGCTCCTGACTGTAAGGAGCTTTTTCATGATCTTTCTGGAATGGTTAGGAGCCACGGTGAAGGCTTGAACAATAGGAAAGAGTGCATATCAAGATAATCTGCCAGCGTCTCTGCTGCGGCTTGAGGTTCTTGCTCCTGTTCTTTCCTCCTTCTCTGCTTTCATGTGTGTGGTGAAGCCTGGAGCCTGAATACTCTTGGCTTGTCGCACGTTTTATCACCTTGCCCTCATTTCACCATCGATCTGATATCTTTACCAGCCACTCGCACAGATCTAATTCCAGTCTTCAATCCGGCAAATCTGCCTATTGCGGTACCTGATGCTGAATTTCACTTCACTGCTCATCACTAGCGGCTTTCACGTTGTTGGTTAGTATGTGATCATTGTTCATGATGCTGATAACCACGTCTTGTGCATCTGATCTTTCTGTGTGCTAGCGCTATTATGGTCCCCTTCTTTTTCATCTTCTTCTCACACAATTGACCTCGAAGATTCCAACCACTGAGACTACCTTGATGGCACGACAGAATTGTGACGAACTAACAACAGCTATTGAAGCCAGCAAGCGAGGTCCCTGATACATTGCTCTCCTGCTACTCCAGAAGTTGTTCATTTGTCAACCCACAAGCAAGATTTTCTTCACCCGCGCTTCCTCCTCACTGTTGTTCCTTCCTCTCTTTCTTCCCAACGCCTGGCCGATCACACAATCAAACAGTCCCTTGCGTCGACAACCAGAGACTCTCCTAATCAAAATCACCAGGCCGCGATCACGGATCTTTCACGATCTCACGGGCTGTGACTGTCACCCACTTTCATTAAGATCGACACGCCCTATCTCTATCTCAGAGCTCCAGGCCTTCGTCTCCCCTCTCACCCGAGAGATTGGACACTCGCTTTCTTGCTCAACAGACAAACGTCCACACTTTGGTCTCCCTCTACTTGTCACCGCGAGGGCCAAGTGATCGTCCCTACACCAGAAGGTTCGCTTTAGCTAAGACAACAATCTCGCGAGACTGGTATTGATATTTAGCCGACTTCTCACTCAAAGAGAGATCGCTACCACAATCAACACTATGGATTCTCGCGTCCTAGTCCTACCGTGCAGTACAAAGGTGTCGCTGTCGACTCCAGAGACACTTTTCGCATCGGCCATCGCTACAATCACTGTTTCAGATCAGTTGGTTCAGTGTGCCCACTACGGAGCCAATCTTTGCGACAATACGCGTGCTGTCCTCCCAATTGCCATGGATCCGTCCTCAGCATCCTCTCCAGCCGCGATGACAAGCCTACCATTTGGACCCACACTTACCACTGTCTTCACCACCGCGGACCCACCGACCTTCACATTGACGCCTTCGGCATCCATTGCCATGACGATGTCGGTGTTGACCTCTACCCCCGCCGCGTCGACCTCTATGCTGCCTAACCCAACTTCGGAAGACGAAGATTCTACTGGCGATGACGACGAAGGCGGTGTGCATCCTACTCAAGGATCGGTGGTAGTGTACATCACTATGGGTGTTTTTATCGCATTTGGAATCGCTTGTGGCTTGGTCACCAACCAGACAGTCGTTATCTGGTTCATGAAACAGGTGGAACGGGCTAAGGCGGCGTATGCGCCGCCTTCGACGGCAAGAACGGCAAGCGAGCTGACCTAGGTCCAGAGACAAGAAAAGAAGAATGCTGTGCTTTGCAAAGATGATGACATGCCATGATTGAATGTTCAGAGTACGGATAATGACCAAGGGAGGCGAGTTTGGTGAAGGCCTGGGTAGGGTGAGGGCCTAGGGGATGGAAAGGTCTTCACTGTTCACTGTTTTTAGACATTCAAGGCGTTACATAGAAAGGACGAGTCACGTGCAACAGAGGCAGCACAAAGTAATGTTTAATAAATTCGTTTTCACGACATTTCTCATTCTTGTTTCTATTTAGATTGGGATTCGTGCCAACTCTGAGGTCGTTGTTCTTCTTCAGGTTGCTCTTCGTGTCAACTATACCAATCTTGTTATTCTTGAGGCTGGAATTCGCGTCAACTCTAACATTCTTGTTTTTCTCTGGGTTGGGATTCGTATTACCTCTGCCATTCTTAGTTTGATCTAGATTGGAATTTCGGGCCAACTCTACCTTTCCTGTTCTTCTTCAGGTTGGGATTTGTGCCAGTTCTAAGGGTCGTTGATCAGGTGGGGACAGTCCATGGCTGCAACTGTCCTGTCATTCTGTTTGCTTTGTGCACATCAGAGACGCAATCAGTCGAATTGAAAACACATCCGCACTCTAGAACGATATAAGGTTCTCGCATCCAGAGATTTGGTACGCTGGGAGGGGCAAATATCCTACGGATGGCTATAAACCACCAGCTGTGGCGTGCGTGCCATGAAAGTTGTACTGTATTCTGTTTGCCATCACGGTAAGAGACACGAGCCGCCATGCCACGTCGTCTCCCATCGAATAAACACACCTTTCTCTACTCGCTTACTCTCGGAACAAAGTCCGGCTGTCATGGGAAGGTGCTTGGAAGAAGGATTGTGACTCTTCAAGTTTGCCCCATCGCAGCCGCTCGCATGACCTGTTCAACCAAATAAATCAATGGAGCCTCTGGTCACGTTGTATGTCGTATTTCGTTCGTCGACCACCACCATCATCTAGCCTACACAGTGCTCACCTTGTCCTCGGTTTCGAGAGTGCCACGGCATGGAGTGTTGCCATGAGGACAAAGGGCACGTTGCAGAAAAATCCTCGGATCGGTTTCATCTGCTGCCGTTTGGATCGAAAAGATGTACCTAGTATTGTCGTCATTCTTCAGACCATGTTCTCATGTCACCAAAAGGTTTGTGTGGGTTTGCTGCTTCGTTCATCTAAGTTTGTGCTTTTTCTCACTCCTGTGACGACGCTGCTTCACGCCATCATTGCACATGCATCCCCAAGTGTTTGCCTCCATGTGTATAAGATCTTTGACCTCGTCTGAACCGTCCCATCGGCGTCTCAATTGGAACATTTGAACATTTCCATGAAAGCCAAGATCCTTGTCAACCCTCCGATAAACCAACAGATCCACGAGGTGGTAGAGACAATCTGATAATCATCCAGAACCTCAATTTGGATTCGACACTATGTGCGAGACTACACGACAACATAACCATTGCCCGACATATGGGTGCAAAGGGTCGCTTCTTGAAAGAGTGAGCCTATGCAAGCACTCCAAAAACAACAAACCCTGTGGTGGCCATCGCTTTCGAACCCTCTCAGGTATTGAGAAGGATTGTGCGATGCACAGACGTCAGAGAGTGGAGGGAAGGAGCGGAAGAGGAAATCCTGGATGGTGGGATTGATATATACGGGATAGTAAAGGTCAGGGGGAGACACTGCTGCTCATAATGCACGAGAGCCAGACAACCTGGGAAAAGACCCTAGTTATGGACGCTGAGATTGGAGCAAATATGGGGCTGGGGCTGGGGCTGTGACTCTGCTGGAAAGACTTTGGTGACATTGTATCCTCCAAGGTGCCGATGAATGAACATAAACATCAACGCTTGCTGATGAATGTTGTGCTTAATCGTTGCCACGCTGCTTCGACAGGGTCCGGGATAGCCACGTGTGAAATAAAGCCCTTGCCTCGAGGTCCATAACCCTTACTGTCATCTCTCAGCCGTGGGATCTCACCAAGAATCATATCAAGGAAGCGATCCTGGGCCCACAGCTCGGACGATGAGATGCCTGGAACGACAAACTCTGCGATCTCATTTCCCGGATTGGTGGGCGATCTGATGGTAGACATGACGGGTACAAATGTGGGAAAGCAAAGAAAGGATGGAGATGGTAAGACGTCGGCGTAGACTCTCTGGAAGGATGCCAAGGTACGCAAAGACATTGTAGGATCCTGGACAATGATGAAGGATCTAGAGGAGATCAAATGGTCATCCAATACCTTTCGAGTCTCGATTGCATTGGCTCCGCAGTTTGTTGATTTATCTTCAACGACTACCGTCACAACTCCATCAGCAATTAACTTGGTTAAACGTGGGTAAAATGTCCTGAGGATGCATTCAAGCACTCTCGCTTCAGGCTGTCCTTGGATCTGGTCTGTAATTCCAGCATAGCGGCCGCGGCGGACGGCCTCGTACAAGAGTGTTGTTGAGTGTCCGATGCCTCCACATAGCACGAGGGTCTTGGTGACGGTTGGCCTGTTTTCAATGGCAGTAAACACGCGGTCCGCAAGAGGTAAGATGGCACTGATGCAGAGAACCAGGACGTCCACTGGGGCGCAGGCTTCGAGAGATGATGCCTGAGAGCAGGCAAGGAAGTCGGCGATGGTGTTGATATCGGCGACGTTGTCAGACGTAAATGAGGCTGGGCCACCAGCGTGTTGCATTTTCCTGGCCACTGATGTCCAGACTAGCAAGGGAAGGCGAATACTGGTCCGGCACGGTTGGAAGCCTTGATAGAGAGATTCTGTTTGGGTTGAAGTGTCACTGATGCCACGTGATGAGAATGATGAGCAGGAAGTGGAAGGTGCAGGGATGTTGGACGTTGCTGCCTATTACAAGATTCGATCTGAGTGCTGAGGAAGGTACATGATGCCACCCAAAAGATACGCCTGGCGCGCTTGGGGAAGGTGCGAGTGCGAGGTTGCAAGTTCCAACAGCCACCAGAGCTTAGCAAAGCCTGGGCAGAGCGTATGCGAGCTTGTCTTGGTGCAAGGTTTGCTGGTCGCGCCTGCCTGTGGAGCTCTCTCTCCACTACCTTCATTCTCACTACGTACGAGTCTCTTCCAAAGTCCCTTTTACCTCTACGCACCCTGCCACCATCCTCTATCAAGGTCACTCTGGTTTCTGACTGTTCGTCGCCACCTTCTGTCCTTCCAAAAAACGCAGACTGATATCGGTAGTATCTCTCTTTTTGACAAGCCAAGCTCAGACCTAACCTGGCCCGATCGAATCTAATCCAGTTCTGACAATTGACAGACAGGTTATCCCAGCAGCATGTATGCAATGCAACCTCATACACTGCCTAGCCAAGCAAATACTAAAGCAATCTTCGACGAGCCTGACATAGCCCAAGAGTTTGCTTGCATCTTGGCATCCTTCGACTTTGAGTATTCTAGTCTATTCCTCCGGTCACCGATCTTCCCTTATCCTACACTCTATTGTCACCTTCTCACTTGGGAAGGGATCCGAATATCATACCAGAGCAAACCAACATCAGACCAGGCCTCCCTGCACAAGCTCACTAGATATCAAGAAATATCCACACCTCTTCAAAGCTCCCAAAGTTCCCATCCCAAACCCACAAACAGCTCCGGGTATCCACGTTGGCTAGAATCGATTATGCTGGCGTGGCTGGGCAAGGCTTCCTCGTCCTATTCGTTGTTCTTACCTCCTCCTTCCTTGCCACTACCTTGCTACACCCCATCCCACTCCCGGTGACGTCTTTGTCGAGGATGTTGATGCAACTATGCTGTTTTGTTGACGGCCGACTGGCAATTCTAGCATGCCCGCTCGATGATCGTCGTTCACCTGCTCTTGGTAGCTTGGTAGCACAAAAGCTACCCCGGTACGTCCGGTTAAAGGTGCGCGTGAAACGACAACAAGTGGAGGTTTGTGACATGTTGCCTGAGGTAGGAACTGTTTTCAAATGGACATCTGACCAACCGAGTTCTTGATCTTAATGATCGCCTGGCCCCAAGTCCCTCGTACGTTTGCTTCTACACTCTCGCTTCTGGGTACAGCAAATTCGACATGAAGGCCAATTTAACGAAGACTGCAGTCGCACTTCTTGCGACTGTACCACTCGCTCGTGCCATCACACCAGAGTATGTGCTTCCACAACCATTTGGTGTTGTACATCATGCTGAATTGAATCTAGACAGATGCTCGCTGCCCCTAGAAGAAGCACGGTCATCCCTAGTCCTTCTGGTGTAAGACATGATCTTCTTCCTTCGAATAACTCTTACTCATCTGCGCGGGACAGGATATCGGTGTGTTCTCATCCACCACATACGACTGGGACGAGCACAAAAGCTCGACTGTTTGGAATACTCTCAACTTGACCAGTGGGGAGATATCAACGCTCTTCAATGGGTCAGACATTTCTGAATTTCTTTTCGTGGGACCCAACGCTACCAGCATCCTCTACCTGAACGGTACCAACGAAGAAGAGGACGGAGGCGTAAGCCTGTATGCAGGTGATATTGATTCCTTTGATGAAGCGTAGGTCGACGACTCTGCATAGTCTTAGTCTCCAGCTCAAATTATCGCAGATACCTTGTTGCTTCCTTTCCCGCGCCTTATTCTGGCCTCAAAGCCACTACTACGTCCTCCGGGGACATCCACTTCGTTTTCAATGCCGAGGCGTACCCTAATGGGACCGCATACAATGAGGACTTAGCTGAGGAGCCTCGTAGCTCGGCAAGAGTCTACGATTCAATCTATGTGCGTCACTGGGATGTTTGGCGCTCTGAGCGAAGGAAGAATGTATTTTCCGGTGTTTTATCGGGTGGGGGCGACGGCTTTTCGCTCTCAGGAAATTTAACCAACCTGGTCACTGGTCTCGAAAGTGTCACCAAAGCTGAGAGCCCCAGTGTCTTTGGAGACGATTCCTCGGAGTATGATATATCGCCAGATGGTGCTTGGGTTGTCTTCAACACAAAGAACATCAACCTTCCCGAATCCAACTTTACTTCCTCTCAGATATATCTGGTACCATGCAACCGATCCAGCGAACCAGTACCAATCAATGCTATTGGCGTTCTTTCAACGCCTGCCGAAGTCGAGGGCGGGACCGCTGGGCCTACCTTCTCTCCTGATAGTAGTCGAATCGCCTACTTGCAGCAAGACGAGATCTTCTATGAATCTGACCGGTACAAAATCTACATCGCCGAAATTGCTGCTGATGATTTCAACATCACAGTCCTCGCAGAAGACTGGGACCGGAGCCCTGGTCACATCGTGTGGACTGAGGACGGCTCGTCACTTTTTGTGAGTGCAGCTGATCAAGGCACCACTCGAGTGTTTGAGATTCCCCTATCTGCAGGGCCCAGCTTTGTCCCAACAGCAATCTCTGGTAATGGCACGGTTGCAGACTTCGACCTTCTCCCTGATGGAAACATCTTGATCTCTGACAGCAAGATTTGGTCCTCCAGAGATGTCTATGTCATCTCACCGAATGGTACACTTGTGGCTGACCTACTTCGAGCCAACGAAATTGATGAAGGGCTTGCAGGGCTTGGACCACAAGATGTGACACAGATCTTTACTCAAGGTAGCATTGATACAGTCCAGTCCTGGGTGGTCACACCAACTGGGTTCGATCCAGAAAAGAGATACCCTCTCGCTTACATCGTGCACGGAGGCCCTCAGTCAGCTCACATGAACAGCTGGAGCACACGATGGAATTTCAAAGTTTGGGCCGACCAAGGTTACGTAGTCGTTGCACCAAACCCGGTAGGGTCGAACAGCTTCGGCGAGGCCTTCCAAGATGCCATCCAGAACAACTGGGGAACGTATCCCTACGAGGATCTCGTGGCTGTGTGGGAATACGTTGACGCCAATCTTTCCTTTGTCGACACCGATAATGGCATCGAGGCAGGTGCATCTTACGGTGGATTCATGACCAATTGGATTCAAGGCCACGACCTCGGACGCAAATTCAAGGCACTGGTTACGCATGATGGAGTCACCAACACCGTTGGAAACTATGCCACTGAGGAATTGTGGTTCATGCAGCGTGATGTGAGTCTTCTGGAGTTATCCACCCTGGGAGTGGAAGTCGTTGAATCAGCTAACCGTCATCCCCAGTTCAACGGAACTCTGTGGGATAATCGTGACAACTATGAAAGGTTCAACCCAATCAATCATATTGTGAATTGGTCCACTCCCCATTTCGTCATCCACAACGACCTTGACTTCCGTCTACCTGTCTCTGAAGGCATTTTCCTCTTCAACGTTTTGCAGGAGCGCGGCGTTCCTAGCCGATTCCTCAACTTCCCGGACGAGAATCACTGGTAAGTGCAGTATCCCAGTTGCGATGGAGCCAACGATAATATGATGGTTATGATTAATAAACATCAATAGGGTCCTCAACCGCGAGAATTCCCTCGTCTGGCATACCGAGATCTTTAACTGGATCAATTACTGGTCCGGAGTCAGCAACGCCACCTCTCCATGACGAGGTTATTTGCCGATGCAAACGATCACCGTGTCGATTGGTTTCTACCGATCTTAGATGATTTAGCAACATTAAAACCGAGAAGCCACCACGGCAGAGCTAATAATGAATAATACTGATGCCAATTGAGATCCAGTGCAGACCTCTGACCCTGTGCCACAGAGGACACGTTCCAACGAGATGCCCTCCATTATAGCGCAGTGGGTGTAGTGCCATCATAATATATCAATCTCCAAGTGCCTAGTAGTCTCGTTCCTGCACACAATGTCACCCTCGAGAAATAGACCAAATTTCTCTGGAGGTTGACAATTGAAATTGTCAACGCTAAACCCAGTTCGAGTGGTCTCACGACGCCACGGACCATAATTAAAAGAATAGCACCGAAGCCCCTTGCAATCTCAGAAAGATGTTGCACATTACTCATGTTACACGTAGAGTCGAATTGGTGATAGGGTTCTGTGAAATGAAGGGATCAGAAGGTAATACATATGTACGGGCCATCAACTGAGGGATCTATCCAAAACCTCCCCCACTCCATCCCTTCCATTGTCAGTCTTTGCGCAGTGGGAGGATGGAGCCGTTGGTCGCTCCCATCTTGGGATAATTCCCCCTGACACATTGCTCAAGTTGAGTCGTTGTCTTTGCAAAGATCGGTTCGAGCTTCAAATTCCAGAAATAACTTGCGGCTCCGGTGCAGATGATCAAGACGATGGTCGCCACCGCACATCGCAATGAATTTGGTACTGGGTACCGCGGTTCTTGATAGTATGCACCTTCTGGAGTTTGCTGGTAAGTCAACACCAAAGACTGTCCAACGTGCAGTATCCATGCGAAGACAGTACGCATGAACAGTCCATGGAGGAGATATATGGCGAAACTGACTTTGCCTAGCCAGGGAAGAGGTTTGCGACTCAGCGCCCACCGGGCATGAGGCGAGATGAGGACAGAAAATATCAGCAGAATTCCTCCGATCGAGCCGTAGAACCTATCGACGGCGTCGCCGACCTCAAGACCTAGTTTCTCGATCACAAAGACCTTCAGACCCCTGGACCATGCTGCGGACTCGGCATAGGAGCCAGGAAAGGACATGAACACCAATGCAATCAAGCCGAGTACCGGTGTCAACACTGGTGACACTTGTGTCAAGGATGAAGGTATTGTTGTGAGGCTAACCTCGCTGAGAATGATTCCAAAGAAACAACAGATTCCAGCCCACGGATCTCCAATGATGTGACTCCAGTTCATGGACCATATGGCAAGCAAGAAGAGAACCACACATCTCCATGCCGGCGTCATGCTGATCGTCAGAGACAGGGCACTGATGGTCATGACACTTCCTTGCAACAAATACACCATGGCCCATTGTGGTTGGTCATATGTGTTCTGATGGCCAAATAACCAGGTGGCTTGCAAGGCTGTCAAGAGGTCCTTGAATGCCAGTGTCCAGCTATCACTCATCTCCGGCGTGTTTACATTCAACCAGAAGGCGTCACTTGACCTTGAAATCTGGTAGAATCCGAGATTACAGACCAGCCAGCTGATCACAGTTGCAACCGCGGCTGGAAGCACAAGACGGAATATCCTGCTGAAGGATGACTGGGCTAATTTGGCGAGTGCTTGATCAACTTGGCCTGCCCTTGCCATGGAAAGTGGCTTTAACGAATTGACGAAGCCCAACAGGATGAAGAAGAGCGCCACCCAGGAATGTCCACTTGCAACTAGTCGCAGCACTGGTCTCTGGAAGAGTCGTGGTGTGGCCTCATCCGGACCACAGCAGGGAGGGACGAGGCCTCGTGCATAGCATAAGGTGAGATGGGAGGCCACCACAAAAGCGGCTGCAATGCCTCGAAGTCCCTATGATGCTAGAGTTAGTCCTGTTTGTGATCGACATGTCTGCCACAACAACTGGGCCCTGAAATATCTTACATCGGCCCACCCAGTCTCCCTCATTGCACGGCCCTTGACATCTGGACTCAACCGAAAGCCATGGATGGCTTCTAACTTTAGTCCGGATCGAATCATCGCCACATGAGGGAACGTGATAGCACAAAAAAGCGGTCCGAGGCAGCTATCATTTGTGACGAGGTGTTTGAGGATTTAATGATCGGGACTGGGCGTATGAGGAAGGAAATATGGGACTAAGTACCAACGTTGGTTAGATCAAACGGAGGACTTGCTCCATCTGTCCCACATCAGTACGCGAAAGACGGCTGTTCAAGGAAGAGACGCGTCTACCGTCTAAGGAGAAAAAGGGACGGAAAGAACAGTTGAATTGAGTTGCTGCCATGACTGCCAGCAAACGTCAAACAACTTAGCCTTCATTGGAACGTCAAAGGTAACATTGGGAGACGCAAAACGCCCTGCAAAAGGACCCTGAGGGGGATCGGGGGGTCGCCCCTCGGCCCCCTCGCCCCTCCCAGGCGCTTGGTTTCCCCTCAGACGTCGTCTGCTTTGACTTTCGCTCCCGGGTTAATCTTTATTCCGACTCCACTATAAATCTAAAATAATGATGAAAGGAAGGAGCGAGACACTACGGAGTATGGGTTCGCAATTTGCCACATGCATCTCTGATCCCACAGTCATATAAGCACATATGGTAATATGACCTTTGTCTTTCTACCTTGGTAACAGTTAATCAGACTATTGAACTGCATATTTGATGACAGACTCCTCGCTCTTTAATATTGCAGATTTGCATATAGCCTTCGCCTCCACCGTGTGACATTTAGGCATAAAATATGGCAAAGAATCTGTACACCTATATAAAATATCCATCGATGTTCCCCTAGAATCGCTTCTCTCACTCTATCCATCGCACCTATGTGAAAATAGCCTTCTCAAATGCCGATACATCCCCTCCTGCAATTTGTACTGCCTTCAAAGCCGCTTCACTCAACTTCTTCCTCTTCTCTTTGGCCTCCAGCTCTCGTCTTGCTCGAGTTTTTGAGCTTCCACTCGGCGCCACATCGTTGAGGAGTTTTGCAGAGTCCCTTGGGGTGAAATTGACAAAGTCGATAGACAATCCGCCAGAAGCTGCCGGTGTTTTCGGTGTCCTGGGCGTACGTGGTGGCCGTGACTGCGACCTGGCTCGCGGACTGGGCATGGGCTCTTGTGACGCAGAATCCCTGATGGGTCCTGCCTTGTGAATCGATTTCCGTCGTGTCTGACCGTGCTCGGTGACAATGCGCCCCGGAGATCGTTGCGGATTGCGTCGCGTACTGAGATTGGTGGGTGACAGTGGCGGGGATGGTGTTCGCGACGGTGAGCGTCGTTGCTTCCGTGGCGTGAACGGCGAGCCATCAGGAAAGACGTACGACGAAGGTGGAGGAAGCTTAGGATACGTGGCCAGAGAGCCGGGGGCTTTCTGATTCATCGATGCTGGCTTGTATGATGGCCCGACACTAGATGCTATGATATTGTTGTTGGATGGTACTGCGCAGTAGTTGACATGCCGCTCATATAGCATCGAGTTATCCATCAGCTCCGCACCAGGGTATGTCGCAGACACTCTTAGCTGATCTTCAGGCTGCTGCTGTAATATTTGATGGGGTACCCTCGTGGGTTTCGGGGCGGACAGAGCTGGGTAAGCCTCCTCCGGCGCAAGTGCAGGCAGAGGAGGATGGATCGGCATCTTCGTGGGTGAAAACAAACACTGCGACTGACCACTACCACTTGTATTGGACGTGTAGCTCATCGTGCCAAGTGTGTGATTGGAGCTGGTAGAGGACGGGAGGCTGTCACTCAGGGGAGATTGCACCACTCCGATTCTCTCCTGCTTGTAATGAGCTTGCTGCACTCGTGTTTGTTGAGTATAAGTTCCAACGGAAGCTTGAATTTGTCCTGCCTGGATAGAATCAAGCAAGACCGGGTCAATGGCTTCGGAAACGTTCTGGGGGACATAATCGCCAGCAAAATTATCATAACCCATCGAGTATGTCAGGTCTATATCTTGAGTTCGAGAAATAAGGCCTAGGTTCGTTGAATATGGGACAGAAGGTTGACGGCGTTGCTGAAAGGGTGATTCCCCAGGCGACTGCAGTGGCTCCTCGGAGAATTGTCGCAGAGAGAAATTCTGAAAGTCTTGCTGCCAGGTGTTTGTGCTCGAATCCAGGTTGCCCGCCAGTTGTGAATACATTGGCGACGGTGATAGGGTGGCTTCCCGTGAAAATGGAGGATGGGAGAAATTCAGAGAATGCAGTGCCGCCGGATTGGGACTTGTCCCATGTCGCTTTGTCTGACTGATAGGCAGATTGTATGGCTGAGATGGTGATGTCTGCTGAGGACTGTGGAGAAAATTGATTGTTTGATTTGCCCCAGTTCGCTTTGTCTCTGGTCTTCGAGTCTTCTGAACGGTGAGGGGCGCTGACTGCTGGCTTTGCTTCAGACACCAAACTCCTTTTCGCCACGGTTGGATCGGGGCTTCTTCGAACTTGGGTGAGCTTTCGAAAGCGGGTAGGCTGAACTTGTCCGGCGAGAAGGCTTCTGCGCTAAACAGGTCATCATATAGGATCTCCTGCTCGATCCCGTCGTTGGGCCCAGTGTCCAACTTGTACATATCTTCGTTAAAGAACTCATCGAAAGAATTGCTTTCCTCTGAAGCGTCGGGAAACAGCATTTTCAACGCCTGCTCCTCTGGGCGGAACACACAATCTGATGTGCTCGTCAATGACATGACTTGATGCATCTGCTCTTGTGTTATCTGTGAAAATATGAATCGTGTGGAGATCCGGACGGCTCGAGCGAAAACCGCTGTTTGATGTATTCCATACCAGGAAAATAAACAACATTTCCAAACTGCCCTGGAAACCTGGTAGCTAGAGCGAAGGAATGTCGCTCCTTGCGCACGGGATCAATCCAATTGGCGTCATCCACACGGGAGTGGCCCAAAGTGCTGCCGATGTGGCCTGAGTCCCCCCGAAGTAACATCTGTCTAGCAACCATTCTTAGTTCTCGTTGAAGTCAAATTGCAATCAAGTTTGTGAGGACATCCCATGAGTCCATCATTCTGACAGGAAGTTGCAAGCGTGATGCTCCAGCTCTGCCAAGTCCGTGGTTATGCCGTGCATTCCAGAGCAAATGGACGCCCTGATTGTTAACTTGCAAGTTCATTGTTAACAGGGGAGGTACACAATGCCATAGTGTTGTTCTTTTTGAGTTATTGCTTGCCTTCCAAACACAATGTCCGTATGTCTGCAAAGCATGCGACCAGAGAATGATTGTCATGTTGTGTTTGCCAGACTGAGAGATGGCTTGCATGGGTCAGTGACCCACACACAAATACTGGCGCTAGACCATCAACGGCGAGGTACTCAATATTGATGAAGTGTGCTCATCTTACCACACAAGGGAGAGAATCTCACGGCTAGACTGTCAAGACACACCTTGGTCTGCGGTACCCAATCAACAGACATGAAATTGATACCGTATCAGAAATCTGTAGGCTGCATGTTGCTCCCCAGCAGAAACTCCGAGGACTTCAGCACGAGGGCACAGAGGCTAAACAGGGCAATTCAAGAATTGACGCACTCACTTGGTGGGCCATCCAAAGGGCCGTTCAAGGTATGAACCTGTCCAACAACACGAGAAGGCAGAAATCATCTACATGACGCCACCTTCCTGAAACTGGTAGATGAACGCTAAGCAATATTTAGGATTTTAATACAAACCTTAGCTCCAAGATGTGTTATCTTGAAGATGTCTTCCACGATCAATGTGGCCATTGGTCGGAAGAAGCAAGGGTGTACCATAGGTGCGCCGCAGCAGGGACACAGGCGCACTGCTTCAACAAGAAAACATGTGGATCTTTGAACGAAGACTCACTGTGTGCAAAATGCAAGGCGCACCACACGGCGTCTGATAGTCCATCAGGTATGTCATTTTCTCTGAGGCTGAGGAGTCCACGGACAAGGACGCTGGCAGGAGCATTCGGTCCTTGTAGGTGACGGCTTCTGACTGAGTCTTGCAGGATTCAGAGCCACGGCTTTCCGAACGTGGACAAAATTGTGTCCAAAGGTTCAGCCGATAGACACGAGTGGTCCATTGTCAAGGCTTCGGTCGACGAGTCAAAGATCAAGACGTCTGCGTTGTCGAGATCAATAGGGAACGATGGAAGCTGACATATCGAGGTTTGCCCCAAAGATTATGGCAACGTTAGTTCGATACGACAGACAAGAGCCCAAGGTTTCAGAGGTTTGGGAAGAGGTGGAACGCAAGCGAGGTGATGAGCAAACTGCGGATGTTCTTTCTGGCTGAAGTTGAAGATCAGCACACGTGACCAAAATATCCCCAAATCACGTGGAGAGAAAAGACATTAAAATGTCCCTAGGAAGACTTGGAGTCATCACGCGATCATAGACATGCATTATCCAACTTTCTCCCATGATCATTCGTTGTTGACTCGTCCTGCATGAGGTCGCTTGGAAGAAAAACAAATCATACATGATAAAGATTCTATACTGAGCTAGCACACATTATGTAGGCACTCATGTGCTGTGAAGAGGTTGATGTTCCAACCTCACTCGAGTGTCCTAGGTGTGTGTCATTACCCGCACGGCTAGTCGTATTAGTCCAAGCTTTTAGCCACTATTGAATAGGTATATTGTGGCAAGATGTAGGTGAAGAAACACAAGAACGTGCTTTGAGAGATATTACTCATGAGTAAGGCGTTAATGCAAAGGCAGATGAAGGCTATGATGTGTTTGTTACAGCGGTTTCAACTTCCAAGGTTGTTGACGTTGTGGCCGTCACATTGGAGGAGAAGGATGACTAATGATGCAGCAGCAGAGAAACGAAGGCAACCGCAGGTGCCAGGCGCCCAGTTGCCAGATTATTGTTGGCAGCGCGGGAATTGGAAGTTTCTAGGCCCACATGAGTGGCGCTAGGCAGTCGGGCAATCAATATCATTGGCTCTAAATCCTGTGGCGGTGACTTCCGTGACCGCAGTGACTGGCCACTGCCTAATCGCCCGCCTTCCACCTCCTTCCCTCTCTTGCCGTGCTACTTAAGATCATCTTCCACTCTTCAACCTTACTTCTTTCTCATCACATCAACCCCAAACCCTGGAGACCTTTTGGAATCTCTAAACCTCACTCCATCATCATCTTCATCATCTCTTTCATACTACTAAACTCAAACTCTCATTCATCTCAACCGCCAACATGCAGATCTTCGTCAAGACCTGTGAGTTTACCCCGCCTCTTCCTTATCTTGCCACTCTGTCAACCCATACTAACGTCTCTCTCTCCAGTGACCGGAAAGACCATCACCCTTGAGGTGGAGTCCAGCGACACCATTGACAATGTCAAGTCCAAGATCCAGGATAAGGAAGGCATTCCTCCTGATCAGCAACGCCTTATCTTCGCTGGAAAGCAACTCGAGGATGGCCGCACCCTAAGCGATTACAACATCCAAAAGGAATCTACCTTGCATCTTGTCCTTCGTCTCCGTGGTGGTATGCAAATCTTCGTCAAGACTCTCACCGGAAAGACCATCACCCTCGAAGTGGAGTCTAGCGATACCATTGACAACGTTAAGTCCAAAATTCAGGATAAGGAAGGCATTCCTCCTGATCAACAGCGTCTCATCTTCGCTGGAAAGCAACTTGAAGACGGTCGCACCCTGAGTGACTACAACATCCAGAAGGAATCCACTCTCCATCTCGTCCTCCGCCTCCGTGGTGGTATGCAAATCTTCGTCAAGACCCTCACAGGCAAGACAATCACTCTAGAAGTCGAGTCATCCGACACCATCGACAATGTCAAGTCAAAGATCCAAGATAAAGAGGGTATTCCTCCAGACCAACAGCGATTGATCTTCGCCGGTAAACAGTTGGAAGATGGTCGGACTCTGTCAGACTACAACATTCAGAAGGAGTCTACTCTTCATCTCGTGCTCAGACTGCGAGGTGGTATGCAGATCTTCGTCAAAACCCTGACTGGCAAGACTATTACTCTAGAAGTCGAATCGTCCGACACCATCGACAACGTCAAGTCAAAGATCCAAGACAAAGAGGGTATCCCACCTGATCAGCAGCGATTGATCTTTGCAGGCAAACAATTGGAAGATGGTCGAACTCTTTCCGACTACAACATCCAAAAGGAGAGCACCCTGCATTTGGTGTTGAGACTGCGTGGTGGTCAGTAAATGCCACTTACACAGTAGCGACTTTATGACACATTGAACGAGGCGTTTCACATATGACGGGGTTAGGGGCTCATGCTTGGATGGTGTTCGCCATATCATGCATTGCAGCAACGTCGCCACTTGGTGAATTTGGCGATACCAACCATTAGAGCTGTAGATTCAAAATGATATGATATCTGCATCTCAATATTGACTGTAAACGTGATCCAGATGAGACCATCCTGCGCCTTTGGAGATAATATGTCATTATTCGAAGTAAAATCGCCACCAGCAGGCATTAAAATGTGGCTCGTGACTCACAAGGTCGTATAGTACTCGATGTTGGGTCGAGCGCGGCGTCAAATGCATGATGATCTTCTTCGTCGCTACTTGGTTCCACCCCGCCACCTCGAGTCTCCGCCTGCGCCTTATTGTTTGTAAACTAAGTAGTTGCACAACCAGCCTAATCTCACCTCTCTTGAATCTCCTTGTTCTTCAACTATGCTCTTGCTTGACGGTGCACCCATTATGTCCGCGAATCATGCCTGACTATTTCTTCCATATCGCGGTCGAATTGTTTACAGAGTTCCCACCTGCCAGTACAGACCCGGACAACGCATCGGCCCCAAACCTTTCACAATTCTTCCACGCCCTCAAACCTTTCCCTCTCTCTGCTACCGGAAGGCATTCGCAGAAACAGTGGCTGGGACAGAAAAATCATCATCGTGGAGCCTTTGATCGTGTGCAATTCTCACCCGATGGTATCAAGTCAAAGATTCATCTACCACATTCAGATTCCAAAGACCACAGGCTAGACACCGTGGTCATCGAAGGCGCAGACATGGCGTCTCAATCGGGAGGAGTGCAGCCGGATAATATCATAGAAAAGGGCATTGGCTCGGCCATATCTGGACGACATATGAAAGGGCGCTACGAACCAATCCACGACTATGGAGGCGCAGAAGGTTGGGGAATCGTTCATCTTTACAGGGATTCTGAAGAGACTCCGGGATTATATCAGGACTCGATATACCGATCTAGCGATCTTTGGAGCGACAGTACGCGGAGTCGTTCCCTGGACAAGGTCAAACCATCTCCGAAAGATGAAGAGTGTACGACATTATGTATCCTTGCTGTACCCTCTTACATGACACCGTCCGATTTGCTCTCCTTTGTTGGTGAGGAGACAAGGAGTGAAGTCAGTCATTTCAGGATGGTCCGCACTTCACGCGCCAATCGTTACATGGTCCTGATGAAATTTAAATCAGGCAAGAAAGCACGAGAATGGCAACGTGAGTGGAACGGCAAAATCTTCAACACCATGGAACCTGAAACTTGCCATGTGGTTTTTCTGAAATCAGTTGAGCTCATCCACACCTCTGCGGTCCAACAGCAAAGCAGTGGCCTCAGCTCCCCCACTACCAGCTATCCACGCATGTCTAATGATCCCTTTATCCCTCCTTCAGCGTCCGCGAAACCATTAGCTCCAAGAACGCCGTCACTCGTCGAACTTCCCACTTGTCCGGTCTGTCTGGAACGCATGGATGAGACCACTGGTCTTTTGACAATCCCTTGTCAGCACGTCTTTCATTGTACGTGCTTGGAAAAATGGTCCGGCGGTGGATGTCCAGTATGTAGATACACGCACGATGATTTCTCGTCGCGGATATCCTCATACAAACATAAGAGCAAGATCCCTGGCGAGTACGAAGTGGAAGACAACCCACGGGAGTGCGAAGTCTGTCACGTCGACACCAGTCTGTGGCAGTGCTTGATCTGCGCCAAAGTGGGTTGTGGGCGGTACGAAGGAAAACATGCATACCTCCATTTCGAAGAGACGGGACATGCTTTCAGTATCGATCTTGAATCCAAACGCGTTTGGGATTACGTTGGTGATGGCTATGTCCATCGAATCATCCAAGACGCTGCCAATCCACATGAAAAACTAGTCGAATTGCCTGGAAGAAGACGCGAACCTACGGCGCTCGAGGGGCAGGAGGATATCGACATGGCCAAAATGGACAATATGGCACTGGAGTACACGCATCTACTGACCAGCCAGTTAGAAAGCCAGCGGGTCTATTTCGAAGAGGTGGTGGAGAGAGCCGTGGACAAAGCCGCCGAAGCCAGCAAGAAGGCAGAACGAGCCATGGAAGAAGGCAAAGCAGCTACCCAGAAACTCCACAACCTCGAAATGCAGCATGACCTGGTTGCCAAGGGACGGGTTCCTGAACTTGAGAAGGAGCTTGCCCGACTCGAGAAACGGAGTCTCAAATTTGAGGAAATGTCTCGTACAATGACGACCAAATATCAAGAGGAAAAGACATTGAGCACCAGTCTGATGCAGCGGGTCAAGTTTCTGGAAGGTAATCAGCTTCAGGGGTTGAAAGACACGATTCGACGTCTGGAGGAAGAGAACGCAACCAAGGATTTACTGATGGAAGGTCTACAAGAGGAACATCGAGATGCCATGATGCAAATTTCAGCACAGCGGAAACTGCAAGAAATGGTGGACAATGGCGAATTGGAGCAGGAAGACCTGGATGGTGCCATTATCGAAGCTGGACCAGCGAGAAAATTGCCAGTGAGAAAGACCAAAAAGGGTCAACAGGCCAGTCACGGTCCGACACAAGTTGCCGCCCCATCTACTCACCAAGGACAGAATGCTACCGGGTCGTTACTGGACCATCTCTGGCGCGATACATTCAGTCAAAGCCAGCGCAGCAAAGAATGGGATGAGGACAAGGCAAAAGCGATGTTTGAGGAACTAAAGACCAAGCTGATCGATCAGGGCATGCTGTCTACATCTCATCACGACGGTGCTACTGCACAAGTGGATGGGAGTGAAGTTGACACGGATGAAGTCGAGAGATCCAATGACGGCGAGACCAAGGGCAAAGTGGCTAGTAAGAAGCGCAAAGGCAAGAACAAGAAGAAAACTTGATGCTGGAGGATCTGATGCCGCGCGGGGAGAGAGAGAGAGAGAGAGAGAGAGAGAGGGACGGCTTTTGTGATAATAATAATGATACCCCATTGGACAAAATGAAGGACAGGTACATATTCATTACCTACCAAATACATTAATCATGACCATGCGAAATCCCCTAGAGCCATTAAACCCAAACGGAGTTTATCACCTTGTCCATGAGACTGACTACCTACGTGCCTACCTACCTCATGTATGTTGGTACATTATCCCAATGATCCAACGTGACACAAGTCGATGAGCGATGAAAGATGGAGAGAATACACAAAATGTCAACTCATCAAACCACCAATAATATCCATTACCCAAAGATGACTGTCTGACTCTCCTGCGCCATGAGGTCTTGAGTCACATTAATCATGGTCGAGGGGTCCAAAAAGTGAAGGATAATCTATCCAAACACAGAGAAATATGGAAGCACGTTTTCCATTGATCGGACCAGAAGCTCTTGTTTGTTAGTTGGTTCGATGTTGGGGTTTTACAAAGAACCTTGACCTGCCATGCCTGTAAAACTTGCATCGTCACTTGTTCACCCCACGTTCCAGGATCTAGTACTTCACCATGTCAAAAGATCGAAATAGGTCGTTGGTCCGGATGTACAAGCGGTAGCCATGCATTTCCATTATGCATCTCCACGTCGATTCGTTTTTGTCGTTGTTCGAAAACGTCACTTTGCATGCACAGGCCGAGGCTGCGGAACTTTCTTCTGCAGATTGATTGACGACCAATGGTTGAAGATGGTATGTTGATACGAGGGAAGATCATGTTTATTCGGTTAGTTGGATAAACGAGCGAGGATGACAATCTTATGCTTTGGGCATAATGTTCTTTTTATTGTACATGGGTGCGTCCTTTCTACACAACCTGGGGTAGACGTGGGTGAGCCTGTTTGGCAGACTACCCTGATCGTGTGACGTCTATCTCAAAGAGGGAACATGGTCGGGTATGGATGCATTTGCATGCATCCCATCCATGGATGTTCTCGAGGGCCTGACCAAAGTCCAAGGGCCTGTCATCCTTGTCTTCACACCTTGCAGATGAAATGTGGGGGTGGGTCTGCCTGGGGAAGTGGAAGAGGAGGCGGACCGATGTGTCCCCGTGGGTGGGAAACACATTGTCCTGCAGTGCCTGCATAACTCGATCATTTGGACCAAGCGGAATGCCTGTCCGTCTGGTTAATTTGCTAGCGTGGTGCGGTTGATGGTCACCAAGGCTCGGAAGTATCGACAAGCCAGAAGACTCTGCGACTAGGCTTCCTTCATGATGATGCAAGCCCGGGAGGGCCTGTCAACACAGCAGCGACGGAGTTGATGTGACAAGTTTGTACACCGACATTTCAGCTTAGCTTCTGAGCACCGAAAAAGTAATTTCCAAGATCCTGACTGTTGTTGATGACCTTCCAGCCCAGTGCAGGGATGTATATGACTCCTTGCGTCTTGAATTCTCCAAAGGCATCCTGGCCTTTCGATTCAAAGTATTGGCTCATTTCTTTTGGGAAGATGTACTTATTCCAGTCATGGGTCCCCTGCGGAACAATGCCTATGATTGGGGCCTCTGCAATCAACTTGGTGGTAAGGTAGGACATGGGGGATCGTGAAATGGTAGATCCGATAATCCAGCCGCCAGGTTTAAGGTGTTGGGTAGCAACATCAAGAAAAGCGCTGGGGTTGTCGATATGCTCTAGGACCTCGAATACGGTCAGGATGTCGACCTTTTCGGTGTCACTCTCGGGCACAGGCAGGTCTTCCACGGCGCAATTGAGGTATCGAAGCTTCGGAGGGGAAATACTAGGATCAGAGCGTTGGTGAGATTGGGCCACTTTAATAACGAGTTCCGTTGGGTCTATGGCTGTGACAGTGGTAGTGTTGGGAAGTCGGGCGGCCGAGGATGCAAAGATGCCTCCCCCACAGCCAATGTCGAGATACGAGAGACCTTGTGGGGGAGGGGATTGGGAGGAGGCTAAGCAGAGTCGGATGAAGTCATGTCGCAGGGGGTTCATAAGATGCAGAAGCCTCGATGGACCATGGGGGTCCCACCATGTTGACGCTAGCTTGGAGAAATGCGAAACCTCGGAGGCGGAGACAGAAGAGGCTAGGGGAACTGGAGCGGAGGTGTCGGAAGAATGATGTCTGCCTGGTACTATTGACCGCCCTGCGATTTGGGCGAACGAGATCTGTATAGGGGACGGGGTTGGATGGACAGCGAGGGATGGTCGAAAAGATTGACGCCTAACGCATGAGGCTCTGCGCAAGGCTGACCCAAGAAGAGATTTGGCCATAAGAGGGAAGGAGCTGGGGGAGGAAGGAGCGACTGAAAGGACGGTGTGGACGGGGGGCGCAGCGATTCGACAAAAGGCAGGAAAAGAATCTGAGGCGTACTGCGTGGTCAATTTTTGGGCTGAAGATGCATGTGGAGTTGAATGAACGTGACAAGGCTGGACTCGCGGTCAACACCTATAATGACTCGGTGAGCACCGACGTCGCAGGGAAGAAGTTGAGACTGAAAACGGGATAAGCTTATGGATCAACGTTTCTAATGCTTCGACAGGTTAAAAATGGAGTATTTTCCCGTGGGCCCGTAGCTGCCGCGACTGCCAATGCCCGCCGAGAAGTGAAATCAGGTGATACATGCACGTGCCAAGATAGCCTGGATGTCTGGGCCAGAAATCACCAGAAATCTCACGAAAAATGTCGGGCTTTTTAGCCTACGGTAATGAGGCTTTTCAATGGTCAGACTCCTGGTCAGCCTCCAAACACTTCAAACACATGATTTGATCAGACCAGGAAGGCAGCCCTCAACGTCACCTTCGGCAAGCGCGGAGCCCTTGGCTGCCACTGCCCAGACTTCCTCTCCGTGTATGGATCTGTATGGATCTGTATGGATCGTATGGATCGATGCTCGTGCCTTCCTGTTGCCAATTCCCTTGGTTCCCATGGTTCCATGGTTCCTTCCCTTCCCCATGGCATGGATCTCGCTCGTCTCTCATCTCATTTTTCTCCCGTAATGCCCCTCTCTCCCATCCACACAATTCCAGATCCTGTGCCGTTGGTCCCGCTCTTCTGCTCTTCTGCTCTTCTGCGCTGCTTCTTCTCCTCCCTCAGACAATACAGCATTCATGCATGTGCGCATCTCTCGCCGGTGATGTATGGCGAAAAGTCCTGGGACCCAGCAGCAGCCCTCTGCACCCACTCGCGTCAACTTTGCACAATCCTTGCTCGGGAACACGACCCTCTGCATACCGCCTGCATATCTGGTGCCTCCACCCCTACCTTACTCTATCTTTGCCAAGATGGGGTGTGGTGATACTCATAGCCTTGGCTGGCTAGGAGGGTAGTGACTAGACAAGCACCAAGGCATAGAGGGGCAGCATCGCCGTTATCGCCTGCACAGAATTCCCTCTTATGGGCATATATAACACCAGTGACATCCCTTCATAACAATCACTACATGGCACTCCCAACAGCACATGTTGTCACCCTTGACCAACCACCCTGATCTAGGTTGATCTTTGACTAATTACTCTCATCTCACAGACCTCATTTACACTGCTCCCTTGTTAATTCCAATCAGAGCGCCTCGACCTTGATCCCAATATCCTCCAACTACATTACTCGATTCATGATCCGGCAGTATGGGCAAGCAGGAGAGGGCAGCTCAGAACTACCCTAAACAACCATTCTTACTCACAGTAGACGAAACTGTCGAACACACTGCAACATGCCTCGACTCGGGTCTGACGGACGTCCAAGTCCAGCAGTACCAAGACAAGTATGGCCCCAATCGACTCGAAGGTGACGGAGGAGTTGCTTGGTACTCCATTCTGGGCAAGCAAATTTCCAATGCCATGATTTTGGTAAGTTCTAGCCCAATTTTGTCACCATCTGTCGCTTACCACCCTTAGGTTCTGGTCCTTGCAATGGCCTTGTCATACGGCGTCCAAGACTTCGTGGAAGGCGCCGTCATCACCGGTGTCATCGTCCTCAACGTCACCATCGGATTCTATCAAGAGTTTCGCGCGGAAAAGAAAATGGATGCTTTACGCTCGCTCTCTTCTCCCTCTGCAAATGTTGTCCGCAATGGCAATGAATCTACCATCCCCTCAGGTGAAGTGGTCCCCGGTGACATTGTCTCCATCAAAACAGGCGACACCGTTCCTGCAGATATCAGACTTTTCGAGGTCATGAATCTCGAATGTGACGAAGCAATCCTGACCGGAGAAGCTCTTCCTGTTGCCAAAGAAGTAGATTTCGAGGCCAAAGGATCAATTGCAAAAGAGGATCTCGGCCTAGGTGACCGCCTTAACATCTGTTATTCCTCGTCCACCGTCACCAAAGGCCGTGGTCGCGGCATTGTCGTCTATACGGGCATGTCCACTGCCATCGGTGGCATCGCCGCTTCTATGCAAAAGAAGCGTCGCAAGCCGAATCGGTCCATGTCGCGTAAGAAACATGGACCTCTACAGCCCATCAAGGGAGGTACTCTGCGCGCTTGGGATAGTGTCTTGAAATTTCTCGGCCTTACAGAGGGCACACCCCTACAAATAAAGCTTAGCAAGCTTGCCTACGTCCTCTTTGGCTGCGCTCTTCTCCTTGCCATCATCGTCTTTGGTGTCAATCGCTTCCACGTTACCAGTGAGGTGGCCATCTATGCAATCTCAACTGGCATTGCCATTATTCCTGAGTCTCTCATTGCTGTCCTCACAATCACAATGGTCGTTGGTATGACCCAAATGAGGAGGCGGAAAGTCGTCGTTCGACAGCTGAGCGCCCTGGAAGCTCTCGGCGGCGTCACAAATATCTGCTCTGATAAGACTGGTACGCTGACACAGGGAAAGATGGTTGCCAGAAAGGCCTGGATCCCCGGTGTTGGCATCTACAGTGTAGAAAATTCGAACAATGCTTCCGATCCAACCGAAGGCACCATCACCTTTGGCCTGGCACCAAAATCCCGCAAGGAGGTTGACGCAGAGAGGCTTGCTCGGCAAGAAGCTCTTGACCAAAAGCGATCCATCGCCAACGTGGCCTTTGATGTTCCAAAAGAAAAATTTGAAAAGGATAATCACGGTAGTGAACCCCAACAGACTGTTGTGAAGCAGAATCCCGAAGTCACCCCAGAACTACAGGCTTTTCTCGAGTCTGCCGCACTCTGCAATCTTGCAACTGTCCGCAAGGTCACAGAAGACGGTCAAGAGAAATGGAAGACTGCCGGCGATCCAACCGAGATTGCCCTTCAGATTTTTGCACATCGATTCAATTTTGGCAAGACAGTACTCAAGGAGCAAGGCTGGCTGCAAACCATGGAATATCCCTTCGATAGTTCTATCAAACGCATGTCTGTCGTGTACAAAAAGCCTGAGGAGGAGCAGTCACTCATTTTTACCAAAGGCGCCGTGGAACGCATTCTCGATCTCTGCACCACGGCCGGTGTCGCAGACAAAGTACAAGAAATCACACCAGACTTCAAAGAGCACATCTTGGAACAAATGACTTTCCTTGCCGAGCAAGGTTTGCGTGTGCTTGCGATTGCTCGTAAGTTTACCGCTGTGGCCATCCATGAGCATAAAGAGGTTCCACGTGCCGAGGTCGAGAAAGACCTGTGCCTGTTGGGACTTGCTGGACTCTACGACCCACCTCGACTGGAAACCAAAGGCGCCGTTCAAGCATGTACAACCGCTGGTATTACTGTGTCCATGCTGACTGGCGACCATCCATCAACCGCGGCCGCCATTGCGAAGGAGGTTGGCATCATTCCCAAGAACATGGGTGCATTGGCTCCGGAAGTTGCTGCCGCAATTGTCAAGACAGCAATGGAATTTGATAAGATGACTGACGAAGAAATTGACAAGTTGCCAACACTACCTCTTGTCGTGGCTCGATGCGCGCCGGAAACAAAAGTTCGGATGATCGAAGCCCTCCACCGTCGTCACAAGTTTGCTGCAATGACCGGCGATGGCGTGAATGATTCACCCTCGCTGAAACTTGCAGATGTTGGCATCGCTATGGGTCTCAATGGATCGGACGTGGCCAAGTCTGCTTCTGATATTGTTCTGACAGACGACAATTTTGCGAGTATTGTCAACGCGGTGGAGGAGGGCCGACGCATGTTCGACAACATCCAGCGTTTTGTCCTCCATCTTCTTACGTCCAACGTGGGTGAAGTCATCCTGTTGATCTGTGGACTTGGATTCCAGGACGATAGCGGTTTCTCTGTGTTCCCTCTGTCACCTCTACAAATTCTCTGGATCAACATGCTCACCTCCTCGTTTCCCGCGTTTGGTCTCGGCCGGGAGAAGGCGTCTCCTGAAGTCATGGAGCGGCCACCTCACGATAACAAGACAGGTGTCTTCACTTGGGAGCTCATCACCGATATGCTGGTGTACGGCACCATTCAAGGGACATGTTGTCTGATGACTTTCATTTTCATCGTTTATGGTCCAGGACCGGATGGACTTGGCCAAGATTGCAACCATCATTATAGCGAATCTTGCGATGTCGTGTTCCGGGCTCGAGCAGCAGTCTTTGCAGAGCTTACCTGGTTGATTCTTATCTCTGCGTGGGAGTTCAAAGCCATGAGACGGAGCATGTTCCGGATCAATCCTCATGACACACACCCATTTCCCTTCTTCAAAGACATCTGGGAGAATCAATTCCTCTTCTGGTCTGTCGTGATTGGCGCGCTGTCGGTGTTTCCTGCAGTCTACATTCCTGGCTTGAACACGGATGTTTTCAAGCACAAGGGGATCACGTGGGAGTGGGCACCTTGCGTCATTTGCGTCTTTATCTTTGTTGGTGGCATGGAAGCCTGGAAGTTTGCCAAACGAACGTTTGGCTGGTTCGAAGCTGAAGAGACAGAAGGCATGAAGGCAAGGCGGCACGCTCGGACTGCATTGGGTCTCAAGCAAGGCTTTTTCACGCTCGCTCGCAGCTTTACCAAGTCGCGCAGCGAGGAGAAGAGGTCGATAAGTCGGGCGAGCAGCTTCAGGCCTGACAGGCTTGATCACGCACCTCCTCAGCTCCTGATGCAAAAGCAGGAAGTTTAGAAGTTGGGGGTTGATGTTTGATTAACGCGGACCGTGTCATGGACAGACTGGCGTTTGGGGCGAGTGTGGTAGAGAAAACCAACTTGTATTGGGACAACAGGTAACAAGACGTAAGTGACTCTCGGGCGGAGATTCAGGCTGTGACATGTTGAGATAGACTAGATTGTATGCTTACGAGGAAATGGGTCTCGAGCGACACGAGAAGCGTCAGCAATTTGATTTAATATGAAGCCGTCAGCAGTGCCATTGTTTGGATGCATGGCTTCAAGCTGTTTAGATAAGACAAGATAACGAGTAAGAAATATACGCGATGATGACATTAACTTGTACTTGATCAAGTTGCAACGTGGGGAATGATGAGAAAAACTGCTACATGAGATGAAGTATGAAAGATGTGGAATAGATTGTAGTTGATACAAAAGTAATAATCAATGATACAGATATAATGGGTATTCAGCGATAAAACATGCGGAAACATTTCGCAACTAAATGTACAGGTAGGCCTCACAATCTCTTCAAGCATGGCCCTTCTGACTCCAGCTCACTTGGAGTCATCTTCCTTCCCTTTCCAATGATATGATGATTGGACTGTGCGTAGTATGCTGGATAAACTGACAAAAGAAATGGTATGCTAATGGATGTGGTCGAGTGGATGTGGTCGTGGGTCGGGGTATAATTGATCTGTTCAGATCAGGGTAGATCAATGAGTCTTGTCGCCGTTGATCAGCTGCTGCTTCTTCTTCTCCAAGTCACTGAGACCAGATTGGTCTTGCTTGGGCATCTGCACCATCCAATTAGGCGGAGCAATACCAGTCTGATCATGGATGGTGCTGAACAATGGGGGCAGACTTTGCATGAGATTCTTGATTGGGGCGATGCCCGCAGCTTCAGCCCCGGCGCCTGTACCATCGGAGCCCGTGTTCCAAACGGTGATCTTGGGTTGTAGGCCTTGGATGGCCTTGGCGTTGGCAAGAGCAAGTTTTTCGTGTGTGTTTTCTTTCAGCATCATGTAGGTCAGTAGGCCTTGAGGTCCGCCAAAGGCGTCAGCTAGGGCTTTGTATGCTTCGGCCTGTGCCTTGGTGGCTTCGGCCTCGCGCATCTTGGCATGGAACAAGGCATCGGCTTCTTTGGTTTGTCGTTCGACGTTCGCTTGGATTTCGAGTTGTTGACGGAACAGGTTGGCGTCGGCATCTTGCTTCTCTGCGTAGGCTTTAGCGTCGGCGGTCTTGGAGTCGCGATAGAACAGGGCATCGGCTTCTTGTTGGGCGGTCTCCTTGGAGATCTGCGCTCGTACAAGATCTTTAGCTCTCAACCGTTCAAGTTCCGTGGCGGCCTTCTTGAGTTCGACATTCTTCTGCAATTCGGCATCACGTGCTTCAGCTGCGCGGCGGGCTTGGATCTGGGCCATTTGAATGCCCATGTCGAGCTCCGTTTGTTTCTTTGTGAGCTCGGCATCAGCTTGTGCCTTGTCGGCTTTCCGCTTGGTCTCAAGCACAGCCGTCTCTGCTTCGATCTTGGAGATCTCCTGTTTGGTGTGGCCTCTCTTACCGGCCTCTCCAATCTCACCGCGCATGCGTGCTTCAGCCACATCGATACGGGCCTGGTTGGAGGCGCCTTCATGTGCCTTTCGAGAAAGGAAGGCAAAGTATTCTGAGCCGGGTGTATCTTGGAGTTCCTTGACGTTGGCATTGTAGATGCAGAGACCAAATTGGTCCAATTCTTTCTGAACGTTTTCAATGACCTGGAGAGGGGGTTAGAGCTGATTCGAGGAGGGAAGGCCTTAGAGTAGGGAAACCAACCTTTTGCTTGAAGACTTGGCGTTCTTTGAAGATTTCCTCCATAGTCATAGAGGAGACAATGACTCGGGTTTCACCCTCGATGATGCCCTTGACAATGTCTTGGACATGGCCGCGTTGAGTGGGAACGATGACGGCTCCGGTGCTTTTGCCTCGGGTAGTGGAAGTTCCGTCTGGGTTGCCACTCAGGAGAAGAGCATATTTCTTAAGAGCTTCTGGTTTGTTGTCTGGGCCAATGGTGAAGACTGCAGGTAGAGCAAATTGCAACTTCTCGATGGTCATGGCCTGAAGATTGAGCGAAAAGTCAAAGGGCGAGACGGATATCCTGGCAACCTTTTGCCAAGGATACACAAAGGCCTTCTTGACGATGCGGACATCTTCAACACCGGCACCGGTGACAACGAGGTACTCGTTGGCCTCGGAGATGTGATACCACATTTTGACGAGTGGTTGGGTGTGGTGATTGAGGGAAAATGCTCAGGAATGCGAATGAATTAGTCGGCCGGGTCAAAGCAGGGAAGGATTAAAGACTGTTGAATGTAGTTGTGCTCGTGTTGGCTGGTAGTACAAGTGCAGCCGCCGTTGGGTTGTGTGACGAGAGAAGGAAGTTCCAATCGAGGTCTGTGATAAGTGAAGTACTTTATATGCCATGAATATGGATATGCAAACAGCAAACGATGCATTCCAATGATGAACCTACTACGCCTACCTTTGCAAGGGGATCCATAGACGGTGCGGCAAGGCTGCCTCGTCGAACACTGCCATCTTGTGGAAGCACCCCAAGGATTGGTATGGTCCGCGAGCTGAACCAGGCGGATCTGATGGACCCGAGTTCCGTGCTGCAAGAATGATGCGCGTGGATTGGGCTGTATGGACAGCGGAACTGAGGACCCCTGATAGTGACAGGGTGTCGATTGTTCCATTGATACTCTAGAAGGACGAGGATGAGAGCGGGTCGTGAGGGTCCATGAAGATCTCCAAGAGAAGAGAGTTGGTCACGCGATAGTGTGACGATATCCTAGGAAATGGGAGGGAAGGGGCGATCATACCGTGCATGCTTCGATGCAGAGATGTGAGTGGTTGGAAATGCGCAAGTCACAGTAGAGCTCGTACTACTTGACTCGTAGAGAACTTGTTTATGGGTCTTGAAGTGGATTAGTTGCTTAGCTTTGACGCGCAGTGGCTGTGAGGGAACTAAATTGAACTGGTAAGACGCTAATATCCGCTAAGGAATCACGGGCGGAATCATGTGATGACTGCCTTGCAACTATCAGGCATCTGTGCCCCGCAAAGGTGATCCGCAGCATACAGTAGAATATACAGTACGGAGTAGTAAAAGACTCATTATTGTAGAATGGATCTCTTCACGGGTGAATCGGCATCTGAGTCTTGGAGTGGGCGTCTTGGTACGCATAGTCAAGTGTGAATCACGAATTGTGAGGCTGCCAAAGTTAGTGTGGCCCGTACGAAGTGTACTATATCTAAACATGTGTCAAGGAAATGGATGCATGTGCAGTCATGTCCGAGTCTGAGTGGTTGGTATTGTTGGTTGCATCTTCAATACGAGAAAGGAACGAGGTTGATTTTGGTGGAGAGAGATATCATGTTCTGCGAGGGATATAATTTAATCAGGTTTCTCGTACTGCATGTAGAGTCTGTTGCTCTGAGTTGGCGTAGGTGCAGATGGTGAGGCTGATTGCAGCGCCTTGAAACTTGATGCATCTGAAGCAGAAACAGCAAGATGCACAGCAAGATGCACAGCAGTGGGCTATCTGTCGTCTAACGGCGCTGTGTGTTTGGGGATTGGCCGTATCTTTCTCCAGAGCCTTAACCGGAGAGTAATACTGAGATGCCTAATGGACTTCAAGTCCTAGCATGCATATCTCCCTCAAACCATCCTATCAATAAACACTTTCAAGCTCTCTCCACATTCTGCCTTGACCATCGCCGTTGCCTGAACCCTGTTCTACTGTCATATGATGCCTATTGAGTACTACGATGTGCGGGTAGATCAATGTATGCCAAAGTCTTTTTAAGGCGAGCCAACATGTCCCACGTATTCGGATAATGCTGTCGGGCGTAGCCATCTATCAATCAATGTCGGAGGATTTATCTTCTAGAACCCCGAACCGCAGAACCGCAGCTTAATTAAGCGAGCTGGAGTTTGCCTGGCGCCGGTGCCCACCCCCATGTTTTGCCACCTGGCGGCATCCTTGGCTCCCTGGGCAAATTCCAATGCCCCAAGGAGCCCAAGGAGGCCATCGGCCCCTCGGCCCCCCAGCACAGGAAGTGTCACTAAGTGCGAGCCTATAAGGCTGTCGCCCGCTTATGAGGCTGAGCCTCGCTTAGCTCCTGAATCTGATGTTTTGTCTTGATCTTGATATGAAACTCCAACACTAATTGAACAGAGTGGCAGAGTGCCTCACCAGGCAGTGTTTGCTTCCTAGACCCATGTACTTACTGTACGAACCATCCACTTACTCCACTCCGCTGTCTCTACGTCACATAGAGGAATGGACCGCGATATATCTAACGGATTCGTTTGTGAAGATTACAGCCACCTCGATATCCACCTCAACACCCTGACCCCTCGGTGAATCTGTCAAGATTGATGCCGACGTGTCTATCTCAACAATTGAGAGCTCACCTTGCCTCCGTCTGAATAGATTGCCAACTTACCTCTCAACCCTCTTCGACTCTGCTCCTCAAAGTGATTCCTGCTCACCCTCTAAAACATCTTCCATTTCTGAACCATCATGTCTAAGCAGCTTCTCCCGTCATGGGATCCCTCCGAACCTGCTCCTAGCTATGAAGAATCCATTGCCCCAAATGGTGGAAACCTTACAAGATCAGCACCATCTTTACAAAGAGAGAAATCCCCTTCAAACTCGACATCACTCATCCGTCTAGAACGCACCCGCCGCATCCAGCAACAGATTACTGACTTTATTGTCCCTTGTTTCTTAGAACACCTATCTAATGCCGTCAACAACTTGACCATCCTTCTCGTCCCATCAGACTGTCTTTCTCATTCCGGTCCTCACAAACCCATCACCGCCCAGAATGTTGTCTCCCCTTCTTTCCAGGTGCTCAACACGACAGGCTCGGTGATAGAAATGACGGGCGATGGCAATCGCAATAGTTTCTGGATCCAACAGCCTGTTCTCAATGAATTGGACATTCTCCTACGAAGAGAATTGACTGGCGTTACGCCACCGCAAGACCCCCTGGACCCTGCTGCAAGCTACGGATCGTCTTCTCGATCTCCAACCCAGCAAAACTTGATCCCTCAATCATCTGCTCCTTTACCATCCCGTCCTGCCAAAAAGTCCTGGTTCAAGCGCGCCATGCCTCAGCTACCAAGCCCCGAACATGATCCTACAGGCGAGACGGGCAAGTGGGATCTAGGTTGGAGGAGTCCAGACGTCACCCGGGAGACTGAGATGGAAGCTGCCAGACAGAAGGAACGTGAGTCTAGAGTCTTGAGGCAAGACGAGATTGCAGTCAACACTAGATTCCGTGACGTGAGTTTCCGCATGGAAAATGAAATGGGGCTCCTCGAAACAAACACCATCAAATGTGTTTGGATCGAGATAGAGGTGGGAGTTTAGGGAGATTCCCATTCAAATGTCACTTTGATTAAACAGACTATCACCTCTGTCTCATCTACAGTTGTGCCATAACCCGAGCCTCTTTAGCCATATCTTTGTCACGGCCTGACTCTAGTCAAGGGACAAAGACCGTTCGATCTCTTTTAGCTGCCCACGCCTGCTCTGCATCTTCGAGTTTCCTCACCTTGAGATCGAGATTGGGCAACTTGGCCACTGCGGCCAACAGTGACGGCAACTGTTCTCCAAATTGTGCTCCAGACCATGCACCAGGGCCAGAGCCTCTAATTGTTAGGTTCTTGGAGCGGAATATGGCCGCGGGAAATGAAAGATCTTGCGATGCCATTGATCCAATTTGAACATACTGGGTCGGCACAGAAGACTTGAGCGCGTTCAACAATGCCATTATGCCTGGGCCATAAAGATAGTCGAGAATGACATCAACATCACCCAGCGTCGAGTAGTCGGTCTCCTCAGGGTTGTCCTTGAGCACAATGCGCTCGTCGAGGTCGATGGCCGCGAGCTCCTTTGCGTTTCGTGCTAGGCCAATGACACGACCGGCGCCAATAAGACGCGAAAATTGGACTGCCACTTTGCCAGAGATGGCTGTCACTCCTACGATGGCGACAGTGAATTTTGCAGGGAGATTCTCGGTGCGAGTCTTCAGTGCCATCCACGAGGACATGCCAGGATTCAACAATCCAGCGATTTGCACAGGGTCAGCGCCTTCTGGGATCGGGGTGATGGCAGACTTGGGGACGGTGATTGATTCAGCAAAGGCGCCGCCTGTGGCGATGCTGCTGAAATAGACTGTCTGACCATCAGGAGTGACGCCGACACCGTCAGAACCAGGGACATATGGCAATGTGGCTGAGGTGGTACTGTAATGTGTGCCTGACGCCTGGGCACGAACCAGTTGATGGAGGCCTGCAGCGAGAATCTTGAGTGTGACTTGATCCGAGGTTGGTGCAGCAGGAGATGGATGACTTGACGAAAAGGCGGGAGAAGCTCCCCAGGAGGAGACTGTGATGGCTCGCATAGTCATATTGAGATGAATCTGGTTTCTTCTCTTGTTTGGCTGGGGATGGTTCAGTGGTCAAACTACGCACAGCAAATCTGTGGATAGTAGAGTTCTGTTTGACAACGTTGGTGAAGGATTATTTGACCAACCTGGGGTTGGAATACTTATACACTCAAGTGCTTGAGCCCGAGGGGCCCTCATACAAGGCAAAGACTGTTGAGAACTCTATAAGTGAAAACGACCGATTAGCATCGTGAATTCCAAAACAGGTAGCTCGTAGACGGAAGAATGGGGAGTCTATTGACCAACGTTGTCAGGCCTTTGTCAGCACACGGAAATCGTTCAGATAAAAGAGAATGGTGTCTAGTCATTAGTGAGCCTTGATGACATTCATTTCCCGAATCAGATAATAGGCCAAACTTCCTTGGGGAACGTTCAAAGCTTGACAGCATGGGGGCTATGGGAGCCTTTTGTCACTGTGCGTCACCAGTGCAGCCGTCGGCGCCTCGGGCTCTTGGAGACCGCCTGACGAGCATTAATACTTGCTCGAGAAGGGCATACAATGAAAAGGAGTGGTATTTGGAGCGTGGAATAATATGATCTGCATGTATAGGCATATTTGTGATCCTCTGGGGCCATTGGTCTCTCGCTGCTCATAAGCAATGAAGTCTGGCGGCGGACAAAGCAGGCACGACAGGTCAGGCAAGTACCTTCTTTGATGCCCACGTGCCATCTTACATAAGGTGCTGCACCTACGGAGTAGAAGACTCTCAGCCGAGGGGCCCTCGGGCCTTCCGCCTGCCTAACTGGCTACGTGCCTGCCTACTGATTTGGTGCCCATCAACGTCATCTCCTTCTATGTGGGGCAATCGCACCTTCCAACTCAGGGATCAACTAGAACAGAACACGCAAACCAGACCACAAGAAAGACGACTAAATCCACCACTCAACAAGTCATACCTGTCAACACTACCCGGAGACTAGTACACCAAGCCTTACGTGCAGGTGTAGAAGAGTGTGTCATACAAAACTTTGTGCCAACATCATCTCCATCAACAGTCTATTCTGATGGCACCATCACAGATTCAGATTGCGACCTCGTCACTGCAGCGTCTGCTCAAGGAAGAGGCCTCTTACTACAAAGAACAAGAGCAGCAGGAAGCGAGAATCCAAAAGCTCGAGAAGCAAGATCCAGCTACCTCCGCTGACAGTGATGGCAATCAAGCTTTCCTCTTGAAGCAAGAGGTATGTGCCAATCTCCTATATTTTATGTTGCCAAGACCTGCGCTGTGTAGGACGCTGTCTCCCAAGATGAGGCGTGCGGTTGGAATCGCAGAGAGAACGATCGTGCCTTCTCGAGTATAAAAGGCAGATGAGAAATGAATGCACCATGTTTTCTTCTGTGGGGGCTTAGCTTCCTCCCTGCCCTCGCCCTCCGAGGATATTGCTGACCTTGTTCGATGACTATAACAGCGTCGAGCCCTGGACGAGACCAAGGCAGTCATCCCCGCTTTGCGCGAACGCATTACCAGTGCCCGCGAGAAATTGGAGAGTCTCTTGGTGAGTAACGTCAAGTGGAGTCGAGCTCAAGCATCCAATGAAGCGGTGGTTGGGTCAATTGTTCGGCCGATTGACTAATCTCTTGAGTGACAGGATACGGCCAGTACGGACGAGGAACGAAATACCGCCTTTGACGTTCTCAAAGCAGCCAAAGAAGCGCAGAAAGATGACCCTATTGCCGGCCAGTAAAGCACCCCTTAAGGGCCAGACGGGCTGTCCGAATATATCATCCCCGGAAGCCCCACCAGATACCTGACAATTTCACGGCTTCGGTGCTGCAACGGACTCGGTTCGATAGTCTAGCCTCTCCGTACGGCATGCCTGCTGCCTGCGTTCAACGATCTGTCCATCCCCAGACGGAACGGCGACACAATCTACATGTAACAATATCAACATGATATCAAAAAACCACGAGTTGACTTGGCTCAGAATGCAGTCTGCTGTATGACAGGGTCTGGTCCATGGCCGAGGTCCATGGTCTTGGGGGTATCTAGTGTAACATTTCTCCTTGCCTCAGCAATCAGGACTGGGCAACTTCCAGACACAGAACCAATTCCTTCACGTCATGTCCATCGCATCGCTTGGCTTCTCCACCACGACCCTGGGCAATGCATCTTCGGCCTCTCCAGATTTCACTTCCTCCATGTCGATATCTTCTTCTATCACCCTAAGAGGGGTTGCATCACCGACATTCGACCTCGGCGTTCCCACCCCTCGGTGTGCTGTGAATGGTGTTGGTGCATCATCTGTCGGTCGAGGTGTTCCTGTGTTGGATCCTCCGTCGCGTTCCCTGCCAACGTGCAATAGATTCTCATCATCTTCTTGATCTTCTTCCTCCTTCTCCGGCTCCTTTTCATCTCGAATCACCCTCCTCAAGTTCTGTGCCTCTTCCACCACCTTGACGAATTGCTCTCTTCTTTCTACCCACGCCTGATTATGCTCCTGTGACTCCCTCTCCAACTCCTCAATCTCAGCCTTGAGTTTCTCAATGTTCACATGCTGCTCGTCCCGGGGCTTTAGTGCGGCGTTTCTGGTAATCTTGTCCGACAGTACATCGTATGTTTTGCGAACCGCCAATGTTTTCTGCGCTTCGTCAAGTCGAATTCGTAGGTTGGCGATGTTATCTCGGACTTCTTGAGCTGTGTGTTCGATCTTCAGCTTCTCCGCGACGTATCGTTCTCTTTCGCGTTCATTGGCCGCACGCAGGTACTGTATCCGCGCGATGCTGCTTTCAAAGGCCGAAAAATCTAATATGATCTCTTCACGGAAGCGTTGAACATCCTTCAGGAATTTCTCATGTGCGCTCGCATCATCTTCCACAGCTTCCACCTGTTCTCCATCAGCTTCAGAGGTCCGGTCGAGAAAGACGTTGATCGGGTTATTGCGAGCGAGAAGTCGTTTCGTGATACGTTTGAACGGTCGCTCTTCAATACCGAGGAGGCGCTCTGCGTGTAATTTGTCTATCCTTGTCAGAAATGACTGCTTTTCACGCGCAGTGGAGAGCATGTACCTTCTTCAGCTTGGTCTAGAACCACGAACGTCGTCATGATGGGATCCTGGTTTCAGAATGCTCGAAGGATCGACTTGTGCGATGTTACTGTGTACAGAGATGCAGTTCGACAGACGAACAGAAACACGATGATTTGCCTGGAAATAACTGACCGCCTGGTGATGACACCCAGCTCACCAACGTGTCAGATATGGTGTTTGGTGAATTTCAAGAGTCAGGATCAAAACGCTTCTGCTTCTGCTTCTGCTTCTGCGCATTAACAAATCGGCTCCTGGTGAAACCTTAGTGCCAACGAGACAAGGCGGCGCTGAAAGCGGCCAGGTCCTCGGACCCTCGGACCCCGTGGCCCCTCAACACTGCAGGTGCGGGAACCTGGACCCCACGCCTAACCAGCCAGCCAGAAGCCAGCCAATCTGGACATCTACTTTACTCGGTACAATCAATTGAACGCAGTCCCGGGTACTTCGTTTTGTTGGCACCGCTTGCACCGCTTAACCAGGGACAAAGCAATTATAGACAGAGCCTTAACGACACTCGAGAGATACTGGAGCTGACACGTTTCTGACCTTCTGTTCGTTTGGCTCGACTCGTTCTTGCCACTTATGAAACCCAATACATGACTGGCTTCACCTTGTCAAGTCGAGCCCTATGCCACCATGCGTCAAGGAGCGGACAGTCTGTTCGAGATGGCAAGGCGAGCCTGTGGAAGATATAGCGCTCGCATTACAGATATTGGAGACCTAGACTACGACTTGATCCGTCCAGTCCTTCTAAAAATTGAGAGCCCGGAGAAATTGGTGAGCGCAACGGCGACAATGGACAGTCTTAAAGAACACTAACTAACTGAGAACCTCTATAGCACCAAATCGAACAAGCATCTCCGCAGATCATTGGCCGTGACTCCGAAATATGGCTGTCATTCATCAAGCGAGACATTCCGGACTGGGAGCAGAAGCCGCATCGACCATCCGACCCTAAGAATTGGTATAAAGTGTACCGAAAGTTGAAGAAAGAGGCCCAAGAATCTTCTACGGCAGATGAAGCCATGCTTAAAGCCGCATTAGCAACCATCAGCAAGCAAAAGGAGCAGAATGTCACGCAAATGACCACACGAACTACTCCGGCGCAGGGTCCTAGTCGAAGGGCGAGAGTCTACCACAACTACGTCAGCGGTCGGACGGGCAGTAAAGGGGCTAACAAGATGACTCTGATGGAAAAGATCAGGAAGGAAGCCAGAGGCGCCGGCTCGAGTCAAATGAGCCGGCCGATGCATGAACTACAAAAGCGAGCTACCATGGTGACCAAGGCGCCTACACAGTTTGTCGAAGATCTGAAAAGGCGGCCTTCGACATCCACAACACAATTCTCATCTCCACCTAAGCTCTCCGCGTCATTGTCAGCCTCGCGACCAACGTCCAGGCCGCCTTTACATGCTCCCAGACCTGGTCGACCTCCCCCTGACACTGATTATCATCTCACGAGTGACCGCGAAGCGAGGTTAAAGGCATTAAAGTCCGGCAAAGAACCAGTGACGAGCTCCGCGCCGGCCAATGTTCAATTTACGGCCGATTTTCTGGAAGATTCGGATCTGGACGACCAGCAGGACCATCGTCAACCAACACGAGCTACGTCTACCCCGAAATCGACACTACTCAGCGCCATCGATCACCTCGACCGTCCGCCAAGGATATCAAGTCCGATGAAAGTCAAACCACAGCCTGTGACAACTTTGAAGCGCAAGCAGACTTCTTCCATGTTCATTCAGCCAGTGAAGAGGATTGCTAGAGATGCGGGAGGTCCGTCATGAAAGAAGAATTGTTGGACATTTGCGGGATGAGGTACCTGGGTTGGATAAACATTTTGATTTTTTTTGAGCGGGGAGTTTGTGATGGATGGATGACCTCATTTTTTACTTGGTATGGAGTTTATGATGCATTTATTGGTATTGAGAACGTTGGGAAGGAAGGAATTGAAGATATCTGGCGGCGCTTTCAGACTCCCAGAGCACAATGGCTGCATACAGTCGGTTTAGTTGTTGGCTTGTCTGGGATTTTGCGTCAACTATGTGGAGAAATTCTAGAGAGAGAGAAAGGGACAGAAAGGTCTCTGTTGATCCGGGACAATCTCTAATCATCTGGCGCCGTCGAATCGACCCACGTTGATGTTGATGCATGAAACTATGTGGTCCTCTCAAGACCATCCATTGCGCATGCGTTCGTGATTGTTTGTTGGGTTGGGTTTAAAAGGATGAGGAAGGGTACTGTGTGTTCCGGATCGAATGCTTGCTCGCTTATATGTGTTTTATCTCCACCGTAGGATGGAATCGTTGCCCCATTCTGCCATTCGTCGAAGGCGACGGCAGCAGCGGCGCCGGGCCTAGGGTACTATCGACCACCTCTCAAGGCAAGGACCAAATGTAGTGTGTTGCCACCTTCAAGACCATAGTCTTCGGCTGTCTTTTCATCCGCCCTGGAGTGGTCTGTCAGCTGAAAATGCTCCTTCTTTCCCCCCTCCCCGCGACTGTGCGAGTTGGGCGTAGAAGAAATGGGGATGTTACATTTGCTTGCCGCCGTAGATCAATCTCTGCTGCACAGGAGGGATGCCTTCCTTCTCTTCGACTCGTTCCTTTATTCTTGACACCTGAGTTCAGACAGCCGGGTCAGTATCTTGTAGGGTGTGGGAGTAAAGAGTTTGTGGTCATGATCGAGAGGCTAGAGTGTGGTGGAGTGTGGTGTGGTGTGGTGTGGTGTGGTGTGGTGTGGTGCCTTGCGGTCTTGCTCGCTCGCGATCATGTGTTTGGTTGCCATACCTTGTAATCGGACTCAATGTCAAGCTCAATCTCCTTGCCCGTCAACGTTCGCACTCTAATCGCCTGGTCAGTACCTGTTGCCACGCATGATAAGAGCCCTGAGGAGGAAAGAGCATGATTGGATGATTGGGCGGCATACTTGATCAACATTGTTAAAAGCCTTCCAGTCGAATGCGAATGGAATGTGAGAGGGGCGGCTTCGTCTAAAGGTCGTTCAGTGTGTATGGAAAGAGGGCTTCTCTAGTATCTGAGTCTAGAGCAAGGCTGCGTAGTCAATTGGTCAAGAACTTGTAAGGAGAGTGTAGTAGAGGTGAAAGCGTAGTGGTTAGGTAGTCAGGAGGGAGACAAAAGTAATGGAATTATGAATGTCACCTCGGCGCGGCCTGATGATGATGGAAGAACTGCGGGTAAGACCGTAATGTAATAATGTTGATCTTTGGAGGGGCAATTTACTCACGTGGTGCATATATAAGACTGCTGACATAATTCAATCAACAAGGCTTCATTCACCAGGATTACTACTGTAATAAATAGCCACTATAGTAGAAAACATGTCAAATTTACGTCACCAAATTGCAATTGCAATCGTCATTGTCATTGCCCGGTGATTCATTCTAGTCGTCACGTCTGCTATGTCGTGCCTTGACAAGCCTGGCCTCCATTGATCCGTGGACGAGGTGATATCTCGGTGACATCGTTGGATGGTGAGCATTCTTGAACCAGAGCCCTCGTCACCATCAGAAAGATACTTACATCCCTCCTTGACTCCTCCACACACCTGTTGTCATTATCCTCCCAGAACCTTAGACTTCACCATGAACAAAGCCTTGGCCAAGATAGATTGTTTCACCACCTCCATACCATAGCCTGCCATTACGGAAATCCAATCCTTTCTCTTCTCCCACGATCCATTCACCACCAGGCTTCATGAGTTGATCTCCCTGGGTCCAGAACTCGGCCTCCAACCATTTGTTGATGGTTTCGATCTCGCTGATCCAGTGTCTGCGCTTCTTGGGATCAAGAGCCGGATTAGGATCCAGGGGATCCCCACCGAATACGTTGGGCGAATTGAACCTCGCAATGGTGAGGTGGGCTGACGGAACCACATATCGTGATCCGACCTCGATGCCCGCTTCCACCAAGGCCGCGTAAGTGTCTCGTCTCAAGTGATGATATGTATATGCATCGTCCTCCAAGGTTCGTCCGTGTGAGAGTGACTCTCCCGCCGCAGGCACAAATGACAGGGCCAGGGCGGCCGAATCATAGCTTAGTACTGGCTTGACAAGACGAGCGCGATGAGCATGCGTATGATCTGCAATGCGCTCACAATGTGCCTGGAGAATGTTCATCAAGCTTTGTATTTCCTCCTCGGTCTTGGAGTGCGCAACCTCCATCACCGTGATATGAAGATTGTCCAATGGCATCAACCATAGATCTAGCAATTCAGTCAGTTGGTCGGCCCGGCGAGTTCATCCATCCATAACTCTAATACATCACCGCTCTCTGGGGACATCTTACCCGGAGCAGCATCTTTCAGCTTGGATTGAATCAGATCGATCAATGCCTTGACCTTGCTTGTAGGACGACCCCAAAACACTAAGCAATTCCGTGGATCAACATAACTCGGGTCTCTTTGGGGCCCATCGAGCTTGACCAAATGTTCATCCAGGATCCAACCACAGAAACTGTCTGAAAGGATCTTCTCCCGTTGCTGAGCATTGCGAGTTGTGCGATGCAAGGAATAACGTTCTTGGATTTGGGCTGGATCATCATGGCAGCTAACGATCAAACCATCGTAAGGATTGCCGGTGACTGGCGTAGTAGTACCCGACAGGTCCTCAAAAGCGACTTTGGCCATTGTCGCTTACCGAGGAGGGCTGGAGGCCTTGTTTAAGGGCAAAGAAGCCTAAAGCGCGATACCTATGGAGGCCCGAACAAAGCCTGGCATCAAATACTCGATGCCTTCCCACTCCATCTACCTATATTCAAGATGTGGTCAAGCTGTTGTACACGCAAGCCAGCCGGGAGGATCCGCCAATGCCCTCACTCACCTATCGTGTGTTGCCAAAGTTTTGACCAACCTGGGTTGCACTTGGGGAGGACAATAATGGGGGACATGGACCTACCATGCCAACTCGTAGCCAGGACGCAGCCCAAGTGGACTGATAAGATTAGATGCTGTTTTGAACCGAATCTCCAAGTCTCCAAACTACTCTCGGCATACCTGCCATTCCCGCTCCCCACACACAAACCCGCAGTAGAACGTGACTTGTCTCAAAAACTTGTGCGTCTTGGCATTTGGCTGCGGGACTTTGGTGGTCAACTTCTTCCAACGGCACTGATTGAACTCGCTCGATTGCTACACCACCCATTCCACGGAACGCCAGCCAGGAAATCAGTCAAAATGGTAAGAAGACACCCGAAATATGTTCATCAGCCTTCCGAACCTTTGCCCTGGTGAATCGCGACACAGAAAGAGAGATGGAGAGGATGGCCATTTTCGCCAGAGCAGGCAATGTGACAGACGATCGAAATACAACCTCCCTTCGCAGGCGACGGTTTATGACGGAATCCGAGTTTGCCAGGTCTCGAAAGGATTATTTTCATCACGAAAGGAATTAAGGAAAACTATCGCCAAATTCACCCGGGCAAAGATTAGGAAAAGAGGCGGATGAATGGCGCACGCAAGACCAGACCAAGACAGAGCTCTTACTGACACGAATTCTCGCATTCAGGTCAACGTTCCCAAGACACGTCGCACATACTGCAAGGGTAAAACCTGCAAAAAGCACACTCAACACAAAGTCACCCAGTACAAGGCCGGCAAAGTATGTTTTTCGAACCCCCTCCTCCATTCATCCCTCTCGGTCGTCGGCTAGAGAAATGAGAAAATATCGATATGAGAACAATAGGAGAACAACATAAACTAACCAAATTCAAAAGGCTTCGCTGTTCGCTCAAGGAAAGCGTCGATACGACCGCAAACAATCCGGTTATGGTGGTCAGACCAAGCCCGTCTTCCACAAGAAGGCCAAGACAACCAAGAAGGTCGTGTTGAGATTGGAATGCACACAATGCAAGACCAAGGCACAGCTTTCATTGAAGCGTTGCAAGCACTTTGAGTTGGGGTACGTTTTACTACCATTATTATCAAACATGAGATTCACAACTAACCATGCTATTCTTCCAACAGTGGTGACAAGAAGACAAAGGGTGCTGCTCTTGTTTTCTAAGCGTGACATTACAATACATGATCTCAGGAGCGGTGATGGGAGATGGGAGATGGGAGATGAAAATGGAAGATGGGAGATGATGCGCGAGGTGTTTGTTCTACGACCAACCTAACCCACCCACCGACCTACCAATCAAGCAGCCAACCAATTTCGACCGTTCTTATGTCATGATGGGAGAAGAGCAGAGCATTGTATGTTCGGTGGGATCTGCGACATAGAGAGGGTCGAGAGGGGTTTTCTTTTCCATTGTTGAAAGAACGTCTCGACCATGGAAATGCGCATATCTTGCTTGCCCCCCAACAGACATGTAGCACTTCGTGGAGAGCCGTGTGTCATGACATAGTGGCACAAAGCTACTTTAAGTCATGCATGGGCATCAGGAAGGCTAGAATCGCCTACGCAACTATCACGCTAAATGTTAACCATGTTTTGTCTCTGAAATGCGTGCTTTGATGTCTAACCCCCCTTCACAACATGATACCTCGCCTCGCCTCATCCTGGTCAGCCCAACCATCTTCGCACCAACGTCGATCAATGGCTACATTATCAAATATGAATCAATGGTCATTGGGCGTATGTGATATAACTTTATTTCATTAACAGTCGTCAAAGTCGTCAATCGTGTTGTGTTGCCGCGGGGTCAGAGGAGGCCCGACATCAGACAATGTTCGTGCAATCACTTCATAGATCGTGGCTCAACATTAAATCAAGACAAGACCGAAACATTCATCTTCATCATACTTCATCGACGTCCGATCACGATACCTTGCCTGCACCCCATTTTGATGGCTAGATCGTCAAGATCCATCTCGTTCGGTAGATCATCTGCTACTTCGCTTTTTCTTGTCATCTGACCCGAACAGCCCATCGATGAAATTTCCAATCACTTTGCCTGCAGGTCCCTTGCCTTGTAGAATATCTTGAAATTGGTCCGCCAGGGGGTCATCACCAGGCTCTTGTTTCTTTCTTCCCTTCTCGTCGAAACGTGACGGCAAGTCAATCGTCGCCTCTGAATCTGTAGGACTTGGAACCCGTCTCATGTGTGAGTCATCTCTTCGTGAGCTTCCCTCACCTCGAGAAGAATAGACAGTGGGGTCAGAAGAGCGATGACGATGGTGGTGTCGTCTTCGCTCGGAGTTTCCTCCTTGCTCGTCCCGATCTGCTCCCCTCCTGGACGAATACTCGTCACGCCTCCTTCGACCGTCATCGACAGTAGAGTCAGTATCATCTTCAGCGTCATAACCACGAGAATTGGTGTGGCGATGACGATGGTGGTGGTGGCGGCGACCGCCAGAAGTCTCTCCATCTGTTTCAGCAACCGTGGGTTCAGTAAAGGTAGTTATCTCAGGAGTTTCAGAAAATTGGACGCTTTTGCGAGAGCTTGGGGGAGGTTGCGAGTGAGAACGAGGATGAGAACTTTCATGCTCATGAGGCTGGTCCAATGGGACAACCGGAGGTAGTGGTCCAGGAGGGACAGGGATTGAATGAACGGCCGTGTCGATTTCAGATGCAGGTTGGACGTTGAAAGTGGGCGGCATTGGCACATCTGGCATCTCTCGATTTAAACCTAGAGGTTCGAGGTCAGTCATGCTGCAACACAGTTTGAATCTTCGAGATGTAGAACTCCAAGACGCATAACTACGACGTACCATCTGGCAAATGGTGCTGGTCATTAGGAATGGCAGGTGCGAAAGGATTGCCAAATGCAGGAGCTGGTTCAGCACTCACATTCTCGGGACCACGTGGCGCATAAGGATTTGCGCCAGAAGCATATGCATCATAATTTGTAGGGGCGGGTGGGGGTCCTCCAGGAGGTGGTGGAGGATATGCCTGCGGAGGATATGCCTGCGGAACATAGGCTGCCTGTGGAGGATGTTCTGCGGCGCCTGGCTGGATGGGCGTTGGATCTGGTTGCGATGGATATTGATTAGGCACCGAGCCTGGGGGAGGTGGGAATTGAGTGTTCTCCGGATAGTAGGTTGGCTGGGAGAAGCCGTGCTGAGAAGCATATGGATCGTTGGGCGGCGGAGTCGGAGAATGTCGTCCACTCTGATGGTAACTGTCATCGTAGGCATCATGACCATAAGCAGTAGCTTCTTCCTCGCGTTCTAGAACAAATGTTAGTTCAGTCAGGCTCAATCAGGATCTGTTTCAGCTTACGACGTCGTGCTCTTCTTTCACGCTTCTCTTCTTTGCGCCGGTCATATGCACTGGCCCCAGCTGGTGCAGTTGGGGCCGCAGCAGCAAGTTTGGCGGCATCTCGAGACTTCTTTCGACGGTGCTTTCCTCCGCCAGGGGATGAACTGGAACTCCTATCAGATCTTCCCGAACGTCGATCACGACTGGCGCTTCGACTTCTGCTCCGTGGACCCCGCTGAGAAGCATATGCGGTTGCGCCAGCAGCGGCCGCTGCAGGTACAACAGCATTGCTGTAGTAATTGTCTTGTGGGGCAGGACGGCCATAGTAATCGGCGCCATAGTTGTTACCATACATTGGGCCGTGGCCATACTCGATCAAATCTGGTGCACTGAGATTTGCATCTCTTGGGCCATCATAGTATGCGTCCGACCTAGCACGACTTCGCGACCTCGATCGGGCACGTCGATGTTCCTCTTTTTGGATGACTTCAGCCTCTTTCTTGGCTTTGTTCTTTTCGTAAAGACCTGCCAGAGCAGCGCTGCCCAAGCCAGCAGCGACCACGGGTAATGCCTGTCTCACACGGCTTTGTGAGCGTTCTCGGCCTTCGCGAGCACGAGAGCGACTCCTGGCTCGTTCAATCAAGCCAGCAACCACGGCGCCCGCGGCACCAGCTTCGGCGATACGCTTGTTGCGATGCTTGGGGTTACGAGCATCATCAGCAGTGGGATCGTTTTCGAGTTCTGTGAGAGTTTCCTCCCTCCTGCGTCGCGACCGACTGCGTCGAGGCGGTTCTTGGTCCTGGTCCTGGTCCTTGTTTCCGGCCAATTTCTTGGTGGCGATGGTCGCAACAGCGGCCAGGGCTGCAGCACCTAAACCAGCAGTGGCCAAAGTCTTCAACCTGGATCTGGATGCGGAGCGAGAACGAGAACGGGAACGGGAACGGGAACGAGATCTGCTTCGCCGACGTGAACGAGAGCGCGAGCGACGATCTCGGGAGCGATCTCGGGAGCGGCGGCGGCTCTTACTGCGATAGGCAGACCTGGCCCTTGAGATGCCCTCTGCGGCAACCGCTCCCAGAGCACCAGCTCCAAGGTCCCGGCCGACGCGGCCTATGCCGTGAGAGGTCTCACGACCCTCTTTCTTTTTGTGGTTCCTCAGCAACTCAGCGGCGCCAATGCCAGCTACCACACCGGCGGCAAGGTTCTTTCGTCGGTCTGGACTGGCATCGCGTTCTTCTTCTTTGGTCTCTTTGCGGACATAGACCATGCTGTCATCACTGCTGTAATCACGGCCTCTTTGGGAGACGGAATCGCGAGGGCTGACAGAGCGACCTCTGCCTCTTCGTCGATATTCATCCGGCGCATCAATACGCTCACGGACTTTCTTCTCATAAAAGAAATCCTCTTCAGCCCGCGGCTCGCGACGGGTGACTTGTCGCTCTTCTTCGAGATCTGACTTGCGGACAATTTGATAGTCATCGTCACGAATTCGCTCCCTGATAATAATGGGCTCCTGGCGGATGACGATAGTCTGCGGTTGAGGCTGAGTGAAAAACTCCGAGGTACGGGTGAAGCGCTGGATGTCACGGTCATCGAAGCCGCGGTCGTAGTCATCGCGGTAGCGTAGGTCCGTGCGCGGGCGATCGTCATAGCGGACCATGGAGACGTCGTCCCTTCGAGGTTCCTCGCGCTCGGTGGTACGTCTAATGACAAGCTCTCTTTCAGTGGTAGGAGGTTGTTCGCGGCGGATGTCGTAAGGATAGTTGCTACGAGGATCCCCCTCCCGGCGTATGACCAGTTCACGTTCCTGGAAGCGTGGCTGCTCTTCTCTGCGAGGAGGTTCTTCGACCTCCCGGCGTATGACCAGTTCACGT